TTTGCTATTTCTGAACTTTAACTCTAGCACAAGTTGTTCACATTTTGTTCAGCAGTCTTTCTGCAATCGTAATTTTTTTTCAATGTTTTGTTATTCGCCTTAAAGACACTTGAACCTAGCCTTGCAGTTGTCTCGTTTATTCCTATATTCATTGTCACCGCCAATGCCATAATTATGCACTAGACTAGAGTTATATATATTTCGCAAGAATATTAGCAAGAAAAAACCATACAAAATTCATAGTACAAAAATCATTTGGTAATAAAAATCGAACGCACTTGCCTAATCTTTGATTCTACTAGTGATAATTTGATATGCAGATATGCCAAATAAACTACAGCGATGTGGTTAGTGGTTAGAATCACATGTCAGAAGAGGTTAGAATCAACATGTCCTTAATTAAATCGTGGTCAATTATTTGGCAGTTTTTATATAAAGGGAAGAAATATATGATGATTCTTAGAATTACGGCATGGTTAATTATGCGGGCATTCAAATTGATAACTATTTTAATTTTCTTCAGAATTCTTTGAGGGCAGGTGTAAGCATATGCACTCTTCCAAGAAATCCACCTTGACATCATTTACACTAATATACAAAAATACAGCCCTCGTTCTCCTAGTTTTAGTGAAGTGCAAGAACACTGGAACTTTACTGTTCCTGCCCAGTGACGCTGAAACTAGGGATAGGCTGGGGGGGGGGGCGCCTCTTGCCTTTCACCAGTTTGAATCTATCCCTGTTTAGATCAAGTCATCCTTGCGTAAGTATCAAAACTTCCACCGACATTTCGTAAACTATTAACAACGCCCGATCGTAAGACATCTGTGCCGTTACGTTTTCTATCAATATTCAGTTCGCTCCCGCTGTCTACAGCTTTGAACTGTCGTCGAAGTTTACAGAACATTATCAACAAAGAGATATACCCAATAACGACACCGAGAAATACAAGTGAAACAACCAGAATATACCAAATAGTCCGACTATCATTATATGACTTTCGTTGTGAATTGTTGTGACCTGAAAATTGAAATAAAGGTCTGTTCACACGAACCAATTTTGTTGGATCCGATTCACTTCTGACGTATGGAATATAGTCGGGTATTGATAAATGATAAAGCTTTAGTGCATTGGCTTGCAATGGCTGTGATCAGTGGATTTGCTGCTGATATACATTGCAAGGCAACAGACTATAAAACATCCATCAGAAGTAAATTGGATACAACTGAATTGGATCGTGTGAACAGATCTTAAGAATGAATATAACAACAGAACCGCAACTGTAGTTATGTAAACTGAAGTGTTTTTCTCAAATTTTTTCTTAATCCACAAATCTAAATCATGTTATACCTACAAGAATTACCTTTTAACACAACTTTGATTGATTTTTCATCTGTTACATTGACGTGACTTTGGGCGACGCATTTATAAGTCCCACTGTCTTTTTCACGGACATTAATAATGGTGAGCAAATTTTGTTTGAGTTGGAAGTCGCCAATTCGTATATCGTCTTTATACCAAGCAACATTTGGTGATGGGTTTCCATTTTCTCCGCTGCAGATACATCTGACATTGTCTCCTGCATTTACGATAATTGAACTGGAACAGTTTAGATTCACGGTTGGTTTTTCTGAAATGCAGTGAGATCGTTAGCTCAAGTGGGTTAAAATAGACGAAAAGTCTAAGAACGAAAGCAAAATTCAATGCAATTCTGCGATAGAATATGAATGTTATATAAATTATATATGAATGTAGTTAATGTACGTGTACTGGAAAGAACAGGCATATTTGGTATTGGAAACCGAAACTGTCACTCACAGTGGTATTCTGTGAGCCTAACATGCATGCTTCTAGGCCCGGAGCCACGGGGGGGGGGGGGTTTAAGGGAGTGTCACACACCCCCAAAAAGTTTATTCTGAGGCTCAGTCGGTAAAATTGCTATTTTAGTCGGCAGACAAAAATATTTTTGACACTATGGAGTATAGACCGATCCAATATAAACTTGACAAAGTTTCATCCGGAGTACAGTCGGTACAAGCCCGTCGATCAGTCGGTTTAGATGGCCTTACACTCCCCCCCTGTAAAATATCCTGAGGACGGCCCTGCATGCTTCTACGTGTGTCTGACACGAGCCTAACATGCTCCTCCGTCCATAAAAACCTTTTATTGCCCAAAAGTGAGATGAAATGAATTCCGGCGTGCGAATCTTGTTTTACAAATTATAGGGAAACTTGCCTGCGATATAAACGACAACGTTAGATACAGCATCGCGACTGGGTGTTAGGACAAACTGGTATGTTCCGTCGTAAGTGACATCGATATTCTTCAGGATCAAGGTGGTGGGCGTTTCAATCTCAAAATCGTGCAAGCTACTCGCAGATTTCGTAACGCTCGTACCATTCCCCACTATAGTTGCCAGCGTTTCCAACTTTTTCGTTTTACTGCTGATGAAGGACCAACTCCGAAAATTCAATTTAGATATATCAGCTTTATACGGCCAGGTAATCTTTGCAGTTGATCCATTTGTAAATACCAAAGTGCTACCAGCTGAAGGGGCTTGTAGTTGCCCTAAAAAGCAGAATATATTTATGATTTTGCTTGCAGACGAGGCTATATCTGTTTTAAACATTGAGAATCGAGTCGTTAATTTCGGTGGCAAACAAGGTCAATATTTGCAGCAACAAAATCATGACCCATGCCAGTTTTGGACAACACCAGAAAACTCATACCTTCGCCAGGCAACCACAGAAAGCTGACACCAAAAATAGTGAGAAAGAGAAAGCCAGCCATTTATACCAAATTCTTCTGCCAAGCAACGGTTCTTCGTTGGATGGAAAAAATATACATGTAATTTTATTCTGCAGTCATTCGATAAGTAAAGTTCACAAAGTGTTGAACTTTTGCGTGCCAATTTGCACGCATAATAACTGCCTTTTAAGTGAAAGTTAAAAAGACCAAGCTTTATGGTATTGCGATCAACCTTGCAAGTAATTCATCCGCCGGTAGCAATTGTATATATAGGCTATAGTAGTTATTTGCGTCTTCAGGCTAAATTATCCAAGTAGCAGGACCTTGAATTAAAACCTAGGAACTTCGAGTATGCTGTAATTCATCTCAATCTTTCTCGGATTTCATTGACTGATATAGAATATTCTGTCTGTTATGTCTATGGAAAATAATACTTCCTTGTCGTTGGTCATGTAGAACGGACGTATGTATGATCGATTGTTTTCATGAAAGAACCGGACTTGACATTATTTGTCACTAATATACTCTATAGACATAACCCATTATAATGATGTAAGAAAAGGATAAAATATACCACCTACTATGTTACCACGCTGCTGTGAATTTACAAACAGATACTTATATTTTCATTCGAATTTCCGTTGTGATAAAAATACATAAATATCCCCACAGGCAATCTATCATATGGCATATATATACCTGTTTATAAGGTGGTACTTCGTTTAAGAAGGCATCGACACAGTTGGCACGCTAACATGATAAATTATATTTTTAGGACTGACCAGGAAAATCACTGGTTTTGTCGGCTACGAAATTCGCACTTTGGTGTAACTCGATATACGCAATTTCCTATCTACGTGACCCAAGAAATCAACAATGAAGAGAAATTTGAATTTTTAATATGTACGAGGATCATACGACGGGATTCGCAATGTTTGAAAAGTGCCAATTTCACGATTATCTCGGATAAAGATTAATCATGAAATGTTCTGTTTTATGAATGCATTTCCAAATATGCATTCAAATTACAATGAAAAGCCAGCGATAAATTTATGTCATTTGCACGCCATCTGCACATCAGTCAAAATAAATCGCAACAGGAAAACAAAAATTGTTATACAACATTTCACAATCATGATCATTACGTGATTTTTATATTTAATGTACACTTTCATTTCAAGTGGTAAGGTATCGTACAATGGCGAGTTCAATCTGGGATTAATATTACTAGTGGTGTTAAAAAATTTTCCCAAAATTAAACGAGCCTTCAGCCGGGTAAGAGATTGACTGCAGGCAACTACTACAAGATCTCTTCATTTATAAATCTTGATATAACACAGGGATTTCGTGAAATCAAAGATACAACGCATCTCTCTAAATAACATCCTTCGTACTGTCAGTGAACAATGTTCAGCAATGCACAGCACATATCATGATACTGCATGGTTGACCGTGTCTAAAAAGTTTGTCTTATGATCTGCAGGATTTGCTCTGGCTTCGTAATTACAGATGGTCACCTCGTGCCGTCGAGCCTTGGAAATCCAAGAAATATAGGGTTGGTGATTGTTCCGAGAAATTGACCGAAAATATAGCTGTGACCCTAATTTATTTGTCCTGTGGGGTACACAATGGTTACACACTTGTGCTCAATGAATTGGAAACTGTTGTTAGCTGTGGCATTGATAAATTTTGCATTAGAATGGAAAATGCTGAAAATGTTTCACACAAAACCAGGAGAGACAATAGTAATACCTCTTGAAATTCTCCTCTAAGCCCAATGTATGTAACTTTGGTTGTCTCTGCTCCGAAATTACTTGGAAAATATATTGATAAACATTGCACACTGGAAAATCGTGGCACTCTATGACAAAAAATACAATCTCATGTCAGTCACGTACATGTCAACCCAAATCAAATTTGCATTTTGCACAATTGTCTCATGTGAAAGATCCACATGCAACTTCAATATATTTAAGTACAAGTACTCACTTTGTATTGTACTCCACTGTGCCATTCACGTCTTCTACTAGTTCAAACACTTGATCCGGCTCAATTTCTGTCTCATCAAATGTCATATGTGGTTTGTTTTTGAAACTGAAAACATGTCAGTTGGCTTTGTTTCAGTTTTAACCAACGCCTTGCTCAATCAACACTGAATATTTAATATTGCTAGGCTATGTAAATACAAAACTGATGTACCATGTAACACTTACAGTTTCATAACTCTAGGATGAAAATCACCTTCCCCACCGACTATAATAACCCCCTTTAATTTCACATTACCAGTGAACCTAAAGCAGGGTTAACCATTAATACATCTATGTGATATGATTCTATATTTACATGGTAATATATTATTACTTAATTTTATTGCCCCTTGTCTTATTGCCACAGAACTTCAGCAAAATAACAGCTTATATTGTCGAGTTCTACATACGGTATATTAAATAGCAGCTCCTGGTCCACGTCACTTTCAACAAACTATAGGCATAAATGAAACTCATAATTAATATATCAAAATAACCTAACTCAGTATCCTGACATAAAGGCAAAAGCAGCCTCTGTTGCTTGTTGAAATTATTTTTACATGTCTAAACCTGCCACAAATCTACATCATACGGTCAAATTTGCCTGGAATAGTGAATTATTGTGAGCTGAATTTAATATTCTATATTCATAATCTTATATATTCAGACTATTTGAAACCTTGTTAGAATCGAGCCTTTCTTCCCATGGTTTAAAGACAGATTTACCAGAGCCTTCTTCAGCTTCGTTCAGAACTTCAAGGTGGGTGAAATCTATTTTTTTATACAATGAATACTCAAATCCTTTTTCTTCCCCGATACCATGAGTGTGGTCATGTTCACATCGACCATGTCCACAACCTGCCATCTTGGATGGCATATTCAATACTTCATGTTACGTTTCACATTATGTCATTATGTATATTACGTTTCACATAATATGGAAAGGGAACAATTTTTTCCTAAAAGAACATATTATATATTAAGTGAGTCATGAGTGGACCATTTTCTCATAAAGTCCTTTTCTGAGAAGCCGTTCTTTCATGAAAGGATGGCTATAAGACTATATTTATTCAAACAAGTGTTCATTTTTTCGACAATCCCACAAAAAAGGCTTGTGTGATCATATTGTTTTTAATTCAATAAAAAAGTAGGCACAACAATAAAATTATGATTATATTAAAACACAATACTATCAGGAACCATCATATCATATGCATGTCACAAATGTACAGTAACATTTATTCCCAAATAACCTTGAACATGGAGTTCAGTAAAATAAAATTCAGAGAGAACGTTTAACATTTTGGTCATTGACATTGTTTTTTAATGTTTAGCAATAATATTAATCTAAATTTAATGTATAGCATACTTTTTATTAGCTTGAATTTATAAACAATTCATTATAGTATGTTAATACATAATAATAATAAATTGTACTATTATGCTAAATCCTACTTTTCATTTTTAGGCCAGTTTCAGTTGGAGACATTTCTAGCGCGGGAAATCTCATCCTCTGATAAACACGGTAAAACTTTCAGTAGTTCATCCACACCTTCCTCGACACTTATCGTCGATTGATAACCAAGACGCCTTATCTTCTCATAGGAAACCTCATAGTTCCTCTTGTCTTTATCCTGGCCGTTCGATGACTTCGTAATCTTGCAGTTTTTCACGCGAGTTTGAATGACATGAGCGACGTCAATTTTCGACATGTTCATGCATTCGTCACCGACATTAAAGACATCGTTTCTCATTCGTTTAAAGTTCTTCAAAGCGAAAAGAAAAGCTCGAGCAGCGTCTTTAACGTGCAAAAAAGTGCGACGGAAATGCCCTTCGTAAACATCAAAATGCTTCAACGTCAGGGCTTTGTTTGTAAGATCGTTTACAAGCAGGTCCAAGCGTAGTCGTGGGGCAACGCCAAAACACGGTTGCAAGACGTAAACAAACGGCTCCAGCCTGTAAAGCCACACTCTCGCCACTCGCTTTAGTGCTTCCATACAAGGTGAGCGGACTGATTGGCGTGTCTTCGGTGCAGAGACCATCGACAACAGCACCATAACAGGATCCAGTAGATGCATAGATCAGCTTCTGATCTGTCTCCATGAGCTCCACGACGTTTCTTGTGCCTTGCTCGTTGACCTGCTTTGCCAGCTCCGGAGAGCGCTCACATGCCGGGTATCCCACAATAGCGGCGAGATGAACGACCGCGTCACACTTTTGTATGTTCTTCTTGAGATGAGCCCGGTCCAATACATCCCCACGAACAATCCTGAGGTGCGGATTGTCGGCTAAATGCAGCAGCGAGCTGGCTCCCCACCGGAACGAGTCGTACACGGTGACGTGATACCCGCTACCTAGCAACAGTGGGACCAACGTGCTGCCTAGGTAGCCTGCACCGCCCGTCACTAAGACATGTTCCCAATGGGATATGCCATTGGTGCCCGCGTTGTCGCAATGACTGTGGTAGCCATTTGTAAAGCCTGTTTCACTGCCCCTTGTATGCTGAAAACCTTCCATCTTTCTAAAATAAAACAAAGAATGATTTAGTATTGGGAATTTTAGTGAAATAGGAGTGTAGAATAGGCAATTTTGGATAGATTTGGATTAAGCAGGATGAAAGAACAGGATATAACGGAAAGAGTAGGATATTATTATAGGAGTCAGAAGTAAATAGAAACGAAATTAAGAGGATATAATACTGACTTAAACTTCGACCCTTGGCGTCGGAAATCGCGAACTTCAGTTGAACTTCTAGACGTAGAAAGTACACAGTAGGTATAATATTATTGTGTACAGATCGCTAAGGTTTGAGATCTTTTATTTAAATCCCTTAAGGTATTAAAAGTAGATATTTAACTTACAATTGTATACTCACTCCGACTACGATACAAATGATTCTAGATGTCTGAATACGATAAATGAATATTTGATGACATAATAAAAGGAAGCCTCGCTTGAATATACATATAGCGTGGGCAAATATGAAAATAGTAAGGAATTGGCCGAAATTCGGTGTGAAATTGACAGAAAAACATCTGTCTCGTTGTCCTACATATCAAACACCCCGCTTTCACGGTAAAAGTTACGCGTAAAGGTTTAAAACCTTTAAGTTGTTCTACAATTAATTAACGTTTGAATGAAATATTTTTAACAAAAAACGCAACAGTGGAAATCTGTCCTTAAGGCCGACACAGACCGGACGCGATGCGGCAACGCGACGCGAATTTTGAGTTTTCAGAAGCATATAAATTAAATTCTGGAAGTAAAATTTGAAAATTATGGACGACAGAGGAGTCAAAATGTTTTATTGTTATGTAATCTACAAGAATATTATGATAGTTTAAAATTTATTTGATTTTGAAAAATTAAAACGTTGAAAATTCGCGCCGCGTTGCCAATTCGCGTCCGGTCTGTGTCGACCTTTAGACTCACACACGAACCTCGAGGAACATTGCTCGAGAAGATTCTTGTCTTCAATTCTTATAAATGGAATGGGCTGATGTTATCCTAAATTCAGTGCGTACAAACTATGGACAAATAATAAAGTAACATCACTCGAATACCGAAGTAGCCTGCAGTCCGTACGGGGGCGATATATAGAAATCGCCTGTGATGATCTCGATAATGAGAGGAGTAACTGGAGTGTATATTACTTAGATCACGCGCATGGACGCATGGACATAACTTTAAAAAAAGCTAAGTGATGTTGCTAATAATACTTTAGGTTAGTAAAGTTGAAACCTAAAGTTATAAACCAAGTGATAATGAAGGCCAACAGAGGCCACAGGTAGGGACGTATCTTTAAGAAAAGCTAAAGATGCTGGCTGTTATTACTTTAGGTTAGTAAAGTTGAAACCAAAAGTTATAAACTAAGTGATTTAGATATTCTATCTTATCATTATGTATATAACTGTTGCGTTAATGTTTGTGATGTAAATGTCACGTGCTGTGCAATGTTATGTGCTGTAAATGCCATGTGCTGTGGAATGTTAGGTGTCGTCCAATCTATGGACCTATGGTCCAATGTCAAAAGTTAATACGAAATAAGATTGAACATTATGTTGAAGGAATTAATTAGGTATATAAAAATTGATGTAAACTGGGTGTAGCAGTTAGTGTTGGCTATAGATTGAAAAGGATAAAGGTTGTAATATTGATTGTATAATAAAGTTGTTAAAAAATGTCACTGAAGTGTGAACCAGCAGAGGACAGAAGTCCTCAACATTTAGTTCATTCATATAACAGATACGAAGAGCAAAATTTATTCTTGCCATACCTGCGTAATTCAAAATCTGCTATTTCTGAGAGTTTAGCTAAAATTAGTTATTAATAACTATAGCAAAAATATTTCAAAATATTCCTACTTTGCTTCGCAGCGATAGATTCAATGCTTCAGAGTCTTTCTCCCAGCAAGATGCATGTGTCAACGAACTCGATAAAAATGCTCTCTTAACAGCATGGGTTTTAGTTTCCACCAGCAACTTAACTTAATTCGTCTTTATCTAGAAGTTTTCTAGACTTTGTTTAATTAAGTAACTCAGCGTCAGCTACTTGTACCAACTAAATTGTGAATGCGACCACACGTTATCCTATACTCCTTTCCTTACATCATCAATGATGTAACAAAATATTTGAACGGAAAAAGTCGGCGAAAAAGCGCTGATCGAGTAATTTTTACCAATTTGGACCTTTCTGTTTACAGACACTCGTATAATTATGATCTCGACTAAATTTTGTGAGCCTGTCAAAGAAATTTCGGCATTACAGTTCTAATTATTTTTGTTGCAATAATATGCACAGTCGTGCGTGTAAGAAATAGATGAAATATTTTAAAGGTAGCTATTTAGTACTTTTAGCATATGTAAGGTATGTATAGCTTTTAAATCACATTAAATAACTAGAGAAACACAAACTACAATCTAAGATATGAAACTAATTATATTATTACTATATCTAACCATGCATTCAACAAATACCGAGTATGCACAACGTTTTCTTTTATAGTGGAACACTTACTTTGTTTACTTTTGCTCTTTGAAAAATCTGCATAATACAGGTTTCACACAAGAGAAAATATATTACCCTCGCACACCTAGAGTTTAGACGTATTGAATATGCGGCGACTTATATGCGCTCATGATTGGTAACTAATATTAGTTGATTACATAACCGGCCATGATTCTGACAGTTTATAAAAGTTTAATGAAAGAAATGAAATCATTGTTGTTAAACACTACTGATTCTAAAGACACGTGATATTTTGGCAGCGATGAAACTGATCTATTTTGAAAGTATATTTAACACGTGTTTGTTTTGTTTTCGTCGGCGAAGACTCATTCCAATACCCCAGAATCCAGCTGCAACGAATTCACCGCTTCGCTTAGTTTTAATACCAGTAAGCTAAGTAACTACTTCGTTCTATAAAAATCATCTCGTTTGTTTTAATTCGGCCTTCTTCGACGCCATATCGCCTGGTGTATGTCGTACAAATACACCCATATGTCTATACCTAAAATTTCTTGCATGTATATATTTAAAATGACTTATAATAGCCGTACTTGATCACAAATATGAAGTGATGTGCAAAATTAACGTTCAATGATTAACAAACAAGTGGCGATACTCAGTCTAACATACCGTGAATTTAATTGATAAGAAATTTATAACAACCACCAATCGAGCGAGAAAGCTTGTACGTCAATGATACTTGATGTAGTTTAAAATAAATTTGAATTTCGATCGATTCTGTGGGCTAACATTTGCCCCCAATGTACAACGGAATGAAGACAGCGTGAGCACTTCACTTGGCCTTTGGGTACACAAAGATTATGCAATCAGCCGATGCAATCAGGCCACTCACACTCACTCATACACCGACTGGAATATTAATTATTCATTCTTCAAAATTGAACGCAGCAGTGAAAGCCTGAAACAGTTTGGATGTAGAACAGATGGTTCCCAAACTGTCCTTTCTTTCTTGTATACATATATCGTAACCAGAATTTAGAATTTATCTGCATTTGTGTCGGTCTATTGCTTTCAAACAGAAAAATTAAAAAGCTCTCCATGGTTACTTCGATAATTTCTATATCATTTGCACTTTATTAGAAATGCTTGCAAAAGTTTTCTTTGCATTGATTGTGGGTTGATTGTCGCAAGCTCGCATCGGGAAACATGTCGATTGTCGAGGGCTTAATTCATTCGCTCTCTGCATGGTACGGTCGTAATGACGTACGTAATCCTCGCCTGGGAAATGCCAAAATAGTCAATACAATATTTGCAGTGGACTGGTCTTCTACAGAGTAGAATTTCGTGGTAAAGCTAACTGTTCATTTGTGTTTGACATAAGCATATTAGAGTGTGTGTGTGTGTGTGTGTGTGTGTGTGGGGGGGGGGTATCAGAGATAAGCATATCAGAGAGTGTGTGTGAAAGTCCTAAATAGAACCCCCCAGTGAAATTTTAATTTTCTATAAATAACTATTAATGTTAATCAAAGCTGACTTTTGCAATCATTTTGGCAGCCAAAAAATGTGGGAGGTCATTGATCATTATCATTCTTGCATGAATTGTTCTAGGTACTGCTGCTATACTCGGTACTCTAATCAGCCAGACACAGAGCATTTTCACATACATTTCAAATTTCAATGGTGGTCCATTTAAAAAATAATACGGCCATTTTAAGCCGGGAACACCAGTAACAACACTGACTTTTGTTGAGTTAGACCATGCGGATGAGTGGTCCACAAGACGATAGATAGAGAGGGGGAAAGAGTTGGTGTTACTGGGGGCAGGATGTGGCAGAATAGGGGAGAGGGTGATTGCACAACCCTATGAAAAATTGTTGAATGCTAACAGATTATACTAATTGAAATACTTAATTTAGAAAATGTACTTTACTGCAAAAAAAATTTACAACAATGTAACAGATAGCCCCTCCAATTTAAACATTCTGCAATTTAAAACAAATATGGTCCATAAGGCTCTTAGAAACTGTCAACAGCCTATTTACATCTTAAATCTTTCATGAATTTTATTTCGAAGACATGAGTTCTGCCACTGTAGTTCTACTAACATAATAAACCAATGACATGCTGGTACCTTTGCATACTAACATTTAAAATAGTAGGTTACTCTATTATTTGCGTTATCAAAAACCTGGAACCCCAGCTGGTTTTAATATTATTACCAAGTTTATTTAAAATAGTCTAAAATTTATATATTTACCATGAGATCCAGTGCATTCAGGGGAGAAAAGTGATAATGGACCAATTACATCCACAATCATTCATTTAATTCAAGAGTTCATAGATTTCAATATTGTATAAAATGCTTCAATTTCTATATAAATACGAAGACGAAATCCTAACAAATCTGCTTGGGCCACCTGAATTGTCTCTAGTACTTAATGTAAGGAAAGATAAACTGTAAAATCTTATTTTAATTTTTACCGTTAGAACATTAACACTTGAAAGTCTGTGGTTCGCGCGACTCAATTCAGTCGAACCATTTCACTAATTTGTGATGCATGTTTGATTATATGTGTTGATTTGTAATGCATAAGGGCAGCAAATCTTCTTAATGGCTCGCAGTATTCCTTAATCAATAACAGATTACATTCCATACGTCAGAAGTTAATTGGATCTGAAAAAAAAGGATCGTTTGAACAGAACAGACGTACCCGTCGTACCATAATAGTGCCCGTACTAACAACGTTTCTTGTTGTAGTTTTTATACTTGGGATTAAAAGGACGTTTTGCAAAACAAAATGCAGCCGATATGTCACATTTACAGAGACCATATGAGCAAGCTGAACCTCCTTTTCCTATAAGTAAGGAAACGCAAATAACAGTTAGTCTATTCATAAAGATTCTCCTAATGAGGTGAAGCGCGGAAGTTGATGTTACAGGAACACGAAGTTTGATTGGCTCTATAAAACTAACGAGCCAATACGAGCCAATAAAATTTGTGTAACTCAGACTTCCCGCGCTTGACGTCACAAGTTACATAACCTTGAGTTGAACAATATAAATGAATATACTGTATAAAAGCACTTTTCGGTTAACAGTTTCACAATAAAAACAAGTTGACAAGCATAAAGGCAAATATCAAACAAACTTACGGCATGTCGGAGGTGAACCTATCAGCTTGTAGGACCGGAAATAGATGCCCCATCCACACACTTTTTTTTGGAATGTTCCTCCTTCTCCTAATCTACCATAACACTCGTCATGACTCTTGCAACATCTAGTAAGGAGTGAGGTCTATATTTGCGAGAGGCAAATCTGAGATGCAATCAGCTCAGGCATTTAGAAATTAGAAATGCGAATTAGAGGAGGTGGTGGGCTGATCGATAAGAAGGGAACGACTGCACTGGACTAGCCCTGTGTACCGGCGTTTACAAATGCCAGTGTGGGATACTTAGCACGTAAACCAAAGAAATAAAGGAATAGTAAAGTCGGCATTTTCCTTTGAGATATCTTGTGGAGCTTTTAGAGAAACGAGGGAACGAGTTGGGCTATACGTCACCAACATTGATAAACAGAAATAGGAACTGAACCAAAGTCTTTAGGAACAAAGAGATAAAATGATAGCTGGATGTCAGAATCACGAGCAAGGCTAAATGATTAGAAAAAGGTAACAGGAGGATACATATGTACCTATCTAATAAATCCACAGGGCGCCCATGTCCACCAGCCCCACAATAACAACCATATCCATTGAAGTCCAGTGGATTTCGTTTCGTTATCACGCGAATCAGGTGGTTAAAGCTCAGTAAATCTCTTTTAAATCTCCCTTTAAAAGTGAGGAAAGAATAAGCCTAATGTCAGCATAGACCCATTTGAATGGTAATACGTGCTTATATAGTGTTAGCATTTTCCTCACTGATAACCCTATCGATGTTGATTGGATTCTTTCTCACAGTAAACTAAGTATATAATACTAGTATGTAATAAAATCGTGGCAAAGATTTCGTCGATGCAAATGCCGGCGTTAATCCTCGGAAAAAAGCAGAAATTACGAAGAATTTGTTTCCCACTCAAATAAAAACCGATCGTCTTCAATACCTGCTGTGGCGTAAGCAGCGTTAGAACAGTTCTGTGTAATTAAAATTATGAAGATAAAGACGATAATCTTCATTTTGCCTGAAATGGAACAGATGAAAAGAAAGGTGAAGAAATCTAATGCATTAATATTGTTACTGATAGAAAGGTTTTATGACTTACCGTTATGGTGTACTTTGTAAAACAGAATTTCGTCTGCACTGGAATTTTAATGATAAATTATACATGAATCTCACTGCCGCGAGAATACAATAACAAATACCGCAAGCCGAAGTTACTAAAAGTATCCAGCATTGTTTACGGCTTACAACATTATTATTAGCAGTAAGTGTTGCACAGTAAGGGAGAATACTCCTCTCCTCCCGGAGAAAATCACTGAATTACCCACTGTTTTGGTGTGTGCCCCCCCTCTCCCCTAAGCGAAGAAAACAAGCGTAGGAGCCCATACACATTGAGGCATGCGGTTTTTCTGAGACAAGAATACGAGAAACTGAAACTGCAGCTATTATATATTTATTGACCATCTTTATTTAGATACATCACAAATATGGCTATTCGTCAACTCAGAAGTAACACCTGAGTTTGTTGTAGTTCTTGTACTTCCTGTTGTATTTTTTCTCTTTGAAACAGAGGACAGCATCTCTATCGCATTCGCACAAACCTTTTCCACATCCCGTGTTTGTTTTCGCTAGAAATAGGAAATATTAGTTGTTTATGTACAACCAGTCGAAAAAATACTTTAATTTTTAAGATACGTAGGCTGTGTTCTTACCACACTCGAGGGGAGATGAGGTTTTGTAATGCACAATATAAATTCCCCAACCACTGCATATTCTTCTATCTTTTAATTCTTTGTAGCATCGGTCGTGTGTCTCACAACACCTGAACACAGGAAAACAAAATAAATTATCAAAACGACAAACTGATAGTGAATAACATGACTAATAATATGGCTACTTATTTTTGTAAAACCTAAATATGTATAATAACACGATCCAATTTCTCGCATCCCATTCAATTCCAACGTATGAAATCCAACAAAATCGGATCGTGTGAACAGATCTTAAAATTTAAAACTCAATTCTTTATTCCTAAGCAATGAAATCTGAATGGAATAAGACTTTTTCAAGAAACTATATACCTATCAACTCATCCCAATGCTTTCCCATGACCACCTTTCCCACAATGACAACCATATCCATTGTAATCAAAAGGGCTCCTTCCTGTTCCCGCAAATATCATTTGTCCGAAATTGAGTAAGCTTCTCCGGTATCGTCCTTCGTCTTAAGAAAGAGGAAAGTCTTGTTGAGCTGATTGATATCACATTTCTACGCCTTATTCTCATGTTAAAGAGGTACAACCAGCAATCTCGTGCCCAGGCAAATTTCTGTGTTTGTTTGGACGGGAAGTGGAAATTAGCCCCGGAAACGAGATGTAACGATGTACACAAGGCCTTCGTTAGTTCGTTTTCTGAGCAATTGTATAATTTCCTCCGAAATTGAGTTTCAACTTTTGCAATTATACTTTTAATCATACTGCAAATAATTCATTTCTTCATTTTAATATAATTTTAATTTAAAAATTAAACATTTCATCAAGCAGACTCGAGATCTAAAATGCAATTATTAAAATGTGAACATTGGTTTTTCATATATCATTCGAGCACAAAACCAATTAGGCTTTTTCACGGCAAGCGACCAGGCCTTTATACCCACAATTCTTAATTGGCTAATAATTGATTCTGGCAAAATGCCGCAAAAACCATGTAATCTCGTACTAAAATTTAAACACTGAAAAAAGATAAAAGTCCAAAATTTTATCCATATATCAATCTCAGTTATAATCAGCACATAGAACGCCAACAGACTGAAAATATTTCTCCTCCGTTTTGAGCTCAAAAAACCAAATTTGTCGTAAAGCATGCATGGAATAAAACATATTGAAATTCTAATAATCGTGAAGTAAGATATTTTTACTGTATTTTGATCACACGGTATTTATATACCTGTTTTAGCTCCTGAACTTAAGGAACTCGAGAGGGAAAATACGATGAAAAGAAACGCCAGGAACATCCTCATAATCACTAAAGTTGAAATTGAAGAATATTTAGTGGTTAGTTTACTATATATTTACCGAAGAGACCAAATATAAACCATCACATGCAGCAACAATAATGTTCCTGTTAGAAACGTTCCCAATTGTCCTAAAGAAAACAATTAGATCTTACTAAGACATACCTCAACGATGTCGGGTCAATACTGTGGTGAGCACCGGTATATAGATCGCGAATAAACTTTTGCAAGAGAACAATTAGAAACACAGTTCATACAGATCTCGAAGCGTCGACAATGAGGCACAATCACTTGACCGTTGATTCAGTGATTACGTGACGCAGCTGTCTCAATGTAATTTATACGGAAAGGTTTATAGGAGCCTTTTTTCATCTCTATTGCAATATTGGTATCAGCTGTTTGCGCACCTGGAGACTGTGTACACCAACTGTTTACTAGTCAGGGACAATTTTCTTCAAACTTTACCGCGTCTATAATTTTCCTCTCAAAATAGGCCGCGCAGTTCAGGTCCTTCTAGCCATATATAGGGAAGTATTTCGGCGTATTTAAAGGACGATTTTCTCAAGCACGATTCTTCAAAAGTTTAGAGATTGTTGGATATTTTCATATCAAAAAATGTTTGGTGATGCACCTGAAGCATCCGGCTTCGGCAAAATACTATACATGCATGGGGTTCATTTTAAGGCATATTTTACAACTGTGCCGTTGAAATTCACTCTTCAAAACTACTCTGATTTTTAAGACGACTATACCAGTTAATTTTCTTTACGTGAAGTATATTCTGTGCTATCATAGACATATAGGCAATAAAACCTCAGACTACAAGATTTCCCACATATTTGTTCATGCAAATGTCAAGACAGTCAAGTCTGTGATAACACTGATGAATCTAACACATTCTGTCCTTCTCAACGTGTTTCATCCTCCTGTTGTACTTCTTCACGTGTCGCTTGAAGCACTTTGCTGCCTTTCGATCACAGATACAAAGTCCCTTTGAACATCCAGTATTTCTGGAGCCTTTAAAAGTAAAATACAGAATGATTTACACCTGAACATATATGTCAGGAACATATATAAATGTGACAAAAAAGTATATTCTCGTCATCAATTTACAATTTGATAACTCTGGTCATGATAGTTGAACCAGAGTTTTCCGTTTTGGAAACTTCGAATCGAGATATTTCGGGGAGTCACGCTTTCGCTTTCAGTCGGTGACATCCCAAGTTTGGGAGAGGATTGGAAAAAATGTTTAATTTAAAAGTCATTTCACATTCTCTTTCCAATGATGACAATAATCTTCACACGGGTCAGATCATTAAATTTCATCGTTCATGAGTGGACTTTATGACATTTTGTGCCACACCTCTAGTGCAAGGCACTAGCTCAAGCTCAGTATTACAGTGCCTTTGTATGTAGTGCCTGAGCACTAACAAAATTGTGCACGGGTACCAATTTTTGTCGTGCCATGCCAATAATGGGTCTATACGATCGTAACGAAATACTAGGGCACAAATTGCCAAGAACAAGCAGAATGCATACAAACAACCAAGCACGTGTACTTACTGCATTTGTAACAAGAGTGGCGATAAGACTTCAAGTATATTTGAAATATATTACAAATTCCTTTCGAGCGAAGTCGTCGATAACATCTGTCGTGACTGTGACAGCATCTGAAATGTTGAAATGTATTGATCACATCTATGAAACAATGTGTTTCTTGTTCACAGTCACAGTACGTCGAAGCATGTCTTATTGACTATTATAATATAACATTTATAGTACGCGCGCGCTGATTGGTCGAGAAGCGTGTTTCTATAACTGTATAGAAACACGGGAATTTTCCCGCCGAACTTGACAAGCGAAGCGATGTAATGAGAATTTGTAATTTAATCGAATCATAATATTTGTACAAAATCTTTTTATTGAGTTATATTATAAAAGAAATAGAAAACGTTTTTCCTGTGTTTCTATACAGTTATAGAAACACTTGTGGGAGTTTAAGAGAACTCGAAATAACGTGGAAAAACTCGCCCTACGGGCTCGTTTTCCCACTGATTATTTCTCGTTCTCCCAAACTCCCACGCGTGTTTCTATAACTGTATAGAAACACGGAAAATGTTTTCTATTTCTTAAATGTTACAGTATTTCCCCATTGCCTTAGCTAGGCTAAATCAGTTATCCATCATATGCTCGCTGCTGTTGCCAACAACATGCACTCAATTAAATTCTTAATATCCCCTCAAATATATAGGTATAATTGTGCTAAATATTGTTATGATAATTCCACATTCCTCTTGCCCATTGCAACACATTGTAATGGTGGGTTTAGGGTCTGATATGTTCGGTCATATGCCGGCTGTATTCAAGTAAGTCGTTAAGCCAGGCATTATAGTCTCAACAAACAAGATGTAACCCGTGTTTTTTTTCCAAATTGTATGTTGCATAGCTACACATAAATGTTGCACAACTTTTTTCGCGGAGCTATTGTTGTTTTCTAGATATATAACGGCACCTGTCAATATCATCAAGGGTTTTGCCTCGACCTCCCAGACCGCAGTGACAACCATAATTCACGAAATCAAACGGATCTCGCCCGGTGGCACACCTAACCATACGGCCAAAATTCACTACGCTCCTTCGACTTCGGCTGGATTGTACTACAACATATATGACGTAAAGAAAAAATTTAAACATTTGATTTGGTACAAAGGAATGCGTCAACCAAATCAGTAATATAAACTCTTACATTAAGCATACATAAAAGACTGAAAAGAGCACATTTTTGGACGCAAAGGAGAACTGTTCGTCGACTCATGCATGTGTATATAGGCAAATTATAAAGTCACCGCTTTTTAGCGCCTTGAATAAAGGAGAATAACATATTATTGATAAGAGGCGGACAGACAAAAGTATTCGCTGAATATGCTTGCACTGAAACGGTAAAAAACAAACACTTACCAGTATCGGAGCAAGTGAACATCACCAAGGACACAATGATAAAAAACATTTGAAAATTCGTAGAATGAAGCGTTTCTCTACCCATTCTCGAACTTACGATAAACTGAGTTGAAGTAAAGCGTATATTTGTTAAGAAAAAAAGATCGACCAATTCTAGTGCACTGTCTAAGTGTTCGCCTCCTGTTATGGAATCATTGGAATGAGACACTTTACAGCAATCATGTCAATATATGTTCATATAAAAACGACTGTTTGCCGTCACGAGACACAACTATCTCACCGTTAATCATAGCGTTAATCTTCCGTTTCAGCTCGATCGGAAAATGAAAATACTTAAATTCGACCCCGAGTCGACCTTGCTTAAATTCAATAAACATCGCAGGTCTTTAACATGAATACTCTTGCTTCACTTCATCAGATCAGGTTGCATGTTTTTCCGTATTACGACAATGAATGTCTCTGCATTTAAATGTTCATGCTTTATTTCTTACAAGTATACTTCGCGACTGAGTCTTACCCATGCTCATTGACCATTTTAATCATTTCAACAAACACAAACTAAGTATTCGTGGGTGCATGATAACATTAAATATATATACTTTGGTTCATTTACAGTTATATAACAAAACCTTTAATATTCCAATATTAATATCTTTTCACCAATAATATTGAGTTATGTGACTGTTATATTTGGACAATAAGTCACTAATATACAACTAAATTCTCAACCCATGCACTGTTATTTTGAGGGAGTTATTTTAACTCCTAAAATAGGAGTTACGGAAAAAGGTACAGAACAACTCACTTTTTGGAGTTAAAAGTAACTCCAGATTTGGAGTAAAATATTAACTCCGTTTTTGCAGTCAGAATAACTATCATTTAGGGGTTAAAATGTAACTCTTAAAAAGGAGTTAAGCAGTGTTAACTCCACTATCGGAGTTATATTATTTCTACTTTCAGAGTTCTGATGCAAATATTGTTTGTGTATTGGATTATTAAACTAAAAACATTAAAGCCAAAGGTTCTCGTAGTGTCATATTGGTAAATTTATCTCACAAAATTTCTTATTATCAATTCACATGCATTTGTATAATATTGTGAGTTGTATATTTGAAAAGACAGATCAATACAAAAGCTCTGAATTGCTATATTAATTGTCTGAAAGGATCACCTTTTCATAGCCCACTTTTAAATAATTCTAACATCAGTTGTTGCTTTTAACCTCAATAATACTCTTCCTATACCCTAAATTATGAATTACTTCTGAAAGACTTTGATTACTGTAAATTTTAAAGTGATAAAATGACCTATTTAATATTGATTTTTGCATCCGGCCCGCTTGAAATGCATCCGGCCCGGTGTGAAATGTGAATAAAACGGCCAAACCAAAGCAACGTAAGGCTGAAATGTGTAAAAACCTTTCCGGAAAAGGCTAAAAGTATGTTAGAAATAAAAAACATACCCGAAAACATCTTAGTTTGGATTTTTTACTCCTTTTTCGCTGCATTTTACGTTGTTTTTCTAGTCGATTTGCCCGAATTTGCCGTGATTTAGTTGCTATGGTAACAATATCTGCCATTTCATTGGCTGTTTCTTGACTAGGATATCCTTTTAAGGAGTTGTTGACGTATTAAAATTCTGAAATGGCTTGTAGCCTTGTAGATTGCAGAAATTATAGTTTTTATATAGTTATTTGCTAATTTTTTTGTTTTTTTTGTGTTTCATGAAGTCAATAATGTAAAGGTAAAAAAATAAACACGTTATATACCGCAGCTTCAGCCCGGAGGCAAAAATCTGTCCTCTCGGTCTCGAAAACTTCCCTTGGCCTACGGCAAAGGTTAAAAATAAACACATTATTTTACCGGCAGCTTCGGCCCGGACACAAAAAACGTGCCGACGGTCTGAAAACGGAAATAACGACCTACAGCCAGAAATAACATATATAATCAATAGATCATCGTCAGCCCTGCCATTTTCCCTATTTTATGGGGGAATGGCTTTGGTATACAGATGAAACAAAACAGCCTATAAACTTGAACTTAAAAGTTAAATGCCGTAGGAAGAAACTTTATACATCGGGATGAAGAAAGCGATATGAGTTAAAATATAGGGTTAAGAAGTCAAATTATATTAATGGCACAAACATTCGTAATTTTTACAAGCCTTTTCCGCCTTTTTCACTCCAGAGTTAAATCAATTCACGTTTATAAGACTAAAATTTATAATAAACTATTAACCCGCTCCTCTTGTGCACGCCATTTTGAATTTTATTAAACTCCAAAAAGAGAGTTGAATTTTTATCACCCCCAAAAAAGGGTAATAGGTGAGTCAAAATAACTCATAAAAGAGGGTTAGATTGCTTAACTCCCCCAAAAGGAGTTAATTCTGCATAGTTAATAAGGTCTAAAAATTATTAACCCCTCAAAGAGAGTTATTTTTACTCCAAAACTATAGTTAAATTTTTAACTCCATTAAAAAAGGATAATGGGAGAGTTAAAATAACTCCCTGAAAATAACAGTGTGGGCATGCGATAGTCATTCAAGTTTTCAGTTTTGCCTTATAATAGTAGTGTATAGCCAAGATGTTGACAAGGTTTGTCAAGGCTGTGACGGTTTAAAACAGATTTACGCTAGGAAAAGATTGGAAGTTTCAGGCAATAGGGCTTTCTCCTCCTCTTTTAGGAATAAAGTTTTAGATTTCAGGCGTGTACGAGACCCAATCCATTGTCCCAATTGTCCAATGTCACTGTTATAGTGCTTTTATAGTGTGCAAAATGTAAATGTGTTACAAATATTACTGGTATAACCATGCATACTGTTTACAGTAATACTCGCTGGTTCGGAGTTTTTACATTTTATTTATTTAACCGTTTATAAATCTCCATTCAATTCCTAGCAGTAATGGCAGGTAAAACCGTAAAACAGTTTGTTATATAGCTACCGTCGTATTCTTTATTTTCCGGTCAATACAACCATGGTCGTATTCGTCATTTTCCGGCTAATACGACCATGATACGACCATGGTCGTATTCGACATTTTCCGGTCAATACGACAATGATACGACCATGGTCGTATTCGTCATTTTCCGGCCAATACGACCATGGTCGTATTCGCCATTTTACGGCCAATACGACCATGGTCGTATTCGTCATTTTCCAGCTAATACGACCATGATACGACCATGGTCGTATTCGTCATTTTCCGGCCAATACGACCATGATACGACCATGGTCGTATTCGTCATTTTCCGGCCAATACGACCATGATACGACCATGGTCATATTCGTCATATTCCGGCCAATACGACCATGATACGACCATGGTCGTTTTCGTCATTTTCCGGCCAATACGACCATGATACGACCATTCGTCATTTTCCGACCAATACGACCATGATACGACCATGGTCGTATTCGTCATTTTCCGGCCAATACGACCATGATACGACCATGGTCATATTCGTCATATTCCGGCCAATACGACCATGATACGACCATGGTCGTATTCGTCATTTTCCGGCCAATACGACCACGGTCGTATTCGTCATTTTCCGCCCAATACGACCATGATACGACCACGGTCGTATTCGTCATTTTCCGCCCAATACGACCATGATACGACCATGGTCGTATTTATTAGCTAGCGCTTATAATAATTGTGATTGGTCGATTCGTGGTCACATGTCTTGGGATAAATGCGACGTTTCCCGCTTGGAATACAAGTGAAAAATTCCAGAAACTTTTATGAACATTTTAGCAGGCTCCGTGATTGTTTAAATTTGTTACTAAATGAAAAGTACGTTCTTGAAGTTGAATTACTGTATGAATATATCTATTTTTTCTTCTGAATAACAAAACACTTAATGTATTTTTCCTGTATGGTAAATCGTGCGTTTTATCGTGGAAAACAAACTCACTATTTTCCTTGGAGGCATACATTAAGTGTATAACATTATAGTTTTTGTATATAAATGTCTGGATCATACTGATACAACTTTGATTTGAAGTCACTTATGCAGACTTATTAAGTTGTGATAGATAATATTGTTACCATACTTCATTATGCACTTGTTACTTGTACCAAAATTTTCAATATTGATGAACATAATCACCTTGATGATTTAAAAATAAACTTTAGCTCTTTTAAGTTGCATTTTGTATAATCTGTGTCATTTCCATGATAATAGTATGGTGGTGCTTCCACAGTATCCAAACTATAGTTATCAAACAACCACTGTGTGATCTGTACTTTCACTCTTTCAGTTATGTTGTTTTACTGTCAGAGATTCATCACTGGACATAAGTGGCGTTAGGGTGCCTATATTAACGAAAACCGACTATTTTAACACAAAAAATGACAAGAAATTCAAACCTATGGAACCATTTAGCTGAGAGACAACTAAATATGGCTTATTTGGTGTGAACAGGTCTGTTTAGCTAGACTGCTTAATTAGGGAGCTAGGGGTGTGTGTATATTCATATATTCATATTTAAACATCTAATCATAGGAACAATAGTGTACAAAAGAAATCAGTCAGGCATAAGACAAATGTATGTATACCCTCCTAATTAAGCTTCTAGCTATGGCCCTGGGTGTGAAGAATTATCTGTAATTAAGGAACCAGGTGGGAGTCTTAACCTCATTGTAACTCCCTCTCTTCAATCCACAATTTTTGTCACGCTTGTAAGGTACTGAAGGCAGGTTGACAAAAGGCAAAACATGCATTCATGAGCTATTCAGCTAGTCAATCAATTTATTACAATTTTGTGTGGTGGCTATTCTACAAAACATATGCTTGTCATTGGAAATTAGCTGTAACATATTTGATTGAGACAGATAAATAAATTCTAAATCAGTTTCCAATGCAAACAAGTCGTCAATCTGCCTCTACTACATCATTGTACTTTGGACAAAGGAAGAGTTGATAGAACATTGCGAAAAATCATAACTTAGAAATGATCATTATTCTGGGTGTTTGAATTGATAAATTGCATTTCATTTCACAGACTGCAGTTGACCAAACTAGAACAAGCATGCCAGCAAACTGCAAACAGGAAGTTTCTCAGACAATCTTCTATGACAATCAACATGTCAAATGAAATGATATCACTACTGTATCAACACTAATCTATTGCAACTGTTCTTTATTTGCACTAGACCTTAGCCTGGTTCACATGAGTGAAATATGCACAAGCATAAGACAAAAGGCAAAAGAAAGAAATGCGACGAAGCGTGCAAATAAGCATCGACATAAAAGCACAAGCATAATAAGCACAACACTTGAAGCATATAAGCGAAGCTGGAACAAAAGACATTTGAAAAAGGCATGAAAGTTGGCTTCGTGATTTTGACCCCTTAAGGAAAAGGTACATTTAATTTTGTATCTCTGCTTTAATATGCTTATTTCACTCGTGGGAACCAGGTTTTTGTATTGATATACTAATTTTACAAATTGCTTACTTACCATCATTTTGCGGTGCGCACACAGGAATGTCCTGATTTGGATACAGCATAAAGTAGGTCAAACCACTTGCCAAACAAACAGCAATCAACAACCATGCATTATAGGTCATTACCGCAAGCATAATAAAATAATTCGCGGCCAATAACAACGGGAATGATAAACTACTCAAAATGTATCTTGCCGTCAGTGCGACTCCCATGCGCATACGAAGTGTAACCTCAGGTTCCTCGCTGGATGGTACCTCAGCAACGCAATCACGACTAAAAGTACCATACCTCTGACCATCGCGGGATTGATTGTTTTGGATGACCGATGAACGTTTTCCTTGGCTATTGACGAAGCGTCCTTGATAGAAACTCGCAATTCCATAGAGGAATGTAAACACGAATACGCCAACACAGGCGGCGAACAAAATACCTGAATTATCTATTTGCCATTCTTTGAATAGAAGCAATACATGAGATGAAAAGTAGAAATGGTGCTGCATGGCAAAGGTTTGCACGCACAAAATAAAACTACAAACTACCGTATCAGACTTTACAACAATTAATGTTTGTTACACTGTTACAATCTCGTGATCTCGTGTCTCGTGATTGTCATCTTTTTTTCGTAGAATGGATTTTAATTTGAGCCAAAAAACTGCTTGTGTTACCACTTTGATGAAATGTGAATATGCAAGTTCACTGAGCTATATGAAAACCAGGAACGCTAACTTTTTATCTTTTCCATCTATCGTATAAGAAATGCAACGTCTGTGCACACTAAATTTGCATCATATAGGTCCAAATTTCACTCTAAATTACCCTCAGTAATTTCTATATATTTCTAAAAAAAACCCATATGTATTCGGCATGAAAATGAGGCGCTGTTCCAACCTGTCTTAGTCACGTGTTTGCGGTTAACTGGATTATTTTGCTCTTTCGGCACAAATCAATTATTCATAAGCTTTCTTCTACTACTTCTAAACGTAAGTTGCACGGGTATTTTATTAGCGGGTAGTATATTTCATATGCTTTTAGCTCATCACCAATCCTCAATGATTCTCGGAAACATTAGTCTTAAAATTTGTAGCCGTAAAGCCAAAAATATAACTAAAACTTTTACCTGTTTAAAGAGAATCGCACAAACCTGTAGTGAAAACAAATTTAACCGCAGCACTTAAATCAATGCCTTTTAAATCAGATTTGCGTGACGAGCTTACATCAGTTATCCCCGCATTCCATTACAGTCGTCATGTTGATAAGAAAGCGTTTAATTGCTCCTGTCTTCCTGGCTCTTGCCAACTTATTGCTAACTTGCCTATCGATAGATCTTGATTGCCATAAAGAACAGAAGTTTTCCAAGGTTGCCCAAGGTATATATGTTACATTTTGTTTAAAAATTGATTCTACGTAACGATTGCGCACTAAGTAATTTATTGACAAACATAGGAAAACATGTTGTAAATTTTTAAACTTACTGATGATTTAAACTATTTTATAAGATTGTATTATTGTAAATGTGTTCATATATTTATTATTTGATAGTTTGTGTGATGCTGTGTACTCAGTTTTTACCATTAACTATGATTTTACTAATAAAGATGCTGATGATGATGAATCAAGGGTCGGACGTTTCCATCAAGAAAAAATCTTTTTCAGAACTCATTACTCATTAGTGATCATTGTAGTGTACGATTAATACCTAATACATAAGTAACCTAAGTTTAATCCGATACTATTGCCTTTCCTTGTGAATGACAAACATTGTTGCTAAATATTTAAAAACACCGACTTTCAATTTGAATACCCGTCCTGGAGAAAAATGCGCGTTCACAAAATAAGTTTCACGCGGGAAAAAGAATGACTTGAAGGGAAACACGCCCGATAAAAGTGTCTCAATAAAATTCTTATCAGGAGATAGATAATTTGGCGGTTTTTAATCTTAGAGGCCGGCGGCTTTAATGTTTTTGTATTTTTATTTACAACCAAAGCGTTATGATTAATAATTAATATAACGGCCTGTTAGTAAACGCTTATGAGCCGCCCAGATTAACTGCAGATTTAGCTAACGAAAATAAGTCGAGAGCCGTGTTTAGGTCTAGAGCCTAGTCTGGGCACCCTTAAGTCGGCCAAAAAATATTAAAATCTATAGGCCAATTTAACCTTGGCATAGCATAGTTGTGTTCAGCACGAAAATCTAAACATAAATATCTTACGGACACTGAATATCGTAATCAACTTTACAGCAAACTTGTAGTTTACATGCAACCTAAGGCTAAGTCGCTAATTCAACTTACATATGTTTTTTCCTTCCCTTTTCCGCAGACGGACTGCCAGATATAAATGCACTTAAAGTGTTGGCATCGCCTAACGTGGGACTTTGCTCAATGCAGTGCTTAGGACACCAGGGTTGCCAATCTGTCGTGTTTCTAACGTCGAAGTCAGAAGGGAACTGCTTGCTCAGCAATGAGGTGAATGGCGCCAAATCAGCAGACAGCACGTCGGTCACTCTTATCAAGACAATCCGCGTAGCAACGGTAATGAACTGAGGGCTAGGTCAAACGTCGCTCTTCTCATGCATCGCACCTAATGCAAATGAGCTCAAACATGAAAAGAGTGATGGGCTCTTTAAATATTTAGGCTCGGTACATGAAAAGAGTGATGTTTGACCTACTAGGCGTAAGGCCTAGTTTATACGTCGCATTTTGGTCGCTTCAAATGCAATTGAAACCGTAGCTAATGACTGACTTCTGGCGAAACCGGGCCTATATAAGAGTAAAAGTTTCGAGGGTTCGTTGTAGTACGATAAACCGGTTGTGCCAACAGCGGACAATAATTTGGAGCGTTCAAAAACTGTCAATCTTTGTGTGCGACCGACAGTGGAGTGTTTCACTGAGAATTCTCTCTTTTTTGTAACAGGTATGTTTGACAAATGTGTGTGAGCATGGCTCCACGTGCACAGACACGTGCACTCCGCCGTACTACTTTTGCAAGTGTTTACCATCGTATTTCCATGGAGATCGATGCGAAATAAACACAAGTAGGTAAAACTAGCATGGATTACAAACATGTCGACACTAAATTGCTATACTGGGGTTATACGGGGGGTTTCACGGGGGGGGGGCTGCACAGGGTGTTACACGGGATGTGATCCCCCCCCCGCTCTTAAATAATTAACTTTAATTAACATTGCTCGAAAACTCGTGGGGTTGTTAACTATAAAGAATGATACACGAGAATGAACCTGCCCTGATTTTCATTTCTTTAGAATGCGAGAAGACCGTGCCTTGCCGAAACTCAGGAACATGCTCCCCGAATGCAGCGGCACCGTTTTATACTTGTTCCTGCCCATATCCATTCACTGGCACTAATTGTGAGACGAACATCAGTAAGTATAGAAATTGTCTTCATTTTTTAAAGTGCGCGGCTAGGACTGTTTGAACAGTCATTTTCAAATAATTTCCTAAAAAGGATTGCGGTCAGTTTTATTTGGGTTTCAACCCACGGCTGTAAAGAATGTTCCTAGAGAAGAGGCTTCCTAAGTTTTCTCCCGATCCCCCTTACAAATTTCTTTGAAAGGTCGCGCCAGATGTTACATTCAATCGCTGAGTATTTTTGATCAATGCATTTTTTATTTTCCACTCTAGGATGTCACAATAACCCATGTCATAATGGAGGCCATTGTAACACCCAATCCCATTCTCCATATTATAACTGCGGGTGTCCATGGCCGTTCGCGGGAAGTACATGTGCATCAAACACACGTAGGTCTTCTGGGTCTGTTATTCACAGCCCGATTAGCGCTTACCCTATAGGGTAACATTTTAACCTGATGTCTTTTGCCATGCATCTATGTATTTATGGATGGCAGTGTGTCGTTTGGGGACCTGAACTTGGAAAGATTTTAGAAACAACCTTCCAAGACACGCCGAATAACTTTTGGTAAACCAGTGCGCCGGTATATAATCTGACCACCTGGAAGAAAGTTCGCTATATCTTTGAAGGTTTAGCGTGAAACAGAAAAGTCAGTTGTTCAATAGTAGAAATGCCGGATCTCACTAGCAAAAATATAAATCCGTGCTAAGAAATTCCAGTCGAATAGATAGCCTTAGCCCTTAGCTCCTTTGCGAAATAGTAAAATAATGATAAAAAATATCAAGAGCCATGGTAATTACATAATAGCTTGGGATCCCTTTTGCTACCATGACTTGTCCTAAAACAACCTAAACATTTCAGTATTGAGAGTGCAGAATCGTAGACAGAAGCAGCCCTCTTCACAGTATGGATACCGTCCTGCATGGCATGAAAGTTATCTAATAGATTTATGTCATTTATCTTACCAGGATGCAACGGCAATCCCTGTCAACATGGTGGGACATGCCATACACAAAGCGGCCATCCATTTTTCCATTGTCATTGTACTACTGGTCGCTGGGGAGACCACTGTGAAAAAAGTATGAGCGACATGCATCTGCATGAGTTTCTATCATGAGTTTCTACCTATCATTAATCCCTGCAGGTATTTCATACCAATAACCAACTAAATGAATTCACTTTTTAGATCTATTAAGTTGGTAAAGCAATGGGAATTTGACAAGTTTCAAGGAACACTCAAGAGACATTTCAGTTGCAGAGCATGATTTGCTGTACGATAGAACACTGTACGATATTTAAAATAATTAACAGTTATTCTGCGAACTCGAGTCGTATATGAGCTGATAGCCAAGTTGGCTATCGGCCATATACGACGAGAGTGAGCAGAATAACTGTTTTATGATATACACAAACTTTGTCGCCCTTTCGGTGCATTTCAGTTGGTGTGCTATTATCAACTAAAGCTTGGATTTCTATTTCACTCAACTCCCCAAATCTTTCAGCCATTTTGTTTACTTTCTCTACTAGACAGATATTAGATAATATCTGTCTAGTAGCCAACCAATGAAATTGCAGCATACCTCATATCTGGCGCTTGTGTATATAATAATATTATATAGTTGATGTGATATGTGTTATCATCTGCTACTCACGAACTTCGCCTCAAATTGCTGTCACTACAACACTGCTGTCTTTTCTAATATTTTAGTTTAGCTGTTTGAAACATTACGACTCACCAGCACCAGAAAAGTAATTATCATTATATTAATTTACTGAGCACAAGTGAACGCATTCACACACATTCGAATATAAACTAGTATGTCGTATGCACAATGCATGTTGTTAAATAAGTAAGTTGATTGACTTTTTGCTACGGTATACCACTTTGACACTTTGTTGACTTGTTCAATAAATAATACGGAATTGTTTAGCTTTAAACGGAATTAATTTTGAATAGAGAGGTTAATATACCCCAGTTCTGGTCCACGGGTATGGGTGGAATTTGAATTTCTTGTATACCTTTTTAAGATGCAAACGCTTGCCTTCAGAGGAAAAGGGATTGTAAGGGTCAATTCTAAAAGACTAAAAAACGAAGATGTCGTGACGAGCGAGATATGGCGTGTAAACGAAGAGTGAATTAATTTAAAATATCATTTATTAAAATATTATTCCTATCGATAGAATGGAAGAACAAATAGCCCAGTGACAAAACCCCGGTAGTGTCTGGGGTACTTTTGCCCGGTAACAACAAAAGTAAAAATGGCGGACAACCCAGGGAGTTTAAAGAATCTTCTGTCAAATCTTTCCACTCTAAAATGGATTGTTATTATTATCATAGTGATTGTTCTTGCTAAAAAGTTTACAGCGACAAGACGTCGTCGATATAAGAAAAAACTAAGTGGTAAAGTTGTTGTAATTACCGGATCAAATTCAGGTATAGGCTATGCAACAGCTATCGATTTCGCGAACAGAAATGCCAAGGTTATATTGGCTTGTAGAGACAAGACGAGAGGACAAAAAGCAGCGATGAGGATACAGAAAATATCTGGGAATAAAAATGTAGTTTTTAGGCATTTGGATCTTGCATCTTTGGGTTCCGTAAGGGAATTTTGTCGAGCCATTTTGACAAACGAATCGAGACTAGATGTTCTCATTAATAATGCGGGTGTGATGGCATGTCCTTTACAAAGAACAGAAGACGGGTGTGAAATGCAATTGGCCGTAAATTATTTAGGGCATTTCCTACTTACAAATCTCTTGGTGAAACTCCTCCAGAAGTCACAGGGAAAAATAATCAACGTGACATCGTATTTACACAAATTAGGGCAGATCAATTTTGATGATTTGTACAGCATCAAAAGTTACGACCCTTGGAAAGCTTACTACCAAAGCAAGTTGGCCGTGGTGTTATTCACTCAAGAACTGAGCAGGCGATTGGTCGATTCAAAAGTAGTGGTGAACGCAGTGCATCCTGGGACGGTCGCAACAAACCATTACCGGAATACCATCTTCAGATTTCCCGGCATGTGGTACCTCATGTCGCCTGTAACGTGGCTCATGTGGAAATCTGCGGAAGATGCGGCAACGTCGATCGTCTACCTAGCCGTGGCGGATACTGTTGCAGAGAAGACTGGGGCGTACTTCTCAAACTACAACGTTCAACATCTTGAGCCACACGCACGTGATGCGGGCGTGGCAAAAAAGTTGTGGGACAAAAGTGTAGATTTAGTTGGTCTTAAAGACCCTAAGATTTAATTAATTGTATTATATGGGCCTATTTATTACAGAAGTATTTATCAAGAGTATTCTCGTATATTTATTGTTGGATAGAATTATTAATAAAAGTGCCACCGAATAAAAAAATACTGTTCAAACAAATGGCCGTTTGTTGTTTAGATTTTAGATTGTTTAGATTTTGCGATTCAACCTGAATGTCCCAAATGAAAATCACTTGAGATAGAAAGAATGATATTTGCTGACAGACCGGCAAACTCATGCGTGAACTTTAAATTGAGATATATATCATCGTGCTCGTATTTGACAGATAAAATATGGTGGTTTGTCCATTTGGTGCTTTTGCTCCATACAAAAAATAATTGGACTTGCTGAATTCTATCCCCAGACTAATTGCGTCCGGTGACAAGAGTGGCTTCCCGTGTTGATTAATTCACCTCTGCATATCAGGTACTATCGGACATGCGATATTGCTTTGGGCACGTGAGTCGATCGCCCTGCAGAGTTGCAAATCGCAGCGGTGGCAAGCAGCATACGGCGTGCTCAAACAAACATATAAATTACTTTGACATTCTACACAGCAACCAAACATCATCTGATTGCCTCGGAGCTCAAGCAACTTTTCGTCCAATCGTATATAATCTCATAATCAGTCTACTGTCTGTTAGGTAGACTACAAAAACAAGGGAAAATTTTAAAACACGTCGATCAAATAAGAACTAGTTGTTTGACCGCGCAGCGCGATATGTTGAAGAACAACGTGTTGATCTTTGCCGAGAATGTGGTGTTTCCCAAGGGGGAGATTCGAGAAGGACCGTTTTATGTGGTTGTTAAGCAGGGAATGATTACAAAGATCTCGAAAGCTGAGTCAACGTTCAGTTCTGTAGCTCCGTGTGATCGATGCGACGCAGTCACCTGTCATCTGCTCGCTCCTGGTTTCGTTGATATTCATAACCATGGTTTAGGTAAGTGGCTTTCCTGTCTTACAATAAGACGTGGAGATCAAATGTAGGTTGTATTCACAAGCAGCTGCTGTTCGTTTACATCTGCCGGAAAAGATTACTAGGTACATATCATCGACTCTTTCGGGCAAAGAGCGTAACCTTGATCGGCCCTTCTGAGTTTAAACTGTGGTTCCGGCAAAATCACGACAGATTTTGTGGTAAAACTAATGCCTGACTTAATTTTTATTGAATTTTGACTATGAGCACGTCTTCGTTAGATTGTTAAATGAAACCTAGGCAGATGATAAACACGAACCGTGTTATACAAAATGCATTGCATGCTACTGTAAATGAGAATTTGTAATCAGAAATATGGTTCTAGATGACATTAAACTCAGAAAGTCAATGCCGGTTGTAAAGAGGTTGCCAATGACACCAAAACCTAGACACATCACTTCTGCGATTGGCTTCAGATATGTGTTAACTGCATTGTTGATATGATTGGGTATACAATGTGTCAAGAGTACCGAGTCACGTTGAATTTCAGTCCGACAAAAAAGCTGGTATTATCGTCAGCATATCGGACTCTGACATCTTTCTTGAACATTCGCTGTGCATTCGCTGTGCATGTGAAAAAACATATTTCGCATGTGGGGATTCGCGCAATCCAATCTTTTTGTAAACAAACCAAGAAGAGAGAATGGTGTATAAGACCTTTGACCTAAAAACTTACAAAGCAGGTTTGCTGGAACAATATTATATTTCAATAATCGCCAATCCATACCAGCTGACAGACAGTACACTGAATTCTTTTTTTATCGGAAATGCGACTCAAAATCTGACTAATCATATGGAAATGGTGAAAACGCACAGAGGAGACTCACCAAAAGCCCGCATTAAAGTGAAAGAACCTAGTACACTAGCAAACTCGATTAAAGCTTACGTCTATTCGGATTAACCGGCCCGGGCAAATCTAATCCACATATTTACCATACGTGGTTATAATTAGCGTTTGCGCCTTAATTCCGCCTTCATTTCAGCCTGCAATCTTCCCATTCGCAGGCTAAAAATCCCGGGATGCCTGCAGGAGGGCGAAAGGATATTCAACCAATTGTACGAATTGCCTTGTTTGTTTCAGGTGGAGGCGAAGACGTACTGGAATACTGGTCGAATCCAGGTAACTAACCCACAGGAAACAACGTTTAAACCTCGATCCTCAATAGTCTATAAGTAGCGAGTGGTCTATAATGTCTGACGCAAAAGTCATACTCTCTAAAGTAGATTACCAACAAAAATCTATATTCAAATCTATAATCTATAATCAAAAACATTATAGACTACACTTGTGCAAAAGCTGTTTCCACTGGTACGACATCATTGCTCGCTAGTGTTGTCTTCCCTGAAGGAAAATACGAGGAAACGATATCGCTGTTGAAAGCCCTTGAAAAAAGAGTAGGATTCAAAGGAATTGGCGCTGTCCTGGAGGGATCATGCTGAGGTAAGTTTGAGGACGAACGAATCGAAGCTCCTTCTAGGCTAGGCTCCCTTTTCAATTTAGCCCATCTTGGTAACCAGAGTGTCGTTGTAGATACGGCAATGAAATAACCTGGGTATGAGTCTGCATCTCAAATCCTCAATATTATTCAATTCATGACAATGGGGAACTGATAGGGTATAAGATTTGTTGTAAAGGTTACAGAAGAATAAAGTTGCGTATAGGGATTAATAAATTTCCCATCCCTAGGGACCACTAGTATGTGACTTCGGTGGACTGCCCAGGAACTCTACAGAGCTGGATGCAACTGGATTTGCCAATCTGTTGGATGCTACTCCGACTGGATTGAAAATGATGACCGTCAGTCCCCATGTGTCGTCCAAATCTAGTTACAATGCAATGAAAATGCTTCATGAGAGGTAAAGAAATTCAAAACTCATGAAAAAATCCGAGGAGCGCAGTGTGTGTCCAGTTTCATACTGAGGTCTGTGACGCATGCAGGCAAGTCAGTGCGTCACGGAACGATTCGTACACGATTCAAACCGATTCTTACACGATTTAATGCTCATTTCAGAGGCATTGTTCCATCACTTGGCCACGACTGTCAGGCGGATGAACAGGAAATATTAGATGCATTATCGGTCAGCAAAACTCAACCGTGTCATATAACACACCTCTATAACGTCTCAAAGTTTCACCACAGGTAAATACAGGTGCAATGGAATCAGTATTATCTCGTCAGCTCTGAGGGGGGATAAGAGGAGATGGAAAACACTGGTTGTCATCAGGGTGGACAGGGCTCTTCTAACGAAAGCGGGGGGTGTCCAAATGAAGAATCGAGTTAGTTGTGGGGAGATCACAGCTTGTAGTTTTGGAAATTCTAGATCTAGATCTGTCTAGAGAAGAGTTTGTTGGTTATTTTTTGACATATTTTGGTATTCTTGAAGAAATCCAGGTTTGGTAAACTTCGGCTTGCTGGACAATTACCCCTTGCTGCCGAAATACGACGATATCGTTGCACCCACTGTGGAATTAATGATTCACGTGTAAGTAGAGGTAAAGTGAAAGTAAAAATGAAGGCAAAATTAAAACGAGCACGTTTCGCGTACACGATGTACATTGCAATTTAGGGGGCCAGAAATGACTGAATTAGGGGGCCGGAAATTAAACGGGGAAATTTCCGTCTGCGAGCAGGCTAATTGCAATTCTATAGACTATACTGTGCAATACGAATTGACAACATACGACGTCATTGAATTACCTGGATTTCCCAAGAGTACAAAGGCGTATGTCTTGGCCACAGGCCCACAGAGACTCATATACTGAATTATGTACTGAGTTTTATTGCTTTACCGTTTAGGCATCCACTTGCTGTGAAGCTTGCACTCAGTAGTCGTAGTTGGGACCAAATAGCGTTTGTTACAGACTGCATTGCACACAGTTCCCAAGCACACAAGACGATCACTTACAACGGACGAGAGAGTAAGCAAAACTGAAATGCTTTGTAGCAAGCCTTGGTATAATAGAGGTAACCTAGGAGCCAGGGCCGTGAGCAATATTATAGGAAGAGTAAGCCGTTCTTTGCAAGGTCGCACAAAATCCTGCCGTATTTTTCAACGAGCATATATTATTTGTAATAATCTTTTTTATCTTAAATTTGCCTTCCAGTACGAATAGACAAGGACAAGAATGTGGTGAAAAGCTGCGATGACAACACCTTGGTTGGAAGCTGTTGCACAATGTTGGATATTTTCAAATCTCTTGTTGACGTATTGAATGTACCAGTTGGGAAAGCCTTTATGATGCTGTCAGAAAATCCAGCCAGGTGACGACAATATCATATTCGTTTTGTTGATCATGTCTTAAATGATATTGGTTTTATCTACAAAACGTCATTGAAGTAAAACGAGGAGAGATTCACATCGAATTGAGTTACCCTATCACGTTTTAGAAATTCAGAAGATATCAATAGTTGATATGTCTGCTGGATGCCTGTTTAACTTCGTTTCTTCTAGGTTCGCTAAATTGAGCAACATTGGGACAATCGAGGTCGGAAAAGATGCGAATTTGAATATGTTTGATCACAATCACAACCTGATGAAGACCTTCGTCCATGGACGAATGGCGTTCCGGACATCACTATGCAGAAAGAAGAGTGTTGTGTCAACTGAGAGTTTTGATGAATCTTTTGGTAATATTTAGAATGGAAACTGATGATTTCAAACTGAAACAAACAAGTATTTCACTGTATCAAATATGTGCGTTGACAAATCGTGTAAATAATTAATTAAACAAAGTGTATATAAAAATGGTCTAAACGTCTTTACTCATTGGGTTTTGTAATGCGAATGCTTGGCTTGGCGAATTATACATGCATGGGAGGTGTACTTTAATGCTATTATTTTACCTTTCAGTTTTGTTTAGCCCAAATAAAATGTTAGTTTATTTTTCTATCTATCGCAACTCTTTTCTCACAAAGTAAATGAAAACGAAATCGACTTTGCCGCATAAACCATCTGCGGAATTAATTGCAGACATGCACGATTCACGTGTACGTTGTGGTAAAAATGATGATAAAAATGGGCGCGTTTTGCGTACATGAAGGTGCTGCCCAGGTTAGTTGCCAATCTATTACTGCCCAAAAATAGACCAACTTTACTCGTAAAGTTTTCCGCATTGAAAAAGTTGTAATGCTAATGTTTACGTTTTGTCTTGTTCAGTTAAATTTACTAGTTAAATTTTATAATTAGTTAAATTGATTGCCCTAGAACAGCACAAAGATTGTTCCTTCACAAAGGACTAATTCACTGCTATTACTGCTAGTTATCTGAATTACAACTATCATAATGTATGTACTGAGATTTGTAAATCTAATCTAAACCCCTCCACCAAGTGTTTTTCACTTTATGTACCACAATATGTACAACAATATCAAAAAATTGAATTTCCATACAACTATGATGTTATCTTCAACTGCTGTTGCTATTGGAGTCTTGCTGAACATGACCATTGCTACCACCATTGTTATCCTCATTGTCATCGGAGGACCCTATCACTAGTCTCTGAATGCCCCTCAAGTTTGCAAAAACTGCAGATTCCGTAGATCTGTTGTTGGTGGAACTAGCCGAGACCCTGTGCGTAGCATCTGACCTTGGGTGGCTGAGCCGCAATCCGGCAACACCTTTCTTCTCTGCATCAAAAACATCCCTTTTGATTCTTCGTTGTCGGCCTGGCTCCGTTTTACGAAATTGCACCATGTTCTCAAAATCAACAAAATACAGGAAGCCAGCAATTGGTAATTCACATGACCTTTTACCATCCCTATGGGCTTTCTCCAGTTCAGCAGAGCAGGATTCCTCGTACTGCCACCACCCATTGCGTCCCTCATAGTACCACTGATACCTCTCTGTGTCCTCAGCAGACTCTTTACATCCCTCATCTTTTGTTTCAAACTGAACAACTTTAGGATTATCAAAATATTTCAAGTCTACATCTTGCCTGCACAGAGCACACCGCCGGCTACGAAATGCTACGCCCTTGATGCACAGAAAGCAGAATATATGTCCACACAGGAGTTTGACTGGCAAAGTACATGTCTGTAAACACACAGGACAATCTGGAATAGTGTCTACTTGATTAGCTTCACCGTGAATATTGTCAGGCTCTGAAAGTATAAATTTTATAAATCACCTGATGCTATAAACCACTATAACTTGACCATTAACATAATTTCACAATAAGTCAATCCATAACGTAACCTAATATTTCATAAATAGCCCCCTTAAAGTCTTAAGTCGAATACATTTTTTTAATAAGAAAATATCTAGTTTAGACGTTACCAGTCTTCTCATTTCCGACTCCATTTGGTTCCTTACTATCTACCCTTCCTCTTTCCTTCGATACTTGCTCAGCCATTCATTTAATTCGCTCAATATTTCAAAAAAAGAAAAGAAAATTTCGCCCTAAAATAGAGTGATTGTGATAACATTTCGTATGTTGATGATTGATAAATAATGCTTCCACTCGCTGGATTCTGAATTTCCCTTTCTCTCAACCCCCCGGGCAGTCGAAAAATGGGCATATTTTTTTAGTGAACACTTGAAAAAATCAGATTTTTAAGCTTTCTTACGGTTGGAATGGCGAGAGGATGTCGAATTTAAGGGGAAAAATATGCCATCACAAATCACAATTTCCCCCTTATGTATTAATGTATTAACTTCACTTAGTTGAGTTCATTCCTGATTCCTTATATAATAATATTTATTCTCTCTCGTAGCCGAAAGACTCCAGAATTTGGGTTATAGATTTTATTGCTATTATCTTGGTTTTAGTAATAATCTATTCTCAAAATCGCCGAAAATTTAGGATTCTTCTGAATTCTACTCAGTCCTCCCCCCTGGCACAGATTTTTGCTGTGGATTTTTTTGAGTTTTGACGGAAATCAATCGCGAGCTATTTTACCAGATAAAGTTGTCTAAAGAAACACAACAACAGATGCACAAAATTATATCGCAGAGTTTCTCGTATTTCAAGCGTAAAAAATGCTCTCGAAGGAGGATTTGAACAGTGAATAGATCGAATTGGACTAAATTATTTGTCAGAAAGACGAAAGGACCGTACAAATCCGACGATGTATTGTTTACAATGGCTGTTACCTTTGTTGCTAATTCCCAAACCAGCGAACCCGTTCTTGTTACAAAACCATTCAATGTTTATGACTTTGTATTTAGCGAGTTTTTTTTTAGAAAGACGGCCTTGTACGATCTGTACGATAGTTTTTGTGGCAGCAATCGCTCTAATGTGCTACAGTGGTTTAGGAAATTGTTTTTTCTTTCTGGACTGCGAGGACGATACGTGAATTATTATTGAAGCAGTTGGGACTTGGGACGTACCCGATGGAAAAATCAGCATTGAACATAATTGATGATATGTATACACAAAACTTAATAGTAGTTTCGAGGATTGGCATCATTTAATGGGATGAATGTGTGAAAAGATCTGCCAATGTAAAGGTTCGTTTTATTGACTACAGATTTGACAATACTGGCTTTTATAATGTGTGGAATTTATATGGACGAACAGGATGTTGACAGTTGACTAGTAAACGTTTGGCTAGACATTTTGTTCTGCCATCTATGGACATTATTATGAGCAATTTCTCATTTCTGTGATGTTGCATGATTCACCAGAACATTGCCAAAATACCAAAGCATGTCATTTGGAAATTGACTGGACAACTCGATCCTGTATGGTGGACAATTTGTGAATACTGAATTTGCCAAATTGGATGGTGAATGTTTCTACCATTCTTAAACCTACTACCGATCATACATTCTGACCACTAAAACTGCAGATGAACAGGAAAGGTGTCTTATTTTAGATGTATTTACAGTCTTGATGATAAATGGTTCATATATAGGACTGCCTGTCACAAGGGACTTGTAAAATAAACATATTCTTTGTAGTTCAAGGTGTAGTTTTGACAACAAAATTATTTTCCAAAGTTTCACTTCATGTCATCTGTGTTATTCTACTCTGCTTCGTTCCCAGATTTGGCTACTCCCCCCTGTCATTAAGTGATGACAATTGTCAGTAATGCTACAGGTGCATTATCAATTTCTTCAGTTTAAAAAAATGAATAACAATTTAAACAGAGCTTACTAATTAGTTATGTAAACGCTCTGCAAGTACAGCATGCTATAAACACAACTATAATTTTATCACAGAAAAAAACCTTTTGAATAATAAAAAATATTCCTTAATAAGGATATACCCCACTGATCCCATATGATCACTGTCTATCTGGCAATTCATTACAAGATACGATAAATCTGTTTACATGAAGTCTTTAATTAGGCGCGCGAAACAATCTTAATCTCAGTTTTCACACAGCTGGAATAACATAGTAACCATGGTACAAGAAAGTTTATTTTGTGAAGTTTTGATGATCAGACTCAGAGTCGATGCGAAAACCTTTTTTTGTCCATTCCGAAGACGAGGAACGTGTTCCTGAATGGAAACAATTTAAATAACCAAAAGTTGAAACAATTTAAGGTTCAAAGTTTTTACGAGAAATGTACACAATGAAAGAACTGTATTATGAAACCATGGATAGTTAAAAGACTTTATTATCCTTGGTGAAACCTAAAACCCTGAAATTAAATCCGTTCGCGTCAGAGCCACGCCACCCACAATAACAAACAATTTAGATAAAACCAGGAAAGCATTAAGCTTCACGACACAGGTGTTTTCATGAGTCAAAACGTTCGGAGAACCGGTTTATGGTCCGATTGAGTGCTTAGACAGGCACATTTTTTCATAGTGGACAGAATAGTCTGGGAGTGCACTGTATACGGACGGAAACGAAGGACTTTGCGCAAACACAAACCCACATGATCGCTTACAAAGCACATCCTGCTGCGAGCTAAAAATTTAGTACTTAAATTCATTGTTCGGGAAGCAACAACGCCTTTCGTGAGACGAGCTAAACACCGCATTATATTTAAATTTGACTGTAAAATTCGACGTTAAAAACTATGGAGAAAGTAAAGAAGAGCTTGCAGAAACTCAAAGACGGGATAGAAGCGGCCGAACAGCGAGAAACAGACGCAAAGAATGCCATTAAGGAGTTAGACGCGAAAGTTGACAAGTTTCACGGTGAGAAGACTACATTGGAAAGTCGAATTAAAGTAGTCCAGGATCAGATTGATAAGATCGAGGCTCGTCTCGAAGAGAGCGAAAAGAAACTTCAAGCAGCCATCGATAGAACCGAACACTCTGAGGTACGTCGAAAGGAATTAGCCGAAACTGAAGTCGATGATTTCGAGCGATCGGAAGAGGTCGAGAATGCCTTAAAGGCGACGGCGATAGCGAAAGAAAGTGCGGGTCAATCCGTTGTTGAATCCAAGCGTAAAGTTGTCGTTTTGACGGGCGATGTGAAGCGAGTGGAGGAGCGATACGAAGTTGCTAAGAATCGCGAAGATGCGCTAACAGAGCAACTGGAGAAGCTCAAAGAGGATATCTTCTTGTTAGAAAACAGCGATCGCGACGCGTCTGACCGCGAGAACGAGAGCGAAGTAAAGATCAAGTTCTTAGAGACGCAACTCGCCGAGACGAAAAGCACCATCGAGTCACACGAGAGGAACGTGAGGAAACAGGAGCGATTGCATGATACACTACGAGATGAAATTGAAACCTGGGAGGGAAAACGCGAAGAGGTTCGTCATGAGATGGAGGAAGTGGCGGGCACACTGCTTGAAGGTGATTTTTGATTTTTGAGTTCATTGAAATATCGCAAGGAATTTTAAAAATTTGAATAGCTGTTGATTCGCGCAAGACCCCAGTTGATAGCGACTCCAGCAGGAGATTTTATTGACAATAATCAAAACTTGGTTTAGCTCATACATGTATTAATATGTAGTTTGTAAAGTTATACAAATTCACCGTAGGAATTTATTCAATTTAGATACTGTATGTAGAATCGTGGAAAATGCTTTATAGATGTTCACACTTTGCTATATCACAGAGTAATACTATGCAATAAAGCGTTTTCTGATATTTAATAGTTAGCCAAGAGATATGTTTATTTCTTTGAATTCAGGCACATTTATATATGATACAATTCAAAAATGTATTTACACGTATTTTTATTTTTGTCTTCTTGGTGAGCAAACGGAAATTTCACAATTGATTTCAAGTGAGTCATATTCTTGTCACTTTGTCATGTCTGTGGTCATTGCCTAAGGTATTAATTCCAATTTAACGCTGATTCAATGCGTAAGGCTCAGGAGGAATCAGGCTCAGGAGTAATCATGAGGAATGCCCCTATTTACAAGGATTACTCTCCTCTGGGTTTTTTTTTTGGCATAACAGCGATCATGATATCATTGATAGGTCGCTATCGGACTACCTTTGAACCAGCAATTACATGCTAATTCCTAAATTTGGCAATTTTCATCTATTCGGTTTGTTTGTACTAGCAATATTGTTCGAGTGGATATATTTTGATTATGTCTCGATGGAATGTCAACTTTGTTTGATATCCTGGGTGCATACCGCAAGAAGGGTTGCGAAATTCCGGAATACATAATATGCCTTTACCTCCCACAAGAATTTGAATGAGGCACATGATGATATTAGACAAGGATTGGTTTGTGGTCTGGATTAGGTGGTTACAACTACGAAAGTTGGCTGGTAGTGGCGAATGAGATTACTGGGATTAGATTTAAGGATTATGCTAACGATTGGGTTTGGTTTTAAAGAGAGAGTGGGTTAAGTAAGGCTGGAGTAATGTCAGGCTTTGATCGGAATTATGGTAAAAATCAGGGGTTGAGTTTCCGATGATTTGGATATGAAAATCGAGTTGAACTAATCATTAATACATACCAGAAATAGATACTAGAAATAGACTCATGCTCATCAGCTTAGAAAGAAAGATACGAGCACTAGAAGAATACCAACATACCGGCCACAACACCCATGCATGTCCTATAAAAAGTTACATCCGAGTTTTTTAAATTCATCTCCTCAGGTGGGCATTACAGCAATTAGGATGTGATGCTTGAACGATTTCTATGCCAACAGAAAGCTACGAGGAAACCAAACGACAGAATCAAAAGTCATGTCCTAAAACAACGACAAACTCTAGTAGAGAATGAACTAATACGAGGCAACTGATATCACTGCAATAGGCTTGACTAATGCCGCTATCCTTGTGCAATTATTTCTCTGGCAGTGGTGTGAAAGACGACTATCGTTTATTAGCTACTGTTGTCGTATAAAATATACTTGATGGCAGAGCGATTTAGTTGCAATTGGGGCCTTTGCGTGAGTGTCCGAGTGTACTGTTATTTAGCCGTGCTGTACAATATTGTAAGTATATAAAATCTCTAGCAAAGTAGTGTTAATCAGGCACCTTTCACTAACAGCTGTCAGAGATATTTTTGTATCTTTTAAATCGGGTTGTTGTATTATTAAAGTCAGCTTATGAATTTTAGTTCATGATAGTGTATGTACCGGAAAGCACTATAATCTCCGCACTTATGTTGACTTTTTTTCTACTAGTCTACTGCCTTTTGCAACCATCTTGTTTAACTTTCCGAATAATTGGTTATCGTAACCAATTGATCGATTATAACTGTTTTGCTTTCAATTCGAAGCTAGCAATTTTAAACTACATAATAGCACTCAGAGTAGCGAGTTGTCGCAGATATTATACGGCGATAAGACTCCTAATAGTTTAATGACAACACCGACTTGCTATTATATGAATACGACCGGTTGTTGCCGGATTCAGAATAGTGAAGGGTACGTTATAGACTGTTACTGAGAACCAGATTTACTTGTTCCCACGGAGTACCGCTCGAAATTGATTTATCAATGAAATGTCACTATACCTGATATACAAATTGGTTGGTAACTAAACATTCAGACTTGCTACAAACTCGATTTGTTCACAGATGCAAATGATTCTTTTCATTATAAAGAAGAAGATTATGGGAAAATTTCACGTCGGTGTTTCACTTTTCACTTATAGTTTTCACTCCATATTTTTCAGTGAAATGCGGTTGTTGTTTTGTTAATTACTCGCTCAGACTTCGTTTATCGATAGATTAAGAGAATAATTATAGTTTCAGTACTGATTTGAATAACATAACTGTATTATTTTGGAGCATTTGTCCGTGACTTCATTGCCGGAAACCTGCTAGAGGTGCAAAAAACTAAAGGTTTTAATTAACCGTCAAAAACAAGAGTCAGGAACGTTATAGCTATTATCTTATACCACCAGCCAAAACCCTTATATACAGTATACTGTTTTAACTCTAAAATATTCATTCATTTAGGCAGTTTTCGCGGCAAATTTTCTCTTATATGTCATTGAAAGATCCTCGTGGCAAAAAGATGCAAATGAAGGTGTATGAAAGTTTCGAAACATTTCTCTTTTAAACCTATATCTTTAGAAACTTAGTCTCCAGGATAAATGTGAGATATTGGTGCAGTCAAAATCGCAGGTCCAAATTTAGGCACGTTTCCCAACTTATGTAAATCAGTGAGACCAGTATAGGTGAAAAACTAAGGCCTGTTTCTTATCAACTCGTGTGATAAGTTCGTTTTTTTCTTCCTAGTTTGGATTCGTTGGCAATGGGTTGACCTATGCATATCGTGTATATCTCTACTGGCTGCCATGCTGTTGTACACCGCTCTTGTTACGGTAAGTGAGCTGAAGTGTACGATGCCATTTTCCAGGACAGTCCAGTTTTGAAGACGGGCGTGGCCGGGGTTCAATTTTAACCGAAGCCCGACTCAGATCAACCAAATTTTCCTACAAAAACTGAGGCCGTATTCGGAAAGAGTGTGCCACAACCAATTTTGTGTCGTATATTCAACGATTGGGTTCCCACACGTAGTATGCTTTTGATTGGCTGAAGATTTGGTGGAAGGGTTGGGGTTATATATATAGGCTTCGAGTTTACATAGAATTATCACCAAGCAATTCAAACAACGACAATGAAAGCAACCGGAACTGTCGTCCGTGAATTAGCCCTTCCTCGTCAGAGTTGCAAAAAAGCTGCGGGTACGCGGGTGACACCCGGAGGAAGGTTTGCTTTGAATGAAGTTTGTGAGGAAGGTTCAAAGTTGAACACTCTAATTGATCACATGCATGTACCAAAAAAACCAAATATTTTGTTATGCTGGTTGCCATTTGACTCAGTGTCATAACGTAATTTTGAGGAAGGTTTTCAAAACTTGAAATCTTACCGGAGGAAGGTTGAACTCTTTTTGCAACTCTGTTCCTCGTGAACTGTCGTCCGTGAATTAGTCCTTCCTCGTGAACTGTCGTCCGTGAATTAGCCCTTCCTGCACGAGCCTGCCTACCATCATCCCTTAACTCATCTTCACAATCTTTCCAGAGTCGATTATTGTCGTTTGACTCGTTTTGTATTCTGCATGATATATAGCTCCCGGCAATGATATTACTGTCGTCACTGATCAAATTTTGAGGCTATTTTTTATGTTTAGAGCAAGCACAGAATTCTTCTGGTTTTTCTCATCTGGACTGTGATATGCATTATACTGAGTATTATTGTCGTGGGCTTTGGGTTTCGCGAGGTAGGATTGTCTTATCATGAAAAGTATCATTTGACAAACATGTTCGTGTGAATCTTCATTACCTGTGTCTCCCCTGCGTGACTCTTATTGATCGAAGATGCCAATTTTCACATCAGAAATATATGTGAACGCGCTGGTTGAATTTATGTATATCATATGTACTTCATGAGCAAATATATCTTCTTTATTGAGCGGATATTAAGTTAATGTTGATCAGTTGCTTTTAATTGTTGTCTAATATGTTATCCTTGCTGTATAATTGAATTCATCACCCAGTTGTTTATTTCAGCTTAGTCGGGGACCAATTCTAGCAAGGTGTCTGGGAATCGTGGTCTCGGTATGAAATTGACATTTTTTAAAGTCGGATGAGAAACATTTTAAGAGAAATGCAGTTCAAAGAACAAATTATTTTAAACTTTTCTATAGGCGTTCTTCGCTAACGCTGTATTTTCCCATTACCTGAAGTTGAAAAACGCTGAAACAGCAGCATCCCGGGCAAGCTCACGTAGACAGGTAAACTGACGATTCACGTTGAATTACAGTACAATACAAAATATATACAGTACAGGGGCCGGTTGTATCAAGCCCGTTTATAGCTTGAACGGTGGATAAGTCAAAATTAAATAACACTCGTACATCTCTCTTGAATGAGTCAACTTGAATATTATGCACTGAGTAAACAGTAACTTTGTATTAATAAAAACATTTAGTTTGCTTCTTGAATAAAACGATAGACTTGCTTTCTATTTTGAACTTATCCACCGTTTAAGCTAATGGGCTTGATACATCCGGCCCCAGTACACTATACGGGCATTGGGTTAAAAAGTAAATATAAAGTGAAGGCCTTCCTCTTTAACCAAAGGTAAAAATCTATTTATTGCTGCTTATAGTCATATACGTTGGAGCCAATTTCATCAGATTACTCTTCATCAGACCTGTGCAATGGAGGTTTTCATACGGACGAGGAAATGATAGAGATCGATGCGCCTTGTACCAATGTAAGAACCGTTCGTTTATGGTACGAGAACACGAAGATGTGAGAGGTCGTGATGACAGAAAAAAATGGAGATTTTAAAGGAATATACACAGGTTGCATAAAAAATGGGATAATGCAACTTCAACCAGCTGTTGTGAATAAGATATTCCGTTTAACGATTTATATTTTACACCAAAAGAAAAAGCAAGTTTTTAGCTTTCTAAGGATATCCTTTTTATGTCATAACAACTAGAACTTGCGAAATAATTTCCAAGTAAAAACCATCGCTTTAATTCTTATTCTTTCACTGCAGGGAATTGACAGAGGCTCCATATTCTCTGGCTATGTTTTTTATGCGTTTTGGGGTCATTTGGAAAAAATTATCAGTTGTACAACCACCAATACTTTCACTCATTCTTTTGCTTCTGCGAAATAATAATGGTGTGATTGAAAGCCAAATAATTGCTCTTTCTCCCTGCCGGCCAGATATTATGCCTGTCATCCTTTTGAAGTTGAATTATACCTTTTTCCTTATACACCCTGTTCAGAATGCTTTGTATTAGTTACAGAATTTGCACTGTAAATTTTCAGGTTGTTTGACGTGTCGGTCTGACATTTAATATGATTAAGAGGCTGGCTTGTTGTATATATAAATCACGTTTGATCGTCGTTCAAACAAATTTGTGTAGTATATATATTTATATGTAAATTGATTTAAATCAGTGATCATTTTATTGAACCACCTAACTTCAAAACCACTGGTAAAATGTGGTTGTATAAGACGTATCCTTTACAACGACCTGCTGTCACGAAAAAAAGTTAAGCTGCATGTAGTAGTATAGCTGTAGAACTGACGTTCATGCATGCAGTCGGTGCAGATCGACATGATCGATCATTGACTGCCAGCCAAACAAACTGGCTGCATGTTCGTATGGGGGAAGATTGTTCCGGTTATAGCGAGAAAACGTTATAGCCGATTAGCCGAATCCAATAGCCGATTAGCCGAATAAGTTGTTTTTCAAAATAAAGAAACGTTTTTCCGCTTAGCGCGTGTTTAGTTTCCGCATATATGTTTCAATTCAGTCTCTGGTGAGATGATTCTACGACCCGGCCGGCAGCGTAAAAACTAAAAACCGACTCAAACTGTTGCTAAGTGGCATCCAAATATTGTCTTTTAATGGTTATTTATAATGGGCACAACGACCGTCAAGAGGAACAACACTTGCAAGAGGAACAACACCCACACATAACGGCGGATTGTTAACATAAAAATATACACAACTTGGTTATGTTATTTTGCTACTTATTTTATATGGTGTAAACGGATGTCGCTTATAAAATGATGTATATTTGATATTTAAATGAACCCGTTGGAGTGAATTCTACTGTGTTGATATTTTTATAAGAAAAAACGTATAACATCGGCTAAGTATAAATGTGTGTAAATGGATCGGGTAACGGGAGAGATCAAAATGTAACAGGTTGATTTGAGATTATAATCGCTGAAACAAAAGAAGAAAGTGTGCTTTAAAATAACCCCCACTATAAATACGGCATCGGTGAAGTAGCAATCTATTTATTTACATTTGCCACATTAATATTACAATACACAAAAAAACCGAAAAACAAATACACAATACATGCAATGATGATGGCTGGGGAGCCACAACAGAGTTAGCCAATTACTCACGGTGGTCCCGCACAAACGGACGGACTGATTAATTGGTAAATTAATGTGAACTATATTTGAAAGAAGTTAAAAAAGCAACATGTATGATGTAGGTGCTGTTGAGATATTACCTGCAGTGTTGCATTTCAAAAAGATACTCTTCCATGTGCGTGGGTTTTCAGGTTCGTAAGTGTTTTGGAGCGTTGTCACGTAGTATTTGCATTGTTGATCCCCTCCCATAAGAAGAAGATTGGATTGTTTTTTTAGTGAGACACTTTAAAAAGTTACGACTTCTGGCATTCGCCAAATGTAACTGATTGTGACGAAATCTACGATGCGGACGTGACAGTCTGTCGTTAGTGATATATGAATCTCAAGCTTGCTAATTATAATCTCAGTATAATGGTGGAAAAACAGACTAAAGCTCGAATATAAGTTCCAATATAACCAGGGAGCGGCGCGGCAGCGTCTTTAAACAACTTAGCATCAAATGTACAACAACTGCCTAAAATAGAGAAGTGTTTTGTCTATTTTAGGCCGTTGTTATACCACATTTGATGCTAAAACTCGTATAATATTCGCTTTCCAATTATAGGGTTCGAGCAAGTCTTATTTAGACATCGACATCGTTTTTAGATTTGGTTTATAGATTTAGTTTATATTATAGCACGTGAATTATGTAAGCATTCTTCTTCCGCGTTGAGTTTAGGCCGGACCGCGGCATAACACAAGAAGTCAATTATGCCTTCAGGCTTTTATTCCCATCACTATGACCAAACTCTTTATTTTAAACTCAAGCGGCTGAATCTTCAGAGACCTTAATAAACTGTTATCTTGACTGGCCTAAAGACTATATACGATATGTCATGATTTGTCATCACAACCAAATAAAGCGCTGGTTGAAAATGCTCTCCTTTAGTTATTGATTAAACAATCTTCAAATGCATTCTCGATCATTTGCTGATTTAGTTTTGTTTGCAGACGACGAGATATGGAGAGACTTAATACGATCTCTTACTTAGAAGGGCTTCTTTATGAAACAAATTCCATATAAACAAAAGTTAACATGAAACTATTCACAATACTTAAAAAAACCCGACTATTCGGAGTCGGCCTTTGATTCTGGGACGTGAGAACCCTCGCGTCTCTTTGCATGAGCTAGCCGCCAAGCATTAGCCAATCAAACAACGACAACTAAGTCGCAGGAGATTAATTTAAGGTGAATACAAGGAATTTTTTCGAGCGTGTAATTACGGCAATTATATAACAAGTACCACGCTATCTATATATACGTGCAGAGCCTCCTCTGATGAGCGCAGTTGAGACATCATCTTATACTGGTCAAGAGCTCTCTGAGTTTAATCGGAAAATTTTTGGTGAAACACAAAATGGCTGGAAAGTTTCTGCAAATCTGGTCCCTAAGGAGTGTATCGAAAACGATGGCCTTTTTGATAATTGTAAGTAACTCATTAACTTATTAGAAATTTGATATTCTATCGTCATCATAACACGCAAAAAAACCCTGGAGTGTATCCGAATTGATCACAAAATGGTATAGCATAGTCTATGGTTAGGATTTTGGTAGGAAGTTCCAGGTCAAACGCTGGCGTTGCGAGAGGAATAAAAGCAATGTATACAGACCTTCCATTGATAGGCAGGCTAACTTTAACTCTGTGTTTTCATTCCTAACTATACTTTTCGAACGAAAACTGCTTACAGTTTTTACTATATTAAGTTTTCTGATAGCGATGGGGCTGATACAACTAGACTTCGGGGAAACAAACAAATCATATTACTCTTGCGACCTATACAGTCATCATCAATTTGCGTTAGAGCTAAGCTTTTTGATGAAGACAAAACTCGTGTAGGGACGTCAAATCCTTAGCAGTGTACTGAAGTAGCAAAAAATGCTTTTACAAAATAATTTTGATAAAAATTAGGCTTGAATATCGTGAATTTGACCCTATTTGTTTTCTAAACATATAGTGTTGTTTTCAAAACGATATCCGGTAAGATCAGATTGCATGACATGTACACTGATATTGGCACCAGCGCATTTGAAGCTTTCTAAACATAGGCACACGGTTTGAAGTTAAAATTTAACTTGGTCATCCGGTAACAGCGAAGCAGAATATAGCACACCTTGACAGTACGACTAAATTAGGAGAACCTTTGTGTTGGACCGTAAGATTAGTTGAGAATAGAAGGACTCTTCGGAGGGAAATGTGAACAGTTTAAAGGAAAGGAATGTAGAGATGGCTCGGAATACGTGCACGCACGTCTTCAGATCGATGAAAATATGAAATGGTGTTCCGTCCAAGCCGGATCAAGCGCATTGCATATCTGCTACTATCCGTGGGTGGCTAGCTATGGGTGCTTTCCGGCCAAAATGGTCAGACCAGTCATATTTTAAATTGAAATAGTGTATTTCGTTAAGAATATAGCGGTGAAACTGGTTTTACCATGCTAGGCAGATGTAAATAACGATATACTTGAATGCAGAGTTCTTGAAACACTCTAAAATACCAGTAATCTGTCTGTACCAAAATACAACAGGGCCGGTCTGGCCGTTTTTTCCGTATAAAGAAAAGCGCGGAAATGTGAGGGCGAGGGAAGAAATGTGGAGCTCAGTATTCTTGAAATATGTGCACGTCTTCAGGTGAAACATCTCCTTTGACAATGAATATTTCTGTGATTTGCGAAGTGAAGCAGTATCACAGACCGAGTCGGATAAAACATGCGATTGCACAAAGAATGTCCTAGGCCTTTAAAAAAAAACATTGAAACTTCCTTCTGAGGTGCTTTTTTGTACTTTTTTCATAAAATAAGAGAGTTAATGATACGAAAAGCCAAAACAAAATATGAAACGAAACGAACTACACGCCAGCGAAAGCAGAGGCGATCATGATCACGTCATTAATCGCGTCCAACAATTCGATGCGGAAAGTGGGTTCATCGTCCATCAGGCGACGGCAAGTCGCATTCCATGCACAACACACGCAAACCTCGAAAACTTTACGCCCTTATTTTCCATATCTCATTATCCTCCATACAAATGCAAACTACACTTCATGCACGCCATCACGCAAGCTACGCGCTCTATCGCTAGTTCAACAGATTTTCAGTAGATTCCAGATTCCAAATTCTAGTTCAACGATTAATTTCAAACACATCAAAATTGCGTCTCTTTATACAACCGGTCTTACAATTCCTGTTTCAAAATTGTACTGTGGTTCAAAGCATTGGATGGAATAAGATAGTGAATGCCTCGGCCATGTGTGTTTCACGACCTGTCCACGTGCAAGTAGTCGCCATAGCAAACTACTGATTATGGCAGGCAGTTATATAATTTTATAAGAGGATGAGAATGAACAAGGAAAAGGAAACTAGCAGAGCCAATACCCACGGTCTGAGCGGTTAGTTTCTTAGGGTATACCGGCAGTATAGGTATAATTAGTCGTGATTTAATATGGCCCTGATTCAAAACACACAATTTTGACTTTGGCGTTCCTCGTTCCTGAAATTTGTGGCCGATGGTTTAAGTAGATTATCATAAACGTGCACAAAACGGCTCTTGTAGTAACAAACGTAAAACAGCCAGCCAAAAATTTCTTTGTATATTTTCGGGGGAAGATAAAATTAGGATTCCAATACACTGACGTGTGCGTCACTTTGTCGCGCAAGGGAACTTCAAGGAAATAAACGAACTTTCGAATTGAATTGAGTTCCGAGGAAATCATCCAAGGACAAAGCTTTTTTAAAAACACGCACAATATCGTGGCAAACTAATAATCTCAACACGATTACGAACACCGTCAATAACAGCAGGGTTGTTATGAAGATATAAGTAGGTAGGGTCAAGTACAGTCATTTAATATCCTATTTGGCTAGAAAAACTCCTTTCATGCCATTAACCTAAGTTCAGGATTCAATTCTATGCGACGAATCAGTGAAATCTATTAGGGGCCATCACGACTGTAATCTTAAAAGCTATATAGTCTCTTTTCTTCAATAACCAATTTACTGATCTGGAGGATGATTGGATGAAATATTTATATTTAATATTGAATGAAGTATCTCTATTTATAATTTTAGTAAAATATTTTTAAAGATTACTAATATCTACGAATACACATTACTGATTCATGGAGTAAAAAGTTATATAACAGACTATCGACTAACCCAATCATTTAATAATTACATCATATGCTTTCGATACTTTTGAGCAAAAACTTAGCTAAATATTCCTGTTGATTCATAAACTGCATTTAAGAATATTCTCTTATTGTTGGATTTGGACAGTTGGAGATACCTATAATATATTAATTGTTTCAAATAGGCGTAGGGATTTATTTCTAATCAATTAAACATTCTCTCATCTTTCCAGGTTGCGCTTGCTGTGGCAATCTACGCCACAAGAGGGATGCCAGAAAATTTCGAAGAGAGTGAAGGTATTTTATACTAAGATTTATTGGAAGAGATATAACTATAGTATATACAGCAATTCCATTGAGTGCCAATGATTGTTCAAGAAGCTCTCACATGATTACCGGGACAAATATGCACGTCTAGCCTTCAAAGAAATGAATGAAAAGCCTTATTCCTGTTCGCCGGTTCCTCTGTTGTCTCAGGCAATGGTTATATAAAGGCATGCAGCTAGGTTTAAAGAGATTTTTGATAGCTCCGATATGATTTCTGGTGTGACAATCACTCATTTATATAATGCAAGACAACCGCTCCAGTCAGTTCAATCATGTCCAGCCGGACCAGCCCAAACTCAGACGTCTAACTCAGACTAACCCAGATTAAAAACAAAATCTCTCCAGAAGTATTTCTACCGTTGAACGTAACTTATGATAACAAAATAACAAACTGACAGAGCTTCCGATACCGCCATCATTCAGGAACCGAAGCACTCGTAAAATTGCACTGGAGGGGTCTAATCTGGCAATATTCCCACCAGACAGTTTTAATAGCACTTGAAAATATCTATATACTATTACTGGACCAATATACAGTTACATAAAAATTATTGATTTATCTCTTATATTTAGAATGGAAATTTTGGAGAAATCTCGACTTTTCTGTGTGTGTGGTATCACTGGCCTTTGCCAGTGTATTGCTGTATGGGTCAATTACGGTTAGTTCATCAACGAGTTTAACAGATCTATTTAGGATTAACTGGAGTCTGTGAAGAGTATATAGGGATTACAAAGTTTTTGGTTTCCTGAACGGAAAATACATTGTTATTTTTGGTATATTGTTGATTTAATACTGAATTCACTTTTGCAGGAATTCAGAATGTTCATCTTATCCTGGATGATTTGGAATGTCGTGTTGTTAATATTTTGGAATGTTTTTCTGATCCTGAAGCATAATGAGGTAAGTTAAATGGTTACATATACATCAGCAAAAATGCATGAACGAATATAAAGTATAAAGCGTAGGTTCCGGCATCTGCACACTACTTCTCCAATCTCCATGGCCAGTCAAAATGTACCTCCCATGAATCATTCAGATTTAATATACAAAGAACTGCCATTAACTTGCGACACGAGAATTGAAAGAAACAAATTTGTATTCGATGATTACATTTCGTAATTTGGGCGGTTTTATTATTTGTTTTCCTGTTGCAAACAATAAACGCTTATAATGTTCCTATATTACTCATAAAATACTCGATCAATATCGAATCGTTAATACTAGGGCCATTAAAATAAACATTAAGTGTCGTTAATTTTTAATATGGAGTCATAGACTGTAGTTTGGGGAGCATTCGTGCTTGCTGTACTGATAGCGGTGTAAATTTTCATAGGATGTACATTTTCAATAGGAACGCATTCAGCATTTAATGATTTTTATCCTGTTATTTTCAACTTATTGACGTGATGTTTCTGGTCGTGTCGCTTTGAAACTTTATAGCTCCTCATCAGGAGTCATTAAACGGGCTATTTAATCCTTCATTATTTCATATTATGGCCGTATGCATGCATCCCGAGTGCTTGTGCACGTGTTACGTGTTTGATGGGCCATGCAAACCCACTGGCTGGACTATAACCTGTCTTTCTCCTCCGCAGAGGCTTCGAATTCAGCAGCAGCGGTCATCTTTAAAAATCTAGCGCATTTGCATTCGAAGCCTTTGCGGAGGAGAGAGCTAACCTGTTCAAATGGCACAACCGCTGAGTTGACCGGAAAACGTCCTCGCTATATGTTACTTGATCAAAAAACAAAGTGCCATTTGCAAAGGCTCTTTAATAACATGAAAGAGCTCATTCTCACACGCATTGTTGATCCAACTTTACAATGTGTCTCTTCTTTTTACTTTCCAGCTCGTGGAATGGGAAAGAACCTTCAGAATTGTGGCAATCGCTTTAATCGTAAGTTATATTTAAATGCAGATATAACAGTACGCAGGAATGCAGCCACATGAGCCACTTACAGCTTAGAGAAGATTTAGTAAATATATAATCAGGGATGACAAGCGAACAATCCCCGCACTTTCCACTCAACTAAAGACCTTGAATGACTTTGTGCGAACGATCTTTCATGTTTATTGATCGAGTATTTCATGTTTCGTTAATTACAGGCATTTGCAGAGATCCCAGTTTTCAAATATTTTCGGTTTCTGGGAATTAAAGATGAGGATCCTAAATCCGGCAACACATGGCTTGAAACCCAATCCGACAAGGTAGGCGAAACTGTAGGCCCAGAGAATTCGAAAAAAGGACGTTTAATTTGCGTCATGCAAATAATACTAAGGCTTCAGGTCATTTGACGGTTCATTCATTATGACTGGATAAGGAGAGATATAATTTACCTAAACTTAACTTACATTTTTTATACACACCTGAGTGTTCGTACTCGATGCCGGTTGCAATAATTGTAAAATCTATTCTGTGGCAATTTGAATAGCTTTATAACATATCTTGAAATGATTTAACAACTCCTAAATAAAATGTTCTTTTAGTCAATGTGTTTTGAATAACTTGCCATAAACGTGCATCGTTACCAACCCTGGGTATACGAGGTTGCATCGGTGTACATTTATCATCCTCATTTTCTGACATATTTTTTCTTAAATGCGAAGGTGTACAAGTCTCTTAGCGAGAATTCATCATTTTCCTCGGCTGACTCAAGGTTTGCGGGAGTGAAGGCGAGCGGGAAGATGAACCAAGGTTTTCAGTCGGATTCACCGAGGAGCTCTGTAATTTCCGTTGCATCCGAGGAGACAGAGAGGAAAAGTGAGGAAGATAAAGTGGAAAAGGAAGAGGAGATTGCAGTGAAAAACGGGAAAGTTGTAAATGAGGGAGAAAATGAGGATGGACAATCTCAGTCCAGTTTCGAAATCTCTGTTACGGTTCATACGCCTAACGCATCCGTTGAAACTGCGAATGCTACAGTTGACTTATGCAGATCAAACGTATCCGGTCCCGTTATAGAGAACTCTGATGCTTCTGAGGTTGAAGACGTACGGACGTCATCAGAGATGAATCTAGGTTCGCCTGTTTCGGTGCAAGATGAGGCAACGTCAGGTCGCTTGGAATTAGAGAATATGCAAACGACTAGTTTTATAGATGAAAATCATGGAACTGAGAATGTGAATGCCAACGAAGTCGAGAAACACATGCAAACAAACTCTGAAGTTGTTGTTGAGGTTGAGGTCGAAGAAAATGCAACAAGGTCCGGAAATTTAGGAGAGAGCGTGGCTGTAGAAATTGATGTGACTGATATGCATATGTAGATTACATAAACCGCTAAATAACCAGGGGCCGGTTGTATCAATATATAGAAAGCAAGTCTACCGTTTTATTCAACGAGCGAAATTTAAGTTGTTTTATTCAAGAGAAATGTAAGAGTGTTATTTAATTTTGACTTATCCACCGTTTAGCTAAACGGGCTTGATACAACCGGCCCCTGATAATAAATTGCAAATAAAGCTATGCCAATGTGGCCGAATATGAATATATAAAGAGGACATTGAACTGACTTATATAAATTATTAATATAAATTTAAAACTCACGTAATTTTGATATAAAAATAATATCAATATATTTTCAAATTATGTTTACTTAAAACATGTTCGAGGGTTCAGAACCTGGATTTTTAACCGAGAATAGTTTAGAATAGAATTTTAAGTAATTAAAATAAATGACCCCCTCTCAGGAGGGAATATGGGACACCGAAATACGTTATTAAATCTCCCCCAGGAGAAAACAGCGTCTTTGTGTCAACTATGCCATTGTTCATGCCTATTGTGTAATATGTTAATACATCTCGCTCTGGGAACACTGAATTGAGAAAAGGCGTATTTATCTTGTATCTTAGGGAAAGTGCTAAAACCTTACCGATTTTGCCTAATTGTTTACATCCTATCACTGAATAAGGTTTATCGCCTTCTTCTAAAGTACCATCTTTGCCAGTACCTCCTGGTAAGCACGCATTAAAACAGTGTTGTCTCACTGCGCGCTGGCCTGACCAGTGACGTTTGCCGAAATATTCACACCTTTTTCATTGTACAATCATCTGTATACACTGGAACGCTACAAGCCTGCACAGGCAGTTCAAAAGTGTTTTTCGCTAGAGGTTCATTAACACGACTTCTACAATTGACTATAAATACAAAATAAAAACTCACCATGCTAATAATGAGATTGATAAACTGCTTGTTGACTTGCATCAAAAGCCAGGGGAAAGGAGCAAGAACTTTCAATTCTAACGATAAATTCGTTGGTAAAAAAACGGAGTTATGTGTTCCAAGATTTAGTAAACAATTTTGCAATACGCAGTTCCTATTCAGGCCATATACATTGCCCCGTATAAATTCTTATCACAAAGAAGGATTTGTTAAACACACGTGTTGCAATCTTGCCATTTGAATTCAAATTTTCCAGCCTTAATTTCAGGCCCCAATGTTGCCAAACCGCGAGGAACGACACATGGGAGCCTCGCTTTCATTAAATTGTCAGCAAATCGCGTTGCTTCTTACGACTATTCATTCTATCGAAACGTTTTGTACCATCACGCTTGAAACTTAAAACCTGGAATTAATTTGAAACAAGTATTCTGTAAGTTTTAAAATAGTTCAGCAATATTTGAACTAATTTAATTCATATATTACAATGAAATTTGACAATATTCCAAAAGCAGCTATAGACAACGGTGTCACTGGGACGCAATGACGTCATTCAAAACGGTGTTACCCAATCAGCGTTCATTCATTTCTCACGTGACTCTTGGAACCGCTTCCACTTTGAACTTTGTCCATTATTTCGCGTTCGCTGATTTCGTCAGCGCTGTTCGCAAATATTGTGGCGTGAGCGGGCTGGGGCGAGAGTTAAGGATAATGTTTATGCCCTTGGAGTACGAGAAAGGTTGAGACTAGCTATTTGTACGATGCACCAATATGTTTAGAGTTGAGGCAGTCGAGTTTGAACTAATCAAAACAAAATCCTTGCAAAAACTTTTTTGGCGGGAATTAAGCTTTGCATTGACCGACTGGACTAGACTTTCTAATAGTTGTCACCAGACTCCAGCGCTCGTTTTTAATCTGCACGCCAGCTCCGTGCAGCTGAAAGTCAGCTGTCAAGGAGATAGCGTGTGAAAATGAAGTTTTATCTCATCTTATCTCACCGAACTAAGCCTTATCTTATCTAAACTAATGCAGAATCAGCTAATGAGGTTTGAACACTAATAGTGCCAGAGCTGGACAATGCGCTGATTTGATTGTAAGAGTCTAAACGCCTGCATGTTCAAAGGATACAAAAAAGATCTGTTCCAAGTCGGCTTTGTGTGTGCTTATCTTGGCTTTCACGAGCGGTTTGACGTTGTCGCCAACCCATTGAATATACACAAACTTTACCGTTGATATATCGTCCACGACGTCTGTCTAAATAGAAAAAAGGCAAAACAAGAAACGATCGATGAAAAAGCTTTTTAAGAAATCGCTCTCAAACCAACCGAACAGAAAAAAAAGTTCACTGAGAACTTAGTTATAAACACGCGACTTCAAAATATTTGATTTACTCTTTGCTGGTTGAACATACCACTCGACAAAGAGCATAACCAATGATGTCATTTGTCAGAATATCTGTTATTTCACCAACACCCCCAGACCCCGAACCGAGGCAAATAAGCGGTAATTTTGGGTTTCCATCTTCATAACCTGCTACGAACCTGAAAAACGATAAGACCAGATTACACTTGCAGTTTTTGGTTGATTTTCTTCTTTTGATAGATGCGAAGGAGCGACTAGTTATAGAAGCTGAGGTGTAGAAGTTGCCCACTTCTGAGCATCCATAACTTATCCACTCATTCGCATCTGTCAGAAGTAGAAAATCGCAGAGAATATTGCAAGCGTAAACGGGGTTATATGAAAGCAAACTACGAGAAACAGGGACCACGGGTTAGTCCCCAGACCTCGTCATATCAGGCTGCACTCGTTTGGTGACGTCAGAAATGGTGACGTCAGATATATGCGAACCGCGAAGCGTAAATAGATAAAAATGTCTTTACCAATCCGTGTCTGTTGTGTCGCTTCTTACATCCGTTGCAGCGTCGATAACAGAATCATCAAATTTCACGGTACCTGGAAGAAAATTTCACATCAGTTTCCGTGCGCTTTCCAATAACATATTTCGTCATATGACGACATGACATACCTGCACTTTTCCCCTGAAATCCTGTGAATCCGCCAGTAACTTTTTTCTTATTACCGCCAGTCTCGTGACCCGTGAATCCACGATCATGACCCTTAGGGTAAAGAAATCATAAAAAAAACATTCATAAAAATGATCATTTCGAGTGTTGACTTGCAAATATAATATAAACGTCATTCTGAAATAAGTCTGCATAGTGCATAATTTGCCAAATGTTATAAGGTTAATATTATTTTCGATGAAAGGCAGTATTCCAGGCTTGCAATTTCTCACTTAAACTTTTAAATTTCTGTATAACTAAACCTATTAAAATTACCCTTCTCTCAGTTGCCTGGTCTGCATCCAAGACTTTGTTTTTCGTGCCACTAAAATAAATATCGAGACAGAAAAATTTATCATAACACAGTTAAACACTGAGTTATTAGAAATATGATATGATTAAAATTACTTTTTGGATAAAAAATTTTAAGCAGATTGTAGAGAAAGAAAAGGCAACTTCTGTTTACCTGCTTTCGCTGAGTTTACTTGCAAGAGTTTCCTCATCCAAATCGGCTATGTTATCTGTTGAGATTGAGGCATGATAAGGCTGAAATTTAAATATGTAATCAATATATAAACTTGCAGTACAAAATACTTACTCAATATTATTGAGAAATATAATCAATTGAGCTTAGATACAACAATATACGAAAGAAGTCAAGCATTGATGCCTGGCTGGCTATACATGTTATATAAAATCTATCTAACAATTCCTTTTGCAAGTATTAAGTACACAGATATTTTGTGTAGGCTGCAAATTAATACCTGAAAGTTTTTGTCTACACTCCCATGAACAACACCATATTTGCCTTTCTTTGTGAATGGAACTTGTTTTCCAATCCAATGAATGTAAACAAACTTAACTGTGTTGCTTTGATCAATCTGTTCTTGGACTTTAACTGTGAAAGAGAAACAACATGAGAATGATGCAGTGTTGTATGCCATTAATGCTATAACCACTCCCCCGCAGGCTTAGTTGAACACTCCGGAAACTGATTTCTTAATGAAATAAATTCTCAACGAATGTGTTTTAGAAACTGCTTAAAACATGCCTCAAAATTTCTCAACATGTCAACCTAATCTGAAGACCTCATCATGCTTCCTAATGTCATGTAAATTGCTAGTCAGAATCATTGTCAAACTCAATATACAAATTGTCTTGTAAATTTTAAAATTTAAATCATTAAAACAGTTTTTTTAACATTATGGAAAGCCCCTTACCGAGTCCATACATCACCTCGCTTTCTTCCAAAGATTCTTTGAGCTCCTCAATCCCATTATTTCCAAACCCAGCTAATGTAATCAAATTTGGTTGCTGATCCACATGTCTTGCCAAAACCCTGGAGGATTCCCACAGAAAATTATGCACAAAAGCATAGAATAATATCTTTGCAAGACACAACTACCTGCAGCAGAGCCCACCCAATGCTTTATTTCATTGTTCAGAAACTCCCACTGTTTGAAAATTTTAACGTATGTTTGTGTTACTAATATCATCTCAAGTGCTCTCACAGCCAGTCACAGGAACCGTACTAATAGCTTTGCCATTACATCTTTTGCACGAAAACGGCCAATAATTAAAAAAAAGAGACAAGTTTGAACTAATATGGCTTTTTAGCGTCACAGCAAACAAGCAAACAGTAAACTTTACAATTGTTTTCAAAACTGTGTGCTGATGGCTAGCGCCTTATTTGGCGACAATTTCAAAGCAGAAAGATTGATCGATTTCTGACAGCTCGCGAGTTTCGTAGTGCATGAAAGTTTGTCATGCAAAAAATTCCTAGCAAGTACATGTTTGTACACGATCTAATGGACGAAAAAAGGCTAATTTGGAAATAAACCAGAGATTAAATTGCCTTGTAATCGCCTGGCAAACAATGAACAAACAGACGATGCATTCTACACAGTTGATGTTTACATTTATATGACAAGTCAAAACATTGAGTAAAATACCAAATTAGAATCAATTGCATGAATTCCAGCTGCTTTTGCTTCTAAATCCTCACAATAATTATTTATCCATTCCAGAATTAGAAGCTTTTGGAAGACACCGTTAGGCAATTGAGACATTTGTTCATATAAACAGGTTTTAGACATCAATTTTGCAAAGGTGTTCAGTATTAAACACGTCGAATAAACGCTTGATAAGGTGACAGCAGTATAACTTGTAACAAAAGGATCCCACTTTATTTTATCAATAGTATTATCTGACATTTTAGTCCGACGAACATCCTAACGATGCAGCAGTCATAGACACATAATAAACACAGATTAAGAAGACTTACATACCAATTTGTTTCAAAGTTGTCTGATCGGCATTCCGAAATAGCTCCTTTAAAATCGTCTATATTTTCGATTTCCACTTCGGTGGACATCTTTCAAAATGGCAGGAGTTTGTAATGCTTTAACTGAAGCTGGGTATATTAGTAAGAAGCGTTCAAAGGTGGTGTAAAACAAGCTTTTCTCCTCTAAACGGTTAATTTTGCTATTAGGTGACCCTGCCCAGTGCAAACAGTTCACACCCGGAAGTGAAACCCACATCCGGTTGAAATTCAATTCCAAATTTGGTGCTGTTTTTGTTCTAAGATGTTGTTCCACTGATCTGTATGGAACTGGGTGGTTTGTTCTCAAGCATGTCGTCGTTTGCATTTGGTGTGTGGGTTATGCAATTCACCCTAAAGGCATGACCTCATGGGAATTTTCCGTGAAAAAAAATCAATTATGGTAAGACCGTAAGGGCAACTTCATTGTGTAAATTTTATTCGAAATTAGGGTCTAATATAACAATATCCGTCATGTCAAGTCTCACTTTCAATTGGATGTCTCCCAGTCTCAGGGACAAAAATATAAAAGAAAAATAGCAAGCCCGTACGAACTTCATACAATTGACTAGGAGTTACATCTCGCGGCGAATTCCTGTCTGGTATATGTTAGTTATGAGGTCGGGCGCAGGCAGCAGCTGAACAAGGCAGCTGTTTTCTCTAGCTGACATAAGCGAGGCGAGGCGATGCAACGCGGGCAATACGTGATCCGGCGTGCAAATGAGAAATGAATATTTTGTTTTCAAAAGCTCAGAACTTAAGGTGGGAAAATGGGGAATAAGCTATGGGGAACAAGATTGACTGGTACTGGAATTTTGGTACTGGTATATAATACGCGCGCGGTGAGGGACTGGAAATTAGTTACTACCAGAAAGGCATTTTCAACGAACGTTCATAAAGTGTTTTAATAAATATATCAACAGCAAATCATCTATAATAGCCGAAGATTTTACAAAATTTGTCTCGTGCGGAACATCATGAGCACATAAAACCTAAAATGCACAGTTTATTCCGCTATCTCTGCAATCTATCATACAATATCGTCATATACAACAGGGTACCGGCACTTCCTACTAACCAGCTTTTCAGGTATACGCCGACCGTATTTAGTAGCCAAAAATGGCGCAAAACACTTGCCCAAAATATTGTCCACGATAAGGTTCTCGCTAGTGGCACTTTGTGCCGTCTACACGGCCCAGGAAATCGCCCCTGAGTTTCAACGTCTTCGGAATAAAACTGTGAAAGAAGTCTAAAAAAATAGACGAATAATCAACTAACGGATATTCAAAATTCAACCGTTGAGTCGATTATCTTATGCTTACCTATCCTTAAGTTGAAATGCATCATAAATCCACTGTTTTCTTTCTTTACAACTCTAAAAATCACAAAGTCTTTTTGAAGTTTCCTTCGACCGAAACTTCGAGAGGTTTTTTGTGTGTTATAGGTACAGTACTTGATGAAGTTAGGTCAAAGTATAGTTTACAGTAAAGGCTATATTACCTTTGGTATTTGATCTGGTGTAACTCTCCTCACATGCACATGGATTTCAGGATCATAACAGTCGAAGAACTCTAAGGAAATACGAACCACAGTTCAAGAGAGAAAATCTAACCCCTGTCTTTTCAATCACCATCAAAATTTAACTATGTGGTCTTCTCTGACGCAGCAATCTTACTTACCAAACAAATCTATGGCTCGTTTTCTAGGAAGTATACTCTTATATTTTTCTTTATATGCAATTGTTAGGTCATAAACAGCATCAATATGATCTGACAAAGTGTCCAGGGCAATCTATAAAAGCATTCAGTAAAAAGCTTTTTTATAGCACTCTAAACGAAGCTGGTGTTTATTTTGTAGCAAGATTTTCGTTCAAAGAAGTATACTTGCTTCTGTAGCTTTTGTTTTCGGAGTTAAAACATGATTTAGAACGGGAAGACCTGGAATTTAGAGATAGAAAAATCAGGTATTTCATAAGTACACTACAGGTCATTTGGAGGTCATTTGGGGGTACTGGTACCTAACCACGTTAACAGACTTTATGATTGGTTTGTGCTGCCAGTGAGAGACTCATGGAGCTGATAAGTTGTGGAAAGCACGTACGCACCTCGGCTCTTCGCAAATTGTTGGCTTTGCTGTTTCTGCTCCGGTATATCAGTATTAAAACGAGTTCCCTCGGGGAATATCACCATCCACACCTTCAAGGGAGAGAGAAATGAACGCATTCTCGTCAGTTCAGTCCGCTTTGTTGACTTAAATTGCAAAGACAGCTCGTGAAAGACACTCGCTGTGTGAACTCAAATCAAAATTATGTCAACTTACAGCACTATCGTCTTCCTTAAACTTTCGCATTCTCCTGAGAAAACGAAAAGCTGATATTCACTCAGGGGCTAAACTGAACACGCATGTTGTTGATGCAACAACCAGGTGCGTCTAGCAAAATACAGTCGACAGAAAACTACAGCATGCTAGTTAACAAGTCCCAGTTATTATATATAGGTCGTTTGCCATCATCAGAGATGAGGTCAGATTGATGCTTGAAATAAGCTATATCCCTTTCTTTCATATATGTTTCAATTTATCTACGTAAAACCATTTTACTAAAAGGCGCGTTATCATCGTTCATATCGGCGATTGTCACTTTAATTTTTGCTGTGGTTTTTCTATGAATGTCAGTCGTCGGGTGAATGAATTACGAATGCCTAAAAAAAGAACTTATACATCGGCATCTGCACACAGCTCATAAAACGCCACAAAAATCTCCGTGTGAACTGTAAACTGGCGTTAAAATACCGATCTTTAGTGAACGTTGCTGTTTTATGGCCATTAAAAACAGTTCTAATGTCTCATTTGACTCGATGATCATGAAGAGTGACGGACGTTTTAGAAACCCCAAATCATTAATTCTTTGTTTTTGATGAGGTATAGCGTCGCTTTCTCAAGCATGTTCTTGATCTGACCACATCGTGAATACTTAACAACCATCTGCCTTTGGCAATTACACCCATTTTGTTATTTAATCCCAGCTAGCTCCTGACAACATTACAATTTCATGAAAATGCACCAATAATGGTTTTAGAAGTTTACAGGTGTAACATTCTATGTAGGTACCTTTCAATGTTGAGGACATCTGAAGATGCATTCCTTTTTACATAAATGCAGCCGTGCTTTGAAAAAATATGTAAAATTGAGGTGAATTGGTCAAATGTCTGTCTAATGCCTCATAAGGGTTGGTTATAGCAGTCATAAATACCTGGGGAAAGTAAAATCCAAACAATGGCAAGTATTTCAAGCTGTCTTTTAAAATATATCTGATGGAGCCCATGCTTCCTTGTCTGATTGCAATCATATCAACAACAGCCCAGTCAACTGTAATAAATTATGGTAGGGCAAATGTCACAAGATATTTTGCAATTGATAACACAGAAACATCATATTTCATGGGACTGCAATCTATGCATCAACTTTGACAATGAACAGGAGTAATGGGTCATCAATATTTTTAATCTGTGGTGAGTTTGGTCATTTTTCTCTCATTGACAGATTGGACTATTGATAACTGGCATGAAGAGTATCATGATCTACAGGAGTGATTTTCTACTCCTGATAGATGTGAAGAAGCAAATCAGTTGCGAAAGACAAGCGCAATGGAGATAAGGGCAACTATGATTTAAACATGTTCACATTCGCTTGTTGACATCCATCAAGAGGGGAAATTAGATCTAAATGCATTTATTTGAATGCTAACCTGTGCTTTGGTGATTACACAAATAAACAACATTTTCTCTCCTATCTAATGGGATTTCATCTCCATAAAATACGAGCTATAAAAGTTACAATACAAATTATGACATAATGCAATGTGCTGATAAAATTGTCACAAAATAAGATGACTTTCATAGATGATTTCAATAATACCAATTAGGGTAACTGTAAAGGGCTATCACCAACAATATATATGATGTTTTTCACGAGAATATGTTTTTGTCAACGTTGTTAACAGTGTTAATTAAATATTTGTTTGTTATTGCAATTACTTTTCGCACGTTTTATATTAGGTAATAAACTAATAATTAAATCTTCATTTACAGAGTAAATAATTATTCCTTTTAATATTTGGGCTCTACACGCACTCTCCTGTAGACGAACTATTCGAGAAAAGGATATAAGTCATATATGTAAAATAATGTTATTAAAGGGACACCTGCTCACTTTGGCAAGCTATCGAGGACTTTGCAAATATAATCCTTGTATAGCTTACCTCTGTGCCGGCATAATTTTCAAAGAAGAACACGACCAAGGTTTGGTAGATGTCATACAATTTATCATCGATATATTCGTACACTTTTCTGGGAAGCAGCGAGGACAATGAACGCCATATTGACCAGGCAAATAAATATTGAGGTGCAACACTCACTGTTAACAGAATCGGCACCGTGGAGCGATAAGATACAGCTTGTTGAAGTATAGTATTCAACATTTTATTGCATGTCACGTTTTAAAACAATTTTATTGCGTTTCAAAGGCCTTTGCCTGGCAGCCATGCAGAATTCCTGTGCAGAATTCAAATTCGCTTACATTACATCCGTCAAAAGTATAATTTTGTTCACGACTATTCCCGAACCGTTAATTCATTAATTAAAAGATGAAAATGATTGCCTTTTTTCTTTATAATCAAATTAACAATCTTCAAATTCATGTTATACTTTTTACAGTTATCCATTTATATTGTTTATGGTCGTTCATTGATAACTTGAGCTAACGAAGCACTGCATTTGTAAAGTTTGTGGGTTGAAATGCAATGCAACAGCCAAAATACTTGATGTCATTCAAACTTAGGGTTCAAACCTCAACTCTCCCCAGTTATACATCACAATCCATTGCTGTACCTAGCTGACAGGCCTTTTCACATAAAGTCGTCAGAATCAGAGCCCCCAGCCTATGAAGACAAAAATATTAATAGAAACTGTACTGTACTGTACCAATCTTAACACTAACTGTTGTTCTCTCTTCGATGAAAAGATTATTGCATGTGCTTTTAAGAACTGTCTTAGATTTGTCAATTCAACCATGAAGGGATTTGTCTTACCTGGTTGCTTTTCATATTCTCAGGATTCATTAAATTAGAGTAACTCCTGGAGAAACAAAAAGAATACAACCAATAGTCAGTCACCATGAAAATACACAATACTTTGTATTGTCTAATATCAGCTTTCAAATCACTTCACATTTGGTACCTTGCTTCTGCTTCAGCTGCACGTCTCCTCTCTTCTTCTTTTTCCAGTTGTCTCTAAGGTAAAAGCAGAATGTAAGAATGAAATATGAACTATTTCCCCTTGTTATTTCAAGGCAAATGTCCAACAGGCAAAATTTCACTACACCTTCTCCTGCATTTCCTTGCGTTTGTCTTCTCTTTCCTCTTGATCACGTTGTTCTCGTTCCACCCTCAGGTCAGGAAATCGTTCTGTTTTCGTCTTATTCAAACGATTCACTACCTCGTTGATTCTCTTCTCAACTTTCATCGAACGCACCTTCATAACACAAAAATACACCAATACATTGTTCAACACATGGTTGATTATTATAACAGACTGTTTGAAAAAAGGTTTCTAACCTCTTTCTGTTTATGAAAACCAACTTGCCCAACCTCCATGTCATTTGTTTTCTTTAAATTTTCCCAAAGTGTGTACACTACACCAACATTATTCATCTTGTTTCCTAGAGAAATTGAATCAACATTTTTGGCCACATGATATGAAACACACACGCAAGGGAGAATCTATTTCCAACCTTGAATGCTGTTAGCTTTCACCAGTTGTGCACAGTCATCTAACACAGTGGAAGGAATATCATCTATTGACTGGCCCTAAAGAGGAAATGTTTGAGATTGATTTATTTAGTTAATCTAATACACATAGTCATACCCTGTATCAATGTACATATGGTATATTTCTCATTTGGTGATGCATAAAATGATGTGCTACAAAATAAATCTTCAAATGATTATAAATTCACCTTTGGTAGCCTCAAATACACGTGTGCTGATGACACTTTATCCACATGAAACCTGGTTTTCCAAAAAAATTTGCCCATGTTGAGACGATTTAATAAATTTGTCAATTGAATTATTCACTCAACGATACTCACCAAATATCTTCTGGCCAACCATGCTTGATCAAATCTTCGTCTATAAAAGTAAAATACTTTTTTATAATCATGAAAGTTATGGAATGGTTATGGAAAGCAACAATGAAATCGGCTAACGTACTCTCATGTTTATCGATGCCCATGTAAATCGTATAGGGTGGTGAGACAACTAAAAAAAATTTCAAAGATTCACAATTTTAATACACGTGTACAAGACATTCTCATCAAAATCATTAAAAAAAATCCAGCAAGAAACAAGCAATTTTACAACCGCACACCTTCGCTCGTGAAATAAAACACCATTCTCTAAAAGGGTCACAATTTTCTTGTTCTGTTTCACATCATTTTTTAAAAACTTTAAAATTCAAAAAGATCCACCATATTGTTTTTCGTCCCCATTCTCTGGCGCACGACACGGTCGGTTGACGCAAATTATGTTACCATGGTAGCGCAGTGCTGGCGTCCCGTTGCTAAGCGGCGAACAGAAGACAAAACCTAACACCAACAAGGCAATCCATTCATTTCGAAGGAGACTCTGGTTTGCGATAAAAATATCGGTGCAAATCGAAGTTAAAAGACAGCAAAGGAATGGCGACTACAACGCAAAACACGAATAAATTTCCGCCTCGTTATAGCATGTCCGATTGGCATCAGTCGAATGTTATCGTTCGAACGAGCGCCCAAAGGCTTCGAGACTCTTCACATCGTATCAGACAGGAAGGTCGTTGGCTGCGAAACGAGAGCGATAATCACACGAGATGGACGCAGCACGACAGCGATACTCGCATGGAAGAGCGTATTGACGATGTAAATACTTGGAAGAAAGCGCTCGAGAAATGCCTGAAGGATACAGACGAAGAAATCCGATGCCTCGAACGAGAGAAGGAAAGATGCGAGCGAGCTTTGGAGGCGAAAAAAGTGCCGTTGGATATCGCATTGGAGTGCCTGATGTTGCGAGAACACAGGATCGGCATTGATCTAGTCCGCGATCCAGTGGAAGCCAATTTGGGCAAGGTAAGCGTTCTGTAATCCTTATCGAACTTTGGAATTTTCTAAGAATGTAATTCGAATTCCAATTTGGGCTTAATTGAAATCGAGAATGATGACTGTATCACAGCATGTTTAAGCGTGCGTCATTGAGATTACTGGTAAAACTTTAAGATGATTCGTGGAGGTTCATTGAAGTGAATGCAATGTTTTGGGACATACCGGGTGACGTTTGTATAAATGAAAAGATAACTTTTCATAACTTGGCAGGTGGTGCTGGTAAGGAACACCTTTTGCATCAATAGTAAACTAATTTGTCACGCAGTCCTAGCCTGAGTCGACTAATCGTTTAAACATTAAACTGTTGATGCTACGGATATCATCGTTACCAGGCACTTAAAACCCAGCTGCTTACAAAGAATGCAATGGAAACTTTTACATTCGCATTACCCTACTTAAATTTACCCTGTCATTCATAAAATATTCAAAGTTAAAAGAGTAAGATTTTAAGCTGTGAAAAAAGTTTTTGATTCTTCAGTTAATCTTGTAACAGGTTTATGGACACGCGTTCTGCAAAACACAAGTTAAACGCGTTTTTTCTCTCCAAATCCTCTATTCACAGTTAATACTTGGATTTTCTCGCTTCAGCCCTTCTCATTGTCAAGTTTTAGTTTAAAAAAAGGGATAAAGTGTTTTGTATATCATTCAAACCGTTTGTCACACGCGACAATACCAAAATAACTGTTGTTTCCAAGGGAGATTGAAATTCAATACATTACAAGGTTTCAGAGGAAAGTCCGCGTTGACTGGTGAAATATATATGTATGTACAAACGGATTTCGCATACATATTGTGCTGGAAACTGTGTTTGATTGCAAACTCAACTTTAAAAAAAGTTAAGCTAATCTTCCGGGTCAGAGGTTCAACTTAATTTAAGGAATGAAATACAGTCTCGTAGACTTCGGTTTTGAGCAAAACGATGCGTTTAACTCAGTATTTTATAAAGCAATATTAATTAAAAAGGCTTAATTGCTTTTTACAAATTTTATGATGTTTAGCTTAGTGTCGTTAAACAAGGGAATCCTGCGGAATAATATAGCAAAGACGTTGCCAAGACAACGTGTACAGGAAATGCAAACATGTTTTCCGATGTCGATGGGATGCCGTTTGCAACAAGTCATATTTTTGGAGAAAAATATGGACAACTTGAACACTCATAGACGCTAAACTAAAAACGTTTCGCATTCTGATAAATTGCGCACTTTGACAAGACAGCCACACTAAAGGCCGTTTTCCACTTCAACCGTATCGTAGCGAAACGTAGCGTACCTCATTGTTTTAAAGTCATCAGTTTTGGTCGAATACTTCGGAAACAAAGAAATACGCTACTTTACGTCGACGGTTACGTTACGATTGAAGTGGTAAACAGGCCTAACAGGACACATTGTCGCACTAACCGAACCCACTGTACTGTATATACACTGAATTAATACCACACTATATAGGGTAACCTATTTTTTACCAAATAGGAAGTCGAGGTGATTGAGGGATGCAAAGCATTGCTCCAACAAAAGATCAATGAAGCTTCCGAGCAGTTATGGTGAGTTTGAGCATTTTTCCAGCACATTTTTAGTCACACTTTACTGTCTCGAGTGCATCAAATTTGAATGGTCCCCAGACACGGATTTAACGTTTTGAAACAAAGTCACGGTGATGTCCGTTACTTTTTCCTAGTCGTTCACAAACACAGAGCATGTAATCGTGCAAAAACAGAGTTTAGAGTACAACTGCCATTTTTATTTTTAGTTTATTGCAAGAAGCTCGTCAACAGGTTTACCGTGATCTCACGGACAAGAACATAGCCTTTGACATTGATGGCGAATGTCGTAAGTTGAACAACAATTCTACCAACATCTGTTTCCACCCGGATCCCACCCGAACCGTGAAGGGCAGCGTGACACCCGAGACCTGGGACCAATACTCTAACTACAACAAGTTGCGGGCCGAAGCCGAGATGCAGGCATCTCAACGCCTGAGGGAGGCAATCTTTGCCACGATCCAGAAGACAGCCAACGACCTTGAGTCACAAAGACAGGCGACGGAATTCAGTTACAGAAAGAGAATTCACGAGACAGAACAGACTAAAAACGAGTTGGAATGGCAACAGAAGAATGTAGGTTGCAGTTTGATTCGATTGATTCAATCGTCCGAGAAAAATTTCGCAGTTAAAAACAAATACTAAAGAGGACTCAGTGAACTACAAATTTGCTCAATTCTTTTACTAAATATGTTTTGACGTTGAATACAACCAGAACCTAATATAGCCCCTATTGCATGAAGAAAATTGATCCATTATCGATTCTTTTTAGACCAAACAAGAAATCGAGACGCTGGAAAATGATATACTTCAAATCAAGCAGGCAATAGAAGCAAAGAAAGCGCCAATGATGGTAAGTATGCAAATCCTCAGTAGGTAGGGAGAAAAAGGCGCAATGCAAATGGCGCAATTGCTCCAGGCCTCTGTAATTTTTGTGAAAGGCCCTGAGTATGAAAGTCTGCAATGATTTGAGCTCAGTTCAACATTTGAATATACGTTGTTTTTTCTTTTACAAGGTCGCTCAAACAAGACTTGAGAACCGCACGTATCGTCCTAACGTGGAGTTGTGTCGTGATGCTACACAATATCAGTTATGTCATGAAGTACGGGAGATAGAAGGTACTGTCAAAGCTTTGGTGGAAAAGCTGCAAGAGTCGCAGAATGCCCACAACTCTCTGACCGAAAACCTGAGGCATATCGAGGAAGATCTAGCAGTCAAGGTAAGTGTTTCTAGTGAGGTGAAATAATCATTTCTATTTGGAGACTACCATAGACCAAAAGATAGACCAGTGCAAAGACTAATAATACAACTGTTAAAATGGGTCAATGCCAGCTGTAATCTTTCTAAAACAATGCATTTTCTAATTGCAGGTAAATTCTTTGGCGTTGGACAACCGTTGTATGACCTCCAGGCAGAAGTTGAAGGAGACGCCACAAGATATGACCCGCATTGAACTGTTTAATCCAACTGTGACTGACGAAGCTCACTTGAACTTCAAGACCTCGTCACCCATGGCAACCATGGTGGATACCGCTACCCTAGAACGTGCAGTCACCGGTCCAATGACAGCCTCTCGTATGACCCCCATGAACACGCTTCACGCCAGTGCAGTAAAAAGTGCGCGTACTCCATTGATAACAAACTAGAAGGAACTCTTCCGAGATTAAAAAAAAAACAACTCGCTGAATTCTCGACTTTAGTTGTGTAGGTGTGTGAGAAAGTCAGTAAACAGACAAGTGTGACATAAAACCCAATAATATTTTCAATTTAGAAAAACATACAAAATAGGAAAAGGCAGAAAAGAATGGATTGAACCATAGATGAATTGTGTCAACTTTTGATATCAAGTGCAAATTCTGGACGTACCAAGGGAATGTACGATTGTATGATAAAAATAAATTTGTTTTTCGTATTGTGTGATTTGGTGTCGTGAAGCAATTTTAATAAAACTCTAAAACTCTAGAACCAGGTACCGCGAATAATTTTTACCAACTGACCTATATATAATAGCTGAATGCAACGTTATACGTCTTTCCACTAAAGCGCCTGGGTACGAGGCTGCCTAAAGGCCTCTAGAGAGTTGACAGATGATCTACTCGATTCCTTATAATATTTCAACTCGATGATTCCTTATATAAGGGATCTTATATATCAGACCATTTATAAGTATTTGACTTTTAATATCTAGGGGAAAATTGCACTAAAACCCGCTGGAAGTGCCTATAGAAGGTAATTTAACAATGGCCGACCAAAGCGTTACTATTTGTTACACTAGGAATTTTATTAGTATCAGGTGAACAATAAAAGTACAATCAGACCGTGAACAAGAGAACCGATTGCAAATTACTTTTAAATAGCGAGCAAATCGCTCGGCTTATCTAAACACTTACAATATTATTATCAAACTGCGTCCCGACGTTAAAATTTCGCACAAAAAATACATTTGTGCTGGCTTTTACATCGTTCGCTCTTTAAAACGGCAGAATTCGTCAATTAGGAGAGGAGGGCCTCGTTAAGTGTTACCGCGGGTCAGAGATAATGTTGGCACACAACTGATATGAAGATTAGCAATCGGCAAAATTCTTCATTTCTTTTAAGTCACGTTTTCTTCGCTTGGTTAAGCAATATTTTTAATAATGACTTTTGTTGCATGAGTAGCACCATTTCGAACGCCTAGATAACGCTTAATGAAACCTCTACCAAAATTATCACCAGCTCCTTGCGGGCAAAATGTTCGTTCGGGCTGTAACCTGCACGCACCTCACCGTTGCGCCCGCAAATTTAGATGACCGTATCACGCGAATCAAAATACTGAATGATTAAAGGATATGCAAGATCCGTTATGGATCCGGCCGAGTACATAGGGTTAATTTAGGACCTCGCTATGGGTGAAGTGAGGTCCTACGTGTACAGTTATTCCGCTAGATCCTCCGAGGGTGGTACGTACGTGAAGCCTAGGAAAGCGTCGTCGGGGTCTCCGACACTGCAGCAAATATTCGAGTTCTGAGATTTTCCAACCGATTCTAAAAAATGGAAAAATGATGGGTTTTATTGAGAGCGCCCTTTTTGTTTGTTGAAGAAGGAAAACTAGACGATTGGACGTCAATATAAGCCAGTGATCGCTGGCAAAAGTACTCACGTGGCACGGGTTCCCGCACAAATTCTGGGTCAAAATGTTTCAAGTCCATATGTCCACTCTGGTGTAATAAACAAAAACAAAAAGTCAGGCCACAGTAAATCCATCAAAGAAGGAACATAAAAGTGCAATCTTACCACATTGGGGTTATATGGAGGATCGATTTCTCGATTGTAAAGGGCTTCCCAATCTATCGTTCGGAAAAATGAATGGTTTCTTATCTCTTCCTAAAAGAGAAAAGCATTTTCTTCAAGTTAGCAGAAAAGTTTGATGTTGACACTAACTTCTACTTTGCACAAGAAAATGGTTGGTCAGTGGTTACCCACAGATGAATGGTTGGTTAGTGGTTACCCACAGATGAATGGTTGGTCAGTGGTTACCCACAGATGAATGGTTGGTTAGTGGTTACCCACAGATAGTTGGCACGAGTATAAAATTACAAATGATATTATTCAAACACCAAGGTCTTCCGAGTTTAATACTTACAAAATCTCCTTCTTGTGCGCCTAGACGCTTCGCTCGATCTTTCTGCAATAGCTTTCATAAAAAACAAAAAAACTGAAACCTTAATTTTCTTGTAATTTCCAATCTCGTTTTGGATTCATCGACTGTCCCCCCTTCAATCCCAAGGGGAAGGTCATAGAAGTATATCGCCCCTCGCCACTCTGTGAAATACATTAGAATAAACAAGCCACGAAGTCACGACTTACCCCCTCTAGTAGGCTCCGTGCACTTTGTGAAATGTTAGTTCGTAACCTCAGCGGCTTATACAAAATGTTGTCGTACATTTCAGCCGTATCTCTGCTGTAGAAAGGTGGCTAAAACGAAAGAAGGAAAACAATTATTCCCTACTGGAAACAATTCTTCCCCGATGCACTCCAATCTGCCACTCGATAGCGAGGGTCTTGACTCAAGCCCAGCTTAAAAGCTACCTCAAAGTTTATCAAGCATTTATAGTTCAAACACAATTTCGATACCTTTTTTAATGAGGTTCAGGGAAACGGTAAGAAATAAGGTGCCTTAATCAGTGTTTAATTCCCACTCTAAGTTTGGGCGGCTTTCCAAACTAATTCCCAGAAATTACGACAGAGGATTAGCGTTTGGATTTAAGGGTCAGGATTAGGGTTTGAAATATGTTACTAGATAAAGCTCGCGGTGAGGAGGAGTTTCAGTGTTTGGACTAAGGTGAGGATTAAGCTGGTGAAGATTAACATTGGTGATCAGACTGTTAATATGGAAACTGCCCATAAATTTACTTATAATCTCAGCCAACTCACCAATCCGTACATCATTTCATAGGTAACAGCTCCAAGGCACCACCAGTCAACGGATTTGTCGTACTCTTGTTTCTTCAACACCTCTGGTGCGAGGTACTTTATTAAACAGGAAAATATCAACTATTGACGTGATACACACAAGGGCATGACCTCGTTAGTGTTGGGTAGAGTAATTACGTACCTCTGGAGTACCACAAAACGTGGAAGTAGTTCCGTAGTCTGCAATACCTTCTTTACACAGACCAAAATCTGTCAATACAACATGGCCCTAGAACGGATCGATGAATCGTGATTGACACGTTGTGACGTTAGACGTCGAACTTTTCATGAGTCGAATCGACTGCAAATGAATTTAAACAAAGACTCAAGCTTATTTACCTTTTGGTCCAACAGAATATTTTCAGGTTTCAGGTCCCTACAGGAATAACAGATCGTTTAGTATAATAATATTGTTGCTCAATCGACAACTGCCATTTATACTAAATTTAAACTGATTTCCAGCTGAACTGACGAATTTTCTCTGTTTTAAATTATTTTGGAAGTGGAATGGTCCATAGTCGTCACATGAAAACTCCTATTCCGCTATGAAAGTGAACTACAAGTTTTTCTAACCTGTATATGATTAACAAAGAATGGAGATAGCCAATAGCTGATGCAATTTCAGCGGCATAAAATCTTGCTCTAAAAGTGAGAATAAAGCACTTAGCTATCACAGAGGACTGTATATATTTAACTGTAGTAAGAACTGCGTATAACTATATAACTGGAGTGAGAATATATTTGTCTAGCAAGTGAATGCACAGATAGCCGAATTTGACGTGAAGTGCCAATGTGCCAAGCAGAGGTTCTTCTTCCAGATATCCAATGAGATCACTTGGGAGATAATGCAGGCCAGGCATCGTGATGAAAAGCCAATATACCGCGGGCAGACAGTACTTTATAAAGTAGAGATACCTTACCTTGATTCGGGGAAATATCGTTCTCGTTGAAGGTGAAAAAACAACTAGAAAAGTGGAAGAGTGCATCAATTTTCAATCTATATTTTGTCTTCTATACATAACAAAGGTTAAGGTCTTAAAGGTTGCAACATGTTACCAAAAGACAGACCACGGTCGTTTCTACGATTAGGCAGTCGGCAATCATGCTGAAATACAAACCTCGCCTCCATTGACGTAATCCAAAACGAAATACAGCTTGTCGTGTGTTTGGAAAGAGTAATGTAGTCCCTGAGAAGAGGAAAAAAAATCAGTCAAAGGCGGAGAAATAGACATAGAAATATACAGCTTTAAGTCATGAATAGGGTTGAAAAAGTTACTCACAACAAGGAAGGGATGAGAGAGATTCTTTAACAGGACATTTCTTTCTGCCATAATATGCTTCGCCTGAAACACATTCGAAGTTATCCATAAAAAATCCATAACACGTTCTTAGCTCTGGTCATAACAATATGCAGAGCATACTGTCATATTGTCATACAGCAGTCAGTGGTTTTGATCTGCTTTTATAATTTTTACACTGGATTGGTTTAGAAAGGTGGAGAAAGGAAAGCAAATTGTACTTCAACATCTTTATTTATCAGCTGACCGACATAATTTGAGCAGAAATAGTGAATCATAAATTGACTTGGGCAAGAAGGTTGTATAGTCCTCGAATGATACGAAAGAATCTAAGGCCCAAATTTCATTATTTTCACAGCTATTTATACAAATGTGGTCGGATTATCCCACGCACCTCATTACGTTTTCTTATTGCGGCCTTTGTTAAAACTTTCACGGCGTAGACTTTGTCCTCTTGTTTGTGTTTTGCGAGAAAGACCTAAAATACACAACAGCTGTTGAAACTAGTTTATACAAAAACCCCGCGCTAAATAAAGTCCGTTATTGTCTCGCGTATTTTAAAGGCAAAACGATGCGACGAAACAACGACAAATTATACGTTGATAACAGTATTTATATCTAACAGTATATCTCGAGCTGTAATCGAACGTGAACATTACCTTGCCAAAGCTTCCTTTACCAATCACCTTTAGGAAGTCGAAATCGTTCGGTTTGGCTCTAAATGGAAGAGAAATGAAGTATTTTGAAGCGCTAGTTAAGTGCTTGATAACGAATCAAGGTGGTGTTGATGAAGCCCACAATTCTTCTAACTTTCTCGGATTTGTTATTGTGAAGACACTTTGCGTGTGAATTAATGTCCCTCGACAAAAAAATCATTATAAAAATTAGACGTTTGTTCATACTTCGGATTCATTGTGCCACCTAAATCCATCTTATCGAGATCCTTAGCCTAAAATTGAAGATATAATGATTGAGCAACGCATGAATGATTTTGAAAATTTCAGCAAAACAGTTCAACAAGAAGGCTTAATACGATAAAGAGAATTGAACAGCGGTAGGCCAGTGGAACAAGATATTTATGTACAGTTTTAAAGGTTCACGTACAAAAAACAAGTGGATATTTTTCGCCGCGGCAAGCTCTCACCTCTACATGAATGGTTTGATTCGAAACTTGCAAAAGGAAAACGAAAATGCGGTTTTCCTGATCGTGTTGTTCAACATGTTTACATGATGGTCGGTTAATTGGCTGTCGAATGCGATCATTCGTAAGTGTGTTGCCTTCAATGTGGGCATGTCAAAAATGCGGAATGTGACGTCAGCTTTTAAAGTGTTTTCGTCTTTTACTGAAATTCGTTCACACTTTCATGCGTGCGATAATCAAAGATTCCAACAGTCACGTCAGCCAGCAAATATTCGCCGTTCCTTACGATCTCAGATCAAGCATGTACAATATACTACTTTTCAAGCAAGTTTTTAAGAACATGTTTCCACGAAACTTTGCGTGGTCGTTGGCGGTTTGAAACCGACGTTCAGAATAACATTTTCCACAGAACATCAACAAGGCTTTATATGGTTATTAGGGGATTAAAAGGTACAACGGCGTGTGAAAGACATGGCCATAATTGGGAAGAAATGGAATTTGTAAATGTATAAGTACGAATGCAGGTACTACACCGAATATTCGGCCGTTGTCATCAGCATACCATTAATATGTTGTGGTTTTTTTACTCGAGAATATCAATTGTGAAACCAGGATTTTTACTTGCGAAAATGTAGTTCGCTTGCAAAATATTTTTATGTTTTTATATTTCATGAAAAACGAAAAGAAAGCATGCAAATATTTTGATGGGAGACTTCACTGTCAATCGCGAAATCCACCGTAAAAGTATCAGATACGGTCAGCAGAAATATCCGGAAATCGACGACGAGACTTGGTGTGATTTTCATTATAACACGCTTCACGGTTGCAGCTTGCTTTATTCCCAAGAACACGAGGCAAGTGGTTTACTGCGGTGTGGGAATGGGTTTGGATCGTTTTTATATGGTGGGCCAACGGAGCGGGGGAGGGGGATTAGGAGAGGGGAAGGGGGATTAGGAGAGGGGGTACCCACTACCTTATATAGGAACCGCTGTACAGATATGGTAGGGGGCAATGCCGGTCAATAGCCAGAAATTGATCAGGTTGTCGCATCAGGAGTGAACAATGTTGTGCTGCACCCTGGGAACAGTATTGTTAACAATATTGTTAAAGCTTGTTCAATCATCAATGTTGTTGCAACCAGGATGCAATGTTGTAATTGGAACAATTGCAACAACATTGATGATTCAACAAGCTTCAACAACATTGTTAACAATACTGTTCACAGGGCGCAGCACAACATTGTTCACTCCTGTTTTTAACAACTTGCATCAACATGATGATTTTTACGGCGTAAATGTCCGACATATTTCAAGAGGCTCTTACAATGTGACGGATATTTTTCATACACCACAGTACAGGTAATTCAACTACCACTATACTATACGTAGCTATATTTCATTTCAATATCTTCAAAAAGGCCTGTGGCCGGTCTTGTTTGCAATGAGGCTGCGGCAGGAAGAAAGCGATGATTTCGGCTCACCCGAAACCATCCCGCTAATCGAGCAATATAATCAAGCGGCCGGTTTGATGGAAATTTACGGAACATCGTATGTATAGACAGGAAACTCTTACTGATATTGGATTTAGTGCAGCCATTTCCGCGTGCTTGGCAAGACAGGACTTTGATATACAATAATCATGCTCTCGAGCATTACAGTAATCCGCTCCGGGTGTGGACACTGAGCGGAAATATAGACCCTTCGATCCTTCGAACGGAATATCAGGGAGAGCATGCATCGCTTGAAGCTTACAATACTGTATTTCTAGAGCGGGTTGTCTCTCGAAGAGTGGTTAACAATTTTACGATTATTGTTTGCGACGGAGTTAGTAACTCAAAATCGGGTATTTTAGTGTCGATTCAAACACCAGCACAAAATGTAGTTGGTAGTTCTGCTCCCTAAGTGTGAAAACTACACCTCTGTACACAAAATGCAGTTGGTAGTTCTACTTCCTGGGTGTGAGAACTACACCTCAGTACACAAAATGTAGCTGGTACTTCTACTCCCTGGGAGTGAAAACTACACCTGCACGCAATGCAGTTAGGTGAAGATTTCTTTCACGGTTCGTGGCAAAAAGCCAGCCCAGAATTTAAAGAGCATAAAATTGCAGATCAATCATGAGATACTGTATAGCGAAGATTAGACGTTTTAAAATTCACCCAAGGTGACCAAGTAGTTTAAAAGTTTATGGTTTTGAAAAACAGGAAACAGCCACTTTCCAGGACGGCTGATCCACAAATTTGTGAAGTTAGAAATCTGACTGTTTTTCCCGAATACAGTTCTGTTGTGACTACGCAATCAAATTGGCATATAAAAAATTGAACGGCTGGATGTTTTGATGTGCTGCAGAGTTTAGCTCTTCCGGTCCTAGTTGAACGATAAGTTCCAAGCGCGAACATAATTTGGATACATAGCAGTTCAGACTGCAAACTAGCGAACTCAATCGGCAAACAATATACGAAAAAAATACATGGGAATTGCACACAGAGCGGATTGATTCGGAAAGATTGAAACCCCCGAAGCTGTAATCGTTCCTCTTAATCCCAACATAAACAACGTTTTTAAGCCTGATCTCTACTTAATCCCTACTTTCTTTGTTTTGCATACGAAATAGAGATTGTGAACTTTGGAACGAACAGAAACTCACCAAGGATTCTGAATTTTCATGGTTCATTCCATTTGCTTCGGTCTCATCTTCCTCGTGAACGGACGCATTCCGAGGATTGTCGATAGACAGAAAGTCACGAACAAGTGGGCTTAAAAAAATGGAAGTAAAAAACCCATAAACAAGTTGCATTTGGCAAAATTTCACACACATGAGGTAGCATGTGGGTTGGGGAAATGGTGGTACAATTATAGAATACCAGGTGAATATTATGTTAGAGGATCAAATTTAGAGTATAGGACTGCCCCATTTATTTTTGGGTACAAAATGTTGTTCAAACTTACTGGTCTGTTATCCCTGGTATGGCCAAAAGTTTTGTGACAAAGTCATTGAGGCCTTCTCTTCGTGCCCGGATGAATTCTAAATTGAGATTTCAATGAACTGTTCAGAAAGAATATATATTCCCCCTTTAAGATACCTTCTACTATCTTAAACACCATCTTGACTGTTTCCCAAGGTACCATTCCTACCCAAACAACCATTTCGTCAAAACTACCAACCTTCAAAACTAAAACCATACTACAAAGCAACCATACTACATGGTACACTCTAAGTAAAATACTTTAAAAAAAACTAAAATTGTGTTAAAACTACAATCATAATAAAAATACCATTTTAATAAAAAATCTGAATGAGAAATCTAAATATATGTTGTAATGTATTGTTCCAGCCACCTTTATCAAACCTACCATATCCTAATAAACTAACAATTTACCAAATTTACCACCATGAAAACAGTTCATCTACCTTCCTAATGAATTTTCCATTTTTCTGAACCACTTGTTGGTAGGCTTACCTGGATCAAAATTATTCCCAAGAATCCGTTTTCCAGGCAATTTAAAATGCAGTTCTGGGTACTTCTTCTTCAACTGAATGATAAACCATACATTTAGCATTAAAAACATGCCCAAACAAGCTTGCATATTCAATTAACCAAATATTTCACGTTGTGTTTCATTCCTAAACATTTCACATAACAAAATTATAGGACAGGACTGGATTCTGACGGATTCTAACTCACCTTTTCATAAAGTGTGTGAAACTCATTGTAGCGACGAAACAAAAACCATGTTTTATTTCCAACTTGAACAACAAGTTTGTAAACCTATAACGAAGATATCCAAAAATGTTAGTGATTGCCACATGTAATCTAGATGTGTGCAACTGCTTCCCCTCTTCCCACCTCCCTTCCTCTCCTTCAAGAAAAAAAATATCAGGTGGAAAAACAAGCAGTCACTTCAATGCTATTGGAGAGTTCATTCAAACTCAAACAAACATGTCAAAATATTGCCTTGTAATGCTGTAAGATATTTCTAGAAGATTTGGACAGTTGAAAAATACATCTATTGATATTCCTGTTGTATGAAACAACGTGAATGGCTTGTTATTCTAAAGAGATATGAAGGACCCTTAAAACAAAGAGTTTTCACACATTTAGGAAATTTGGTCAAAACATCTGATAATTTGCGACTTCGTACGGTTCAGTGGAGAATTCTCTTGCAAGTATCAAATGGAAAAATAACATCAATGGAAAGATAGTCTATTTCGCTTAAGTTGAAAACCTCAACTGGACTAAAACCTTGATAAATTTGTGTGTGTTTTCGCGTTGTATATGCCAATTAAAGTGATATTAAAAGTTCGCGTATGTATAGGAAATTTTATGTTAAACAAGGAAAGCTCGCTATAGCTGACATCTCGAAGCTGTACACCCCAGGTTGAAATTTTCTATTTAAGTAATTTTCGCTTCGAAACGCGAGTTTTTTAATTTCCATTACGCAATTTTAAGCAAACTATTTACATGTTAATCCGTTCTTTGGATAATTGGGATGCAAAGCTTGCTTGTTTTGTCTCAAAATCGCGTTCGAGCATAACAAGTTGAATAACAAAATGCAACTACAAAAAAACACTTCAAATTGAGGAAGTGGTTTGGATATAAATATCGCACGAAATATACTTCTACACTTTCCTTGACGGCAATCGCAGGTATAATACGTTGATTAAGAAAACTAGGAAGAGTTTTTACCGCCGATCGGAGGGCATTAGGCATAATTTCAAGCACTGGCAATTTAATAATAGAAAAATAGAAACGAAGATGTCAGCAAATGAATAAATTACAGAACAAATATATTCTTCCTACAAGATCCTTATAAAGTAAGCTTTTGCACAACGGTGTGGCATATAACTTGCAAGCTATCATGCTACTGTTGGCCTGCTAAACTAAATAAATCCGGAGAATTTATGCTTTGAGCCCATGCAAAGCCAAACAGACATATATCAGTTGAACTAGACAAACAACCATTGAGGGGCAACTAGAGTCTATTTTAATTAAAAACAATATAATGCCATGTAAAGCACACTTACCGTGAATTTCTTCGATTTCTCAGAGCTTAGGGTTTCCGAGTCGGGTACACTCACACCAATAGGAGCTGCCGACATAGTACTACACAGCAATCAGAAACAGCTAAGGAAAATACACAGTGAACTTCCTTCGTCGTGATGCGAATATAACTCCTCAAACTGCTGGTAAACAAGCGTTGCAGAGTGGCCTGTGAACGTCGACACAAGAAGGAATCTTCTTGCCGTGTAACCGCATACGACAAATACAGCAATACACGCTTCAACTGCTGTATTCCTAACGAAATATTCGCTAACTAATGTCGGCAAAGCTTCGCCCACAACCCGCAAGAGCAATTTTATGTATTTTACATCGAATATTTACCACGCGGTTGGGAGAAGATCCGCTTTGGTCTTTTGGCCTGTTACCAACTTCCAGTATGACTCATTTCTTGTACATTTCAAAATTGTCTAATCAATTTCCACTATTGATCAACAATTTACCCTACTTCCAGTGTATATTTAACTTCTTCGAAGCCCAAAAGCGAAAAACGTTGGTATTTAAAACATACTCAACCGCATTTCACTTTTGTTTCACTACAAGATGTAAGACCTGATGAAAATCGCTAATCCTCCAACTACCAAACCATGAGACGAGTAACTTCCGGAGAAAAGCTTCCTGTTGACAAGTAATGAACAAAGTATTTCAAATTTTTTTTTATTACATGCAAAATTTTGGAAATGAAAACTATTTTGTCAATCGCTGAAAACAAAAATACACCAGTTAACCGTCAATTGTTTCTTGCAATTAAACAAAACAGGAAGACTGAATGACTTAATTCGTGGTCGCAACGCATTTTGCTTAGGGATGTGAAATTTTAGTTCGGTTGTGTTAGTTTTCACACATCTGTGAGAGCCAAAATGGCACGTGTGTTTACTAAAGGAACGCCAAGACTGCCAAAAAATGCTTCAACACTAGCAAAAACTGCGTGGGGAACTAGCATTGCGACATGTATGTCGTTTGCGCAATGTGCTTGCCCACTTTCATCTCAAACTAAATGTATTGCAACATACGTGTGGACATTTGCACAATTCTTTACGCGTTATCTTTCCTTAGCGCAAGCGATAACGCTGGTTATCGCTACATCTGGGCAACTGTACCCAAATATGATGCGTCGTACTGAAGACTTGAAAGGTACCTCGAGTTTGGGGGAAAGGAATTAATCTTTGGTATCTCGCCAGCATTCTGCTAACTTACAGACGAAACGTCCTTGCAAGGAATTGATAAAACCCGTCAAAGATCTCGTTATCGTTTTCTGGCAGTAATTAATACGCAATTTAGCACTTTCCCCGGCCACTGTGCGTGGGCCGGATATTATGCTAATCACTCTTTCGCACGTACTGTAGGTGGATTACGCAAAGTAATCTGCCCTGCCCTGGGCTGCGTCATGTCCACTAGATTTATCTGAGGGGGAGTGTATATCGGTTTAATCCATCTCTTCCCGTTTTCACAGACGTTTATTTCATAAGAAATAAGCTTCGCTACATTTCTCTTCAAGACGAAAAATGTTTTTTAACATCGGGTAAAAAACAATCAGATTCGTATCAGACAGTCAGGACTCAACCATAGTTTACACATTTTCGTCCTAGTACTGCTGATTTTCTGAGAGCAGAGGCTAGGAACCAGGACAAGCACTATTAAACGGGACCAAGCTAAGTTTTAGACAGTATCGTTCAACTCATTTTTAAAATATTTCACTGAAAATTCTGCGTTTATCGCAGCGAAAAAGTTTGACAACTTCACAATCAAAAGCCAATTCCATAGTGCTTGCGTCACCTTCGTAAAATAGTAAAATCTTGCACTGCTGGTTAACTAAAGTTAAAACACACTAGCTTCTTAGTTTCACCCGCATTTACACAGACCAAAAAACATGTGGAACAGTTCTCAAGTTCACAATAGTCGCTTCATGCTAGAGCGTTAGAGCTACACTCTCTCACTGAACCACCGATTCACATTGAAAAAAATTTGCAAACGCAGTATGAATCACAAGAAATTTAGAATCAATCGTCTAAGTCAAATATCAACTGGTTGGTTAGCTCTGGTTTTTCAACTTTAACAAACGATCCACCAATGTCATCTTCATTATCATCATTATCGCCATTCTGATCCTTACCATCTTGATTATCGTCAATATCATGATCATCACCATCACCGATAATGTCTTTAGTCAATTCTTTAGCGTTTCCATCATCTGAGCTGGCACTGGAACGAGTGTCTTTCAACGAGGATTTCAATTTACAAATCGTGTCATTGTTCGTTTTGTCCCGTTGGGTTCTCTCCAATTCTGAGCTTCCATTTAGTAATTGCTGTTTCCTTAATTCTTTCCATTTCCTTTTGTCGGCCCTATTACTGAACACGTGGACTTCTGGCACGGGATTGAATCGCACACGATGTCCGTTGTGTTCCGCATCATAATCATCGTGTGAGTCTGCGCTGCTTCCGAAAGAAAGTGACCGCGACATGCGTGAACGTCTCGCGTGTTTTTCGCGCTGTTTTCCGCGTCTCGTGGACCCATCATCATCCTCGCTTACCGACGACGACTGATCGTGGCTGCCCGTACTCCGTCGACGTCGGCGACGGTTTTTCCGGCACTTAATGGCACGCGCTTTTTGCAATTCGGCATTGCCCGACGTAGTTTCGTTTTTCACCTGAAAAAGGTCGGTTAAAAGGACCGCGTCATCAATTGGGATATGGATAGCATGTAAGATATGTGTTTTAGATTCTCAGTGTAGGAGCATGAGGAACAGGACCGAGCCTGGACCTCGGGGTAGGGGGTGCACCCATACATCGATGCTCTTACACCATTAAAACAATCGTCAAAAGGAATCAATCGCTTCAGAAATTGGAAGTGTAATTACCTCATCCGCCAGATCGTCTTCTTGCACTGTGCTAAGTCTCGTGGGTTCGTTCAGAACATCATTGTCATCATAAATCTCATCGATCACTTCCACCTCTTTAAGATCGGCATGATTCACTATCACTGGATCGTTTTTTGTGTCCGCTGTATCTCTCTTTAAATCCTCACTGGTGTTGTCTACAAAATAGGTACACGAGATATTAAGTAGTTTTAATCGACTTCTACTCCTAAATTAAACTAGGCAAGTTTCCATTGCGCTATTTCAAAGTATATGGAAAACAGCCAAAAAAGTAATTTAATGAGAGTACCACAACGAAATTCAAACTGAATTGGCCAAAAACTAAACTCTTTCAAATACTCCCTATGCTTCTTTTCTTATTATAAAATGTGCCGCGTGTGTTTTTGAACATCACCAGATTCATCCACTATGACTGCGATATATCCAAGCGTCACAATACCCGACCGGGATTATCACCCTCGTGTACCCAGGACCACGTAAGCTCGATACTAGACCCGGAATACCTGTGCACTGCACTGCATCCTCAGACACTGCATCGCTGCCACCATCTTTAACTTCGCTAAACAAAATGTCGTCGACATTTGTCAAAACATTTCCCATATCCTCGGCAACGACCGCGCTGTTTTCCCGCCGGATGTCGACGCGAATCACGGATTCCTCGTCGCTGCAACTTTCGATTTTGTGCCTCAGAGTGATTGGTTCGTTCACCTGCTACAAAGTGAAAGATAAATATTTGTGATTCAAGATGTTTGGACTCCTTAAAGGACCATTTACACTTGCAATTTCTCGTGCAATTTTCCTCTTTTGATGGATATGAACGAGTGGGAAGTTACTAATGGTCTAATATATAAGTACCCTTATTCACACATCCGTAACTTATCCATTTGTTCACATCTATGAAAAGGAGGAAATCGCACAAAAAATTGCAGCAAAAATCACAAAGGTAAACGGGCCTTAAAGTTTAGCTTACCCACTCATCTTTAACTTCATTCAATGAATCTTTCAAAGTCTCTTCGGTCAAAAACAATTTCTTCTGCAACAAACCACGGTGAAAGTTACCTTATAAATCACGGCTAACAACTTCAATTCGATAAAATGTTTAAATCCACATATATTTCAAATAATCTTGCACCGGCTTGGTATTATAACCTTATTTTGCATTGCCCGAGGATACACAAAACATCACATTCGTAACCACGATAAGCAAGAGCCGTCTACGGTGCCCAAATCGTGATTTTTATGCGAAGTTTTGTTGTTATATAATGTTATTTTGTTTGGGTCTCGTGGCCTGTTTCGGATCAATGAATAAGAGAGGAATAATCTACTCATTATCACAGCCTGATCATTCATGCGGTTGCTGGTATGACAATTATTGCTCGGCCATTCTCATAACTGGTGTTGCATTGTTTATAGGAAAATTAAAATCGTATCCGTGGCTAATTCAATCATGGTTGTAATTTTTTAAAAAAACTTTCAACCCTGAGTGTGCGAACGGTTGCCAATACTTAAGACTGTTGCTTTTTAGTTGATAGTTATGAAGTGACTGCAAACTCTCACGCATTGAGTTTTAGGGTGAACGAGCTTTTAAGACGTAAAGCCTAAAGGCCAGGGGCCGGTTGTATCAAGCCCGTTTAGCTTAAACGGTGGTTAAGTTCAAAATAGAAAGCAAGTCTATCGTTTTATTCAAGAAGCAAACTAAATGTTTATAACCTTAATACAAAGATACTGTTTACAACTACATATTTAGTGCATAATATTCAGGTTGACTCATTCAACAGAGATGTATATAAGAGTGTTATTTAATTTTCACTTAACCACCGTTTAAGCTAAACGGGCTTGATACAGCCGGCCCCAGATCCTATCATGTGAACAAAATTTTAACCAGTTGTTTACCGGTTTAATATCGAAACTTCTTCATATTTGCACAAGGAAAATGCAAAAAAACATAATAATTTTAAGCACAAACAGGAAAAGGATGTGATGATACTTTGCAGGAAATCTTAAGTCAATGAAACCAGACAAAACTAAAGAAAACTAGACGAAACTAAACTCATCGAAACTAAAACAATCTTTGAACAAACATAAAGTGGCCCAAACGAAGCTTGACGGGGAGGGGGGAGGGGGAGAGGGGAAGGGGATAAACGATTGGGAAAGTTGAGGAAAAACATGACTTAGGGGACACTACCTGTAGTGTGGATTCGTCTGAACCAATCATACACCATTGCCACATTCCAACACAGTTCTCCTTTTTGTACAGAACCACCACCAAGTTTGTCTCGTTTAAATCAACAGTTGATTTCTCGGAATCGATCAGACACTCGTTCGGAAATTGAACGTGTAAAGCGTAGCCAGGGGAAAGAAAATCTGTCGCCGTGATGGACGTCGAAGGGAAGTTAATACAACACTAATAAAAATAAACTATTTGTAACCTTCATGATGTGAGTTGGAACGAGTGCTGAATCATAACAAATGGAGGTGAAACTGGACTTAAATGCCAATGACAATAGATTTAAACCATTAAGCGAAAGTTGAAGCCATCTTTCCATATAATTAGTCGATGGAAAAGGCGCCGACACGATTGTAATTTACCATCAGTCATTCTCACCTTATTTCCATTAAATCCCAGTGACATGGTATCCAGGGAAACATTAGGAACGTGAAGAACGAAAGTGACACATTCATTATTTTGATGAAATGAATACGGAGGAGTCGTGAAGACCGGACATGTGACACCTATACGAGATTAAACACTGATTAAACAATTCAACTTTGCTGCCTGCACTATCTGTGTATGCAGTACCACATCTGAGTGATGGGTGTTTTTGTTCTTCCAGATTCCATCAGTCTTACCCTCCCATATCTAGTTAACTATCGCAATATGGACCCACCTGAATTGCTTTTTGTTCGTTGTTCTTCATTTGCACCTGTGCAAGCGCTCTGGAGTACGTCTGTAGTATCAGCCTGTAAATTGTTTAACCCATTTTCAATGTTTTTAGAACCACCACTTTCACGTTTATCACCGATAATTTCACAATTGCTGGCACCATTATGACCGCTAGTCTTGGTACTGGTACCATCATCGCCAATAACACCAATCCCTTCATCAACATTACCACCACTGTGGTCACCAACACTATCGCTATTACCAGAACAAGCTACACCCTCACTCACAACAGGCGAGCTGCAGTCTTGATCACCGTCAGCGATTTCAGTCACCAAGCCGTTCCCTTTGGTGTCCGCAGCCTCGCTATCCGCGTATCCGTTTAGAACGGCAGGTGGTGCAGGTATTACGGGCAAGGTCACGATGAGTCTTCTCTTGCTTTTATCAAACTGAGCGCGTCCTTCGTCTTCGTTGACAGGGTATGGAAGAGTTACCTGACATTGGTCAAGGTAATATACACAGCAACGAATAGAATTTTTAGCCTATTTTCCATTGGGTGAATTTGCACACCCGAAAACCTGTGGGCTCAAATGATCGAAAACTTTGCAATGGATTGCAATGGACACACATGGTGTATCCAAGGGAACATCTGAATCCTGCTTCTGAAAAAAAGGATACGTCCAAATGATATTTGGGATCAGAACTGTCAAGTATTAGTTTCTTCTCAAAAATATCCAAATCAACTCCTGAGGATGTCGCCTGTACAAAAAAACAAAAATTATAATCGTGATCAGGTTGAAACGAGAACACCACGTTCTTAATTAATTTCATGGCGGCCTCTATTTTAAAATTTCCACACTAAATTTTAATACTTACACAAAGTGGTAGTTCTATATTTACGACCAACTCCTGAGGTCTGGTACTGGTTCTTGAATCTCTGCAAAGAAAGGTAATTCGTACAAGATTCCATGCAGCGGATTAATGGGACACCTTCAAAGTAGACCATCAAATTATCTTAACGGATTTCGACTATAACTTTAACTAAGATTACCGCAAAGGCAAGCTGGTAAACGAGTAATTTTTCGTTGAAATAACGATGAAAATCTTACTGCGAAGCTATCATTCTTCATTACCTTGCGTTGGTAAAGTTCTGAAGATCCAAATGTCCACGATGCACGATGGAATATTCTGGTGTAGAGGAACGGTCGATTGAATCATCGGCAATATCATTTGACGCTTCATTCGTCTTTTCTGTACATTCTATTGGCTTATCTTTATACGGATACGGTAGTTTTTTGCCCCCAATCTCAATGTCTGCTCCGCTAGTTTTTACGCCCTAAAAATCAAGACGTTCAAAGAGGTGTTTGAATGACCTTACTACTGTATTATGTCTGAAATGAAAAGCTACGTCCTTTATATACAGATCTCACTAAATGCAAAGTTCACTGGCTCAGTTCTTTTCCTGGAGTAGTGATGAGATTTTCGGTGTTAATAAATTAGAGAAGTGAGTCAAGTGACTACGTTTTTCGGCAGATATACCTAATGCTCTCACTCCTGTTGACAAATACATATGTACGTCAGGAGGATGATTGGAAAATTCTCTGATCCAGGAAAACATACCTTGTCATTAGCCGTTCGTATAACGCTTGATGTTTTCGTTCCTTTGAATTTTATTTTCGGATATTTCAAATCTAAACAGTTAAACGAGAAAATTGCCTGGATTTTTATACCCAAAATCATGGAATCTAATCATTAGTTCTAGCTCCAGTTGTATTAAACCTCGATATTACGTACTTTTTCTGTCCACTTTGACACTCCAATTTCTCTCAATTGCGTCAAACGCGGTATCAAAAATAAGCTGTTTAAAACGAGGATCCTGGAAAACAGTCAATGTATAGTAATATACTACAATCTTTGCCAAAAGCTATGGGACAACTGATGCAATAGATCCTTTTGATAATTACATAACATCATTATCATTTTAAATTTAGAATCACCAGGTTGTTATGGTATTTATATCAGTATTCATTTCTTTAGAAATTTATTGTTTTCACAGTCAACAAACACCAAAATATTAGCATAGCGGGACAAAATTGTCAGGCTGGCTATGTCACTGTTTAATACCTCTTGTCCCATTTTATATGTTTCTGTATGAAAAATGACATCATAAACTTTACATTTCTTTCCCGCTATGAGAGACAAATGATAATTAGAAACTATTAATGTAAATTGATCATATATGAACATTTATATTACTTTTACAATGGCTTTTCGGCTTCTACAAGAAGAATTAAGTCATTGTCATGTATATACCTTTGTCTAAATCTTCCCTAGGTTGATTTAAACTGTACGGTATTGACCACTGCTGTCCTTTGACACTAGAAATATAATATAATATATTAGATAAAAAAACATGTAATTGATTTTATATCTTACCTGTTAATGTTATTTTTATATTTGCAGAATCATACAACCTCGCAAGCCAGGCTCTTTTACCTACGCTCCTCGCGGCCAACGCTGCGGCAAAGACTCTGGTCAAGGCTGGTCTTTGCCACAGCGTGGGCCGCGAGGAGCGTAGGTAAAAGAGCCTGGCTTGCGAGGTTGCAAAATCATATTGTTTTTACAGACATTGACTCTGAAGTGAACAGTTGGCAATGTGTGAAGTACAGTATTATTTTCCAGCTTACCTTCTTTCATCAACAGTTTTGTTGCTTTCCTCACAAGTTGCCTTAGTAACAGCATCACTCTGACATATATTGATGAAAGCTTTCATGTTTTCAGCATTGCTTTTAATCGATGTCTTCACAACCAGTCCATCCTGTGGAATACAACTAACAAGTGAAGTTATGGATTGCATAAAGGCTTCATTGTCTAATACTTGTAGTTACATCCAAACTACCTGTGGATTTATAAATTTCACATCCATTCCTCTCTCAGCTTCAAGCTGTGCAATTTCCTCTTCATATTTCTAAAGAATTGGTTTTTACGCAAAATTTTAATTCAAATAAGTTCACAGAGATATTTCGACCGAACAACATATGCTGGCTCAACTGGTTGCATTTCAAATATACAAACCTTCTTATTTTCTGGATTGGAGATTTCTTGAGCATATTCACTGAACATCTTTCGAAATTCCTCATTTTTCATGGCCTTTTGAAATCTCTCCAATTCCTGTTTTGATGACAATTTTATAAAATGGCCAAAAATGAATACGGCATAATATGAAATATAGCATATGAACAATAACAGGATCCCCCTTAATGATATCCTAAAGATATGACCACAGTTTGCTTTAATTTTTGTCTAAAAATCATTGCTTTCCCTAGGCAGGAGGGGGGGGGCACTTTTTCTAGGGTAGGGGTTGTAATGTCTCCCTGTAGACCCAAGATAGTAAGATCTATCACTATTTGTGGGTGGAAATAATACCATTTGCCTTGCTATAGAAGTAATACCTGCATATTATTTACTTACTGTTTATGCAAAATTGGTTCACACAAAATTGGTTAGATGAAAAGGTAGTAAATTGCTTTATATATTACCGTATATCATTGGTCTATACAATTACCATACAATTTAAATATGCAATCTACAATACGATCTACGATATGATCTGAACGTAAAAATATCACAAAAAATATGAATTTTTTTTAATGCCAAAACTACGTGTAAATGTTTACGATGCGCAAGTAATCGTTTCGAAGCGAGGCAAACTTTAATCCTGTTAAATTTTACACAATCAAGTTGTTTTAAACGTGCTATTTGGATCAAGTACCTCCTCAGTAATATTCAACTGGCTTTCCTGATTTGCCATGCTGCAATCTGAATAAATCTTCTTTAGATCGCCGTATTTTTTGCTTTTAATTTGGCAAAAATACTATTTGTTTACACTGGTTTTTGTTTGTTACTTTTTCTGAGGAAATCCGCTATACTTTATCTAAGGGTCAGTATAGTGGTACCATGTGACTCGAGAAAAAGATGCAACCAACGGTATATTTCTACAAATTTATTCATTTTTATTTCAACTTAAAACTTTTTAAATTATTCATACAACTACCCAAAAATACAGCATCTTTGAGTGCTAGGTCAAAATCGCAGTTTGCATAGAGCCATAGGCATAGCTCTCAATCCTCTCATTAATTAAACCTTCTTTTACAACAACGGCTTCTTTATTCAACATTAGCCGTATTCAAACGTATAAAACAGAACCAAACACGAATTTTTTAACTCCTTATCCTAACTTGTATTCAATCTTCAACTACAAATTAAGCCATCCGGCGGCATTTTGGGTAGTTATAGAGCTATATACGTACGAGGCAAAGATATTTACAAATAAATAAACAATTGTAAAGTCTTCAGAAAGATGATATTTTCAGCCAAACGAGAAGGATGGGTTTTGTGGAACACCGCAGTATTGACCAAGAAATCTCAAAACATCCTGGCATTCAGGGTTATGAGACATCTAAGATAAAAAACAACAAAAATTACTGTAATATTTCTCTGATGCATATTTTTGCCACTGAAACTGAACAGTATTCCTCTTCAGTACTGGACAAAAAAGATCGTTATGCCAATGTTTATCTAACCATACGTTTGTTTCAAAACGACTTCTCACGAATACCTTTGTTGCCATGACAAATTTATTCCAGGCTTCTTTATTCGCGGCTTTGCCATGTCTCTTGAAGTCAATCTTATTTCTCAACACAGGATAACCTAAAGTACAGAAAATAGCCTTTGCAACTACGCCCAATCTGACTGTCAATGTCTTCTTCATAAATACATATGCAATTTATACTCACCTGTGATGACACAAGGTAGGGAAGTAATGTTTGTACTGGGCGAAACCAGAGATGCAGCGTATGTACCACGTTCATCAACAGGAAGAACTTGTTCAACCTGGAAAGTCAAATGAAAAATTATCATCACACCCCTTCACGAATCTCATCCCTATACCGGTGTCTATTGCACAGTTTCTTCAATGGTCTTTCAGTGAAAGAAAAATCTACCTAAATCAACGCAGTTTTAAATATCGACAGTGTTTAGTACAGTCAAACCTATGGTCAAACTTGGGCACTCGTTTCACGCGCAACTGAGCTGAAATTATGATCAGAAAACAGGAAAAATTTGCAGAGTTGAAGCTCAGTAGTTTGCATTTGTATGGTCCATTTTTTATTCCCCTAAATCAGAACCAAGATAACCACCTTCTGATCCATGGAAACAGCCAGTACCCATTCTTTCACTTCTTCTCGTTTGTCCTCCTAAATGAGAATAAAAGTAAACTGTTTGGATCTTTTCTTAATCCTTAACCTGCCCCAAATCTGCAGTAAGGTAACTCGGCCAACTTACTGGTAAATACTGTCTTTCTGGTACTGGAACCTCAAAGGGAATGTCCGTATCCATGAAATCGGTGTTGTCAAGATACTCAAGACTTCCTTCTTCAATGCCCTAAGACACCGGATAAATGTTGAGATATTCAGCAAGCTAAAACCTGGATTAGATCTAGCTTATATAGATATAGGGCTTATGTAATTCCTTGGCTAAATGTGGTTAGGGTTTGTAGATTCAGGGCTGACATTCTGCATGCATTGGGGATGGAAATCGACGGTTAGATATGTAGTTATTTCAAATATGTTGATGCAGAAGGACGTTGTCTTAAGCAACATCGCTCTGTCTCAAGATGCTGGCGACCTTACCTCACTTATATCCAAATAACGATTCAAGAAAACAAAGGCCATGTTTTCCATCCCAGCGTTCTGTAATACGAAGATCAGAGGTACAGTAAGATGCCCGCGTTGCAAAGAGCTTACATCGTATCAAGACAATTTCATATGAGGATCATTTACCTTTGCCGCCATTCCTGCTTCGTAAAAGCCTTTGTCACATGGTATGATGTCCGTATGACGCAGTAATGACACGCTGATTTGAGCAGCGATTGAATCCTGGAGATATAAAACAAAAATATAGTTTATTCTACTCTAGTTTACGCTATTTATTTGAGTTCAGTTAAATTCACCCAATTCGGTTTATCTTGGTTCAGTAAGAGTTCAGTTCCGTTCACCCTAATACAGTTTATCTTATTGATCCAGTTAATACAGTTCATCCTAATACAGTTTATTCTAAGTTCAGTCCATTCCCCTCCAGTTTAGCTCATTTCAGCTAAGTTCAGTTTAGTTCACCCCAGTACGGTTGACTTTAGAACATCCCAGCATTCCAGTCTAATTAGTCCAGTTGTGTACCTACCAATGAGTCCTGCTGCAGGCAAGCTGCACGGTTAGCATAATAATGGCAGACCAACAACATGTCTTCAAACTCTTTCAACACCGGCGATCCAGCCTTTGAGATTTTGTTCAACCCTTCGGTCTAAAGTCAATGAATCCATTGAAGTCCATCATGCGTATACATAGTTACTATAATATGGAATCTCACCAGTTTACAACTCACCACTTCAAAGATAACGTCTCGCATGTCCGCCCAAAGTTTATACTTGTCAGGAGAACTCATTCCGTCCATGGACACCATTTCGTAAACGATACGTTTGTAGATATTGAAGTTCTGAAAGGATATGCCAGATTTTCAGCAAAAGAAATAATAACGAAAGCGTGGAACAGCATTAGCCATGAGTTTGAAGCAAAATAGTAATACATTTAACGATGTATTTGTTCATGATAAGATGGTTTACCTGAGATATTGGAGGAGCTCCATGTTTTACAAATAAGTCCAAAGCTTTCATGGTATTGTTTTCTTTGATCAAATGAGCAGCATACTGAGCAACGTACTTGCTAAGCACTTCGTTACCCTGTTCACAAAAATAGAAACTTATTCGTTTGTAGTTATCGCCTAACTAAATGGTTTACAGTCGACCTGACTAACCTACCAAAGTATCGACCTGTTTAATGCCATTTTGTGGTAAAAACAGAGGTGAAAACATGCCAAACTATGTTAAATTGCACGCATTACCTGTTGTTCTGCTGTTTGAATGCACTTTGCCCATTCTCCGCGTTGAACCATCATATCAAGACCAGCTATGACATCCACATCTACAAGCTAAATTGCGCACCATAATTGCGAAATTAGAAAGACCAAGGCGAGATTAGATCAGTAACATAGGTTGAGGCGACTGAATTTTGAAGAAGGCTGATTCAAGAATAGTTTAAAACTATGCTTTGGAGCGAGACAAAAATTATAATCACCTGATCAGCTTTGCCTTTCTGCTTTAAGAACGCAACATATCTTTCTTCCACGTATCCCTCCAAACTTACAGAAAAATATAAATAAATTAATGAGGATCCGCGGAGCAACAGTTCTTCAATTCAGTTGTAAATGAATTATTTCAAGTTGTGAAAGCCACTAATGTTATTGTACTAACTTTGGCGCCATATCCGCTGCACATTTTTTTGCCTTGGCCCAAAGTTCCCCGTCAATAAACATATCGATAGCTTCTTTAACCATCTCAATTCCAAGATACAACTCTGCCGACTAAAAAATATAATGGCAAATCAACTTTGTTTATCTTTTGGCTTGTGGACAAGGTTGTTGGTGAAGAAAGTAAAACTTTCATACAATTACCTGTGAATAATATTTAATTTCAGCCAAACGTTCGCATGCAACTAAAGTCACATCTTCCGCTCTGTTGGGTACAAACTTCATCGCCAACTCCACAGCCTGAATAGTAGAATGATAAAATAAAGGATTACAAAGGTCTGTTCACACGATCCAATTTTGTCAAACGAATTCACTTCTGGTGAATGTTTTATAGTCTGTTGACTGGCAAAATATATGGACAGCAAATCAACTAACGCCAATGCAGTAGTTTATTAGTAACAAACTACATTCCATACGTCAGAAGTGAATTGGATCCGAAAAAGTTGGACCTTAAGGTCACCATGATGACGAGAATCAACTGACTGTCAAGTATTTTATCTTGAACTCTTAAATATAATCGTGGCAAGGCTATTTTAAATTTCTCATACCTTTTCCCAAGCGTTGGCCAATGAATCTTTATCGTCCGAACTGTTTGGAGTGACCTTGAGGTACATATCAATTGCACGAGAGTGTTCACCTTTCATCTCCCAGTCTCTGGCCTGCGCCAGGATACCGTCAGCTCCACTTTGAAAGAAAAACATGTAATATATTAAAACCTACCATTTACATAAACTCGATAAGTACGTCAGTCATTAACCACAAACGGAACAAAGAAAGAAGATTGGTAACAGATTAGGTTTATTCCTACCTATTGCCCTTTGTCAAAGATTCGCGTTCGTACTCATCTTGCCACTGAGAAATCTATACAACAAGAACAAGTTTGTAATGTCCTTATACGTGAAAGGCGAGTCTAGAGTTGCTTGGGGAAGATGCAAGGGGAGTCTCTTTCTACCCACCCTCCAGAGCAATGTAATGCCAGGGGCATGGGAACTAACCTTGTGGGGAAGATATTCTTTGACCACTCTCAGAGCATCAGTCCACATCCCAGCTTCCTAGAAGAATGAAGACTCTTATGAAGACAATAGTTTGACATGTCAGGAAATTCATTCTTATATACACCTTATCTTTCCCTACGTGGTACATACAGGCACTATTCCTTTAAGCCATGGACCCGCTATACACACCTTGTAATATCTGGCGGCAAGCTCTGGTCTTTGAGCACGCAACAAACACGTCTCGGCACGCTGGAAGTCTTTTTTCTCGAAAGCTACACGCGCTTGGCCAACCAGCACGTCAGCAACGCTGTCAGGATCGTGATCTTCGGCGACACGTTGCGCGCTATCCCAGTCCTGATTATGGACATGCCTACCGAGGGGCGCACGACACAAACATAGAGTTAGAACACAACAGAAGCGCAAACACAACCTGTAAAATCCACCATAAATACCACGTTATCTTCCACTTACATAAGTACGGCTTCCTTTGGTTTGTTCGCCTTGATAAACTCTCTCTCGGCTTCCTGGAATTTCCCTTCGTCCTCCAGGAACATGGCGTGTTTGAGATGAATATCAGATAGCTTCTCTTTCTTTGCCGTGCGAGCCAGGTCAAACGCAAACTCAAAAGACCTTAAAAAAGGGGCACATTTTCTATTATTATGAGGATGTACCTTTGTGCATGCCGTTTTCCCCACGTCGTTAGGGGCCAAGTCATCCGTCCAGACTCTATAGAGCTCACCGGTTGGGATTGTCTTATGAATTGTTATAGATCATGTACAACTCACCCGTTATCAGCAGCATAATCAATAGCAGTCTCCAGCAAACCAAATTTGGTTAGTAGTTTCACAGCAGAGTCTCCGCCTGCCAAATATACGTTAAACTTGTATAGCATTCATACTTGAATCAGGTAAATCATCTCAAGTTCATACCTAGGGTCTTTGCCCACAAATATGCGACTTGTTTTGATGCTGTAGGGCCACCATGTTGCTTAGCAACCTAAAAGGTACCATGACGTCATTTTTTCTAGGTATTATGGTACACGTATGACCCCGAGAATAATGAGAACAGTTCAGACATGAACGTGGACTTACCCGATAAGCTTCGTCCCACATTTCGTTATTGCGGTACATGTTGACAGCGGCTTTCCAATCGTTCGCTTGGATGTAATGATGTTCAGCTTGACGTAGTTGATTTTCACTCTCGAGTTCCTAGGAAAATCATCGCGATAACTTCACGTGATCTGATGGAAAAGATTTAGGCACAGTGTCTATACCTTTGCCAAGTGAATATGAGTGTCATCCAGGAGCTCCTTGTGAAATTGATTGACAAGTCGTATCATCTGATCATACTGTTAATAATAAAGTTACACATGGATTACACATATGAATGTCAGGTTTTGATTGTACGAAGCTTGCTTGGAGAGCGCAATATTCAATATTAGCAATAGCGCAATATTGGTCACTCACCTGTTTTATTTTCTTATACATATTAATGGCATAATCGGGTTCGTTGATAGTGAGATAAAGTCTACAAAAAGCAACAAATACCTCGATTTATGTTTCATAATATTGTCAGTATAAAGCCCTACAACGTCGGCATCTTCAATCACAAGAGGGGGGGAGGAGTGGGGGGGAGTGGGCACCCTTGTGCCAAAATGTACTGTCATCTATAAGGCTGCGGAGGTTAACTAACCTTTCTGCTTCCTTGTATTTTCCTTTCTCTTCGAGCTGTTGCGCCTGGGTGACGTAGAGTGTTGTGACTTCATCTGGCTCCATGCAAGTCACTGTCAACTGCATTCAGAGAAGATACAATCTATCATCCATCGCTTATAACTAACTATAATATCAAAACTGTTGTGATTACCGTACCTTATGAGCTGCTTCGTACATATTAGCTTTCGTATACATATCTATAGCATCTTTCGGATACCCTGCTTTGACATACAACTTTTCGGCGATCTAAATAAAAAAGGATCGCTCTTGTGAAGGTAGAATCGAGGGTAAACTATACGAAAACACTCCTTGTTAAAAATTATCCCTACGAAGTATCTTTCTCTTCCATCAGTCAAGATTTCAATTTTTGCGTTACCTTGTATTCTTTAGCCTGGGCATAATGTTGTGCTATTAGACGGTAATACCTGATAGAAAAGATATTACATTACGAGAGAAACAATGCGTTTATAATATATGAGCGTTCTGGGCAGAAGATCAAAGCCTATTTAGTAAAAGATGCAACTCTACAGTGACGAAGACATATGAATACATTATATAAGAATTCTCTTACTTCTGCGCAGTTTCCTTATCATCAACTACCTCCAATATTTGCACAGCCTTGTTCCACTGTCTTGCATGAATAGCGGCGTCGATTGCCTTTACGGTACAGCTAAAACAACAACACATTCACCGTGTAAATAGATCAACCAGCACTGGTTATTACGAACATATTAAGTCGTGAAGCCCAACCACAGCTACACCCACTCGGTTCCAGTGCCATACCCGTTCCCTTGTACCAAATCACTTCTTAGCAGAAAATAAATCAGGTTGAGTTAAAAGTGAATAGTTACCCAGCTTCGATGTAGTGATTAATTGCGGCGTCCATTTGTTTCTGAGAGTAAAGATAATTGCCCCAGGCCTCTTCAAGCTTGACGACTTCTCTCGGAAAAGACACTCTGGCAAGTTCCACCGCTAAAACAGGAGTAGATTTCGATGTGAAAAATCCGACAATGTTTCTATATTTACCCGAGTAATAGCATTCAAAGAACCGAGACAAAATCTTACCTCTTCTGAAAGCATTTCCTTTCTTGTATGCTTCGAGCGCGCGTTGTTCTTTTCCAACCCGTTCAAAAAGCTCACCCGCCTAAAATTCAGGTGCAACGGAATGGGGGATGAGGTGAGCCACTGTGAGCATTCATTGGGCTATTAGGTATGGTTTTTGTACTTTTCACGTTTCAGTGATTTTAACGTACCTTGTCGTAGAGACCAGACTTGAACAAAGCGGCAGCAATTCGCTCCATTAGTTCCGGGGAGTTGGCCAGCTCCTGAAATATGAACATCGTTTGTTTGTTCAAAGCTATGAAGTGCATGCATGCATGCCCTAACTCAATTACCAATCCACGGTTGACCCACGTCCACAGATCAACTGTATTCTGCAGCTGCAATTCTCCCGAAGTCACACGGGCAGTCTCTTTAACCTACCTCACGACTCATCGCCAGTCTCGCTGCTCTGGCAGGCAGACCTGCTTTCATGTACAGATTGATCGCTTCCATGTAATTGCCTTGATTCTCTTTAACCTAAGACATGACAAAGAATTCGTCAGCCAGCAGTTTGAAGACCGAATCAAGGCATAGCTCAGCCGATTGCCGACAAGTTTCATTCAATATTTACACTGACCTCGCCAGCTTTCTCTTCTTGTTTTGTGTCCAAAAGCCACTGCAGGTGTGAACTTCGCAAGCGATCAACTTCCGGATGACCCTGGATGAAAAACGTTCAAAATCTGTGAAAAAATTCCCTGCTATGGATAGCAAATGGTTCTGTCATGGCCATGAACCACTTCTCAGCCATTTTATCGTGTTCAACACGAACTGGTAAATAGACCTTTTCATAATGACGTCAAACGCGGAAAGTCTAATCTTACACGAAGTTTGATTGGCTCGACAGTTTTGTGGAGCCAATCAAATTTCGTGTGACATCAGGCTTTGAGTGAGCATTCACCTTGGCTTCTGCAACAGCGATGGCTTCGTCCCATTTGTGAAGCTCTTGATACATCTCGATAGCCTCGTCCACATGTCCTTGTTCGAGAAGAATGTTCTCGGCTGTTTTGAAATTCTTGTTGAGCACAGCCAGCTTCGCACGCACCATGAAATGATGGCTGCCGTCTCCACCCTGAATGACGATAACGCGAGATTAGAATACTTATATTCAGTACTACCAAATACACAACAAAGGCATGATTGAAATCAGAGGATCAATCATTTGACAGGAAAAACATTACGAACTCGAAATGTTGCTATATTCTGGCGCTTCGCCGGACAATGCTAGCGTGTTTACATGAGACGACGGTTTGCCTCAACTAAATCTATTCCTTCTCTCTCTTTCTCTTATCCAAATAGTCAATCTAACTTATCAATATGCATGTCTAAGCTGAAGGGTTCCACACCATTTCCCGTTAAGCACCACTAGTATTACTTAGTAGCATACCAAAAACCTACCATGTCCGCCGCAGCCTGTTGAGCCAACTCATTCACTTTCTTCAAATACGTGGCTTTACTGATGTCTCCAAGTGCTGCATAACATCTCTCCGCTATCAACAACTGTCTGTCTTCCAAAGCAAGCTTGCTCAAGGTCTTCCACATCGCTTCAGTCTCGGGAACCATCTCGAGTGTCTCCAAAAACGAGACAGCTCTAGAACGAACGACGAACCAAGAATTAGTTCGGCTTAGGTTTAGTATAGCTGGGAATAAGACAGACTTTTGAAATGGACTTTGTCGTCGGAGTTAGTCTTACAAACGGTGAGATTTACATTCTAACCTGGCAAAATCTCCATCGTCAATGGCTGTCCCAAACTCTATAAGTCCTTCGTCTAAGGTATACGAGACCGTTGTTACACCTTCGTTCACTATTACATCAGTTTTGCCCTCATTGCGTTCCAAGTCAACTATATCACCCTGTTTAAAGATGAACAACAACAGCATGACACAAAGCTGACTAGGCCAAAAAAAAATAACAGGAGAAAGCTCATGCATATACCTTGATCGGAAACATTGTGACTCTCTCTGGTGCATCAATGTTGTACCAGATACAGAGATCACCCCGGTTCTGTGCGACCACAACATCACTTAGGGGGACCCACTAAGAAGAAATAAAGTCAAAGACAATTGTTACCCTTGCTGAACATGGGAGAGAATTAACCAATATACAAAGCCTTGTAAGAAGATAAATCAGCCAATCACAGTCGGATTTAGATCGCACATACCTGAACGTAGGTACAATAATTCAATATCGTTGTACGGCTGTGGGTCTCGATATCGAAAAGGTAAAGCTGAAAAAGGTGAAGCTCGAGATTAGTGGAGAGAATAACCATGAGCCATGAAGCGCCCTGAATCCCCCTTTGTGTAGTGGTGTGTCGAATATATTACAGATGCGAAGTTTTGCTATTTTGTTTGAAATATAATAAATATCCTAGATGGCACCCGAGGACATAAGCCGACAGAATTAAACCAGATTATAAATATTCGCTCTTTTTTCGTCATTTGGCATAGAAACGGTAGTGTTTACGAGCCTAAATATGTTTGAAAATGTGCCGTATACGTTCTAAAATCCCGATTTATTGTTTAGAACGAAAAAAGTAACAATAATCAGATTAGAACATTCCAAGATGTAACAAAAAAGTTCTAAATTGCCATTCCGAAGTTGTGGTAGTGGACTGGTGCTAGTGAAGCCGACATGGCATTAAGGGACTGTTTTTGGGACGTAAACAAAAGGTACGTCCCAAAAACAGCCCCATGATGCATTGTCAATATCACTATTACCAGTCCTTTACTGCAACTTCGGAATGGCTAATTGTTGCAAAAAAAGTTGTTCCAAAAAATGTATCAAAAATGTAGCTAGCGTGGGAGAAAATCAATTAGAACGTTTCGCATGTGAAAAGAACGGTTTTCGTGGGAAGAGAACGTTTTTGTGCGAAAAGAACGTTTTTGTGCGAAAAGAATGTTTTTAATGGGAAAAACTTCAATTAGAACGTTTATATATCGAACGCGTTGGAAAAAAATAAATGAATGGAACTTTGGCTTGTATCGCACACTGAAGCAACAGTTCATTGCAAAACTAGGTTAATTGTCAAAGCTAATTGTCTGATACACAAAATATTGAAAATATAATAGATTATGGATGAATTTACCTTCGACTTTTTATCGCGGTAAAGAAGTTTTCGTCCTGTCTCGTTTAACTATAAATAAATTATTGTATTTAATAATACAAACAAGTTTGTACACATCGGAAAAATCTGCGAGCCAAGAGTATAAATTCGCTCTTAGAGTTATATAAACAAACACGAGATTTTATAAAAATTCTTGGACCATCACAGACAACATCAGTTTATACCTCGAGCCAGTCTATCTTTGAGTCGTGTCCAACTGACGCCACGTTGAATCCAGAAACTAAATCAACTAAATCGAAAAAACAAAGTCAATGAATCCTCCATGGTACGCACTCTCTTTAACACATACACATATCTTTCTATTAACCGTATCGTACATACCAACACAGATAGTCTTTAAATCTATAAGGTACGCCATCTTTTTTGTGTTTTCAGATGATTTTACTTTCCGTTCGTTCAAGCGGACACTGCATGTAGAAACACAGGCAATGATTGATTTCATTTCATCCATTTCCATCTCATCATTTCATCCATATCTCAATCCCTACCTTATTAAATGCGGATTCATAAATTCAGTTCTGACTGTTGTAAGAATTTCATTATTCCCATACTCAATGAGAGACAGTTCCCCTGCATTAAACACCATACACACCTGCGGAAAAACAAAAAAAATTTGCTTCTTTGATCCTAAATATTTGTGAAAGTCAGTAGCGTAGCCAGCCTGACGATTTGTCCCGCTATGCTAATATTTTGGTGTTCATTGACTGTGAAAACAATGAATTTCTAGAGAAATGAATACTCATAATAACTCGAAATTTACATAGCGGGACAAAATCGTGAGGCTGGCTACGCCACTGGTGAAAGTAGTGCACCTTTTCTGTTCTAAATTTCAAAAGTGCAAAAATGATACACACACTTACATTATCATTCTCAAAGAAAAACTTCTCATTTCCTCCGGATCCTTGCCATGGCACCTAGAAAATGGAGACACAATAAATGAAACCTAATCCCTAACATACTTTCTAATAAATAAACTTCAACCAAATGCTCAAGTATGTTACTGTTTTTACCTCGCTCAATTTGTTGCTGCGTAAATCTCCTAGCAACAATGTATCTGACGTGTACGCAACTAAATACGTATCCTTTCCCATCACGCTCACTTTATCAACCTAAAACACATGAAAACCTCTCTTATCATCAATGATATCCACAGATATTTCCAATAGTTCAGCCACTGAATCAAGGACATGTACGAATACCCACCTCGTAGCCGTAATGTGATTTCAAAACCACACGAGTACCCGAAGACAGGTTTTTTACAATAACCTGAAAAAAACAATAAGCTGTTTCTCTAGAGGTCCAGAGTTTAAAAAATGATGCAAAAAACGCGCAATGATTTATAGCTGTTCTTGTATCAAATAAAAAAAGCAATAATGGTTGAATAAGTAGAGAGTTTGCTTCACATACTTGACTGAGACCAACGTAAGTGATTTCAAATTTGTTCTTGTATATTGATCTTCGAAGACAACAATCAAAGAGTTCAACACCACCACATAAAGTGCCCTGAAATAAGAGTGTTATTTGATAGGTTTGAATTCTTCTGTGCAGTAAAACTTCTACCATAATATACAATTTCATTCGGGTGGAAGCTAGAAAGTTCTGAGCTTGTGTTGATAAAATGACTTACTGCTACTAATCTTGAACCATCTTTTTTCCAAGCCAGCGAGGTGATTGTGTACAGATTGGGTATTTCTTTCATTTTACTCTCGTCCCAAGCACCTTTTCGTGGGCTCCAGTTGAAGACGCGCAATCTAAAACAGGAATCGTCGTCTGACTTGACTGAAATTTCAAAGAACTAGAGATTCTATTCTCTCAAGAAATACGAACCTGTCGAAACTGCCCACGACGACGGACTGACCGCTGGGGCTGCACACGGCGACGGTGAACTCCTTTTCGTCATCATCACGAGTGAAGTCGAAGTTCTGCAGAACTTTTCCCTCCTTTTCATACGCCACAATGCGTTTATCGCAGCCTGCCGCCACGATGGACGAGCCCCAGCACAAGGCGTATGGGGGACAAGAGTGTTTCACAAGTTGACCCTATCCAAGAAACGAAAATTTAGCAATGTTCAATCACGTCTTCTAGCTAAGCTAGGCGTTCGTGACAAGAGTTTAGTAAGCAAGCAGTGACTGATAACATCTGACTTACCTGAGATAATCCAGTTCCTTCGTCGTCGAAAAAATATCTCACAATTGCACCATCTGAATGGCCTGATAATAGGCCAAGTCCTGATGAACTGTATGGAATTTAATTTCACATATCAACTACTGTACTACTGTAAATTTAAATGCCTGGATATACAGTTCTATGTGGAAAATATTTATCATTAAAAAACTGCTTCAAAAAATGACTATCTTCCATTCACTTTAATGCACCATCACCTAGCTCAGGGGTGGATCCAGCACTAGTGCACTAATTTGCATGACACAAGAAAACTGCTGAGAATAGCAATTTTGTTTTGTAATGCAAATTAGTGCACTAGTGCTGGATCCACCCCTGACCTAGCTGTTGAAAACTACATACTCACTTGCTTGTGATGGAGACAACATAGTTGTTTGTCCCATAAAGTGTTTGTGATTTGTTTGTTTTGAGGTTTGCAATGCGTACTTTTCCATCTGCCAGTCCAAAAACGATGAACGGCTGATCTGGTGGCCACATCAGGCAAGTCACAGCACTCTGTACAACAAAAAGTTACCGATCAATAAAAACAAGAAAGGCAGAACCAACCAAAACAAAATTTACTGACAACAATAACAGTACCTGTTGAACAAACTTGTTGCAAATAACCTTTTTCTCACCCCTAGAAATGATCATTCTTAAGGTTAGAAATATATCCCCTCTACTAATAAAATTACATATCAGATTTCGAATTTAGTTTAGTTAAGGTCTAATGTACACACTTTATATAAGCCAATTTATTCTTAATATTACATAAAAACAAGGTGATGCAAATCATGCAATCCAACCTACCATTCTTCACCAATTTTGTAAACAAAAACAATATTGTCTGACTGTCCAACAGCTATTTTTGTAGAGTCTGGAGAAAATCCTAAACCTTTGACAATATAACTTTTCTTACCAGCCTGAAAAGCAATAAAATATTAGTTTTGTGTGTCAACAAATATCAAACGCAATCTTGTTGAAAGCAGTATGATAATAAATGCTCACTTGAGAGTTTGCTGGTTTTGTGGCAAATTTATCCCTCTTCTCCCCCAACTCATCAAATAGCATGACGACCCTGTCCATTGTGACAACGGCCAGTTTCTGGTTGTTTGCTGACCAAGCCATTGCCGTAACTTTGCATGCTCCATCCTATAAAGGTATAAATAGATCGATCGTTCACATTTGCTTGTTTTGGACAGCTGTCCTGAGTCAATGACGAAGGGAATATAAATCGTAATTTTGGGACACAATCGTCTAATCTGTTAGTCTGATCTGTCCATAGCAAGTTAAATTACCTAACCTTAGATACATAAATGCAGATTCTGACTAAATCGTTCGTGTAAAAGGACGATAAAACAACACAAGCATTCATACGGTGTAACTGTACCAAAGTACAGATCGAGGTATCTTCTGGTAACATTTAATACTAATATACTATTATTATCAAGAGATCGAGTCTTACCTGGGGTGGAAGAAGAGTTTTCATGTAACGGAGTTGCATTTTGAATAGTTATCCCAGTAATCGGTTCAGTGAATACGGACAAAAAACGAAACAGAATGTTTATGAAAGACAAATATCTCTAAATCTGCGCCATATTGTTACATTGAGCAAAACAAAACCGCAAAGCTTGTTGGGTAACCTAGGCAACATGACAAAATATCTGCATCCAGATTTTTTATACAGTTCTTCTGCAGCGCATTTAATTTTACTCTAAATTCTAAAGCCCGCGTTTGCACTTGCAATTTTTGCTGCGATTTAACCCCGATTTTATGTGCGATTTCCTTCTTTTGATAGATGCGAACGAGTGAATTAGTTACTGATGTTCATATAGAAGCTCGCACACATCAGAGTATTCGTAACTAATTACTCGTTCACATCTATCAAAAGAAGAAAATCGTAAGCTTTTTTCGTAGGCTTCAACAACAACCATCTTGTAGCTAACAGACTATATTATTTAATGACTTTAATTTACCAATCATAAACAACTTTAGCTGTACATGTACAATAAACAACTAATATATATTCTTCAACACACTATGTAAAACAATAGTAATTCAAAAGATATAGAAATTACAAAAAAGACAGGATTGCGTCAAAAAATTACGGATGAAAAATCTATTATACACATCAATTTTCAAAATATTGCCGTTGGTAAACTTTACTTATGTATGAATGCAGCAGGTTAGACGATTGATCTCGAATCACCTACTAGGTTGACAAGGTCTGTAAATGACTTTCAGTAACCAAAAAACTCGACAAACGAGGATGAAATCAGAAACATTGCACTGTTCCCAGGCCAAGATTGGGGCGTTCGAGATATCTTGTTCCCCTGTTTGTCCACTGGGAAAAATGTGGAAAAAATGGCCAGAAACAATGTTATGCACGACAAGATGATTTGTATCCATTTTCGTTTGCCCGAGCAAGGTCAGTTTACAAAGTCCTTTGGAGGGGAGGGAAAGGTTTACGTATAGTACAACAGGTTAGTTAAATACAGCAATAATGAGAAGAGCAGCTCCTGCAATCACAAGCGACGATATCGTCTTTGAACTAGCTTCGTTGCACATCTCATCAAAACAGCACGATGCACGACATTCTTTTCTATTCGACTGGTCTTTCTCGAGCGCACAAAGTCTATCCAGTTCGCTTCGCGTGCACTCGTTTTTACGAGCACAGCGCTTCGTGTAGACCTTGTTGTGGTTACCACCTTCCATCAAAAACGAAATGCACGCGTCTTGATCGTTATCGCATTTCTGATCGCTTGACGTGCATGAATCCAGCGATTCACGACTGCACTCGTAGCACTGGAATGAACGTTCATCCACCTTGACAATATTAAGCTGAAAATAGGAAGTTCATCTATTTCAGTACTACACAAATATAACCACGAGTGGAAAGGCAGGTTTAGCAGCAGGTTTCACTAAGCAATATTTTTCAGCAATTGCGCATGATCATGCAACCCGGACTCACCCGAGTCCACCCTCCACCAAATATTCTCATCAGTCTTTGAGGAATTTAGTATGAGCTAAAAGTACGTGGGGGCAGGGTATTGCTCCTCTAACCCCTCTTCCCATGGCTACCCTAGTTGGATGAAGCATATATTATAAAATCACCTTTAGGTCTGCAAACGCATCACATTTTGAAGTCGTACAACATCTTGCAGCACAATCTTGACCTTGACATAGTTGACGTAATCCGCTGACAGAACACTCGTCCTTCGTTGCACATCTCGTGTTGTACGTGTCTCCAATCTGATTCCCTCCTCTTCGTATGGCCAGACAGCGTGTTTGCTTGGCGTTGCACCTTTCTTCAGTTCCACAATCACCTCGACTGCTGATGCTTGTTGAGCATTTATTGCACGTTAAACAATGAGCTAATAATAATAAATTGAAAACATTGGTATCACTGAAACTATGACTGCATATGAAGATTACATCTTCTACGATATGTCTGGATCCAAATCAACACATCATAAACTCAACTGTGATCCAAAAACTCGAGTGTTTCAAAATTCAAATGTTAAAGCTGACAGTGACAGACAAATTATGACTTCTAAGCTTAGATCATTTTCATCAAACTTCTGCACGTGAAATCCTGAATAACTGACTTTTTGCAGAATTCAGTGTTAGGCTTTAAAGCGTTGAAAATAACAACACGAGATAGGACACAGTTTTGGTAAAACGAGAAGCCAATGCTGTCTTAGGGCTGGTTCATTTAGTCATAAACAAGTCATTTTAATCACATTTTAACCGATGTGAAATATCCGGGTGTAATTTGTCTTTATTTTTCGTACTCAAATCAGTCATTTTTGACTGCACAGTGCACACTCGTAGCACTAATACATCAACCATCTTGGCATGTTCACAACATGTTTATGTCTAAATGAAAACTAGCCCTTATTAATAGAGGGGCCGGAATCGAAAGTGTTGCCCGGGCCCTTCAGTCATTGACGCTCCTCGAAATTTGACCCGGTGCAACTCGTATGAAAATGATTGGGAGTTGTTGATTTACTTGATTAGGCGGTCAAACGCAAACAATAGTTCTCTTTATAGATATCTCGTTTAATTAGTTGTGGTTGTATGCGCACCAGTCTTATGTCGAAATTTACGAGACGCGGTAAATGTCGAGAACCTTAGAGTTTTGCCAGCCAAAAAAAATCGTTAAAAAAGTTTGTTTGGCAAATTTCTTACCTCCGACTGAACACCAAATAAGTAGAATACAAGCTTTCAATTCGAACTTCATCTCGCCCAAAAATCAACTCTAAACAAAAATATGTTCAACATGAACTTCTAGATACTTATGCTTTTATGAAACAGGAATAAAAGAGGTTGAAATCAATATAGTTCGACGATGGATTTTGAATTGAGTGGTCACGTCCTTAGTGCATGAGAGTGACGGTGATAAGCCATCACATTTGGTCTAGATTTTGCCCAGAGATCGTGGGGAACGCACTTGGTTCAGTGAACACTGACAACCAGTTGTTATCGGCTGGTTTAGAACCAGATTAATATACTTACACTTTACTTTACTTTACTTTACAGGTGCATGTCTATTCTCTAATCCCAGAATGAAGTAATATAATTACATCAAAATAGTCAAAACGAAAGTAAACTAATAATCGTTGGAAACTAATCGATAAAGTGAATGTTGGTAGTAACTCAGATAATTTGACACTTTCCTAAAGGCTAAACATCATCCATCCGTACTAAAATGAAAACAGCCACCTATTTCATTTTATTAAACAAGTTTAGTCGTCTACGAACTTTTGTCACTTTATTTACTCAACGATATCAGGCACCCTGCTTGGAGTGCTTGCAAACCCGAGATACAAATAAATGTCAAACAATGGTTGAAAGTCGTGAGACTATATCTTTTTTGAACCCTAGACACATACCCGAGAAGTGTTTAGTTCTGCAGTAAGTTACTTTGAGATTAACTTCCAGCTTATCCAAAAGGAAACACACTATTTTCACGACGTAATGGGAATACTACGAGAGGAATGTGACCACACGATCAATATTGATTCTATATACGTCGAGCGATTTGTAATTGACGTAGACTAAATTTGAATGATAAAAGTGCTTGTGTCTTGTTGAATGACGAGAGATGATGGTGGGCAGAAACGTGGATATAATTGCCTTGTTTTTGTAAACGACGCGTATCGTATTTAGGTAAAAAAAATGAAACGTGATATTTGAAAACGTTTAAGAGTTTTCCATTACACACAAAACGATTTTCCATCAGTTATCGAAAGAACTGTATCAGGAACTTTCAGAAATGACATTTATATGCTTGTAGTAAGAGTTGGTAAAAATCTGCCAGTAATTGCTACTTATTACGTCTTTATCACCAATCAAAGACCGCACTATAATGGTCCATTGAAAAGAATTTGAGCATTCAGTTGTTTCCTCAGATTAGCGACGTTCATGAAAGTCTTTGAACGCTTGCGTGCTGATAATAATCGCGCGGTCATTTCCCAAGTATCAAAATACTTGATTATCATGCATTCTCCGTTGCTTTCGTCCTCTCTGTTCTTCCATACCAGTTCGATCAGCCCAAATTAAAGAGCAATATTTGAACTTATTTTTGTTGACTGTTTACTAGTGCACGCTACAAGATTCGCCCAATTAAACTGATAACACGCGGCGTCTTATAAACTCAGTACTCCCTACTATGTATGGAATTTATCTCTCAAGTTTGAAAACAACAAAGGAAGTCAGGAACTGAAGATCTCAAATTTTTCGCGCCATAGACCTCTGTCTGAGAGATTTCGCTTCGGGCGATATGTACACTCATTGGCGCTTAAAAATAAATGCATGTTTCTACATTCTGTGGGTTACAGTAAACTTTAAGAGGAAGAGCTTCACAAAGTGAAAGGTTTTAATTAATGATGCACTTGAAGATGCATTTTTGGATACAAAGATGACGACATCAAACGACACCGTCCATACCTCAGACAATAAGCTGCGTTTGAACGTGGATTAAGATGTCTTGTGTACTCAGTGTCTGACGAAGATTGTTTATAAAAACTAAAGAGCTGAAAAAAACTTCAGTTACTTCATTGAGATAACACTTTGGACATTACTGAGAACTTAGAAGTCTTTTAGTCTTCTACTCCGCGTAAGGAGTGTACTAGTCGTACACTGAGTTTGGCCTAAATCAACTATTTGCTTCTGTATTATATAAAATTCCAAGTGATTGACCGAGAGCAGATATCATACAACTGGTTCAGACATGCCGGCAGAGATACAGACTAAAAACGGCTGTTTTCTGTCTAAAACTACAGGTTTAGAAAACTGTCAACCCCGTCGACTTTCAACTTGAATATTTATGAACCTAATACATAATGATCATTACATAACAAAGTTTCAACTCGTGGGAACGCAATTTTTAACGTACACGGACAAGCGCAAATCTTGTGGAGTTTAGACTCCCAAACGCGTCATACAATCAGTTTGAAAAGCCAGAATCGACACCAGTTTATAAACCTTTGGCTTTAGTTAAAAAACTAATGATAATATGTACACAGTCCAACAGATGATATTGCACTCGATAGGGAGTGAGCAAGTCTCAATAGAGTATAGCGTCTTCGCGACCTTAAAAATGCATACATTATTCGGCACATCACTACTTTTATAAATTTTAGATGCGTTTGAACTATATATAGACTACAAACAGTCAGTTCTAACGCAGTTTCAACTCTAAAACTTTGCGTTGAAATTAAAATAAACAAAAACTGCGACGCTTATTGCTAGGATGCGATGTTTTCCGTTTTGAAATTCTCAGTATTAGGCACAGCAGTTTGTCTCGCTTGTGTTGTATAGCTTACGTTTGAAACATCGCTTATGAGGCAGTTTTCAATGAATGCTGAAATAAGTTATTTCAAATTTGGGTTGACGGTTCAAAGAAAAACAGCATATTTTGAACAATGCGTAGGGTTTTCAATTTCAGCGTCGGGAATGTTTCAACAATTTTAAGACGAAATATTAACAACAATTAAGACAAACGCATATTGAATTGAGCGCTTTATAACTAGTATATATAGCGTTTGAACTTACGTTTTCCGCTCGAGTTTCGGTCTTTCAACCTCTTGTGACCTTTTCTGCTTTACGGAGTTTGGTTGTACGCGAGTTTTAACTTCGAAACAATAGCTAAACGAGCTCGAAAAGTTTCAATGTTAAATTAGTCTCAGATCACTTGACATGTAAATGAGATAGTAAGCGTTGCGATCGTGGGGCGAAGCAAAATACGATGTCGACATGACTTGAATTCATGAATTAATGAATATAATTAAATCGATGTGCGTGGCCGGGTAAGCCTGCAACGCAGGTAAGGTATACCCTTTCCCCGGCTCAGCCCAATAAAGGAAAAGTCGGATTTTTCAAAAAAGAGAATTTTAAATTGCTTAAAATTGAGGTTGTCAACGATTCAAATATGGAAACATGAATTCGTTTCATAATGCAGAATTTCAAGAACCTTTTTTTGAATATTTCAGGGATTTTAAACACGGGGACAATTCAAGCCATTGCTCAGCGATATAGCTTTATTTGCTGGAAGACCATTGGGGGCTTCCAATAAGCCGTGAGTTAGCGTGATAAGTCCCGGGGGGGAACTGTGAATTTCTTATATATGGTCTCTAATTCGTACCAAGGCCTTCCTTTGTCACCCTTTGGCTCAGCCTAGTGCCTAGGCTTTCATTGCGCCGGTTTTAAAAATCCGTGACGTCACACTGCATATAATTATCAGCAGCGCGCGCTTGCAAGGCTGCTGGCCCTAGGCTGCCGTTGGCTCGTGTGATCCGTGTTCACGGATCCGTATTCGCGGTATCCGGATTACACTAATATAGATCGGAGCAAAAAAGGGGGGAAACGGGAAAAGAAAAGAAAGAGATACAACAGGCTTCATGCCCCTCGAGAGAGAAGTTATTTTTAAGCGTTATGTTTTCGTTTGTAAAAAATGAATTGATTGTTTTGAAAGTAGTATTAATACTAGTATGAAAAACAATGAACTATTGTTTTCAGCTTTTGATTAAAAAATATCGGAAAATGCCCTGCATTTGGGTTGACTTCAAGATGCTGAATCCACAAGATTATTTACGTTCTAACTCAAATCAACTTGATTACACTCGTTAGGTTCTATCCCATATTGTAAGACGTTGTCTTTGATCAAAGCCCAAGACATTCGCTGTGTATTGAATGCTTTTCCAAAGTTTCCATCTTTATCCACAACTATCACCCCGCCGTATCCTTCTATCCGTTCATACATCCTTTGAACAGCTTTCTCAGACGAAACCTAAGAGATATCAGTATCGTAAGACGTATACTTAGGGGGTTATGGTTAGGCACTCATTTGTCATCGCCAAGCAGTGCTAATCTCAGAGTCTGTTCTGTTGTTTTACAACAACTAAGCAGTGTGTACATCTAGGGCCTCTAGGCATCGCAATATGGATATGAAGGCTTGATCTTGTAATTTTGAGTTAAAATTTCGAAGGTAGAGATGCTACTGCTGGAATGTTGCCTAGTGAGGGGCCCTGGGATAATTTTGAATTAAGTTTCAAAGCCTCTGACTACCTGTGCATCATTGCCATTTTCCACACTGTACACAACTTCTCTAGCCAAAGTCATTTTCATTATGGATTCGCCATGACCTGTTGTAGAACATCCACCAAACTCATTTGCATAACCTCCGCAGCCAATCATAGGAGAGTCACCAATACGTCCTTGCATCTTAGCAGGTATGCCCCCTAGAAGTATGTATTGGGCATACATATATTAGAAGTACCTTTCAACAAATGCTGCCTGGGATTTTTCGGGCCCTTTTCCCAATTCCCATAGGCATCCTTTTTTATTAAAAACTATATATGTATTTGCATATATGTATCATGTATTTTGTTATGTTAAAAGCAGGAGCTTGTGAGAAGTTGTGTCAATATTGAAATATTTTTTCAATGTGTCAATATTGAAATATTTTTTCATAGTCTAAATGGTACGTTTTGTAAGTAAGTTTTGTAATATATCTACCTGTTGAGGTGGCACATGCAATACAGCCAGTGGTATCCATGGCAACAGCTCCTACAGTGTCATGACCTTCAATGTGTGAATGTACTGCCGTTTCGTATTCATCGAATGCAACACCCTTTTGCATTGCTGTCTCTGTAACAAGTTCAGTTGGATCTTTCAAGACAGGATAGCCAATTTTATTTGCAAATGCAAGTGAGCCTTCCACATTGAAGGCACAGTGAGGCGTCTTTTCCATGACCTGTCTTGCAAGAGAGACAGGGTTTGAGAATTGACTGACTGCCATGACTGCACCTAAAAATGTTATAAATAAGCTTTAATTGTTATATGTGTTAAAAATGCGGTAGCTTAATGTTTAATAATTGGGGTTACTATATTAATAATGAAATAGCCTTACATTAGTTTGCTCTCCAGGCCATAGGCATGTACAAGCAAAAAAAAATTTAGGGTGTGGATAGACAAATGATTTCACAAGTACACAGTCAAAAGTACAATGTACAAGTAGAATAAGATTCAAATTATTATAGTCGGGGAGCTGCTATCCCCCTTACCCCTCCTTGTATTTTCTCAGGGGCTTTATTTGACTAGGGTCTAGGAAGTATAGTTTTGTTGCAGTCATGTATTTTTGCTAATGATTGCATCCAGATCTACTGATCTAGGACGACTTGTAGTTTGATTAACCTGAATTCAAAGTAGATCCATTCATTATCATTGCATCACATTCAACCTTGCCAATCTCATTGAGAACAGCTCCATGCCCTGCATTAAAACAATGATTGTTTTCCATACAATTCACAGCCTTTTCAACAGCTTCGACTGATGAACCACCCTGGAGATCAAATAATTAGATAATATAACATAACATAACATAATTAGTCAAATATTTCAGCAATTGTTCAGGATGTGAATGAAGAATTAATCTTAATACACTAAAAAGATGCATTTGCTTACGTTTTTGAGAACTTCATAACCTGTTTTTACTGCCTCTTGAATCCCGGCGTAAATTGGGTCAAGAAGATTGTCTGGCATCGACCAGGCTCCTCCATGGACAATAATACAAGGAGTTCGTTTTATCTTCTCCATTTTAGTACAAAACCGTCACTCATGTCCTATAAGTCGAAGTGAATGTCATTCCTTATTTCACTATATTTTAGTTTACCCTGCAAATAAAAAGACGAAACGGTACCTGATAAAAAAAATCTCGATGGCCAAAACGAGAGTTACCAATTATTGCTTCGTTGCAACGGAAATGTTGATAAATATTAATCCACTAATTATCTTTATTACCATTCATTCATGAAAAAAATGGATCAACTTCCTGTGTGTTGGAATCAACTAATCAAAAACGTCCAGTCTTTGTTTACAGCCTGGATTCCTGGACTGTAAACTCTCTTCTTCTATTAAAAACTCCAAACATTTGTCCACCAGTTTTTCACCGTTTAACTAACCATCTGTCTTTAAATAAAAAAACTACTGTTGCCTTGTTTTGAGTAAAATAATAGTTTCAACACATATTGATTGTAAAAGAAGGCTATGTTCATTAATCAAACACTAAAATAACATATACATTGTGTAGAAAAATACAATAATTATATACTTGTTCACTAAATTATACCGCTACAGTATTTAATTTACCTAAGTTCCAGCATAATACACTTGGACCATAATATTAAAAGTCCAAATTCTGCTTCAATTACAACGAATAATGATATATTATTACAATTCAATTAATCGACAAAAAAACACTGTCAGTTCAAAGGTATCCAAAACAAGCTTGCTAGTGATAGTTTACAACAAATGGTCTGGTTTCTAAATAGTGGTGAATCTCAGGCATACCATGGCAACCAATGTAAATCATACATAATGGTACATTCATTGCAAGTGGCTAAGATTATCACCAAGAAATATTTTCGTCGTACATGCTAAGTAAAAACATTTTAAATACAGCAATACAACATGAGCTGATGTCAGTTATACACTCAAAGATAGTCAGATAAAAACATATCCATGTGTTAAAGACATTATGTTTGTTCAAACTAGCTTAACATGATGAAAAATGCTAGATATCATGCAACAAACATTAGGGGTTTGTGGGCAAGGAAGACAATGTTCTTATCTAAGACTGTTTTCTCAATTTTGTAATTTTACAAGACTCCTCCCCCAATGCTAAGGATACCCTAAGGGAATATGTATATTTGAATTGTAGCCCAGAAGCAGTTTGTCTTGTCAAGTTCATGTCCTCACAACCAAAATTTATACTAAAAACCTTCAAGATGCAAACATCTAGCCTATGGTGTTAAAACCAGAGGTTTGAAAAGACAAAATGAGGGGGGGGGGGGAAGATTTTGATAGGTTGAAAAATACAAAATATATTGGGCACTAAAATTCCTCCACATTTGGAAAATTTTAGCAACAGCCACCAGAGTCCTTGCTTTGAGATTTGATTGGTACAGTATTTTGACTATCCATTGCTGACGATTTATTTTGAAGTTGTTTTTTAAGAATGTCTTGTGCAAGCATGTAAAAAGCATCTTCAATATTCACATTGTCTTTAGCACTCGTTTCTAAGAAACGGATACCATGTTCTCGAGCAATCTAAAAGGTAAACATTTTCATCCTCAACAAACACTTTAAACAATTCACTAAAGGTTATTCTGTTGTTTGCAAAAAACACTTACATTGGTTCCCCTATCTTTTGATACAACTCTTTTGTCCCCCATATCACACTTGTTTCCTAGGATCATTTTCTCTACATCTTCATTAGCATGTTCCTCAATATTCCTTAACCACTTTGAGATATTCTCAAAGGACTTGTCCTGGGTTATATCGTACACTAGCATAATGCCCTATCAATGAAATTTCCCTGTATTATTTGTCTGGCTAGTGTATTTAGCATGTGCACTGTACTGCTTTCAAGGTATAGACTAATAGAACTACTACCACTTACCATTGCACCTCTGTAATATGACGTTGTTATGGTATGAAAACGCTCTTGACCAGCAGTATCCCTGCATGAATAATGACTAATGATGAATACCAATCTTCTCCAAAGTTAAAACTGGGTTCTACTTTTTATTTTGTTTCAGCAGAGATAATTACCCCAGTTGGCCAAGGGAAAGGGAGCGTTTCAATTTCTGAGAATCAGCATAATGAAACAGGCTAGCCTGCTAACACTAAGACTGTGTGCAGTGACATATTTAAGCAAGGTGATAAAGTTACAAAAAAAAAAGGTTTACGACAAAACAAAATAACAGTACCATATTTGAAGTTTGATCTTCTTCCCTTCTAGCTCAATTGTTTTGATCTTGAAATCTATACCTATGTAATCCCAATTTTCGAGAACATGGTCATATGGAAATCCAAACTAAATGAAGAGTATTACCTCTCTACAGGGGTTAAAAAAGGGGCACAAGTATCATTTGCCAAATGCAATTCTTATAGCAATAGCCAGACACTTTCACTTGAAGAAATTTTAGAAATTAGTACATTAAATGACAGCTGGTCTGCCCAGCGTGAAGCCGAAGCAAAATGAAAATAAAACCGATTTAAAAGAGATTTGATCTACAAGTATATTACAAATAAATCACAGAACAGGATACATATTTGGGTAAAAATGCTAACAACATGGTGCTTATTGCAAAGGTATGTAAAAAAGCATGTCAAAAAGCAAACATTGATGAATAAGTACACGTCGACAACAGAGTGGAACGAATTTCAATTTTCATATTTACTTCCGTTCTACGAAAGATTTTAACAATAAAGTCTTGCACATTTTGCCCGAGCTCCGGGATTTACGATGACTAATTGCCCCGAAGTAAATGCCAGCTAGAAACAGTTTCAAACTCGGCAAACACTCAGCCGCCACTAGAATTAGCACAAGAAAATACGATCGTGTTTGCGCAATGTAAAATTCATAAATTTTGTCTCGTGACCCGAAGTGAACTATTTACCAAGTTTTGATGCGAACGCACCGACTCGAAACACAGCGAAAAACTCACCGATTGTCGAAATAAACGTCGTGTTAAAGGCATCGTCGGAGAATCTAAATAATATACAAGTTTTCCCAACGCCAGAATCACCGATCAGCAGCAGTTTAAATAGATAATCGTAACTTTTCTTGGCCATTTCAACCAAATTTTGTGTCGATATAGTTAGTAAATGGATACTCCCCTCTGCTCGCTTCTGCGCATACTCACTATATATAACCGCGGGGCGGTATGTCGACGGGCCGTGACACGCCGGTAATTTATCATTCCAGTTCATTCGCCCACTGATCCGAAATTTCGAAAGATCTCCAAATATGAATCAAATTACTTTATCTCTACGTTAAAACTTCTTAAAGAAATGTCTAGAATTTTGTGAAATTTAGGAAATTGGGAGCTAGAGCGAAGAAATTTAACAGTTTATTTTTCTATACCACAGGTGGGTTGCTTAGAAAAGAATCAAATGGCAGAAAATTAGAGGGCGTAATCCCTGCTAATCGTTCAAAAACAAGAAGCGATAAGTTTGCCTAATCAGCAGAGAGTCACGAGGTTTTTGCCGCTAAAAATACATGCTTTCGTACGATATTTTCCCTGATAACACGCGCAACAAAAATCAACAAACATACAGGTTTATTACATCGAAAAATGTGCCTCTCTTTTTAAAAGACTTGCGGAATTTTTGGGGGCGAAAGCAGGAACTTGTAGAGACAAGATGCGTCCGAGACGACACAGGAAATTTAACCCTACTTAACCGAAAGCCGCATACTGGAGTCTCCCTGGGAAACGTCAGCAGTTTTCCTCTGAAAACGCAAAAAGAAAACAACCATTTCCGACGTATTCAGGGCAAGATAATGATAACAAAATTTCGGTATCATCGTCAGGAAAACTACGTGTATTCCTCACTTAAAAAACCTTTTAAAACATGTTTATCAAGCTATGTTACATACGTACAAGTATCTACACTTCAATAATATATTAAGATATGAATTTGTTAAAATCGTACGTATCCTGCACGCTAGCTATTATGCAATGCTTTCATCTTTTGTCCGCCTGGGCGATTTTTTCTTCACGGCAGGTGACGGTCGTGAACGGTCGTGAGTGGTCGTATGACGTGGTGGCCGCCCATCCTGGCGTGACCTACAAAAGCGATGAGGCTAAATTTAACTAAATGTTTGAGGACGCGAATGAAAGCTCGAAGATAACATAAAATTAATGACAATAGCGGTGAGTTAAATGGTGAAAAAAAAACGCTACGTGAAGTTTGATAGCTTAATTCGACGTGCCCAGCCAATGAAACTTCGAGTTAATCTCGCACGCCGTGTTTGGCAGGCGTCTCGATAAAAAACCCCTGCTGGCACGTCTTTGTTCAATATTTATCTACGCGTGTATCCTTGGAATCGCATTAGCGGATATTTGCACTTTCCCAGAAAAAGATATGAAGCAAGATTGGCCGATAGGGAGTCAACAATTATTCAAATATTTCAATGGTTTATCAAATGCCTAAAATAAACAAAAAAAGGTTCTCGACTTTTCCATCTAAGAGCCGTTGTATAGACTATAGGAAGAAAAAGATAATATATTTATTTTAAGGAAACCTTTTTATACCCTAAACCTTCGGATCAAACTAAACAATTAAAGATTGCATGTACATTTTAGGAAGCAAAAAAAACGAAAGTAGTAGTGTTTGAGGTATTTGATGAGAGCACTTCGCTATTGCGATAACATTCCAAACAATTTTGAAAATTTCTGCTGTTTCCTGTTGTTCACTGACCTTTTATCAATGACGACATCAACGTCGCTTTCTTCCGGTGCAGAAAGTATCTTCACTTCACCTTCAGATGTTTTAACAGCTGTGTACTAAAAGTTTTAAATAAGTTTGTGAAGAATAACATCATAATTTATATTGAGGACCATATACATAAGCGTGGGAAAATTTGTGAAAAGAAATATTTCACATTCGTAACAAACTTACTTGTTTTCTTTCTTTTTGTTTGGGTTTCTTTTTCTCATTCCTGTCTAAATTGACATTTATTTTTTCAAGAAATGGCAAACAATCTTATTGGGAATGGTTGCATTATACATCCATGACCTAGCTTCCTTACTGTTGTAAATCAGTGTTTTCAATACGTGTAAAGTACTGGTCTGCGTCTCAAGAGGACTTGAAAATACCTAATTGACTAACAGCGATGCTTGAAGTATTGAATAGCGTGGAGAAAGAAAGAGCATCTCACTACAACCAGATCTTACCCATCATCTTCGTATACGAAGCGGGAAAATATCCCTGTCTACCGTCTTTCATCTCGCCTACCCACCAATGCTCGTCTTCTTGACGTAATACTGTGATGACGTCACCCTCGTCAAGATTCAGCTCATCAGGATTCCTCGCAGAAAATGGATACGCGGCTTTTGCCTGAACATTTTAAAATACGTATCATCAAACCTTTGAAATAACTCTGTTTAACGTGTGTTTAAGAATTTCAAAACAACGTATTCTCCGATATTTGATCCTTTTTTAGTCCGCTTAGTTGACGAACTTACCATAAACAAGCCAACGCTTGTATCGTGCCGGGAATTTGGTCTGGAAAAACTTGATGGGCCTAAAATGATCGAGTTGTTTAGCCTCGACCGATTACACACATTGCTTACATCACAGACGATCATAGTCCAGGATCCGATTATATTCTTCTCGGATATCCTGAGTAGGGTTGGGCATACTAATGGGGTGGATATCCCTCCCACCTTCCATTGTTAGCTTCGAGGCGCGTTTTCTTTCACGAAATAAACTACAAATTGCCTTTTTGTGATGGGGTGGCTGCGGTAAAGACGATGCCTCTCGCCCCATTAACTTATCAGCTTACAGGATGTGTAATAATTTAGATCTCGAACAGGGGTTAGCTAACCTTGATTCGGTTGCCCAGTTTCGAGTTGACTAAACGTCCGCGTGCCCATTTCTCTCTGAGGAGACTGGGGTTTAGATTCGGGACTGTATGGCGAGGTTGGTAAAGCTGTGAAGTCAGAGCCCCAGGTCGATAGCGTTCCAAACTCAGGTTGTTGGACCGATAATAGATCAGGTGCGTATGGACTGGGGGTCCTCTGCAATGTTCTTGAGCCTGCCATACTTGATCGAAGATCTGCGGTTGTGTGAGATACGTCCTGTAGGATGTGAATATCTAGTTTAGTCTACTTTATATTGCAATCTAGGCAGATTCAATGGGGTATACTTTCTTACCAAGACCGAATCCAGTTTCTTTTTTATTTTATTCAGCAGTAGGGTTTCTGAGGCTACGTCGGCCATATGCGTTGAAGTATGCGCCATAGTTTGTGGTTCAGCGGTCAGCGCATGCTCTGTTGTCTGCCCCATTGTGCGAGTTGTTGTACGTAATGGGGACATGGGGGGACTGCTTGGGATATAAGGGATCTCCTCCACACTACCTGAAATAGCAAGGCGACAATTGTGAGTTGTTTCAAGAATATCATGCAAGGAAAACCGATGTAAACAAATCGCAAAAAACCCCACAGACCTGTATGCTGGTGTTGATACAAAACAACTGGATGGTTCTGGCCAAAAGAACAGAATGCAATGATATTGTCATGCGGATGAAAGTCGATGTCGGACACAGCTGCTGTGTATCCAAGCTCATTGTAGACCTTGACCAAGTCACCTGAAAACAAATCTAATTAGCATAGGATACGCCTTTCTTATAATGACACCAAACGCGGGAAGCCTGACATTACACAATGTGTAATTTACGAGTATTTCTCTGGGGGTAGGTGTACCTGTTTCGGTGTCCCAGACATACACCAGTCCATCCTCAGACCCGGAAAAGACAAAACTACCGCAAGTGCTCATGGTACTTCTCACGTGCTCTTTGAAGTTGTTCGCGCCAATATATCGTGTCATCATCGAGAAACTGAAAGAAAATTTTACCAAATTTTTGGTGTCACATGGATTAGGCTATGCTAAGATTTTATAGACGTCGATTTCTGGTCTCAACCGATAGTTTTTGATAAGTGCAATGAAGAGAAGCGAGAATAAGAATGCCTGGGATAATACTAAAGGCTGTTTCTCGTCTAAACGTGTACTTAAACCGAGTGAACGTGTCTTATACATACCTTCTCAAATCCAACATTCGTGTTACGTTGTCACGTGTATGAACCAGGAGTTTGCGGCCATTTGGATGGAGGCTTATCGAGTTGATAACACAATCCTAGGCGAACACAAGCATGCTGTGGTAATAGTGCAACGCTTTAGGCGAGGTGAAAATGATTTAGGAGGTGCATAAGCAAGTTGGTCTTTGCTATCTTTGGAGAAAACAATATGCTCATTCACAAACCTTAATCTCCTGATCTTTCACGGTCTTGCTGACCACCCATCTTTGAATATCCGCTACAAAACATTACAAAAAATGCATGAAAGTTATTAGAACCAATGTGCCTTTACGTAGTTGATTATAATTATCGAGTGACTTGCATCATATACCTGCAGTCGAAGATCGCTTTTTCTTTGATCTTGCGTCCACATTTCCATACGTCTCCCACACGATAACCGTCCCAGAACTGTCACCAGAAAACATAAATCGGCCTGGAATTGACAAAAACACAAATTAGGGTATCTAGACGAGCATAAATATAGGGGTCGATATATATATATATATACGGTCGACTTGTAATTCTCTACAGTGATGAAGATCTACACCACGGGCAACTTTCTGGACTGATATGAAGAATGAATTGATTTTTATAATGGCACACCTGAGGGATCAAAGCAAATTGTGTTGATGAAACCAAAATGTCCTTCCATCTCACGTAAAAGCTGAAAATGTAACGAATTAATCGTTATGCAATTATTTCTTATACCTTTACTTATTATCTTACACTTTTTCTACGCCTTCTTTCTTTCCACTTTGTTCTTTCTATCCGTTCCGTTTCCTCCCATTATCTCCCGTTCCTTCCCCCTCCCTACTCCACCTTTCCAATACAATGAACCAGTTATTGCTACCCATGCGATCCAAACGTACTCCTACCTGTCCATTGACACCCTCGTTGTCCTTATCCCATATTCTAATCAGCCGATCAAACCCTCCAGTCACTACGAGGCTCTTCTGCGGATGATAACGAGCGGCGTAGACAAAACAAGGGTGAGGATACGTTTTCATGGCGGGACTGCCATCTTTACACACTTCCCAACTCCTGAAATTAAACAAATTGAAGTGGAAACATAGTTTAGCGGGTTGGATTCTTCAAACGTTTCCCTGAACTTTATGTTATACAACTGAACTCAAACTTGGAGTAGAACTAGCGTTGAAATTGGCGCTATAACTTGACATTATTGGCGTTATTGATCAGCGGTTAAAATACTAAAAGCTAGAATTGTACTATTGAAAGACGAGGCAGGAAATACGAGTTGGGAATGCATTGAAATGACCACAAATAGTACAGTATGCACACTGCACCTAGCGGTTCCATCTGAAGAGGCCGACAGAATCTCTTTGCCATTTTGGGACCAACAAAGATCATAGATAATACTGAAATGCCCTTGAAATTTGCTGATATTTTTTCCAGAGAGTGTCTGCGAAAAATTGAAAAAAATATTGTGCCAAATTGAGCGATATAAGTAGTGTTCGGGTACTTACGAATGAGGCGGTAAATTTTACATCTTAAGCGAGAACTCAAGTTCTGAAGCCCCGACTCTATTCTTAACGTATATTACCTCGAACACAAATATGGAGAATCCGTGTTTTTCAGCACAACCACACGCGAGTTTTCTAAACGGAATTTAAAGTTAGCATTTTGAGAAAGTGAGATGCATGTCGTATATGACCAAAACACGTTTTCAGCTCATCATTAACCCTCCGTATAATGACGTAGAGCGGACACAAACCTCCCATCGTCAGAAAATCTGACAACGAAACATCCACGATGCCCAGCCTGGAGTGTTGACATGATCTGGTTTGGAACACGATTTGGCTGCGAAAAATACACAAAGATAAGAAGGCCTGTTTCAGACGTCGAACTTTTCCTGTGCCGAACCTAATTGTTAATGAGCTAAAGTCTTTGTGCTAAAGTTCATTTCATTTGCATTTGATTCGGAACATGAAAAGTTCGACGTTTGAAACGAGTTTTAGATCTAAACTCCTCCAAATTGTCAGGTAATGCAATTTACCTGGCCAGGTAGTTTCTTCCAGTTGACAATATCCCTGTTTGCTGCAAATTCGCTAAAGAAACGAATATTGGCATCAGAGAAATATTCAAATCTTGCCTCTGTTTTTTCTAAAGCTGACTCAAACTAATTCAGTGGGAGATCTGAATCACTTCAAAGCGACGATTCCTTTGTGGTATTCCCACTTGAATGGAACAGCTTCATTTTTAAATATGTTTTACCTAAAGGCTAGTTTCCACTCAGGAAAAATCTCCTTTGGATCGGAACGGACAGGAAAATTTCCTTTGTCGGCGAGTTCTCAGGCGGCGTTTATACAAAGGAAACTTTCCTGTCCTGTCCGATCCAAAGGAGTTAGCTTTTTTACTAATACAGAGGGTGAGTCCGGAGTCAAGAGACCTTCACACTTCATTAGGAAGAAACAATGATAATTATAAGTAAAACATTTCCTCTATTCTTCAAACCTTGGACTTTCGCTTCGGGCAATTTTTCCAGTCATTTCTTCAAACGTCATTTTCCCCTTTTCCTGCAAACAATTTCTCAGATCAATATTACTGTATATATTGATGTTTTCTACGAAAGCTCCACCCAATATCTTTTCAAAGTTGATTCGAAGACATTTCGAAGAACTCGATATGTTAAAGAAAAAACCGCTACAAATTGCCGACATGTATTGCAAAATTTTCCGGCGATATAGTGTGAGATGCATTGCTGAATATATGTGCATGGTCCTTTCGGCAAATCGATTACCAATATTGATATATTTTGGCCGAACCGGACCAAGAAATATATTTGGCTCGAGAACATCAAGTCTGTCATGTATAATAATAACTTTAAACCTTATAAACAGTGTGGTTTAAAGTGAAAAATTTGCCGCGCTGAAATAGACTTTCCAAATTCAGTTCCACTTGTTGTTTTTTACCATTGAAAATCCGTTCTAAATTATCCTACATTAAAAACAGAGTTCTAAGTCGTGCCTGAAACAATGATTTTTGTTTTATGGCTAAAAACATAAAATATTTTATGTATTCTTAATAATAGTAACCGACCATTTCCCATAAATGTAAGTCTTTTTCTGTGTAATATAGTCATACGAAATTTGCAAACATGGCATGCAGAGCTATATTTTCCATGCACATTTTTTAATATTTCGCAATCAAACTTTCTAATTTTACTAATTTTTAAAAGCTCTTTCCAGCTGTAAGGCGCGAGACCGATGAATCGTCCTATAGTTTTAAATTTATTTTAAAAGGGAAGGATCTACGAAACAACTGCAATGGAATGCTTCTTACTTCTTGAACAGCGAACATGGATCTTCCAGCGGCATCGATATCTTGCGGTGGCCTAATTCCTTTTACAGTCACATATAACGTTGAAGGATACGGCTGACGTGATGGGGAACTCCACCAATGATAGACCTCGGGTATGCTCGAGTTCGATAACTGTCGGCGTCTGTTGTACTTCACGGGATGAAACAACTGAAGACGAATCTTGGTGTCTGTATTGGGCGATCCATTGGAACCCACCAACTGAAACGTGAGATGACAGTACAGCATAATCAGTGTTTTCCTAATACAGTATAACTTGGCTTAATGGTCAATATTTCATTGGAAAAATTGAAATTTACCTTAAGAAATGCCCAAGCGATTTGATACCAGCCTCTATCTGATCTTTGCATACCTTTTAGCTTGTTGATTGCGGCCATACTAAGGAAGTCTAGTATCTTTAGAAAAGTATAAGTTGCAATGAGCTATCTTTATATACTCAATGTTTCCTCCACAAAGCGCACTTTTTAGGAGACAAAAAAACATTTCTCTTAGTGTCATAAAACCAGGTATTGTTGGACTTATAAACTCTTGCGAAAAAAGAGCTTTAAGAAGTAAATAAACCTGTGGTCACTTTACCTCAAAGAAAATTATGACATTTGGATCACCTTCCGTGCGTTGTAAAAAATACGAATATATTTCATTGATGATAAGTACATCCTCCCATGATGGAACGAGTGACCTGTGATACACAATATTGAGGTTTAGTTTATTCCTATATGAATCTTCCTATGTGAACAATCTTCAGAGACTTACTTTCTTTGTTTGAAGTCAAACGGTTGCGTCATCAGCGGTAAAATATGATCCACGGTTTCTTGATTTTCATAGTATGAAGTGGCTGCACGGTTTCTGGCGAATTACATGTTATGGTTAAGGCTAGCATGGTATTGAATGGACTAGTTTAATAACTGGTTTATTGCTTTTGGAAGAGAGGGGACTATAGTCGCAAGACTATATACAGCAACAACTGATAGTGCAACAACAACTGATAGTTTACAAGGGTTGTCTTGATCATTATATACAACCATAGTTACATACGGCACTTACCTACTGCACTTTTTGATATATTCCCCGGTATTGACATCAATCACGTGAACACGCACTAACGGATGGCTGATTCTTAAGTCAGTCTTGAGTCTGTCCGCTTTGTGGATGACGATGCACATCACGTGACCATCATCTTGTCGTTTCTTCTCGAGCGCACGGTGAATGACGTCAGCAGACGGTTCTTTTAGTTTCTTTCGCCGTCGTTTGCCAGTTTTCGTTCTTCCCGCCTTAGGTTCCCTCGAAGTCTCCCCAATCTCCTGCTCGTCTTCGTATCCCAAATTTTCCCGCGCTTGAGATCTTGATTTTGTCCTCCCGTCATTCTCGTGTACATCTTTATCCTCATGTTCTGTATCCACGTATCCACGATTATCCAGTGGATCTCCTCGAGTCCCCGATGTCCCCTCGTGCCCGTCGGGGGTATCCAGGTATTCCTCAGAATGGTCTTCGCTGCCTGGTCGATGTTTTGCTTTCTTCTTAACCCGTTTTCTCACCCTTTCGACATTTACAGCCGTTTCAACAGCCGCTGCAACTTCTGCTTCAGCAAGATTCTTTTTCTTCCTAACCCTAAACACAAATAACAATCTTTTAAACTCCCAAAGCAAAGGAGAGAATCGACTTATATGAGTTAGCGAAGAGCATTGACTTCACAGAAGCCCATTAGGCATCAATACCTTTTCTCTCTCCGTTCACTGACTGTTGACCTGCCTGGATGATCCTCAGTCGTTTCATCCTGAGATGGCCGGCCTGAAAGAGCTTCACTGTAGCTCTGTTTCGTCTGTTTCTCAAGGCTTTTGTTTTTGTCTGAAGTAGAAAGTTTTGGAGAATGAAAGATTATATAAGTATCACTTTCTCACAACTTGACACGTCATCTTTCCCTCAACCTGTAAGCTAGTTATCCATCCAGTTGTGTACAACCTTATAGGTCATTCAATATTAGACAAGAATTCCCAGGAAAATTTATAAAAAAGTTAACAATGCCCTTTGTAAGCTTCATTCCAAGCAAAAATTTGCTATTGAAGCATGCAGGTTATTACCTTTAACTAATCTTATTTTGAGCACCTAAATACAGTGTCTTATGCCAAATTAATACAGTAGGATTGTCCACACCATATCCTAGTTAATACACAGGCACTTCCTGTATAAAAACTGCATGTACTTGTTTGCATAAATTGAAGGCATTATTATGGTTGATTAAACTCGGTAAGGAGAGTTATAATACTATAAATCTAGTTACCATTTGTGTACAGGTTGGCTTGGATCAAATTCTGTTCTGCAATAGATTGATCTTTCCTGATGCGCGTTGTGTCATCGTTTAGCTAAAATAGAATAAAACATATTCACCAAATTGTCAGGAATTAAACAGGGCTACTCTTTGATTCTCCCAACTCACCTGATCTGCTGATTGTGCTCTTCTCCTTCGCTTTTTCTTCTTCTCTGCATTTTCAGTTTGTGGAGTTCTGCAAAGATTTAGATTTGTATTCCTCATTTAACAATCACATAAATTCACTCACCTGAGTGCACAAATAACGAACTGATATATGATAGATACCCTTTTGTAATATCCCCACTAATTTCAAGTGCCGCAAGCTTTTCTTGGGCATCTTTCAAAGTCTTTGATGTTTTTGCATCAGAATGGTCTAAAAAATTCCATTTCATAGTTGTAATTACCATACAGAATTTTCCCAAATGTACAAAAAATGTTGAATGCGTAATACTTACAATCTTCAATATACTTCGAGGGCTTGTCCTAGTCAGAAAACAACAGAAAATGAACATAGGATTTCTCCTATTCATTGTATATCCCTTTAGACAACTCATGAAAATCAGTATCAGTTGACAAAATCTGTGTGTACAATAGTCATGTCACCAATGAATTCATACCAGTACCTTGATAGCTACAGATGCTGATTGGCTTCGCTCGTGTTTCTTGCGAGACTTCCTCACCTGTCTTGATGTCTCAACTAAAACATGATACAGTGACATGCAGCAATGAATATACAAAAGTGAAATAACCAGCAGTTAGAATGAAAATAGGTAAACTGTCAGTAACTCCCTTTTAATGAAAACCCTCATGATGTCTATTATTATAAAGAACTTTACTTTCTTGGAACATCTGGTTCGATCGGCCACTCAGGATCACTTTATTTGCAACGTTAGTCGAATTCATTTCATCTTGGTTGTAAGATAATCTCAAGATGAATTGATGAAACGAATTCGATTAACTTTTGCTTTAAGCACTTGAATACTGAGAGAAAATCAACCTACCTTCAAGCATAATGTTAACAGACAAGCGTTTGATCTAAGCGAATAGTAGAAATTTCTTAATCATCTGTCATTTCACTCATTTGTTTTATATTTACATCTCAATCCAGGAGAAAAAACCGTACTCCATGCTAATATATTGAGAAAAATCTACTCTCCACCGGAGGACACTTCTATAATAAACGTAGATTACTCCCGATCTGCTCTTTAGGGCAACTTAAACATCATAATTATAGAATAACTTCTTCTAAACTTATTTCGTTCCTTTTTGCAGACATTTTGAATTTTTCAAAACAAAAATTTCGGCATATTTCGTTCCCAGTGCTCCTTAGCCACGAGAGCTGAAGATACGTCATGTATGGCAAATCAAATGCACCGCCGATCGTTTATTGTCACGGGCAAGATATCGATTGCAACTGGTCACGCACAGACACAGTTTATCATTCAGAAACGGAGTCACGAATGTACGTTGAAATTAAATATTAATAATGTTAAATAATCTAAGTTACAATATATAAGTTGATGATTACGAACAGCATCCATACCATACTATATTATCCTGCAATGTCCCTGTTACAGTATATACATCTATATCACGAGTTCTCCTAGTCACCCTAGATATCCATCTTTTCTTTTTTGAATTATTTACGAGTAGGGAATCTAGTTTATAACAGCGGGGCTTAAAGAAGATTAATGATGGGGCTCGTATCATCTCCATGGAGGAGTGGGTCAGTCTAAACATAATTAAAAGAAGATGGTCTAGTGAACTGCTCGTACCCCCCCTCGGCATACACTGAAGTCTTCGCTTTGTGCATCGGATAGAGAATCTCGTTACACTCATCTTCATCAGACTCCTCCTCATCGTCTAAGCATTTCACGTATTTCTTTATATGTTTATCGATGTAGCTCTCTGGCGCCGAGCCAATGGACAGAATTTGGTAATGGAAGTCCTGTAGATTAAACTTCGCCTCAAGCTTTCGCTCGCAATATTCTCTCATCTCGACGATTTTCTGCTGACCCAATTTGTATGCGGTCGCCTGTCCAGGTCCACCCTGGTACCGAGTCACCTCCTTGTGTGTGAAGTCGCTGTCATCCCACGCGTATTTTGAGAATAATTCAATAGCTTCTGTCCTGGAAAAAAAGCGTAACATTCAACACAGTGTTTAGGGCCGCACGATCGAAAGGGGCAGTTGCTCCCCCCAAATTTCACGTTATTAGTCCCTACTGCTCTTGTGTGCTGCTACAGAAAGAATCTTGGCAACGGCCCTGGTCCTCATTAAAAATTAGATTTATAAACATGTATGCATGCAGCGTTTTTACGACAACATGCAAATATATGAAATATTTTTCTGTAGAAATGTTTCTTTTTTTAAAAAGATAACAGAAGCAATGACGTAGTGACAATAAATATTGTCGACCAACCTTGTCATTCCACGGTAATGGAGTCCAGTGTCCACAATCAATCGTAAAGTCCTCCATATCTGAACAATGAAAGCAAAACAATAAATTCTACATATTTAACGACTGTTAGAGAAATAGAGGACTGCGTATAGCATTTCATCCACCTATTCCAGTATTCCTCCACTTTCCCTCTCCAAACTGTTGTAACAAAATGCACGTACAGCGGTTCTATGAACGCAATATTAAAACGGGGGAAAGGAAGAGCTTATGTAATGTTTGTGGTAGTGATTTGTCCTATAGTAGTACAATCAGTAGTACAATGTACCTCCCATTGTAGCATTCCGTACTCTTCCAAGGGATGACCGTGGTATGTATCAGTGTTCTCAGATACTAGAGGTGTTTCTGCGTATAATGCCCAACCCTCTGTGAAGTAACTGTATCTCGACTTCTTATCCAACCATTTTAAGACATCCTCGCACGGATCATTGAAATATTCCAAAGAACCTGTAGGATATTTGGTGAAAATAGAATGACAAGGACTGGCATAGGGTGATGTGACGCTTTGTGGCAAGGTATACATGATGGAATGGTACGGTACAATTCGGTACGGTACGATACGGTACGGTACGGTGCGGCACGGTGCGGTGCGGTACGGTATACGGCACGGTACGGTATACGGCACGGTGCGGCACGGTACGGTACGGCATGGTACGGCATGGTACAACATGGTATGGCATAGTACTTCATCGTATGGTGTGATGGCATATGTTTGGTATGAAATGTCACAGTACGGTATAACGATACCAACCTTGTAGCTGAGTGTGGTGTCCGGGCCATCCTTCATGAGCTATGATACTCCAGTCTGAGAATTTTGGCCCGAAATTGTCGAGGAAAAAAGGTATATTTATGTAAGCAGGTTCTGTGCAACCAGTATCTGAGTGCGAATACGACTGAGCGCCAAACGATGGGTTAAAATTCGGCCGGAATTCTATAGGACAATTTGGAATGGTGATCTTGTTTCCTGTGTGGTAAAACAACGGAATAAGTTTTGGTGCAAGCATTCCAGCCGTTTGGCGACCATAAGAAGCCCACTTCTGCATGGCTTGCCATCGTATCGGACAATTTTTCTCCGCCGATTCGATGTCCGAACAATTTTTGAACGCAGCGAGGTCCGATTCATTGGCGGGAAATGGTCCGTCGTTGAAGAACTGTTCGGATGAGTTCAGAAGTTTCCTGAATTCACGAATCGCTGTCTCGTTGTCCGACTGCCCCGTGACGTTCCGAGCAATCTCTATGGCCTGGAAATATGAAAAAGATCCGAAAATGTTGGCTGTTGAAAATACAATACGGTCCACGTTCGTTTTAGGACATGAGCGAAATATTAGACTTTTGCCTTTTAGATTCGATCTCAAAACCTCAATAAACCTTTTGGAAAAAGAAGTGTATAATACAAGAAGTCTATATATTGAGGTTTTTTGAGCAGGCACTGACACACTGGGAAGCAAACAGACTATACCTTCGGAAAAAGTTTCCTCAGACTCTCTTTTCCGATTTCGTAGATTTCCTCAGGAGATATATCGCTCGTTGTGAACGATGTTAAAATACTTTTGTAATTTTCTTTTCCGCTCAGGTTCTGTCCGGTTATTGGCAAGATCTTGGTTGTGGGGATAATCGTCGGGGCGCCGTCGATGTAGATATGATCCACCGGAATCCCCGCAAGTCCACTGGAAAGATCTTGGGGTAGGCAATTCCGTATGTGCTTCTTGCCGAGATACTCCACAAAGTCAGTTAAAGGTTTTCCTAGCCCTGGTTAAAACAGCAAGACAAAACGTATTTCATTCATCTTTTGTTTCTTTATCTATTTGGTCGTGTGCTTTCAAAGAGAAAATACTAGATACGCGGATACTCCATAAATATACATCGACATTGTCTTAAATCACAAACACTTACGCGTCAAAGAAACTAACCTTCAACCAGTGCTTCGTCAATGGAGGCGGAAATAGATTTTCCCTTCATCTTCATCCATTCCTCATGATCCTCGTCCGATAAATCTTTGATGTACAATCCATGGCGAAAACCTACAACAAACGACTCGTCCAATATTCCTTTGGGGTCGTTCTCCTTTGTTATTTCCTTGTAGCGAGCTTTAAATGCATCTAAACCTGCTTTACAGTTAAATGCAGAGCGCACCATTCCTGTTTTGACGCCGAGTTGTACGTTGGACCTAAAAAAGTGGATTCGTGAAGATGCCTTTAGACTTTTCTTACTCAAACTCTCGACTTAAAAGATCTAATAACCTACTGGTATTGTTTCACAGCTTCCCCATGTAAGTATATCATGTCCAATATGTTTTCTAAATCATCCAGGTTTTTAGGCCTGACCCATCTTGCATGATTACCAAGTTCCTGGCCTAGTTGGCATATTGGTTGAAAACAGAAATGGTTCACACCAAGCATCCAATCGCCACTGTAGAAATTTGCGTCATAGGGAGAAGCAAAAGTCGTTTGCAGGAATTGCTTCACCTAAAATTTGTTCATAAAATGATGTGAAAGTTCAACACAGACCGAAGTAAGGAGATTAACCCTTGTATTCAAAAAGCTCACTCACACTTATTGAGTGTGACATTGAAATGTTGTTATTACTGATCAATGGGAAACTTTTTTCTTGGATAGATCAATGGAAAGATTTGAGGTAAAACACTGGAAATCAAACACTTATTCGACTGAAATTACCGTCATGGAGACTGAAATTACCATCATGGAAACGTTTTGAGATGATTGATGATGAGCTCACTCTCACTCAATGGGTTTGAGTGTCAGTGAGCTTTTAGAATACCGGCGAAAGAGATCAAGGATTTCTCACAACGTACCCTACCATTAGGGTATTGATAGTTTTTTTAACTTTACCAAAATTTAATTTCATTTGTTCATTTGCAAAATTCAACGTCTGAGACAGGACTAAATGTCGAGAGGCCTTCGTTACTGCTCTATAGAATCAGTTTTACTTCGCGAGGTTTCTCACTGACCTGATAAACGACTTTAGCTTCTCTGGATTTCAACTTCTCTTCGTCGATGTCCATGTTGTTGATTTCTTCAAGCAATGCCAACGTGGCGTCAGTTTTCTCTTTTAAGTATTCCGGAGTGAAATTCATTGGTTTGTATCTGGAAAACAATGACCATACATAGAGGTAGGCTTGGATATTAAAGTGATATTCCTGACCTCAGGCCTAAATCTAGTGGCTTGTGCAGTCATTGGTATCGATTGTTGTAACCAGTGCATGGTAGCAGTACTGCTAGGTTCTGTAAGTCTTAATGCAGTGACCCACTTATTGGCAGGGGGTTAGAATCCTTGCCACAATTACTCCCCCACTTCCCACATATCCCAAATTGTCCCAATCATGACCTTACGCTGACCTTTCTTTTATATTCCTAATATGATCGCGTATGGTCATACCAGGAATCCATTCCACAGTACGATACTCGTAATAAGTGTCTTGCACTTTTCTCAGAAATTCCTCCAAACCGACACGTAGTGCTTCTTTGGAAAAAGAACAAGCAGTGGCTAAAACGAGAGTTAAAAAACAATAAACAGTTTAGCTTCGGCAATATGAAAAGAATAACAACAAATGAAATTAAGGAATGCATGAAACACGATTCCAATGTATGATGTTACACGAAGTTTGATTGGCTCGATAGTTTAGTGGAGCCAATCAAATTTCGTGTAACATCAGACTTTCCCCGTTTGACGTCGTTATAAGAAAGGTCTATTATTTCCCTTTTTTTGCTCACTCTTCTATATGAGAGGGCAGGCGACATGCTGTCGATAGGTGTCCTTGATTAAAAGGCCTTTAAGGTTCAACCTTATTAAAGCTGTCTCACAGACTTGGGAGAATCAATGACGCTTTGGGGAAGATGGTATTATATATCCACATCACAGTTCACGGTCATGCAAGTTTTCATACAACGAAGCAAATTTTAACTTCAGTACAGAAAATTGAATTCTTGTCGTACAACATTAATTGTTCCCGTTTGAGTGCCGGCCGAAATGATAAAACTCTGTTGGCCAAATTTCGTTTATGGCCAGAGGAAAACTCAGTTTGGAAAACCTCACAAAGGCTTAGAACTTTCGCAATTCGATGGCAATTTACTAAAGTGGTTGAAGTATTTCCTATGCCTGTGGGAAGATCCAAGTGGCGGGAATATAAGCACACTTATGCTATATGCCATATTTGAAATATTTTAAAGATATTTGCACATGCATGCTTCGAGGTCGGTGCACATTATATACCACACGAACAAATCGAATCGTAAAATGCCTGGTAACTTGACTTGGCTGTTGTTTTTAAAGTACACTTAGAATTGCATTTGTCCATACATGATTGCTTATTTGAACACTAGTGTAAAGACGAACCCGAATATCTTTCAGGAGTTTTATATGTATTTTGTAAACCTACATGCATATGCGAAAGAACGTAAGATCAAGTGGCTGGATATTGAGCATCGCTCTTTACATCGCGAGAGTGCGGTCCACTTAGTGAAGGTCCTTGGTTTAGAACATCGGGATGTTTTTCTTTCACGAGTGTCAACGCGATTCAGGTTGCAATATCATTGAGAGGTATGATATATTTACTCCCTTCCAAAGAAGGCGTGTTAAGCGTTGATTTCTCAATTCAAGTGGTATGGCTTAAGGCTTTAGTATTTGCGTGGAATTTGTGACACTTTGAAGTTGCAAAAATTTGTCAATGAGCCGCTGGCATTGTGAACAGTCAAACTTCAAAGTGTCAATACGGCACACGTCACAGCACAAGAAGATATCCAAATGATTTACAGATCAGTGTGGGTATTACACTGGACGGTTCAGAGCGAGGTTCAGAGTTGATGTTTTCATATAACAAAATAAACATCTTGAAGTAATTATAGAAATTATAGGAATTATTGTTTTTTTGAAAGCTCCAGTAACAACGCTCTCCGATTTAAAGCCAATTCTCTCAGCTGAATTTTACATGAAGTATTTCGCATCTGGAAAAGAGAGTATTCAGTACTCAAAAGTCAAATGATGTTACGCAACAGTTACGTAACGCTTGTGTTGGAGTTAATGGTGTAGTTATATATTATGGATGATAAAATTGTAAACCCAGAGAGCTAGTATAAGTTGCCCCAACTTTGATATCACTTTAATGGCACGAGTCCCATCCCATGACATGCAAGTAGCTGATTTTTGCCCCACAGGTAAAGCGGCCATTCGCAATTATTAATTACCGCGTTTTCGGTTTTTTTTTCTACGTAAAGATTAGAGTGGCACTTGTTTTAATATCGACAATTTTGTCCCAGCTCTCGTTTTTAGGCAAACGTCATCACATTGGGATGTTCAACATTCTTTCAAAGCCCTCGACTTTAAACGTATAAACAAACAGATTGCAGAGATTAGCGTGCTATATATTAACTACCTCGCGTCAGTATAATGAGAAAAAAACTATTTCACGGTACGTAACTGACACAACTGACAGTATATAGCTACTTCAATTCTATCTTGCATGAGCATATCTTTTCACTATTTCGACCAGGAGAATATACTTGAACGAAACTACGAACTGTGTTTTCCTCTCCCTCTGCCCCAACCCCCTCCCCCCCCCCCGCCTCGCACACAGGAGGTTAGGTTATTCACTCAGGAATGTGTTCAATAATTGGAGCGCCACTCGAACCTGTTATGGTATCATATATGAAATTATATGAGCTATATCTTAATCTGCAATGCTTTGTCGTTTTGCCACTAACCGTATCAGGGGCGAAAATTCAAATTTGCACAGAAAATTTCGCAGCTATAAGCGAGCTTATGCAAGTTTAGAACGTCATTGTGTACTATTGATGTTTAAAATGCCACTGTACTGTCGGCGACTAGACATAATGACACATCGCAACGACGCTTTCAGATATTTTGCCGAACTTTTCCGGCATTTTGCCGAACTTTGCCGGCATATACAATACCGCGTCAAGCCTAACGCGTTGCAGTTGTTCCCGTCCGTCAAAACACACTCGTGGTTTGATTAGAAACAGTAGCCAAATACGTGTTGGTAAGAGTTATGAGATAAAGGGGGTTAAAGTTAAACTATCAAACAAGGATTTGATGTTTATGTGTTTATCTTGTAGTTGAGAAATTTTTGCGTGAGCAATTTTTAATGTGGCACTTCAGGTTGCAATTAAAACGTACAATTCTGCAAGAGTTTCCGACGTTTTCAATACGACGACCGGCGGGTCGTTTAATGCCCTTTACATCAGCCCTTGGACAAATTGTAGGTTTATGTACAATGCAACGGAAACCTTTTTAATTAACAAATTTTCGAGACGAGATTTTCTGTTGCTAGGCACATTTACCATCTCAAATCCTTCATTGCGCCGATCATGTTATGCAAAATTTACACGCCTCATTCAAATTTGCATGCAGTAAATCCGTGAAGCTTGCCATGCCTTTAAACGATTGGAAATCGTGTATGTAATTTTAACCAAGAACAGTCTGTACAGAGCTAAAAAACATAGTGGATGCGAGGGGGTGACGTCTGAGCAACCTGGGTACATTGTGTCCATCTTTTATATAAAAATGTGACCTGTAAAATTCACTGCAATGTTATACATGCTGTTAATATCATTCTTCTGAATGTATACTGTAAATTTGCATATGAACAGAAATTTAGGCACGAGTTTCGGCTTTTTTTACTGATCTCTTCGAGTGATTTTAAGCCATTTGGTAATCTTATATCAGACTTGCAGCGAATGGAATGTACAATCCATACACCTTGCTGTACCGAAATGGGATATACACAATGCCGTTGGCAAAGAAATGACGGTGAATGACGATTGGAAAAGCTGATATCAACGTATGTTAGGACTTAAGTGGAGATGCCTATATATTAGTACATATTATACACGTTGTGCATGTTTCGTAACCTCAATTAATTTGAGTCGAGCGGATCTGTCAAAGGCACCGTTTCGAATGACGGCTGCAAAGACTGTATTGAAAAAGCGGACAGGTTTGAGATTGGGCTCTCCCCTAACTGCAATTCTTTAATGACAGCAAACTGATTAGTTTCTGTTGAATTTTACGGCACGTTGTCACTGCTCAATTAACGGCACGGCGTTGTGCAACCTGCGAATTCACAGCTGCACACTGTCATGCCCAACTGGAACTATCCTATTTTTATTCAGAACAGCTAGGAAGTCATAAAAATCACAAAGAAAACGCCACAAGGTTTAATATGGTGAATGCTTATACCATAAGTTACGGCTACATATGGTCGCAATCTACTTTTGTATTCATTGAAATCGCAGCATGCATGTTTCTGTTAACACATTGTACCGGATTCGCTTGTCACGATATCTTCGTTTGCCTTTAAAGGGCAATGGTTAGAAGCAAATACTTATTATTTTGATAGTTTTGGTATATTTGTTTCGATCTCTGACAGTGAAATTTTTTACTGCCTTTCAACAGCTACAAAATGTGACCCATTCCAGAAGCAATCCGGTATAGTGTAAACGGGGCCTAAAAACTTTGTTAAATTAAACACTTATCACAGCCTGTTTACATAAACTCACCTATTTCGTCTTCTGTGGTAGTTGCATCTTTTCCATCCTTCGTTGCATACAACACCACGACAGTCACGCACACAAGTAACAAAATAAGTATGGCAAATGCCATCACTCGCTCCAGGGTGGTACGGAAGGGACGAAGCGTGCAGACTTTCTTTCCTGCACGTTGCGTTTGTGGTTCATTTTCGGCCACATCAGGTACGCCAGAAAGTGGACGCATTTCTTTAGCCAAAAACTCCGTACGGCTGTTCCTTGCCATCTTTTAAACGACGAGCAACGAACGAATAATTACAAAGGAAAACGGCAAAAGGTCACCCGTTGATGTTGCTCTTTGTCCTTCCGAGATTCTTCTGCAGCGATTTGCATGCAATTACTTCAGATGGCAAGAACTCTAGCTGTTAATTCGTTGAATACGACTGATGAACTCGATGCGCTACAGTACAGTATTTATGCGTGGAGTATACGCAGTTACAAAAACACATTACAAACAACAAATCGCAATGCCCAAACAATCATCACAACCGTTGTAAACGGCGAAGTTCGTAAATGGCCAAATAGCGAAGGTATATTTGATAATATTTCAGCACGCTTTTTACGGCTTCGAAGAGGGTAACAATATAGCTACGCGTGACGTAATAGAGAAATTCGAAGCACGTTCACAGTATTTCAATGTAGCTCGACTCACTCAGAGTGGCCTAACAAGGTGAATTCCACTGGTATAGGTTTCCTTCCTTATGGTATAAGGCAGCGATCAATGATTTCACAAACGCGGCCTTTGTCGTAAACAAAAATTGTCTCAGGAAACGTAAAGTCTGCGGATATCTTTGGTCGAGTATTGTCGGCGAAGTGATTAAAGAGTAAACGACGTATGTAAACAAAGCATTTCGACCGAACTCAACCGCGACAAGGTTTCCGCAGTAACGTGAATCGGATCAATTTCAAAGAAATTGATCACGGAACTGATCAATGTCTGGGTTGACGAGACTTCAAACATCAAGTCTGCAACTCTCAACTATTCATGCCATGCATGTTCACAGCGATTGATAATTGATCTCTATGAAAAACAACGGGTTAATACTAAAATGCATCGATTCAAACCGCGAATGACACTCGATTTACCGTAAAACAATTCTACACGTGGTTACTCACTTAATGAATTTGACGATACTATAAGTCTATTGCTCGTATCCCATTCATATTTGATACAGCAGTCCTTGGCCTTGCGGTTTGTATTGACTGAAATTTGATCACTATGAAATGTAATGCTAAAATATAGACACGAGTCGCACTTTGGGGTTTCCAGTACGAAAATTGTCGGTAACGATTTCTTAAAGTTTTATATTCGGTAGCGCAAATGCGCAATATCTCGCGTTTTACGGTTATGCACAACAGCTCTGGGGCTCTGCACGCGAGCAAGGGTTGTGAAGGTCGGGCCCTCGCAATCTCACGAGGCGCCACCATGATTGGCGCCGGACGGAAAAATTTGAAGAATTTTAATGTCAGGTTACGCGTTCAAATGAAACTACGGCCGTTACGGCGAAATGATGCTGAGCGGGGAGGGTGGGTCCGTGGGTGTGGCGGTGGAGGGGAACAGCCCATGTGACGTCATGTACTCATTCAAATATTATATTGTATGGCAGGGAATCTCGAAAGGAAAAATGATGGTGTATGATGGTGACGTGTAGTCGTTGAAATCGAGCTTGTAAATCAAGGGTTTTTAGCGGTCAACAGAGGTCTTCATATGATATAAATTGTTATAATATGTTTCAGTTTTTTCTATACAAGCATAGTAGCCCAAATTTGCGTGATATTTTTAACGCGAGGAATGTTTCGCTGTGTTAGCATCGAATAATAACATATTATTACATCAGTAGTTTCTCGCGTTGAATTTATCACGCCAATTTGGGCTGCCTACAAAACAAGTCATGAAAACTAACAGAACAGACTTGTGTGGATTGTGTGATTCGATCACCGTTTAACGGTGGTGACCACTCTAATTCTGAAATGTCAAAATTGAACGGCGTCATTTCATTAAAAATCCATAAAATGTTTCTTTTGTAAAAACTCGGGAAGTTTTCGAGCCATGACACGGGCTGGTCGAAATCGTTGCAGCGTTATTTGACACGAATTCACTTCAGATTGAATATCTTTTTACATTCCAATGAAAACCAAACGCTTCCAGCGAACCATAAAAGACTGAGACCTACGCAGTAGAGAAGTAGCGGGATTTTCGTAAATATAAACGCAGAAATTATCCTCCCGAATACGAATCCAAGGTGGTCGACAGAGAAGGATGAACCTTGGTAAAATCCTGCCATATTCGGGTCCGTGATTCTTGCAAGGAGTGAACAGCCAATTGCAAATATGAAATTCTGTAGGCCAAAGGCGATGTAGGGGACAAGCAGGTAACTGTCATACCAGTAGACTTCGTCCCAGTAAAAAGCGAAGTACGTGAGCAACATAATCGCAATGATTTGCATAAGAAATGCTAAACACGCTTGTTTTAGTTCGTCAAAGCAACCTGTAGCGAGGTATAGAACGAGAAAAAGCGCTAGTGATAGTATGGAACTTGCAAGGAAAAGCAATTTTACGTCCAGGAACTGTAAATGGAAGTGTTCTTGAGCTAAAAGTGGGGTGTAGAATGTCACGATGGTTGGGAAAAATTGTCCTAAGAAAATGATGAAAAACACGCAGAAAATCGTGTGCTTTGGATGCGGTTTCGAGGGCCTAAAATACGAATCGCCATCATCGGAACTGCTCGAGGCATCATCGTCGTCATCCAACGAAACGATCGTCTTATCTAATTGGCTGCTAGTTCCAAACTCGGACGGCAACCAAAACGATACTATTAACGAAATCGACCATATTATTACCAGTACAACGCCGGACGAATTACCAGGATTTATTTTCCAGCCAAAAATATCGACGTCGAAAACCAGAAAACTGCTCAGAGCTGGTCCACATACGGTGCCCAAACAGTACATGCCATTTATGAAGATAAACGCCTTCGGACGCGATCTGTCTGAGGTGTACAAAGCCAACTGACCGTAGAGTATTCCAGTAGAACCAATAGAAAACCCGCTCAAGGCTCGGCCAATCAGAGGACAGTATACTGAGGCGGGTATTGAATAAATTAAATTTCCAGTTACCTTCAGACCGTAGCAAAAAATGACGATGCATTTTATGTAGCCAAAGTGGTCGGCAAACTTTCCGAGAACCGGGCCGGCGACGACGGCCGCACCGCCATATATGGAGAGTACAAATCCGAGAAATTCTCGAGTGCCTCCCAAAGATTTGATATAATACCATGCGGTTGGCGTAATGAAATACTCTTCGGCGCCATCGAGAAAATTTCGGATCGCGAGGAAGATGAGGACCCATGGTTTCATGGTAGTCAGCCTGGTGACCTTCATTTTGACGTGCCGAGAATGTCGCGCCCTGTAATAAAGCAAGATGGATGGTTTTTGAAGATCTGATATTTCTCAGCTGCCGTAAACAAGTTCTATTCAAAGAAATGGTAAATTCACTTCGTTCTCTTCTTAAATATATCTAAGAAAACGCTTAAGAGATTGTCGTAAAGCTACCCCATTCGTTTGTTAAAGAAATGAGATTCGGAAACGGAAACATTCGTTTTCTCAGGACATATCTGATTTCTCAAAATAGACGAATAACTATCAATTTTACCCAAGGGTAAACCAATGAGAAACTTAACTTAAATGAGTAACTTAACGAGTTACATACAAAAAGCTGAACCACAAACGATCTTTTTGCTTTTATGCGAGTGAGACAGAAGTTTGGCCTTGGAATTACTAGGGGGGGAGACACCTCAAAGATGATACAGGGAAAGGATGCTGTTGAGAAAATGCGGCCACTTGAAAAGTGGGGGTCACTATGGGTGCTGAAAAATCAATTCGGGTAATTCTGGCATAATTCATTCTAATAGCCAAGAGTTTTTAGGAGGTAGCGGGTCATGCCGTCATGGAGACCGCCCAAACCAGCATGAAATTCTAACAAAGGTGGCTCATCCATCCACATCACTGCAATGCACCAACGCGTTTATCTATTATCTTTCATGATGAACACTGCTTAAGTAGTTTTGTTTGATCGGGGCGCAAAAATGCAGGGGAAAAGTAACAAGTTTTTATTGACATATACCGTGATACTCCTGGTTCAGTTGATTCAGCAAGTCTTCTTAAACCCGTATTGATCTTGAGAAAAAATTCCAAACTTCGTCACCATAGTTGACAAAACGATCCATTGCAACAGCTGAAAAGAACACACATCGTTACCAACATAAAAAAAACTTTAATCCCTCACTGATTGGGGTTTTATTCGTCTTAATTGACGTTTATTTGCGTGCATTTGGCATAGCATGCGGAAATCGATACTCAAATTATTTCCCATGCATACTTGCAGAATAACTTGTTTCTGTTGTTTGCCAATTTTCAAAGTGACATATAACTTCTCAAACATATATCGTCGTAGGTACAGTTATGGGTGACGATGCAATGCAAATTTCAAGTCGTTCTTTTGGAAATTGATTGTGGTCAGTAAATTTTAGCATAGATAGAGGAACTAAATTGTCAAAAAAGCTACGCTACTGATCAGGGAATACTTCAGTGCGGATATCCTTGAAGACTTTTACGGTGTCCATGCAGTGTTGCAGACTCAGATGCACAGCGCTTTTTCACCAAATAAAGCTTGCGGATGTCTCATCGATGGATTGACGTCTAGTTTGTTGAGATCTATGCATGTTCGCGCGCTTCCCCGCGCAATTTGCAATCGAAGTAACACGAGATATAAAATCGTTTTCCGCGGACTTCAAAGAGGTATAATCGATAAGCATCAACTACGACTAAACTATAGCATTTTTTGGTAAAAATTGTCTACAAAAATGCGCGTTTTATTATTAACGGAAAAATATTTTCATATGAACTTTGATCTTTGGCGAAATGTAAGATATGTTTATGAAACTTTATCTGAATCAATGCGTCTTCAGAAAATGAAAAAAATTAAAAATATACAATAGTCTGTCTCTGAGCGATAATACAATTTCGATTTAAACGTGTATATTTGATCATCCCAACTTACAGCGCAACTTTATGATCATTATTTATGAATTTGACCAAGTGATTCGTGGATTGTAAGACATTAATCATGATAGTATCTGATATAATTTCTGAATGCTTTCCACGTTAGTGGTCCATCCACCTTGACCATAACCACAGGCTTGGTATTCGTAAAGGTCGTTTCAAAATAGCCAGTCCGACATAGGCAAGGCTGCATGCGTAGAGTTTTTTTGGGGACCTTTATAAGATACACCATATCTACGACGCGGACGCGTGAAGTATAATACACTAAAACTGCATGCCTTCATTTCCACAGTTTCACAACAGCAATGAAAATTATCGACCTCTTTTGGTCAACAAGGTCAGAGCTGTATGTAAAACTAATTAAAACTGGGTTCCCAACACGGTCCCTGTCTCTTAAGGTCCCCATTGTCGGCAGGTCAGTCCAGGAGTTTTGCTTACAAACTAAAGAATATATATGTATCAATTCGCTATATGAAGGTAGACCCTGTGAGACTTCGCCGTCCCTGAAAGAGCTCAGCCTTCCAATAGAATAGAAACATCTATTGTACGACTAGTTGCTTATCGTTCAACACAGGAAAAATTTTTATCGTCTGAATATTTCAACTCGCTTGTCTTTGACTACCGGAGACTACATGTGTCACTGAGCTACATATGTTCTAGTGTGGCTGCATGAGCAGTCGCACGTGGAGACAATACATTCCTCGCAGAAATTCGCCAAATATACAACCCGGTATAGACGTAATATATGTATTATTCAACCTACCATGTGATGCCTTAAACTGTTGGGTTATGTTCCTCGATTCTCAAATTAATTCCCAACGCGAGGGTGACATTTTAAACCGTAGAACACAACAAAGATATTTCATAGCTATATAAAGACATTGTGAAGGATGGAACGACCGCAACCACTCGTGAGCCGTGTTGACTCTGCCTGATTCCTGTGGCGACTGGCGAGTAGAATGACAAACCAGTATTTCCGGATTTTCAACGGAATTTCTAATAGATCTATCGATGCACCTTCGGCCGTTTATCACAGTTTGGCAGAAACATTTTTATTTCAAAGCATGATTGCGTTTATAAAATCTGCTACGCGAGCCTGAATTTATCAGTTAGTTGGTTATAAGGGCTGGTTTTCATGCACAAACATAATTCGTTGTAATTCACATGTTGTGATGTGTGTGTTGTTGTAATTCGGTTTTCATATGTCAGATTTCGCAAAACAACAAACTATAGCGAATTACGACGGCGGTGATTACAACGAGTATGTCAGGCATATATGAAAAACTAGCCTGAGTAAAGCAATAAGGAATTAGTGAGGCGTAATCAACTAAATCAAGCGAGGCGTAATCAAGCCTTTAAAAATTATTCAATTATTGAAATGTACACCGTCAAAGCAAATAAGCTTAAGAAATTTTTTTTAAGCAAGGTTTGTTCACATTCACACGATGAGTCGATGATACGATCCAAATTTTTCCGTCAGATCCACTAGATTCACTTTTGACGAATCGGAAAGACACGTATTAAGCGGTACTGCATGTATTCATTCGCTTATTTGATTTGCTGCCCATATACATTGCAAGACTGAAGTCAACAGACTATAAAACACCCTCGAAACATCCCAATCAGAAGTGGTTGCATACCACGAAATTGAATCAGTCGCGAGAACAGACTGATATATAGTTGGGCATTTGATTATTACTCGATATGAAAGCCAGCCAAGCCAAGTATTGCAACTTAACCATGCGACGATTTTTTGCCATGCCCATGAACAATATGCGACTAAGGCACAGATATTATATAACACTCGTTCAGAAAGCAATTCGAGAAACATTTTAGTGAGCGGGCAGCAAATTATAAGAAATCTATGGGAGTCTATAGGATTGCCTGAAGTGAAAGTTGAAAGCAATGACGATTGAACATCGGAACAAGACAATGATATATTTAGTCATTTATATTGCTTCATATATAGCCTAGGTCCAAAGTGTGTATTCTGACAAACACATTAACTTGGACTTGGTAACCTGGTATAACAACCGCAAAGCGCAAGGCTACCAGCTACAGCCGGCAGACTGGCAGATGAGAGTTTTACATTTATCGGTACATACAGGACTACCATAATACCATTGCCTGATAATTTTAGCTGGGCTGGTATACGTATTTAGATATACCGGAATTGTAATATTTACTTCAGTCTCTGCATGGTGTCAAGCTTAGTAATAAGTTAGAAACACACGGTTATAATGAAGAATGGCTGTTATACTGACCTTTTGTCACAGATTATCCAAGTCTGGTCATTGTCATAGTATCTCAAACGTGTTCATCTCAATCACAAGCTCTTCTGCTGTATTTACCAATTCTCTTCTGGCAATTTGACATGGCAATGAGTATGTGTGCATGATGCATGACGAAGATATAAAGGAACGTTTGAAACAGCTGGTCAATGAAGCGATGTAAACAAAATGATTCGTTACTCGAAGGGGTAAAAATCAGTCATGCATGCAAACAAATAAAACAATCTATGTGAATTAGTTGTTGTAATGAAAGGATAAAAAATATTTAAATATTTCATTTACTTCACAATTCGATATCATTCAGTTATTGTTCGATCACAGTGGTTCGATAAGTTAAAAAACAGAGGATTTATTAGTATAAAGTTTGCTTAAGGCTCAAGGATTCTAGATTTCTAGTGGAACCAGAAGAGGAGAATAGGGGATTTAGCACGCACATTTGATTTGGTAATTTCAAGTGTCTGGCGTCTTATGAAAGCATCGAATGGCGGTTGCCAAGGGGTCCGGCACAAAACTTTGCCTACGGAAACAACACTCTCGATGTTAATATGACTATCGTCAGTCAGTACAAGGCTGTCCTATGCTGTGTTTAAAGAGCAAGGCCGGCCACTCAGCGACTATTGGCTGAGTGGCTGATGTTAATGTTCACAGGTGTAGAGACATACCCCCTGTGGCATACCGAAGCGCTGCATATTAAAATCGACAGGGCCAACAACCTAAGGCACAAGTGTTGCGACGTGCACGGCCAGTTGAAACATCATATTCGTTCCGAAGATGAATCGTTTGGTTCTTGCGCTATTCTTTGTCTTCTTTGTTGCCCTTTTTTCAACTACAGAGTCTGGGTAAGTTGTGGATAGTTTTAGTAAACGGGCAACCAAAACAAAGAAATATGTACCAAAAGTGCTCAATTTTTATAACTTATTCTCATATTATTTTCATTTTTCACAATGTTACTGCCAATACGAGATTTGCACCGTGCGTACCAACAAATGGCCTGATCTATTATCATGCGTGAAAAATACATCGTTTACTAAACGAATTTCATTTACAAACCGCAGCTTATTAAAGTTGGATTACTTTTTAGACCGGATTAAAAATATTGATTTCATGAGACGTTCTCTGGTTGAAAAATATTTATTTTTACGAGCCTTCGGCTGCCAGACCACATGCTTTCAACGGGCTGATTTTATGTTTGGTTAGGCATCAGTTACACTGACACAAGATTGAAGTCGAATCCCGAAATGGAAATTAACTAAACATAGCTACGTATTTTCCAGTTTCGGATTTCAAGGGACCAGACGTTATAGACCGGCAAGACGCCCTGTTTTTAAAAACCAGAAAGCTGAAGGACCAGTGCATTACGCAGAAAACAAGTGAGTTGTAGCGTAACTCTGAGTTTTGTTTTACAAACTTGTTCACTCTTGTAAAGAATTCTGGTGGTGGGGAATGGATAATGTTAAATGTGAGTTTGAGCTCATTTGCATTAGGTTCGGCGCGTGAGAGGACCTAACCTCGTACCCAGAGTTTTTTTGACCTAGTTCGTTGTTGTAATCCAAGGATCAAATCTTTCATTTACTTCACAAATCACAATTCGGTATCATTCAGTCATTTATCAGTAAAGTTTGCTCAAGCCTCAAGGATTCTAGATTTCTGTTGGAACCGAAAGAGGAAACGTTGTAGAGAACTGGACTGATTCGCGTATAGGAATAGGAGATGTTTAGCACACACATCTGATTTGATAAGTTTGAAGTGTCTGCTATCTTTGAGAAAGTGTCGAATGGCGGTGGTCAAGGGGGTCACAAAGTTAATATGACTATCGTCAATCAGTACAAGGGGCGGACTGCCCCAAGCCGTGATGATTAAAAAACATTATAGTAGTAGAAAGAATAGTCAAACCATGCATGGATATATTGATGATACACTTATTTTATGTTATCTTCCATGGTCGAATATAGTTCATTTTAACCTAAGCGGATACCAGGGTTACAGGATAAGCATACACTATTGTTCTTTGTTACTCTGATTTTCAGTTGTGAGGAAGAGGGCAGTGCAACTTACAACATGGCGTTAAAGGGAAAAAGATGACTGCGTCTTCCGGATGATTTTGTGTTCAAGGACCTGAAAAGACCTAAAAAAATTGATTGATTTTGTGAACGCATGTGCGATTGTCAATTTTTTATGAAATCTTTATATAAAATTAAGCATTCCTGGGAGAAAAAACATGTATCACAAATAAAATTTCGCACAAATGGAAATGGACACCATTGTTTGTCATCTGTCTGAAAGCTACTATGCCACGTCTGCATATATCATGAAACGTCCACTCGTATTCAACCGAATTGATTATTATATACAACCACCTAAAAGGTACTCTCCTGCGAATAAAAGCTTGATTTCGTGTTTGTTTACCTATTCTTCAGTATTGACTGAAGGAGTCTCTTTCGGAGGTTGTCCAGAAGACGATGGATTTAATTTTATTTTCACCCTACCAATATTGAACGATCGCATTCGGTCACATCGCGTTAAATCATCAGTCATGCTGGCAGCCAATATGGCCCACACGGCATGCCGTGTCATCATTCTCCCAGCTTGAATTTTCTAAATTCCATATGGAGAATATTAGTAGCCAACTAACGCATCTTTTTAAATATTATATACGTCGTGACTTCGCCACCCACGATAGCTTAACTTCCTAGTTGAAATTAACATAGATATCTAAGAAAATAAAGGTTTTTATCTTCAAAAACCTGAATTACCAGTGCTGCATGCTGGTTTTTTTAAAAATACGTTATTAGCATGCTGTTGTGTTATATAACGAGAAATACATACAAGTTACAACGACTTCAAAGAGGTTGCAGAGATTTACTCAAATGCTTACATGCAAATATATTATATTAAAATAAACAGCTGATTCAATTTCCTGGAAAACTCTACTGTATTTCTAATATTTGTTCGTTAGTTTCCATGAAAATTCAAGCTATTTGTGAATAGATCTTGTCTTCTCTCGTTTGTCTTTTTCATAGCCATGATCCTGCAGGATTTCGCTGAAACTTTTCCGGGAACTTTTTTCCTTTTTCAACGTGACCAACACTCGACCAAAACAATCAAAGTCACCGAAGGAAGCGTAAACTAACGTCTGGCTACCATTCAGTTTCTTCTCTAGTTCCTTCTTATCTTCACGTTTGCGATTCTCGTCGAAATCCTTCGCTTTCAAACCCATGCAAAGATGGGCGAGGAAATCGCGAGCGCAAAAGCCATCTCTTCCTTCTGTGTCAAGCGAGCCCTGCTTCAATTCAGCACAATCGATCCCTTTTAGGCGGCATTTCAACTTGACGAGCTGTTGATTGTAGTCGGCTACGACGTACACAGTGTCGCCGTCATGAACTCTTACAACTTTCACGTCCTGTTCTAAGCCATCAAAGGTGAATTTCTCAACACTGTCGAAGGTCGCTCGTTTCTTGTCAAGATCCATGAAGTACTTCTCGTCACTTGTTTTACGTTTATCATCAGTCGCTGCGTAGTAAGTTTGTTTCGTTCAATAGTAATTATTGCATCAGTCTATATGCAAATCATTGCAGACGGAAACCGCAAACTGGGTACTTGTAGTAAACACCGGTGAGGTCGTATTTTTATTGGTCGTGTAAGGCATTATATATGCATAGAAATGCAAACCGTATGTCATATGACATGAACCAATATGACACCGCAGAAATTGGTGTTTATAAGACGTTTCAACCCGAAAATCTAATCGCTGGCTCACAATTGTGCATTTCAGTACCGCTATTAAAAGAGAAACATTTTGAATATCTTAAAAAAGTTCAATTTTTCCTCTGAATACGCATTCTGCAATCTTTTGACAGCTCATCATACACATCTGACCGCTGTGAAATGGCCATTTTGAGGCTTATACTATACACAAGGTTATTCATTCAGACGATTCGTTTTTACCGTTTGCAAGCTTCAAATCTTTTGTGCAAGACATATTTTCTTGAATATTTATAAATCTTTTTTCTCACCAAGTTTGAACGGTCTAAGTATTGAGAATTGCGGTTAAGTCTATACCAAGTTCCGCGGTGTCGACCAATATAGAGACGTAGCCGGTATCGATTCATTCCCGCCAGTGACTGCGGTTCAAGTTCGTGTGAAAAAAATGAGATGATTGTAGACAGATTGAAACACAGCCTCGATCATATTTTGCGAGAAACTGTTGCAAGCCTAAATAAGGTCTGGATGAAACTTTAAAATGAGACCGAAATCGTTCAATTTCTGAGATGTATAAAAGAGGAAATGAGTAAGGGAGGGAAATACTACAAATTACAACAATATTATTATAAGACATCACACAGGAATTCTTTAATTTTGTACGTTTATAGACCTTATGCATAATGACGTATCAAGCCGTGACGCCTGCAGGGAATTCTGGTAGTAGTCACAATGAAAAATTCTAAGTTCAAAATTTCCCGCCGTGACTACTAAGACCAGAATTCCCTGCAGGTGTCACAGCTTTTTACGTCATTATGCATCAGGTTTATTGGTGTATGCCCCTCTTTCCGCATTCCAGCCTCGTTTCCAGGGTATTCGCTCTGCTGAAACCAGAGCCCACGATCTATCGGGGGAAGGAGTCGGGGGATCGCGGGCTGTTCCGGGAATTCCTTAAATTCCGAACTGCAGAAGCCACGATGGGGGGGGGGAGGGTGTAATGTGTTTAGACCAACTTTGTCATGAAAATACCCACTTTTAAATCGGTACGCGGCCGACATTTTCAGTGAGAGTTATTTTCAAACGACTCACCAAATATTACAAGTTTATACAATGCCCATTTCTCATATTTTGTATTCAGGAAATGTGTATTGGTTTGTATTGAACACAATCATCCACCCCCTGCTGCCATGTCCACGCCCCCTTGTCCCCACGCTCCTGCGCCGGAAACGTCATTAAATAGGCAGGAGCAATATTCTACGTACACAGTTAACCAGGTGTGTTGTGGCAAGTGGTTATCGCAGTGAAGCTGGTCAAGAAATTCTTACGTGATTCGTCGAGATGGTTCGTTTAGTATTTGTGTCGCTGTTTCTTGTCATTTTTTTGAGTAATTTTGGGTAAGTTTTAGACATCTAATATATCTACTGGCGGAGAGCGAGTAACTGCAATGATCTCACAAATAAGGTTTTAGGATTGAACTAGGGAGTTTTCACAAAGGTGTCAGTTAAAGTATTGAGCATGCATTGCCCCCCGAAAGAGTTGCAGGTATTTTCTGTCAACTATTAAAGCCAACCTGATTGCTGACTCGATGAAAATTGTGGGAAAAATCGACGTGTTATGACATATTTAGAAACCACCTTTCTGGCCATGTAGATAACATCTTGGCGCAATTATTAAGACGTGTAAACAGCTCATGCAATAAAGATTGTCTTTTAAACGCTGAACCTTCAACTGTAAGCGCCAAAGGATGATAGTTTTTACCTTTACCTAACACTGCATTTTGAGCAATTTGTTTCGTACGTGAGGCTAATGTCTTGAACTATTCTGATAAAACCTAACTGATTCACAGCTGGGTATCAATTAGGTCTTCTTGATCTCGAGGGCGAAAATTGCTTTCTTGTTATGGAATTTGTGAGACGAATTGTTAGGCATAACTTCGATCAATTAGTTGCAGTGGGGTGGAAACTTTAAATTACTGTTTACTTTTAAAATCGTTTTCTCATAAGCAATTGGCACAGATTCTTTATATAGTCTTATTCAACAATGGAAATGAACTAAACATATTTACTCCGGATTCCAGAAGCAAACGTCGCAGAATAAATATGGGGTTCGCTGAAATCATTGATGATATGAAGAAAGCTGAAGGACCAGGGTAGGTAGAAAGCAAGTGAGATGCATTGTAACTCTTAGTTATTGACGAACTACGCATGTCTCTACGTAGAGAATCAAGAATGTTAAACCAGTCCCAAACCTCTATCATTGTTTTTACAGCGCCGTTTTCCCCGGAAAACCTGGAGACGAGAATGCTGTTTTACCTGATGTCCATTGGACAGTGCCAGTCCCCTCGGGTCTCGCGGTTAGCAAAGAAGTTTAATTTTTTAAAATACAATTGAAAAATATAAAGAAGAGTAGTCAAACCACGGATAATATAAAAAAATTTTTTTATTACTTGGTTTTCGAGGTCGAACATAGTTCGTTTAAACCGATAATATCAGGCATACAAAATAAACACTAATGTTCATCAATTTTATAAATAATTTTTCAGTTGTGTGGAGGTGAAAAGCAAGTCCCACCGTCCGGATAACTTTGGTGCCGGATCGAAGCCTGAGAAATTCAGTTTGATTACTTTGTTGGACTGTCAATCTTCATTTATTCTTTATACGATTAATGTACCCATGTATTCTTATACGAGTAATGATCCATGTATTCTTATACGTGTGATGTATCCATTCATGTATTCTTTATTGAATTAATGTAATTCATGTGTTTTTCAAACAATTCTTGCGAAAATAAAACATTTGAATGTTTATATGAATATATCTATTATTATATATCACGGAATTGGGGCGAAATGTCAGGGTTTTTTAAAAGCAATCAGGAACCTTTACAAACAAAGTTTGCAGCATCTGCCAATAAAATAACCAATGTTTTCATGCACTGATGCAAAATGTTGAAGCAAAATGCAACGAGGCACTCATTCAGGAATAGTTGTAATGCAGTTGAAATGAAATAAGTCCGCTGAAACCAGCAGAGTTCAATTCCAGTACATTACTGCCTGTCGCGGGCATCATAAGTCAGTCCGTGCTTCAGGAGAAAGGTTCTGCCAGTGCCGGATCACCAAGTCTGGGCTTGATATCGATAGGCTTTTTATATATACCTATATTCACTGCAGACGTTTGTATAACACGAACATTATGACACAAACAGGAAAGGATGAGAAAACGATAGCTCAATCCCGTTTTAAGAAGCGATTTTTACGGACTGAAAACGTTTTTTCAAGCATGATGTTTCCACATGTTATTTGCCCTGTAGTGCTAGATTTAATTTTCGGTACGAAATATTTTGTATATTTTGTAAATATATTTTGTATTCAGGAAATGTGTATTGGTTTGTATTGAACAGAATCACTCACCCCCTGCCGCTACGGCCACGCCCCCTTGTCCCCACGCTCCTATGCCGAAAACGTCATTAATAAGGCAGGGAAAATATTCTACGTGCACAGTTTTGAGTAATTTTAGGTACGTTTTAGACATCTAATTCATCTACTGGCAGAGAGCGAGTAGCTGCAATGATCTCACAACTAAGGTTTTGGGATTGAACTAGGGATTTTTCACACAGGCATTAGTCAAAATATTGATTATGCATTGCTCCCCTAAAGGGTTGCTGGTATTTTCTGTCAACTAAACCAATCTGATTGCTGACACGGTGAAAATTGTGGGGAAAAATCGACGCGTTATGACATATTTAGAAACCACCCTTCTGGCTATGTAGATAACATCTTGGCGCAATTATTAAGACGTGTAAACACCTCATGCAATAAAGATTGTCTTTTAAACGTTGAACCTTCAACTGTAAGCGCCAAAGGATGATAGTTTTTACCTTTTTACCTAAAACTGCCTTTGGAACAATTTGTTTCGTACGTGAGGCTAATGACATATTAAGAAACCACCCTTCTGGCTATGTAGATAACATCTTGGCGCAATTATTAAGACGTGTAAACACCTCATGCAATAAAGATTGTCTTTTAAACGCTGAACCTTCAACTGTAAGCGCCAAAGGATGATAGTTTTTACCTTTTTACCTAAAACTGCCTTTCGGACAATTTGTTTTGTACGTAAGGCTAATGTCTTGAACTATTTTGATAAAACCTAACGGAATTCTGGAATGATTCACAGCTGGATGTCAATTAAGTCTTCTTGATCTCAAGAGCGAAAATAGCTTTCTTGTGATGGAATTTGTGAGACGAATTGTTAGGCATAACTTCGATCAATTAGTTGCAGTGGAGTGGAAACTTCAAATGACTGTTTAATTTTAAAATCGTTTTCTCATAAGCAATAACTTTGGTGCTGGATCAAAGCCTGAAAAATTCAGTTTGGTTAATTTGTTGGATTGCCAATTTTCATGTATTCTTTATACGAGTAATGTACCCATGTATTCTTTATACGAGTAATGTATCCATGCATGTATTTTTTATTGAATTAATGTAATTCATGTATTTTTCAATAAATTCTTGCGAAAATAAAACATTTGAATGTTTATATGAATTTATCTATTATTATATCACAGGATTGGGGCGAAATGTCAGGGTTTTTAAGCAGGAACCTTTACAAACAAAGTCTGCAGCATCTGCCAATAAAATAACCAATGTTTTCATGCCCTGATGCAGAATGTTGAAGCAAAAGGCAGTTGAAATGAAATAAGTCCGCTGAAACCAGCAGAGTTCAATTCCAGTACATTACTGTCTGTCGCGCGCATCATAAGTCAGTCCGTGCTTCAGGAGAAAAATGCTGGATCGACAAGTCTCGGCTTGATATCGATTGGCTTTTTATATATGCCTATATTCATTGTAAACGTTTGTGTAACACGAACGTTATGACACAAACAGGAAAGAATGAGAAAACGATAGCTCAATCCCGTTTAAAGAAGCGATTTTTACGGACAGGAAACGTTTTTTCAAGCATGATGTTTCCCCATGTTATTTGCCCTGTAGTGCTAGATTTAATTTTCGGTACGAAATATTTTGTATATTTTATATAAATATTTTGTATTCAGGAAATGCGTATTTGTTTGTATTGAACACAATCACCCACCCCCTGCTGCCATGGCCACGCCCCCTAGTCCCCACGCTCCTGCGCCAAAAACGTCATTAAAAAGGCAGGAGCAATATTCTACGTCCACAGTTAGCCAGGTGAGTCGCGGCAAGTGGTTATCGCAGTGAAGCTGGTCAAGAAATTCGTACGTGATTCGTCAAGATGGTTCGTTTAGTATTTGTGTCGCTGTTTCTTGTCATTTTTTTGAGTAATTTTGGGTAGGTTTTAGACATCTAATCTATATACTGGCGGAGAGCGAGTGACTGCAATGATCTCACAACTAAGGTTTTAGGATTGAACTAAGGATTTTTCACACAGACATTAGTGTAAATATTGAGCATACATTGCTCCCCGAAAGGGTTACTGTTAACTAAGCCAACCTGATTGCTGAGTCGAAGAAAATTGTGGGGGAAAATCGACGTGTTATGACATATTTAGAAACCACCCTTCTGGTCTGGTAGATAACATCTTGGCGCAATTATTAAGACGTGTAAACAGCTCATGCAATAAAGATTGTCTTTTAAACGTTGAACCTTCAACTGTAAGCGCCAAAGGTTGATAGTTTTTACCTTTTTACCTAAAACTGCCTTTGGAACAATTTGTTTCGTACGTGAGGCTAATGACGTGTAAACAGCTCATGCAATAAAGATTGTCTTTTAAACGTTGAACCTTCAACTGTCAACGCCAAATGATGATAGTTTTTACCTTTTTAGCGAAAACTGGCTTTGGGACAATTTGTTTTGTACGCGAGGCTAATGTCTTGAACTATTCTGATAAAACCTAACTGAATTCTGGAATGATTCACAGCTGGGTGTCAATTAAGTCTTCTTGATCTCGAGGGCGGAAATTGCTTTCTTGTTATGGAATTTGTGGGACGAATTGTTAGGCATAACTTCGATCAATTAGTTGCAGTGGGGTGGAAACTTTAAATTACTGTTTACTTTTAAAATCCTTTTTCTCATAAGCAATGGGCACAGATTCTTTATATAGTCTTATTCAACAATGGAAATTAACTAAACGTATTTACTCCGGATTCCAGAAGCAAACGTCGCAGAATAAATATGGGATTCGCTGAAATCATTGATGATATGAAGAAAGCTGAAGGACCAGGGTACGTAGAAAGCAAGTGAGATGCATTGTAACTCTTAGTTATTGACGAACTACGCATGTCTCTACGTAGAGAATCAAGAATTTTAAACCAGTTCCAAACCTCTATCATTGTTTTCACAGCGCCGTTTTCCCCGGAAAACCTGGAGACGAGAATGCTGTTTTGCCTGATGTCCATTGGACAGTGCCAGTCCCCTCGGGTCTCGCGGTTAGCAAAGAAGTTTAATTTTTTAAAATACAATTGAAAAATAAAAAGAAGAGTAGTCAAACCACGGATAATATAAACAAATTTATTTATTACTTGGTTTCCGAGGCCGAACATAGTTCGTTTAAACCGATAATATCAGGCATACAAAATAGACACTAATGTTCATCAATTTTATAAACAATTTTTCAGTTGTGTGGAGGTGAAAAGCAAGTCCCACCGTCCGGATAACTTTGGTGCCGGATCGAAGCCTGAGAAATTCAGTTTGATTAATTTTGTTGGATTTTTAATCTTCATTTATTCTTTATACGATTAATGTACCCATGTATTCTTATACGAGTAATGATCCATGTATTCTTTATACGAGTAATGTACCCATGCATTAATTTTTCATTGAATTAATGTAATTCATGTATTTTTCAATCAATTTTTGCGAAAATAAAACATTTTAATGTTTATATGAATATATCTATTATTATATCACGGAATTGGGGCGAAATGTCAGGGTTTTTTAAAAGCAATCAGGAACCTTTACAAACAAAGTCTGCAGGATCTGCCAATAAAATAACCAATGTTTTCATGCACTGATGCAAAATGTTGAAGCAAAATGCAACGAGGCACTCATTCAGGAATTGTTGTAATGCAGTTGAAATGAAATAAGTCCGCTGAAACCAGCAGAGTTCAATTCCAGTACATTACTGTCTGTCGCGGGCATCATAAGTCAGTCCGTGCTTCAGGAGAAAGATTCTGCCAGTGCCGGATCACCAAGTCTGGGCATGATATAGATCGGCTTTTTATATATACCAATATTCATTGTAAACGTTTGTGTAACACGAACATTATGACACAAACAGGAAAGAATGAGAAAACGATAGCTCAATCCCGTTTAAAGAAGCAATTTTTACGGACAGGAAACGTTTTTTCAAGCATGATGTTTCCCCATGTTATTTGCCCTGTAGTGCTAGATTTAATTTTTGGTACGAAATTTTTTGTATATTTTTTAAATATATTTTGTAATCAGGAAATGTGTATTGGTTTGTATTGAACAGAATCACTCACCCCCTGCCGCTACGGCCACGCCCCCTTGTCCCCACGCTACTGCGCCGAAAACGTCATTAATAAGGCAGGGAAAATATTCTACGTGCACAGTTTTGAGTAATTTTAGGTACGTTTTAGACATCTAATTCATCTACTGGCAGAGAGCGAGTAGCTGCAATGATCTCACAACTAAGGTTTTAGGATTGAACTAGGGATTTTTCACACAAACGTTAGTGTAAATATTGAGCATGCATTGCTCCCCGAAAGGGTTACTGTCAACTAAGCCAACCTGATTGCTGAGTCGAAGAAAATTGTGGGGGAAAATCGACGTATTATGCCATATTTAGAAACCACCCTTCTGGCTATGTAGATAACATCTTGGCGCAATTATTAAGACGTGTAAACAGCTCATGCAATAAAGATTGTCTTTTAAGCGTTGAACCTTCAACTGTAATCGCCAAAGGATGATAGTTTTTACCTTTTTAGCCAAAACTGCGTTTGTTTTGTACGTAAGGCTAATGTCTTGAACTATTCTGCAGGATAAAACCTAACTGAATTCATGAATGATTCACAGCTGGGTGTCAATTAAGTCTTTTTGATCTCGAGGGCGGAAATTGCTTTCTTGTGATGGAATTTGCGAGACGAATTGTTCGGCACAACTTCGATCAATTAGTTGCAGTGGAGTGGAAACTTTTAATGACTGTTTACTTTAAAATCGTTTACTTATAAGCAATAGGTTTCTAAAAAAAAGTCGTTCCGGATGTTGAATAGATAATTTCTTTAGAAATGAGCTACTAGGCATTAGCAATTACTTAGTAACTTGGAATGTTATTGATTATGTAAATCCTATGGTACTTTCATTCGTATGTTGCGATTTAATTCACGCAGACTAGGATTAAGTGTATTTGTTTTCAGTGGATTTCTTTTTATTCATGTTGTGTTGTAATTAATATTCAGTTAGCCATTCATCATTGATTTGCCACAAGATGAAACTCGAATGTATCGAAGAGGTGGGGACAAATCTTTATATAGTGTTATTCCAGAATGCAAATTAACTAAACATATTTACTCCGGATTCCAGGGCCAGACGTCGCAGAATAAATACGGGGTTCGCTGAAATCATTGATGATATGAAGAAAGTTGAAGGACCAGGGTACGTAGAAAGCAAGTGAGATGCATTGTAACTCTTAGTTATTGACGAACTACGTATGTCTCTACGTAGAGAATCAAGAATGTTAAGCCAGTCCCAAACCTCTATCATTGTTTTCACAGCGCCGTTTTCCCCGGAAAACCTGGAGACGAGAATGCTGTTTTACCTGATGTCCATTGGACAGTGCCAGTCCCCTCGGGACTCGCGGTTAGCAAAGAAGTTTAATTTTTTAAAATACAATTGAAAAATATAAAGAAGAGTAGTCAAACTATGGATAATACAAACAATAAATATATTTATTTAGTTTGTTTCTGAGGTCAAACATAGTTCGTTTAAACCAATAATATAAGGCATACAAAATAGAGACAAATGTTAATCAATTTTATGAATAATTTTTCAGTTGTGTGGAAGTGAAAAGCAAGTCCCACCGTCCGGATAACGTTGGTGCCGGATCAAAGCCCGAGAAATTCAGTTTGATTAATTTGTTGGACTGCCAATTTTCATGTATTCTTTATACGAGTAATGTACCCATGTATTCTTCATTGAATTAATGTAATCATGTTTTTTTCAAACAATTCTTGCGAAAATAAAACATTTGAGTGTTTATATGAATTCATATATTATTATATCACAGAATTGGGGTGAAATGTCAGGGTTTTTTAAGCAGGAACCTTTACAAACAAAGTCTGCAGCATCTGCGAATAAAATAACCAATGTTTTCATGCACTGATGCAAAATGTTAAAGCAAAATGCAACGAGGCACTCATACAGGAATAGTTGTAATGCAGTTGAAATGAAATAAGTCCGCTGAAACCAGCAGAGTTCAATTCCAGTATATTATATATAGTGCCTGTCGCGGGTATGTGATATAGATATCTTTATTTTCACCGATTGAAAACGTTTTTTGAAGCATGATGTTTCTCCATGTTATTTGCCCTGCAGTTCTAGATTTCGGTAGGTGATTTAATGGTACATCCGTGCATGTTAAAGTTTCTTTTTTTGCGGTTGTTACCAAATCGTAGATGTCGCCAAGTCAGATCCGAATCTCCGCTTTGAAACCACTCAGACTTCAAGGTCCTTAAAAGCAACCCTGATAAACAAACTGTATGCTGAAAGTATTTTCACATCCTGCACGAAATATTACAAAAAAAAAAAAATGGATCCATGCATAGTACGTGTTATGATTTATCATTTTGCCAAACGCAAACATTCAAAGCTTCGCTTATCATTTACGATGTTTCAATGTCGACCACAATCGGCAAATGTCCTGGAACAAGTGACCTCGCTTTCTTATCTGAAAGATCAGATGCGCAAGGTGTTCAGAATCAAGGGAAAACTAACCGCATCGCAAGAGCTACGTTAAAAAATTAATCACAGACGGCGCACACGTCATCAGTTCAAAACACAAATCTGGTCGACACAAAACAAATCTCTGCCATTTAAAGAAAAAGGAACACAATAACCAAATATAAAGCATGCAATCAAGCGAAGTCTTAATCTTTCTACTCAGCATCGTTCTGTTCGCTGAAGGAGCGACAAAAATCGGTATGTATTGACGAATTGATTGATGAACTCGTTGCTCATTCATAAACATTTAGGCTTTACTAATCTTGATGATGACGATTGTAGTTTGTTACGCGTTTGTGAGAAAACGCTTTGAAAGTAGTGAAGAAGTTTGCGTAGTGAAATTTTCTCCTTCGCAAGAGAGGGAACATCGATGGAATTGCTCAGTTATCAATAATATATACGCGTCGCAACTAAGAATCTCGAACGTTCTGCATGGCTGGCACTACGATTTGAATTTGTCATTTGCATGTTTATTTTGAAACAACATTGGAAAAAAAGAGTTTTGCAGGCTATATATAGTAAATTGATATAAAATTGAAACAAAACTCGATCCATTCACTGATTCACATAATATGGAACTCTTTTACATTAGAAACCGTCTTTACGTTTGTTTATTTCATGCGAAATGCATCCATTTGTGCTGCTTCGTAGATCTACAGTTCTCAGTTAGAAACAGTAAAGCATGCAGACCAACATTATTATAACAATTTCTTCTCTACAACAATAACCTAAAAACTCAAAAGGGAAAAACCTACGGCGTATAGCGTTTAAGAAAAACAGCTTTTCCATTCTCCTATTCATTCAACCTTGAAATAATATCCTTTGAAAGTATTTCCTAAACAATCTAAAGTTTTAATAAAATTGAACCGAGCATAACAGATATATTCATATCATAGGCGATTTAAAACTGAAACTGCTCGTACTGAAATGGTCATCACTCATAATATCAAGTGTTAAGTGTTTTAATATAGGGTGAACTATAACAATATTATCTGCATGATTGTTTTAAAAAAGCTATCAACGTTAAAAATTTTGAGTTAAATTTTGTCGCACTGTTAAGAGTTATGGTTTCTTCATCAGCTGTTCGCTTTAAACGCTTTCATTGTCCAAAGAAGATTTCATTAAAAACATACTTAAACTCGTACAAACAAGATTTGCGATAACCCAGGTTGATAATAAATCGATTTAAACAAATATCAACAATTTTTTAGGCTTTCTACTGGATGAAAACATAATCAAAAAAGAAAAACTTCGAAAGTATCTGGACCATCTGGACACCAGGATCCACGGCATTGACACCATAGAGCCAGTTTTTGTCAGCTTAACGGCCGTTCAACAATCTAGTATGTTAACCCCAGAACTCAAGCATAAAAAATGCCAACAAACTACTGAATTTTTTTGCAGTTCATGATATATCGTGAACTTTTAACAAGACTGTTTATTCATGCCATTTCCAAAAGTAAATTTGTGGACCGAAAATAGCAATATTGTACTAATTTTGGAACGATGTTTGTGTTAATTATTCATTTCGTTGTTATTCAATTTTTTTCAATATCGCTGATTACAACGTGCCACAAGGCTTGCCGAAAGTTGTTTATAATAAAATAGGTGTAGATTTGCCTGACCACTCACTGATATCTTGAAGATTTGTGTTTATTTCAAGATGTAGACTCCAGATGTTTCGCGCATGAGCTCTTGTTATAGAGCGTATGGCTTCATCGTCATAATTAGACTTCTAACAAGACGAAACCTCAGTGCTTTCTGGAATTGTTTGAAGGAACAAAAGCATGACCACAGACCTCAATTACCAGTAGTTCGTGCCATCAATATCAATTTTTACATGACCTTACACTATTTATTCCAAAAACAGGTTTCTCCATTTCACAAACTTTTGTCATATGAAAATTTCAGCTCCTCCCCGTTAGTACAATCGCATTTTTTCACCAGAATCGAGTTTAGGTCATTCATTTTGACTTCTAGACTCTGACGAGTGTAGACTCGCTCTTAGTGTTAACGTGAATGAGAATTTGACAAACGACTTTCTTTTTAAGATGTGCCACAGAAACTGAGTGAGGTAAAATGCATTGTTTCTATATCAACGGAGAACGAAGTAGCAAGCAGACTGGGAGAAATGCTTGCAACTCCAGTCATCACCAGTTCACCTAACATTGCCCCTGTTGGAAAGTTCACTGTGTCCATGTATCCCAATTACGAGCTTGCTAACAAGGTTATGGTAGATTCTTTAAAATACTGGGAGATCAATCCAGTTGCACTTCTGTATGACGGTAAGTGGAATAGTTGATAATCGCTGCTTGGTGTATGGTACATGGTATATGGTATATGGTGTATGGTACATGGTACATGGTACATGGTGTATGGTACATGGTACATGGTACATGGTACATGGTACATGGTGTATGGTATAGGTATATGGTATATGGTATATGGTATATGGCATATGGTATATGGTATATGGTATATGGTATATGGTATATGGTATGGTATATGGTATATGGTATATGGTATATGGTATATGGTATATGGTATATGGTATATGGTATGGTATGGTATGGTAATATAATGGTACTATCATTAACTCACTGTATTCCATTTTGACCTTTGTAGTAAAAAGAAGCGAACAAGCAGCACACCTACAGTCACTAGCGAGAAAATCTAACATTCGAATGAAATTGATGCCAGAAATGAAAATGGACGAAGAGAAATCACTGACGTATGCAGCCGGGGAGTTGAAGAGATCACATCTTATGGCTGTCGTTCTTCTTTGTGACCCAAGAAAGATCTCCAAAGTCATGGACCAGGTACAATACAACCAAACCGAGCAACCTTAGCGATGATTTCTTTCAAACAAAAAGATTTTTCTGAATGATTTTGAATCATTCACATTGAATCATGGCTTCAAATGTGATTTTAGAAAATCGTTTTTCTTATACGTTTTTCATCACGAACGTTTTAGACGATTGAATTCAATTTATACGAAAAGGAAACAAACAAGGGAAAAAAAGTATGGAGGTGGTTTGCTTTAGACCTGGTAAGCCGGAGTTTCTGTTTGTCACTATTTGATTTTTTTAACATAGCGCCAAATCGCCAAAACTCTTGCTCTTGATCTATTTTTGCTGACCGAACAATTTCAACATTTTCAAACATAGGATTTTATGCCAAGACACGAGTGCAGCTCAGCGTTAAAAGGCTTTGTTGGATTTGTTTCGCATACGCCGGGCAAAGAAGAAAATACACGAATAGAACGTTTCAAGAACCGTGTGTTGACAACGGATCAAAGATTTGAGCATACTGGTTTAAGCAATGTAAGTACTTAAATTTAGTTTTCTTTAGTCTCTTATCGACATTTTAACGAGCCAACGGAATGAAATACAGACGGGTAACATGACTCTAACACCGGTTCTAATGCTAAGATATCTTTTGACAGAATTTTTTCGCAAATTTACACGATTCGTTGTACCTTGCTGTCGCCATCTCTGAACGTTGTAGCCATGGCAACGGTTATCACAGTCGACTACAGTGCCTCCACGAGTTTCGTACGGTGAGTACAAACATCGCGTATCATGGTGTGATTCAGTGAAACTTCAATGGTAATGTTTCGTATGTCTATTGGTATACCGCGATAATAAATAATAGGTGTCATTCCTGGTCGTATAAAACTCTTTAACTACACTTTACATAGTTAAATCCTATAGTTAATTAACTCAGAAATACACAACTCTAACTGACCAATTCTGTCCTCAACTACGGTTAAAAGTTAACTAGTCTTTTATACAACTGGCCCCTTAGTAATGTCCAATCTCATCGTAACAATTCAAAAAATATTTTTCAGGCTAAAATATCTCCGTGTCCTGTGGGCAACTACTCAGTAAGAACATTCTCATGGTTTAACTGCATATATAGCTATGCTTAACATTTAACATGGCAAAAATTAACAGTGGATAAACGTCGAATACTCTAATATATTTTTTAGCTTAAGAAATGTTCGCTTGGAAGAAAGGTTGAATTTCAAAACGGAGCAAGAAAAGTGAACGAAATAAAAATTGTCGACATAGAGGTTGAACATGGTGTGGCTAAAATTAACAATGTAAGTGACGAGATTTGATTACTTCTATACGTATATTATTCAAAAGAACATTCAAATAATGGCTGAATAAACCAGATAAACAAAGATATACATTATATCTACATGTATATAAACCAACTCGCGCAATTTCAACGCTTTTCCATGTTGAAAAACTCTTTAAACTGAGCTCAATGAAGTGCAAACTATTTTCATAGGTTGGTGAATGGACGCCAGATCTGAGGACCCGAAGCGCTGATCCATCGATGACCTGGGTACAAAACGACGATCGGAAAAAATGCAAAACTGAGAAAAACCCGACCGCGGGCACAAGGAAGAAATACAAAATTCTGGTGAAAAATGTGAGTAAGCAATAAGTAAATATTATGATGCGACCGTTGTTTTGACTCTATTCGGTTACGAAATCTTTATTGCTTTACTTGGATTTACTGGATTCAAAGAACTGCATCTTGATTCTGTTCGTTTCTCAGTTCTGTATCCATGCAAAAAGCACCTTTCTTTTGGAAAACCTTTCGTTTACGCTTAAATTCAGTCCGATAATGGCGATTCATGACTACGTTTCAGGACGATAAACCATTTGTCATCATCAACGAGAACAAGAGTCTTCCAATGGAGGAAAGATTCACAGGATTTTCCATCGATATCGTCCGAAAACTGGCAAGTCCTGAGTATATGGACTTTGATTATACCATTGATATTCTGAATGGGACAGGAGGAGTCAATAAAAATACCAGCAGATGGTCAGGAATCATTGGTGAATTAATTGATCAGGTAATGATCATCGCACTGTATGTTTAAAACTTGTCAGGAGATCTCCGGTAATGGTTGTTAACAACTGAAAGGTTTTCGAAACACTTTTCCTCTAGAAAGCAGATATGGGGACCGGCTCACTCACGATAACGGCTGAGCGGGAAAAGGCTGTTGACTTCAGCAAACCATTTATGGATTTTACGATGGCGTTAATATTACGAAAGCCAGAGGATGAGAAACCCAACATGTTTAGATTCCTAGATCCGTTCTCGCCAACCGTATGGCTTTGTACAATCATGGCGGTAAGTTTTAAGTACACTTGAATCTATCGTACTTAACAAAAGCTCTGAAGACGAGACAGTGATGATCAGGTTGAACTAAGGTCTGAACTCTTGTCTTGTGATATGAGGAAATGTCAACCGATTCCTACACTTTTACTGCATGTGGTGAAGCACTAAACATGAAGTCAACTAGATCAATCTCTTTACTCCCACTATAAGGTGTTCTCAATGACAATATTCATGTACGCTGTCGACTATCTCAGTCCCTATGGGAATCGCAAGACCGCAAAGGAATCAGACGAGCCTGGGGACGAATTCAGCTTGTACAACAGTCTCTGGTTCGCTACGGCGAGTATGTTGCAACAAGGCCCGGACAACACTCCAAAATCGCCCTCGGGAAGATTATTAGCAGCCTCGTTTTGGTTCTTTGTATTGCTGATGATCTCAACATACACTGCAAACCTTGCCGCGTTTTTTACAAGTACGAAACGTTGTTATTCAGAACTCATATTAATTGAGGCATCTTTTAGCCATTTTAATCGGTAGGAATTGCTCTACAAACTTGCAAATCCCTAAAGTAATTGAACATCAACGAAAAATACCTGTGTATCTCAGTAGCAGGACAAAATAAGCTTGCATTTAGCTATCTAAAACAAAGTTGAATAAGCGTGTTTAACTGTTCCTCTACTCTCATGTATTCACTGGCTTGCATTAAACTTAAAGTTTATGTTTCCACATAGATAAAAAGCCGAAGAATGCGATAAGTAATTTGGAGGATCTCTCGAAGCAAAACAAAGTCAAATACGGTGTCCTCAAGGGAGGACAGATTCACAGATTTCTTGAACAGAATAGCAACGATACGGTTTACAAGAAGATGATTCTTCACATGAAAAAGTAAGCATTCATGAAATCATTATCAACTATTATTCGACACAGCCACGATAGGTCTAAACAAATCCTGAATAACTTAGAATCCTGCAAACTATAGATGACCATTATCACTTATAGCGTTCTTGTATCTTTGAGCCAAGTCAAGCAGTGTACTGGACAAAACACGGTGAGAATGGAGTTTTACTGCACCGGGTTAAAAGCCTTGTTTTGTTTTAGGGAAAATTCATTTGCAACAGGAGCTGACAGCGCTGTTAAACGAGCCAGAAAGGGAGGATTTGCTTACATCACCGAGGAACCCATCTTGGAGTATTACAACTCAAGAAGTCCCTGTGACACGATGCTTGTGAAGCATTTACTGGAAGCAAAGAGTTATGGTTTTGCCCTGCCTAAGAACTCCGAGTTAACAACAAATCTTTCTGTGAATATTCTCGACGTAAGCAAGTCAAACTTGAATACTTGGGGTACTACAGCAAAATAGACCTTTCTGCTTTACATAGCTTAGCGATAAGGTTAGGATAAGGGTTACCAAGCAAAATAACAATAAAATATTCTTCTTTATACCCTGGGCAAGGTAAATAGGTCACATAGGTTTTGAAGACAAACATTTCCCCTGCAAAGTTCGATCATCTTTGAGAAAAATAGTCAGCAAAATTGTTTACCAAAAGCTTCCAGGTTATTTAACCGGATTTTCCAAGAGCGTGCATGTGGAACTCATATTCCTAGAAAGCATTGATATTTCTTTAATTCTTTCTCTTAAGTTACGGGAGAAAGGATTCATGAACGAACGCTATACTTACTGGTGGAAGACACAGTCTCAGTGCTCCACAACCGTGAAGCCAATTGGTCTAGAAAGCATGAAGATTCAGTTCAATAGCATGGCTGGCGTATTTATTGTCCTGGTATCTGGAGTTCTAATATCTCTCATACTGGTAGTGATTGAAGTGAAATTCAAATGGGTCATCGATCTCATACTAGAAGCAGGGGTAAGATCATCATTATTCTTATCATCTTCATAACATCAACCATATCCCTCCCCCCTAATTATCAACTTATATCAACTTGAATCATTCGCCAACCCCTATCCACAAATACTACAGCCAAATTTCCCTTTGTTTCCACTTGCAGTGCGAACAATGCACAGACTATTATTGCGAAGACGATGAAAGTTATGAATACATGGAAACTCACGTGGAAACAACTGCCCCCTGCTCAATAAAGAGAGTGCCAGATGCCTACTCCAATGTTCAAGAATCGAAAGTGTAAAGCAAAGTTTGAGAGACAAGTACAAAAAGCGCTGTTGGGTGGCCAAGATTTTTGCTTCAAGAACCTCCGCATTATATAAATATTAGACGGAACCTAGTCGGTTATACTAGCTTCTAGAAATAAATAAAGTAGTTAAGATAAGGGGAATAAAATGTATGATAATTGGGTGGTGAAGAAAAGCAGGGCGTGGGTATTTATTTGGAAAATTTGGGAGGTCAATTTACAGTGACAAACAAACAATAGTGGGTGAGGGGGTGGAAGAGATTGCAAGTGTGTCAAATCTATTAACATCTGCATAAATAAATATATGTAAACTTAATAATGGCTTGATGTGTTGGATACCTTCAAATGGGATCTCAAATATATTCAAATTTCGATTGTCTTATATATGTGATGTTTTCTTACATCTTGTTATACTGGATTTGCTAAATTTAGGATGAAGCGGTCAAATTTAGCCCCTTATATAAATGATTAATATGTCGAATGACATATACGATTCCTGATCACTGATAAACAACTAAAAAGCCAAACACAGAATAGCATAAAACATTAAACACAGTTAAAAAAATCATCCCCATAATTTATTTATCAATATTTCGAGCGAAGTTCAAACCACACGGACGAAAAACAGACACTGCGGTGGTAAAACCAAAACGTGACTAATAAATCATTCATTCTGTTATAAGCGACGCAGAAAATATCACTTGGTAAAAACATCAGCCTTTTGGACGTTCGCCGGGGTCGATTCTGCATTAAAATGAAACGATTGTGCCCGCTTTTTATATGCTTTTGTGTCCCCTTGTTCAGTTTTCATCATCAATCAACCATCATGGCTGATAGATCAAGTAAATTTGGTGAGCTATTTTTATACATGTTTATTCATATTATTTGTCTTTGGTGTTTTTCTTTCCTAATCTCTATATACAGTTTCTAAGCCAAACTAGGAGGAATTCTAGCGATCACATTTTGTTTATTAGGTGATATATTTTCTTTTAAAACGCTTCCCGGCCGCCACGCTAAAACACACTGTCACTCACTGGGTAAACACAAAGTATCATTATTCGAATCCAATCGGATTTTTACTGCCAAATATATTATTTTTATAACATATCCTCAGCCGGAATTACCGATTTTCGTCATAATAGTAAATTCTGTAGTCATTAAGCCTATGTAACTTTCGAATAGAATACGAAAAACTTAGAATCAGACCGTGATCATTCGCAGACCTACTGAAAAGCTGAAATTTTAACATTTCTAGTTATCGGGGTTCTTTTGGATAGAAATTATGGCAGCCTCGAGAAAATCGATCGATTTATCAAAAACGTGCACATGAGCAGAAATCTTTACTTTGGAACAAATTTTTCAAATATTTCTATGAAAGAGAAAGGTATGTTGCAAGCCGTTAACAGCGTTGACTCTTAACCCAGAGACGTAACTCTACGAATGGTAGAAAGTCAAGGAACACCGTTAGAAACGTCCGGTTACACTTGCAATATTTGTCGCGATTTTCAATACGACTTTCTTCTTTTGACAAACGTGTTGTTAAGTCTCGGATGTTCAGATGAGGAAACATAGTCATAAGATAATTCATAACTATTCGCTCGTTTGCATCTATTGAAAGGAGAAAATCGCAGCGAAAATCGCAAAAATTATGCAAATAATGTAAGGGCCTTACGGGGCTAAAATGCAAGATCTAAAGTATCCAGAACAATCCACATCTATCCAACCATGTAATAGTCACAGGACCAAGTGATTCGCCAGCGTTTTTGAGCATTCTCTTATGCTAAACAAAGAACATATTCCTTGTCAGAGCTCACGAAGCTCACGAGAGTCACGACTGAAGTTCTCTGCTTTCCATTCTTTTGTCTCAGTCAACCTGACACGTGTCTTATTAAGGTGGCTTGCTCAAGAACATCGAACATTTCAAGGATAGCTCCGTGAACATGATCATTGATTTGCAACGAAGCGGAGTGGATGATGTCAACACTTTGGCCGATTATCTAAAAATCCCCGTCGTAACAATGGCACCACAGTCCAAACCTCAAGGAAAATACATTATATCAATGTATCCTAGCATTTTCGCGATTAACACAGCCATTGTAGATGTGCTACTGAGGTACAGGATCACGGATACTATACTCCTTTTCGACGGTAGGTAATTTTCGCGAATAGACACTGACAACAACATTTTCAGCGCTTAGTACAACGATGATTTTGTAAATTATTTGCACAAGAAGCCGGAATTGGAGGTAGGGGCAAACAGGGGGGTTGTCCCTCCTTGCCTTTCAGCAACGGGAACAAAAAATCTACCCCCCTTGCTTTCGTTACATCGTTTTGGCGTCCCTGATCAAAAACTGATTTAGTGATATCTTCAGTAATCATCTTCACTGAAATCTTCTAGAGAAGCGCAGCCGTCAAGCGATGAATCTGCACACAAAGAGTCAGCGGGAATACATTCGGATGGAAATGATGCCAGCCCTTCAAATTGACAACGTGGACATGATAAAAGAAGCAATAAGAATGGCGTGGAATACTCAGATTAAGACGGTTGTCTTGCTCTGTGATACTGAACATATTAAAGCGGTTGTGAGTGCGGTAAGTGTGTTATAATATCAACAAGACGCCTGCTCAAGGCGTTTACTCCGCCTGCATGCCAACTGTTATACATAATTCATCCGTGGACCGTGTAACCCAGGGCTTCTCGGTCAAAAATGAAGTTGTTTTGGGTTACCTGTAGAAATGCCAACTTCTGTCGCCGAAAACTACAACTACTAAAAGGAAAAAAGACCATGGCATTTTAAGACTCCGCTGCGCATACGCAGGCGGAGTAATTATATTCAGATATTCTCCATCGGAATGATATGACGCAATACATGCACCAAGAGGTTTAAACTGCCCATGGGGAAAGGAATAATAATTCCATATCCAAGTTCATGAATGTAATCCTTAATCTAATTCTTTAGTGTTACTAGTTGAGTAAGGCTTAGGGTCATGTTTAAGATTAAGCTTCGGATTATATTCCAGGATTCTGGGCATAAAATTACCAGCGGAAGGACCACCAAAGAAGAATAAATTATAGCTAAGGCTTAAATATTACTTTGTACGAGATACACTCAAGATGTACATGTGATTCCATAGATAAATACATAGATAGATGTACGAGAGATATTCTGTTTCAGACACTGCAGTCGAGGCTTTATGACAGCGGTCGCGAAGATTGGAAATGGATAGTCAGCGATTTGGATTTCAAAAGGCCAAGTTACGATCCACTTGAGGGCATTGTTGGCTTCACCCTTCCAATTCCCGTCTGGAAGGAAATGGACTCCGTCGAGGAGAAGGAAACATTTGTCAATTTTGTGCATTCGGATGTAAGTTGCGTTGATATAGTAGACAATATAGTAGATCCCATTGTATGACTAACAAAATTCAGATTAAACATCCACTACCAACACCCCACCAAGTCAGCACATATTCTTATTCATTTTCAAAAAGGTCTATTATGCAACAGTGAAAGACGCGTTGTTTCTGATAAATGAAGTAGCCTCGAGGTTACACGGCAAGAAACATCCGAAAAATATCACTGAAGTTATATTGGAAGAAGTGAAGAATGTGAGAAAACTCCGTATAAGTATAAGTTTAATCAGTATAGGCATCATATTTTCAGGGAGAAGATCAAAGGTGGTTGATGGAAGCAGTTTTTGATTAAGAATTAAAAAACGAGTCGCGTGCCTTTATGGTGTAATAATGCACGATGGGAGAATGTTGGGAGAATACGAGAGAAGCTTGTAAAACACGAGGCGTAGCCGAGTGTTTTACAAGCTTCTCGAGTATTTTTCCAACATTTCCCCGAGTGCATTATTACACCATAAAGGCACGCGACGAGCTTTTTTAATTCTTTTATAATATAAGAAGAAATTATAGGGCAACAACAAAATTTATTCATTTGATCAATAATTAAATTCTCCTTACATGCTATTTAAGATGTTGCTTAGCAACAAAAACTTCAAAAGCCAGAAGCGTGCATTATGGCCTCACAATGCACGCGCGGTAGCCAATCAAATTGCTCGTTATATCATACTTATATTATAATAGCTATTAAGAAACTTTTAGTTGAAATTATTACATATTTCGGTACATTTGACCTTTACTAATTCTTTGTGACCAAGGTCGAATATACCATATATCGCCGGTATATTCGACCTTGACTAATTTCTTTCTACCAAGATCGAATATACCATACACCAGTATGTTCGACCTTCATTAATTTCTTTCTACCAAGGTTGAATATACCATATACCAGTATGTTCGACCTTCATTAATTTCTTTCTACCAAGGTTGAATATACCATATACCAGTATGTTCGACCTTCATTAATTTTTTTCTACCAAGGACGAATATACCATGTACCAGTATGTTCGACCTTCATTAATTTTTTTCTACCAAGGTTGAATATACCATGTTCTGGTATATTCGAATACCATTTCAGTATGCCTTTTCCATTACAGATATCTCTTCCATCTTGCTTCTCAAAAAGGGTATACAAGACATAATTATTTGTTTTGACCGTGTTCAGTCTAATCAATCAAGCTATATTTAAAACTACGTTTAAACTGATTTTTATATTTCCAATAGTCCAAAAACTGCGGGTTGACTGGTGAAATTAAATTTGATGCAAATGGCGTAAGGAAGATAGAAGAACTGGACTTTGTCGTGGTGAATGAAAAAAAGAGAATTGCTGAGGTAACAAACTGCACTCTGTCAAAGTTTTACCCAAGCTACAGGCGTTTTATAGGGGAAAAGCGCGCACGTATACACCTTAGTTGATAGCGAAATCTTAAGGTTTGTTCACTTTTGACGTATGGAATGAAGTCGGTTATTGACAAAGCAGCACTGCGTTGGTTTAAGTTAATTTGCTGCCCACATACATTGCAAGTCAACAGACTATAAAACATACATCAGAAGTGAATTGGATCCAACAAAATTGGATCGTGTGAACAGACCTTTAGACCACCTCCTTCGTATTTATTATGCACGAAGCTGAGCATGCGCTATTGTTTAGATTGGAACTTGGAATGCAGATCCGGTGAAATCTGTCCTACCTGATGTTAGCTCCGTAAACTGGGTGGGAAAGGTCGTGCGGAATTATTTATGCCACGAGAAAAGGGACAAAGAACCTATGAAGAAAACTAAAAAGAAGTTCAAAATAATGCTAAAATACGTAAGAAAGCCTCCAACTTGTAATGCACTCAGATATGAGTGAACGCATCATAGCATATCGCCTCGTATGGACGTTTGTATTTTTTAAATTGTCGGCTGCTGCTGGTTTTTATCTAAAATAGCAAACTAAAAACGTTGTTGTGGTGTTGGATTTTCAGAACGATCCTCCTTTTGCGAAGGTGAATGAAAACAAGACAGCTCCTGAAAATGTGACGGGATTCACGGTTGATATCGTGCGGGAGTTAGCAAGACGATTGGATTTCGACTACGAGTTCGTTGTTCTTAGGAAAGGAGGATCTTCGAAGTTCGTCGAAGCTTTGAAAGCAGAGGTACGGTGAAGTGTTTGAGTGGAAGGGGGTACGTCTTGCATGTACGTAACCAACTCCAGACGTTTTTGTTAACAATACAGTGTTTTGGCTTGGTCATTACAGAAGGTAGATATGGCAATTGGCTCCTTCACAATCACAGCCAATCGTGAAAACGATATCGACTTCAGTAAACCGTTCATGGATTTCAAGATGGCGTTGATTTTACTGATCCCGAAGGAGAAAGAAAGCCTTTTCAATTTTCACAAACCGTTCTCTGGCGACGTTTGGCTCATGGTTGTCCTGACGGTAAGATCTTCTAATTATTATTATTATTATTATTATTATTATTTTTATTATTATTATTATTATTATTATGGTCATATTCGCCGGAAAATGGCAAATACGACCATGGTCATATTCGCCGGAAAATGGCAAATACGACCATGGTCGAGGCCGCCGGAAAATGGCGTATTCGACCATGGTCGAGTGTACCGGAAAACGGCGAAAATTCTCATAGCGGTTTGGTGTGTACCACTTGATAATGCCATTTGTGCATTAGGTATTCGCGATGACATTCCTGCTGTGTGGTGTGGACTACTTCAGTCCCCTCGGCTACCGTAAAACGGCAGAAAATCCGGGTGAAGGCGAGGAATTCAACTTGATGAACAGTCTTTGGTTTGCTACAGCAAGTACACTGCAACAAGGCGGCGACAATACGCCCAAGTCACCGTCTGGTCGAATACTGGCCGCCGCTTTCTGGTTTTTTATTCTTATCATAATCTCAACGTACACTGCCAATCTGGCTGCATTCTTCACAAGTAAGTCTGCATGTAGAGACATGATCGTGACCACCGCTCAATTCGTGATTTTCTGGACCAATTCTTACGTTAATAGCCTGCATTAAACCACCTCTGAAACTAAAAATCTAGGCACCGGTTGTATGAAAGCTTTGGCTACATTTTGGGTAGGTATAAATCGCGGTTAAATCCAGATTGTAATCTAAATAATAGTTAACACTGATCTTTGAATTCCAACTTTGGAATGATACCACAAAAGAGCTACTCAGGTAGTCTATTTTCTGTAATGAACTCTCTATAAATTTTTTGAATACGGAGACTACAGATGTTCATTTCTCTGACAGCTGGTTAGCTCCTAAGTTATAACAACAGTTGAACTAAACAGTGTGACAAAGTCTTCACAGGAGACCCGTCTTAGCTTAACAATGATGACTCTATTCCATCGACAGATAAAAAGATTGAGAGTCCTATCAAGAGTTTAGACGACTTGGTCTACAAGTCAAATCTTGTGTACGGTGTTGAGACTGGAGGACAGAACCACAATTTCTTAAAAGACTCCAAACAAGCCATCCACAAGCGAATGGTTAGTCATATGAGAGAGCATGAAAGCACAATGTCCTCATCGCAGGCAGGCGTCGCGAGAGCAAGGAAAGGCGGTTATGCTTACATCACAGAAACGCCAATCCTGGAGTACTACAATAATCAGGAACCATGTAACACCATGTTGGTTGAGAAACTGTTCGAAGTGAAGAGCTACGGCTTTGGTTTACCGAAGAATTCCGAATACACTAACGCCCTCTCAGTCGCTATTCTCAAGGTGAGCCGAAAAATACCACTGAAAAAGTGTTGAGAAGCAAAATTTTATGATATAAGAAATCAAACCGCATAATCATTAGCTGTAGTTATTAACTACATTATTTGACAATTGAATAATGAATGAGCAGGTTTTAAAATGAAATATATGGAGGGATTTCTGCTGGATAACCAAAGATCCATTTTTTCAATCGTTTGGTCTTAAAATTCCTGCCATCTTCAGACCTTTTCAAACCAACCACCTGTTTAAATTTAATTGCAATAAAACAAGCGGAAATTGATATCTGTCATTTGTATAGGTAGAAAATTATAAGTTTGAGTTTGATTTAATGATACTTCCTCCGGATTTGCATATTAACAGCCGAAACTTTATTGTACCCGTGTTTTAGCTCCGCGAAGAAGGCTTTATTGAAAAGAGCAGAAAAACTTGGTGGAATGAAAAATCTGAATGCAGCAGGGAACCGCCAGCTTCTGCAACGGTGACGCTGGAGCTCAAGAATCTTGGTGGTGTGTTTATTATTATGATTGCTGGAATCGTAATATCTTTTCTACTCCTGGGCATCGAAGTGAAATTCCAATGGATCATTGATCTCATATTGAAAGCGCAGGTATTGGTTGATAGGTTAACGGACTAATCCCCTAAATCTTCGTCCTTCCTTCATTTCACATTTTCATTTTTCATTATTCCATCCCACCCTGTTTCTTCTGTTTCCCACATTCCAGCACATCGTTCCCCCCTATTCTAAGCTGTTTTCTGTCTCCCCAAACACGTTCGGAGGCGGTGGAATTTAAGCAGTTTTGGACGACTTTAATGCCGTGTATTAAGAAATCTAAGGAGCTGGGACCATAGTTGTATAAAACTCTTTAACTACATTTTGTATAGTTAAATCCCAGTTAACTCTGAAAGACACATCTCTGCTTGGTCAATTCTGCCCTTGACTACAGTTAAAAGTTAACTATATAGACTTTTATAGCTACAACATGGCCGCTGATTGTAAACAAGGATCGTGATCTTTTTACAGGAGAACAACTCTGGTAACGAGGAGCCACGAGAGACAGTGATGAGAGTGGAGATATCTCAAGGAGAGCGTCAACTAAATCCCATCAACCGAGAGGAGCCGACGCCAGCACGAAAACGATGGCTGCCTTCTTTTAATTTTGGACGCTGACGTAACAACGTGAGACTGAGCGATGAAAGTTCTGAGTTGCGAAGGGTATTTGATTGCAGCTACTTAAAACATTTGGGGATTTTAATCCCATAAACTGATGATAAAAATATGCAATATTAGAAACCTGATAAACACTAGCGAGGGTGAAAAATTAAAATATAATGAAGTGATATTAAGCAAGAGATAACGACCAGCAGCGCTTTACGGGTGATACATGACATTTTGACATTTGCCCATGAATTGAAAGCGAAGACTATAAATATATTGCGAAGGCAAATGGATCTTTGTCAAGTAGCTAAATTTGTCATCATTTAAAATATGTTAGGGATTATTGTTTCACAATGCCAACTACAACACAAATTTGTAGGTAATTTACTACAGTCTTGCTAATATATTTATAAAGACATTACAATTGCAAGGTCAAGCAGGGATGTAAACTATGACGCAAAGCTATATTTATATTGTTGAAATTATTTGACAGCATAAAATATTTTATTAGATAAAAAAATGCCAGTATGTAAAACAATAATAGCCTGTAACGCAATAACTAAAGAAAATTAAAAGCTCATTAAAATTTAAGCAACGACCCGACAAAAAACATGATGAAAGTCATGAACCAATAAATATATTAACGCGTATCCATGACAAGATGACACAAAACTGCAGGACATGTGACAAATCGTTCGGCAAGGAAAACAGTGTATTCAACTGTTCATTAAAGTGCTATTTCCACAACGCATGCACAGCACAGCACTCGCGTCCATCACGATAGGCAGGTGGGCAAAGTGAGCCTTTTTTTTTAATTTCTGCGCTTAACTTAGAGTCAAAAATGAAGAAAGAATGAAACATAAACAGAATGATAAACTTCTGCAAATTTCCCCAAAGGTTCTTTTTTCCTTAAACTTTACATTTTCTCCGGAATGATTATTTCTCTTCTATGTAGGACACTTTTATACAATGCAATCCGAGTTTTCAATAATACGAAGGTCTTGTTTGGTCTTGCATTTGGTCGCTTTCAGCACTCAATATTATCTCAGTCATCTTGAAACTTTTCATTATACAAGAGCATAACTGCATAAGCCACTGGCTTAATTAATGAAGTAATCGTTTTAAAGCCTGACAGCACGCTTAAGCTTTTTTAAACATGGCAGAAGGTGCTGAATTTTCAGCTCATTAAATTTCAATCAACATTTTTGCCATTCTTCGCACGACAACTGGGGTATTTTATTAAGATGTTGCAAGTCACATTGCGTGTATAGAGAGGTCAAATATGTTTACATAAACGAGGCCTCGTTAAATATCCAAGGGATAATTTGCACGATGAGTGCATTAAATATGCTGTAACAGGTGGCTTAATTTTTACCTGTCACAGCTGGTCAGCATTTTATCTACTTTATGGATTTTTTCCACATGTGTCTACACTCTATATCATTGCATGTTCTTCTTATTAGAAGGAAGGTTTTGCATAAACAGTTTTTATAATGAGCGTTTTACCAGAACGCCACTGCGTGAGACATATATTTTTCAAACCGTGTATGTAGTATAATATGCATGTTGAATAAATTCTTCAGATGTCTGTTTGACAAGAACTTACAGATTATTTTGCACCAAAATGGATTATTTACAAGGGCCTTTCAAATCAATTTAGAGCTGGAATCGAGCCAGTTTTTGATGTGAACTACTGGACTGTACGAGTGTCTTCTCAAACAGGATGTCTGATTTATCTTCAAAATTAACGATGTCTTTATAATGCTTTCATTATCGTGGTGATAATGATCTCAGCAACATACTAAATATCTTGATAAGTTAGGTTTTCGCTAACATTCCCATTTTTCGTATCCGTTTCAAGCGGTGCAAATGTTTGAAAAAACCTGACAAGTTTTATTCGATAGAATCCAGTTCCACAGCAGCAATGGCCATGAGAAATATGCCCCTTTAATCATTTAAATTAAATCACTCCCAAATATTTTTTTTAGTAGCTAGACGCAGCATTTTAATAACACTGATATTCAAATAGAGGGAGATGGAGGTAAACAAGAGTTACACAAAATTAATCTTTCTTCGCCCGAAGCAGTCTAAGTGCTGCTTGCTCAGACTTTGTCTCGTGATTCGTCGCTCGCAATTCGTTGTTCCTCGTACAACGAACATTTCTTTTGAAGAAAAAGGCATTTTAAGAGATGAAAAACCGGCTCTGTAATCCCCAAATATCATCTTTAGAAAAGAGAAATTAACTTTTCATTGATATTCAAATCATTGATATTTTGTGAGATAGCAAATTAACACGCTTATCGGGGAATTTAATCGAAATGGAAATCTAAAATATGACACATTTAACTGATTTTACAATTCCAGACAGCGTTAATAATATGGTGTTCTGTAATACATTTTTTAAAAGACACAATCAGCACATATTGTAACAAACCCATAGACACCTCATTTTCTAACAATCTTTTATATTCATTCAGAATAGCATGTAATTCGTGTGGTCTCATGACGAAATCCATTCATCGCAATTAAGACGGGAAACACACAAGCCAATATAAAGAATTGTATACTAAGACAAACGGCACTTACGGATGATACAAGAGTTATCGAAAGCATCTTGCTCTGATGATGATGACGTGAACTGTGCCTACACCTACAACGAAATGTAGCCATGTAATGAAATCTTAGTTTAGTCTTGTTTCGAAGTTCGATCTTCAATTCTGTCTTACACAATCTGTGTCACAGAAGTGTAACATATCTACCCTTTTTATATATGTTTAAATGCTAAGCTTGTATGGATAATCTTCAATGATTATAAAGTTGCCTCATTGAATCAATATGCTGACTCGAAGCGCATCATAACGAAAACTGAAATTGTATTTAGCAAAATATCCTCTTTCCATGCAGATAAATACAAAATGTCGATTATGGGACAACTCGATACAACCATAACTGAAAGAAATTGGAATAAACTAATCAAGAAGCTGAATAGCTATCTTCTCTTGGGCGTTTGCTGCATGATAACTGATAAGCACGCGTCATTTTAAAGGTATTCCGGCGCCAGCTGTAATCCCTGTCTAGGTATAAGTTTATACCCCAGGTATAAGTCTGTATCAGCGTTGATTCATTCTCATCTTACAATCGTTGGTTTGCATAAAGCTAGCAAACCACTGGTGACCTTTGAAGTGGACGTTTGTGTATATTTTGAGATACGCGATCCATATCGTGTGTCCAAATTCAGCTTAACTTCTGTCTTCATCAGACCCTTATGCGGATCCGGGGTGATAGCAAGAACTTGAATACGTCATGAAACCCAGCACGATTGCGGGATTATTTCAAACGGAATATTTGCTATAAAAACTAAAAACGCAGTTTGGATTTATTGGCTGCATGCGATTTTCAGTACGATTTTCACCTTTTGAACGATGTAAACGGATAAATATGTTACGGTTGTACAAATAATGATACTTATGCATGAAGAATTCAAAACTTTTTGCTCCTTTTCATCCGTCAAAAGAAGAAAATCAGGCAGAAAGGAAGTTGATCTCCGCCGGGCTTCTTCGTGAGATTTTGTAATCACGCGTTTGATTTCACACCAAATTGCACTCCACTCAGTGCAATTACCTGTATTAACAACTATACAGGATACTAAAGTGCATGAAAAAAAGGTCGCATTCAGAACCCAAGGAGGACAAAGCAAGCTCGCTTGTGACTAAATAACAATCTTTGCCTCAACTCCAAGCGTACAAATTATACCTCGAAAGCCATGAAAGCAGCAGCTGATAGCCCTATATGATGACGATATTATGCAACTCTCTCGAGGCTGACTCGAGTGTCGAGTCTTCCTGTGCGTGGGAGTTTGGACATTGATTAGATCGAGCACTGCTCCCAACTTTATAGCTGTCGCCTTAATTTTGTCAACATTGTATTTAACGAAATATCAATAACGCACGCACTTAGGGATTAAAACCTGTGACCCTTTAGGCTTCAATTTTGGTCTGAAGATAAACATTATAGTTAAGCTGTATAAATTCGCTCCCCGCGGAGACTTGGGACCCCGGCAAAGCAAATAATCAAATAGCATGTTTCACCGCGTGTCAATATTCGCCTACGAATTGCAGTGACATTATATTTAGGCTGTGATGATCACTCCCTTACATAAATGCATATTTGAAAGTGCATTGCCGTTTCCCTCAATCAACAGCTCGTGAATATATATACATATACTTGCATGCTGAGTATTTCTGACCGACTTAGGATGATGAATATGAGATCAGTCTCCGCGATGATTTCACGGGGGTTAATTGCGCGTGCGATTTTACGTGTTGTGTCATTGCATGTCTGACTACGAAACGAATGTGAGGCGAAAACTTTTGCTAAGCGAACACAGGTGCAAATAATCAATAGACGGCGGTTCTTGCTGCGTATTGATAAACAACGTTGCCAACACGACGTCGATTGGCAATCAGAACTTCATTTGCTTCAGTCAAAAATCCAATTCACGTCGAGGCATTAGCTTATCGGAAAAGCGACGTTCGCGTCTCAAGATAAAGAAGAAAATTGCTGAACAGTAAACACCGCTTGTTCCACAGGCACGTCAAATACAGCTGCTATACGACATAATGAGCTGCTACGTAGGAGACTTCAGCGTCCCTCAAGGACTACATGACTTGCTTCAAGAATTTGTCGTCCAATGTCTGATCGAGAAACCGGAGAATCTTGCCGCTTTTGCCGTGGAGCACTTTACTAGAGTACGCGATAACGGTAAACATGGCAACGCAGCAATTGGCTCTGAAGCCACGCTACCGGTGGTCAAGTCGAATCATGACAATATCAAGACAGTAAAATCAACGGCTGTTGTTAACGGTGACAACGATATGGCGGACGCAGTCTCCGACGACGACGAGATGGTTCCTCCTGTACGAATGCCGGTCCGTGGTCGGAGACGAGCAGTTGCGGCCGAGACGTACGATCCTACGAAGGACGAAAACGATGGGAAGAAAGTCGTTCATCCTAAGACCGAAGAACAGCGAGGCAGGCTGAAACAAGCGATGAAAAATATTTTGCTATTCAAAGCATGCGAGCCTGAACAAATACAAGATATTCTGGACGCTATGTTTGAGAGAAAAGTTCAGAAGGGAGACGAGGTTATCACGCAAGGGGATGACGGAGACAACTTCTATGTTATCGAAATTGGGACTTACGATGTTCTTATAAACACTGGTGGCGCACAGCGAAAGAAAGTGCACACGTTTGTCAACTCGGGAAGCTTCGGCGAGCTAGCGTTGATGTATAATTGTCCGAGAAACGCCACGATTACTGCACAATCCGAAGGCATCCTCTGGGCTCTGGATCAAGCGGTATTTAGGCGGATCGTCGTCGGGGCAGCAGCTCGCAAAAGGCGTTCCTACGAGTCGCTTTTGGGAGGTGTTCCTATGCTTTCGGAGTTGACCGACTATGAGAGAGCGAATCTTGCCGATGCTCTGGAGAGCGCAAGTTTTGAGGACAGGGAATGTATCATAAAGCAGGGAGACAGCGCGGATTGCATGTATTTCGTTGAAGATGGACACATAAGGATCGTATTAGGCAAAGGCGCCGAAAGTAAGGAGATATCGGTGTTGAAAAAAGGCGACTATTTCGGGGAGATGGCTCTGGTCATGAATCAACCGCGCTCGGCTTCTGTTTTCGCTAAAGGTAAAGCGAAGTGCGCAAAACTCGATGTTGGAGCGTTTGAGAGACTCTTGGGACCTTGTATGGAGATTATGAAAAGGAACATTGAAAACTATGACTCGAATCGTAAAGCGTTCGGCTTAGAATAGAGTTTTAAATTATAGCATATTATATGAATTAATTGTTAATCTTTCGCGAACTTCCCGGCGGCAATTCTAGTGCAAACTGAATCTTGTGTATAATATCTTCAGCGATAAACTTTCATCTCAAACTAGTATCAGCTTCATTGTACTCGGGTGTGATGTAATTTACACAAAATAACAATTTATTGTTGTGTTGTTTTGAGCGAATTCCAAGACTTTTTTCTTTCCCTGCATTCGTTTCAACGGATTCCGGGATAATCTGCCACCAGTAATTCTGCACTGTTTACGAAAATTTGCTTGAACGAAACACGTTGTGCTATACAATTATATACGCAGAGTCGTTAGAGCGACTTATATATGCATTTTTTTTAATCACACTAAGACACGTTGGTTTATATATAAACATTGAAATAATGGATGTGAAGTGCGGTACATGTTTGGCCACGTTTATATAGCCGCGATGCATGAATCGCTGCATATTTTGTTAAGGATTGTCCACCCGAAGTCCTTATATTCGTTAGGATAAAATTACGAATATATATATATATATAGACGAGTATATATCGCATGTGTTATTGTTAAAACTAGGTTCAGTATATCGGACTTGCTTTGTTTAATATATATACGCGAAGACATTTTCTGAAGGGCCGTAAACGTTTCTCTCTAGATGCTTCTTTAATCAACGCTTAACGCTTAGGCTCAGTTGGGGTTAAAATACACGCGGAGTATGATAGCGATTTTTATGATTTCATATGAATCGAATATGAATACATTGTGTGTGCATCAAAAAGAATTCGCGCCATTAAAGCAACGCATTCATTTTGGAAGACGTTTCAGCACGCCCTAATTTAGTAAACTACGAAATTGGTGCGAAGCTTACTATATATACACCTGTTTAATCTTATATGGAGGGAAATGTGAATGGATTTTGCGTGCATGTATATACTTTTTGTCTTTTAAACAATAAACAATTAAAACTATCTCGAAGACATTTTTCATTTTAATCCTAACATTTGCAATTGCCCTTCTTATACAAAAGCCTTTCAATTGCAGGTTTATATACTCGTTTTATTTACGATACCAGAAGTCTCATTTACCATTTAGATTGCATCATCGTTGTATTGAGAACGTGTAGCTATATATAGCTATGTGCTGTAGCAATTACACATTGCAAGTAGTGAGACGTACAGCACAGGGAACGGTCATAGAAATTACATATATATTATTATATACATATAATATATGTAGTCAGGGGCTTAGCTTTTTGTAGCGAAAATTACAATTATAAAGACAATACGCGCTATATATACCAACGTTGTAACAACACTACAAATTCTCCTTCTAACCCTCAAAAGTTCTATATTCTAAAATTTCCAATAAATGAATAACAAAACAAAGTCTAATCAGTTCGTGACATTAGAATTCGTTTTTTTATTTACATGTATTGCATGTCAAAGGCCGCCGCTATATGGAATGAAAATAGATAATATCAAAATAATGCTACCGTCTTAAGGTTTCTTTACCCCATGCGATACAACTCATACAAGCATTCTTTATAATTTCATTAAAACAAAACGTATAGCTATATATATAGCTACCTTGTTTCATCTGAAAAACTATATATACATGCATATATATATATATATTTAAAACATCTATACTGCCGCGATTATTGACAGGCCTCAAACGAAAACCAGCCCTTTCTAAAACCAGATAAACTCTTTTACGGGCGACTGAGCTAGGGCAAGCAAGACAAAAAAAATGCATGTTGAATCAGACATCGTATTGCATATGAAAATGGCTGTATGCATCATGCATGCATGCATGAGAGATACGTTTATGAAATTTTGTCGCTTAGTCTTAGAGAGTGCGACAGAATACCATTTATATATATATAAGTGTTTTGAAGATCGCGTTGAGATAATTTTCGCGTTTTAATATTTCAAATAGATTAGAGAATTCCTTTATAATTATATCCTTAATTTTCATCTCGTTATATATATCAAGAGAGATTTGACGATTAGAATTCCCAAACAATCATTCCTATAATGCTATATAACTATATAACTCAAGAAGAAATCTTAACTTCATTTACGGTGAATTTATGAATGCATGCACGTCGTTTAAATTCATCGCCACAGGGGTTTTTCAAGCTAATATTTAAATTTATTTTTTCAAAGTATGAGCCGGTAATGGGCGAGCCGAAATATTTATTGGATGGCTGAATTGATCTGGGATAACATAAGGGTTGACTCAGCTCATTTATTTGACGAGGCGACGTACGCGCATGCACATAAAAGATTAAATCCACACTATTTTTTCGAGGATAATTAATCCTACTTTAGCGGTTAGAATCTCAATTTTTCTGTCCTTTAAAACATTACTGAACAACTTAACCTTAAATCCCATTCAAATTGAAACGAGACGCGGAGAGTCGTAATGGCTCCAGTGGCATTAAAGAGCATTTCCTCAGAGAGCACTATATTATTCTGATACCGATAATATTCGAATTTAATATTGAATTACAGCCTGTGTAAATGTTGACTTTTCGCAAAAGATAACAAAAATTAAAAAAGATGGAAGACTCCCAAGGCCAAGAGATAAAATTAAAAAAAAATTTTAGTTTTCAAGAAGACGGCTAGCTGCCTTTACTCCACTAAACATAATGGCAAATATTCGCAATATATTTTTAAAAAATGTAGACTGTAGGTGAATGTAGGGTTTGTTCCTGAAAAGCCAGAAAAGTTTGGCCGGCAAAGTTAGAATCGAGAGCTGACGGATTTTTACGTCGACTCTGAGCAATTTGATGAACGAGCTAGTTTATTTTAGCTTCTAGCTTAAACCGACTTTGCCAAAAAAAAATAGAATTTGCACTTGCATTATGCAATGTTTTTATCGCGGACATATAAACCTCAATATGAAGAGTCTTATTAAAATCTTTGTAAACAAAACAATTTAATTCATCTGCGATCCTGCATGTCAGCAAAAGAACTGGAGTCGAGTTGTTATTAAAACGTTTACAAGGCACATTGCATTTTGAAGTTTTCAATACAGGAGGAATGCATTTTACGCTATTCATTATTGTTAGAGCAATAGAGATATTAATTTTTTGTAATAATGTTCGTATTCAAACACAAGGACAGCTGCACTTTGAGCGCAATTTTAAAATTTTCAACAAAGAAGCCGATTTGCATACGTGTAGAACGATAATATAACCACAAGCATTGTTTTGTCACCACAAGCAATATTTGCATACCGTACGAGCTTTTTTATACATTCATCTCGTAATTGCGACAAATTATTTGCGATAACGAATACGATGAATGAAGAACCTCATTATATTTCATTGGGACTCAATATATTTAAAACAATGGCATGAAACAACGTTCAAGTGAAAGACATCTTTCTTCTATTATACTGACACATTTCACTTGCACGAATAGTCGACTGCATATGACAACGCTAGGTTACTGTTCCAAAGGCAGTATAGTTAGGCCAGAGGATGCTTACACGAAGTACAGCGTTGATTTAATTTCCGGCGAATCTTTGGCTTTGCCATCTTTCAAATCTTTGCACGAAATTAAAGACAGGTCATTTTGATTAAATTCATTCCTCGTCTTTCCCACATCGAAAAAACAAGACAAAATTATTGGAGCGGTTTATGGAGCCTATCGATTCATCTCCGAGAGTCGCTTTCTGGCATTTTTTGCATTGCAATTATATTCCAAACAATGATCTGCTCATAAGATGGCATATGTGATATGTATGATATACTGTGATACCTCTACTAAACCGATTCCGATCCAAACCGCACACCAAATGGGGATGAGATGTAAAAACTAACACCACCATTTAATGGTGGTTTCATAACAAGTTTATCTTTAAACTTTGCTTCATAGCAATTCATTCATTGCTATAAGTTGGTTTCCGACTCTCTTTCCCGGTAGTCATGATTATTCCTAGTGTAGATTGCTTTGCATACGTCATATTCGAAGCTTGGTTGGGCGAATAAGAAATGGTAGATAACGCCACCAAGTAACGAGCCTCCTATGGGACCAATCCAGTAAATCTTGAAATATAAAAACAATACATGTCTCATTGCATGGTAATCGAACTGCGTCTGGGAACGATTGAAAATTATAGTATTTCGACGGCCTTCTAGTTGTCTAAGAGACTGGCTAACGCCTGCATTCTGACAGCTTAAACACACTCATACATTGAATGGAAGATCTGAATAACATCGTAACGATTGCATGACGGTATTCCGACTTAAATGAGAGCTTGATTTTCTGTTTTTTAGCGTGAATCTTTCCATTGATTAAGAAAGAACTTTCACAATGACGACTAATAACTGATTTACTGTTTCACTCAGTAAGTGCGAGTGTTTTGAATACAGGCGTAATTCTTGATGAACACGATTATCCTGGGTGTAAACACACTATTCACTAAGGCGTTTTTTTTTCTCATCTAAACATGGTAATATGTCTGAACAGTCTAGATTCGGTTTCGGATAAAACAATACCAAAGAGTGCAAAAAGTTCAGAGTAAGCCCTAATGCCGAGGCCTCTGTTCGAATGTAGTTATCAGCCGGGAAAACGAGCCATATTAGAACACATGACCTTATATCTTGGCATGCACGGCCTTGCGAAACTGCGTATGCTTTCAGTTAAACTATGACTGAAATCTATAATGGACCACTTGCATAATAGACCAACTTCAGATCTAGGTGACAAGCAGGAAATATATCACAATTAGGCCCGGGATTGACTAAAGAGAGTATTTACCCAATGATGCTGCCACTCTGCGTTTGGTTTTCCTAGTCCAGATATTTCCCGAATAACCGCTGGACCAAACGATCGTGCTGGATTGATACCACAAGATGTATACTTATACTACAATGAGAAGTATTTTGCATATAGTATTGATTGTATCGCATTTTAAGCAGGGGAAAACAGGCCGTGGAGACAATAAATCATCGACATCACTTGCAGGAGTTTTAAAGCTACTGACCGCCATGCATGTTCTGGAGTGAGATCGATGTTCCGCATGTTTCAATGCGTTGTTGGTAGCTTATAAGGTTGAGGCAGGCAGTTTATTTGCAGATCAGTGGCAAGTTACAAACACCTCCCCTAGTACGTTTATATTCAGATCAGTGGCAAGTTACAGACATTTCCCTTAGTAAGTCTATATGCAGATCAGTGGCAAGTTACAAACACTTCCCCCAGTAACTTTATATTCAGATCAGTGGCAAGTTAGACATTTCCCGCAGTAAGATTATATTCAGATCAGTGGCAAGTTACAGACATTTCCCCCAGTCAGTTAATATTCAGATCAGTGGCAAGTTACAAACATTCCCCCTAGTCAGTTAATATTTAGATCAGTGGTAAGTTACAAACATTTCCCCCAGTCAGTTAATATTCAGATCAGTGGCAAGTTACAAACATGTCCCCCAGTCAGTTTATATTCAGATCAGTGGCAAGTTACAAACATTTCCCCCAGTCAGTTAATATTCAGATCAGTGGTAAGTTACAGATATTTCCTGCAGTAACTTTATATTCAGATCAGTGGCAAGTTAGACATTTCCCGCAGTAAGTTTACATTCAGATCAGTGGCAAGTTACAGACATTTCCCTTCGTTAGTTTACATGCATATCAGTGGCAAGTTACAGGGACACTTACCCCGACAAGGTAGCAGGACACAACAGCAAATCCGTAGGCAAGTGATGAATGATAACCCTCGCACTTGCGCCCGGCATCACGAGTAGCGTACACGGCCAACGTCAAAATAAGCGTGAGAATGAATTCGACAAAAAGTCCTTGCATTGTGCTCATATCCTCGTGAAGAACAGTATCTCCCAGGGTATGCCTCAAGCGTGATGGAGTCAGCGCGTACGTTAATGCCGCCCCAGAGATACCTGGAATTCAGTCACAAAATTGTGCTGCAAAAACCGGCTGCAAAAATATACAACTACTGTATTTGGTAGATTGATCATAGTTAACTCTGAAGTACACCATTCTGTTTCACCTTTTTCGTCAATAACTACTGTTTACTAGTCAAATACTAACTAACTTTTTAAACATCCAAATCTATGGATTACATGCACAGTCTTAAAAAGTCTAAAATGTACATTTTATATATACAATTTACATCCATATTTTAATACATACATATTATCTCGTATTTTTCCGAATGAATATAGTTTTTTAATTCCATAGTCAAACTTGCCTTTTATCATCATTTTCTATACATGCGCAGACTTTTAATTATTCTATCCAGTGCTAACGACACACGGCTATATATAATTCAGGGGCTCGGTTGTTGGAAAGGTGTTTAGCTTAAACGTTGGATAAGTTAAAAATGGAAAACAATTTTATCTATTTATTGAACAACTGAGGCTGCTGAGCTGATATGTTTCGGATGTAAATAGTTTAATTGTCAATGGGAGTACATATTTAATGCATAAGACGCAGGTTCAGTCATTCACAAGATGTATATGAGAGTATTTTTTTACTTTGGCTTATCCACCGTTTAAGCTAAACGCCTTTCGAACAACCGACCCTAGAACAAGAAGTTGCAGTATAGCAAAGATTTCCTGATAACGCGATTACAGACGGAGTATGATTAGAGACAAACGTATATACTTTCAAGGCTGTATAATTATCTTACTTTACTTCAAAAGTCATTGTCAAACACAGTTAACACACTCGATTTGAATAATATAAAATTCCACCGTTTTTGGAGTCAATTTCTTTAATATTATTCTTAAATTAAGAGCTAGTCGTGACATTTTATATTATCATTACATACATTTATTCATCCAAATTGGAAGGAATTCGCAAAAAATTGCAACAACTTGGAAAATTCACACGCTGTTGAACATTATCATCATAAATGGACACCGATTGGGTTCTCTGTGGGCTATACACGCTTTTATTGTTCGGCAAATTTTAATTTAAACTATGATTAACTATCCTGCTGCCAATTAATGATCGTGACAGCGTCCAAAAATTTGAGAGAAAAGCTTCGGCATGTATCAATTTTAAGTCACTGGATCAGTGCATTTAATTTTATGGCAGACAAACGCTTTATATGCCTACTCTGTAATTATTATGGTCATAGCAGTTGGCAAGGCCTCCCCCTAAAAGCCTCCTCGGTCTAAGATGGCCTTCTGCACGCATGCTGTTCTCGTTTTAACAGTTGTCGTTCCGTTATCGCTCAGGTCGTCACGTAGCCAACGACGAAGTGCATTTTTAGCTTAGATACGAGTGTTCTGATACTGAGATATTATAAACTGTCAGTCATGTAATAGCTAATGGTTTTAAATGAATCATTATCGGTAACATTTGCAACATCCGAAATCGTTCGAAATTATCTAGGAACGCGACTTTATACCATCTGGCCGCGGTTAAGGCGAATGTTTTTAAAAGCAAACTGTGAATGCACTGTTATTTTGAGGGAGTTATTTTAACTCCTAAAATAGGAGTTACGGAAAAAGGTACAGAACAACTCACTTTTTGGAGTTAAAAGTAACTCCAGATTTGGAGTAAAATATTAACTCCGTTTTTGCAGTCAAAATAACTATCATTTAGGGGTTAAAATGTAACTCTTAAAAAGGAGTTAAGCAGTGGTAACTCCACTATCGGAGTTATATTATTTCTACTTTCAGAGTTCTGATGCAAATTGTGTTTGTGTATTGGATTATTAAACTAAAAACATTAAAGCGAAAGGTTCTCGTAATGTCATATTGGTAAATTTATCTCACAAAATTTCTTATTATCAATTCACATGCATTTGTATAATATTGTGAGTTGTATATTTGAAAAGACAGATCAATACAAAAGCTCTGAATTGCTATATTAATTGTCTGAAAGGATCACCTTTTTATAGCCCACTTTTAAATAATTCTAACATCAGTTGTTGCTTTTAACCTCAATAATACTCTTCCTATACCCTAAATTATGAATTACTTCTGAAAGACTTTGATTACTGTAAATTTTAAAGTGATAAAATGACCTATTTAATATTGATTTTTGCATCCGGCCCGCTTGAAATGCATCCGGCCCGGTGTGAAATGTGAATAAAACGGCCAAACCAAAGCAACGTAAGGCTAAAATGTGTAAAAACCTTTCCGGAAAAGACTAAAAGTATGTTAGAAATAAAAAACATACCCGAAAAACGTCTTAGTTTGGATTTTTTACTCCTTTTTTCGCTGCATTTTACGTTGTTTTTCTAGTCGATTTGCCCGAATTTGCCGTGATTTAGTTGCTATGGTAACAATATCTGCCATTTCATTGGCTGTTTCCCGACTAGGATATCCTTTTAAGGAGTTGTTGACGTATAAAAATTCTGAAATGGCTTGTAGCCTTGTAGATTGCAGAAATTATAGTTTTTATATAGTTATTTGCTAATTTTTTTGCTTTTTTTGTGTTTCATGAAGTCAATAGTGTAAAGGTAAAAATAAACACGTTATATACCGCAGCTTCAGCCCGGAGGCAAAAATCTGTCCTCTCGGTCTCGAAAACTTCCCTCGGCCTACGGCAAAGGTTAAAAAATAAACACATTATATTTTACCGGCAGCTTCGGCCCGGATTACCGGATACAAAAAACTGTGCCGACGGTCTCGAAAACGGAAATAACGACCTCACAGCCAGAAATAACATATATAATCAATAGATCATCGTCAGCCCTGCCATTTTTCCCTATTTTATGGGGGAATGGCTTTTATATACAGATGAACAGAACAGCCTTATAAACTTGAACTTAAAAGTTAAATGCCGTAGGAAGAAACTTTATACATCGGGATGAAGAAAGCGATATAAGTTAAAATATAGGGTTTAGAAGTCAAATTATATTAGTGGCACAAACATTCGTAATTTTTACAAGCCTTTTCCGCCTTTTTCACTCCAGAGTTAAATCAATTCACGTTTATAAGACTAAAATTTATAATAAACTATTAACCCGCTCCTCTTGTGCACGCCATTTTGAATTTTATTTAACTCCAAAAAGAGAGTTGAATTTTTATCACCCCCAAAAAAGGGTAATAGGTGAGTCAAAATAACTCATAAAAGAGGGTTAGATTGCTTAACTCCCCCAAAAGGAGTTAATTCTGCATAGTTAATAAGGTCTAAAAATTATTAACCCCTCAAAGAGAGTTATTTTTACTCCAAAACTATAGTTAAATTTTTAACTCCACTAAAAAAGGATAATGGGAGAGTTAAAATAACTCCCTGAAAATAACAGTGTGCTATGACGTGTATTGTACACTAGGTAATAGCATCAAGAAAATTAGTATCTGCGAAGGCATACTCAAAATAGCTATATATAGTCGTTTAAGAATTGCTTTAACGGGTGTTGAAACTTACATACTGTCGCTGGCATTGTTGGGATCCCATGCGGTTTAATTATACTACAACATTGATAAAAATTAATATAGGCAGAACATCACAACGAGCATGCACCAGCCCAATTCTGAAATATCTAAACATAAAGGGCGCGTAGAGCAAAGATTATATTTACCTCCGACAATTTCCATAATGATTAGCAAGACTCCTTTGGTCAGCGAGAGTTTGCCAGTCGAGGTGAACGCGACTGCCAACGCCGGATTGAGCAGTCCTTCGGTCCAATGAACGATCGTTGCGACACCGAGACCATTTGCTAAAGCGCATTCCAGATTACCACTTGCTTTAGTATTGTCTCGTAGGTTCGTATCAGACACATTGCAAACAGATGTAGCGATATAGACCAAAAGACCAGTGCCCAGATATTCCGCGGCAATGCTAGCCCAAAACTTCTTCATCCTGAATTCGCTTGGCGGTTTCTCCTCTTGTGGTAACATTTTGCCAGCAGAGATTTAATTGACGTGGTTTATACCACTACGATAAGCAAGCATATGAGACGGCCTTGATAGAATATTTATTACACTAAGATAGCATCGCTGGGCCGGAACGGGTTGTTTTATGTGTGTTGACGACCAACAATTTAACATTTCTCCGCCTGCCAGTGTGTTTATGCAAATTCCACACCACCTGGCAAATAGCAATAATATACATCCTAAGCGCTGCACATTATTGGCCACACCGCAGAGGTTTGTTTGTATATTGTACTCAAAAGACACTCAATTCAATCATTTGCATGCACACAATTTGTCATCTTAGGAACTTAAAGTCGGAAACGTGTCTAAGTTAGACATCAAACTGGGGACATGTCGAGATGAAGCTTTATGAGTTTATGCTTCCGAAAGCGGCTGACTTTTATCCGAGCGTTTGTATTTTGCGTTTATCTCGAGCGAACAATAATGGTATCTTTCATTGTGTATACTAGTGTATTGTTCTCTTTAATTAAATTTTATCCCTATCTTATTTTTTATCTAAATAGTAGGTAGGCATGCATGCACATGAAAACAACGAAAAATAGCATATTTATTATGGGCGAGATTCTTATCCAATATCGCTGATTTGTGATTTTCAACGATTTTTCGAATAGAAACTATAGAAAAGCTGAGTCTAAAAGCAATAAAACTCTAACTCAGTTGAAGTGTATACGTTCACACGTTAAGTGTGTGTGTATTCACAGAGATTTATAAATATATAGTATTTTGTATCGGGTAACACGAATGTATGTATATACATGCACGCACTATAATTTTATACCCCATGCACGATGGCTACCGTGGTTAGAGTGTAAACTTTTCGAGGAAGTGTTGGAAAAATGCATATGGAAAGTCAGGCATCATTAAATATGGAAGCAAAACCGACAACAAAGCTCGGATAATTAATCTTGATATTCAGGAAACATTATGTATAGATCAAACTGTCGGCTTATAATCTTTTCAGCTGATTTTTGAACCTCCTCGGAGATATAAAACATTAAACTCGTATTAAATATTCATGCAAATTTGTCCATTTGTGATTTTAGACAAAATTAAGGACATTGCACAGACTCCGCAGAAAATTTATCCTTTAAAGGCGGGAAAATAAAAGATGTAGCCTTTTGAAGGCGGGAAAATAACAGATTGCTTCATTTTCGCGCCAAAACAAACCTCAATGGAAGAGAGACGTGAATTATGAATATTATTCACAATAATACGAACTGTGTTTGCATAATTGACTGCGTGAATCATAGCTATTTTTGTACACAAGAATATCTACTTTGATATGGATGACAATGGCAGAGTAGTATGTGCAACGCGTTGAGTGTTATGGATGATCAAATGATTATCCGACTTTGATGTCAATGACAATGAAAGTACTCAGGAAACCCAAGGCAACACTGTGTCTAAAACAAACTCCTTCAAATAAACACTTTAGTGAAAGCTTATAGTATAGTTTAATGGGAATAATTCCCGATTACCAGTTGCGGACATATACGAAGTTGAACACATCACCATTAGCATTGGTACACTTTAGTATTTTTACTAAATTTAATTTGAAAAAAGCACTAACTTAATTTTGGAATGCAGGTCACAATTGCCGTAAACAATGTGAACAACGAGAAAACTCGCCCAAGCTTTAATTATTCATTCACTTTTAATGACTTTTTGACATTGAGTATTATATATTGTCATTATATTAGTATATCTATTTCCGTCAATATTTTTTACTCATTTATCTGTCCTAACCTTAGGCTCGGTTGAAAGGCGCCAGTTAGCTTAAACGGTGGATAAGTTCAAAATGGGAAACAAAATTATCTATTTATTGAACAACTGAGCTGAAATATTTCTATGTAAATAGCTTATGTAAATCTTCAATGGAAGTACATAAGATGTATGATAGTATTTTTACACTTTGGCTTATCCACCGTTTAAGCTAAACGTCTTTCGAACTGCCGACTCCTATATCATATGTTCATGTTCAAGTGATATTTACATGCAGTACATCCACAATTATCCACTAGGCAAACAATATTCAGTGACAATGTCCTGAGTAATATATTGCTGTGCTGTTAAAAGCTGAAGTATAATTTGCATCATAGACAAATATTCTTTACAACAGTAATTCATTAAAGTGCGATTGCACAAGTATTAATGAAAGCAAACGCTTCGTTTATACATGCATGCATGTTTGCAACAGCTGCATGTATCTCTTAAAATATGATGTTCTGGTCGCCTATTCTAACCTACGATTATGTTGAATCCTATGCCTAGGGTTCACGAAGTCCACTCTTAATATTTATCCAAGAAAATTGAAATGTGTGTAAGTTAAGCACTTCTAAAATCGACGGCCACGCTATATTGTTACAAGTACAATCGATGTGCAGAAGCCAGTGCACATTAGTCATTACTATATAATTTATTTCTCTTAAGTGAAACATGTCAAAGTATTAATGTACACATGGCTACATAAACCACATATTAAAAAAGGCACACTGTTTGAAAATTTATATCTCATATTGCTATACAGATGAGTTTAGAATTCCGAATCATTCAGCATGTCCGACTTTCTCTTAACGGCTTCGTCCAAAACGCCAACGCATTCCTGAAGACTGTTAAACGCTAGCTTACCAAGTGGCACTGAAAAGTAGAGAAATCATATTATTGACATGCAAAAATTAATATAGCTTGTATTAAACGTGAGTGTTAATATAAAAACAAACATAATACCTGTATAATTCTCCATGTCTGAGGTCTGCACATGTGTGATTTGAAGATGGCTCATTTTTAATTTCTCAAGACTTGTTAAAATCTGTTTTGGTTTACAGAAGAATTCGTACTTTTTGCATGTGCTTCCCGATAATTCGTAAAAATAGGAAAATACAGAAGAAAAAATCGAATTCCATACCTGAAGAAGTTTTTGGACCAATATGTCTACTCTTTTGAAAACTGGTCCAAGTTCTGAAAGAGAAACCATACCATTGTCAGCTAAGTGAAAAGCTTTCGGTTGGTTCTACAGCATCTACAAGTCTGTGTTATTTCTTACCAGAAAGGATAGGTTTTTCTCTGCCCGACCACTGTTTCATCTCTGTTTCATAACAATGATTAAAACCTTCAATCATTTGTGTTAAAGTCGACATTGTTAAGGACAATGTTTTGCTGACTTTGTTCACAGTTTGCGGATCGTGTTCCGTTGACGACTGTGGAAAGATATAAACGCCAAATTAGGAGACATTCATTAAAACTCCTGTCTTTCTCTTCAACTCATTCTCTACCAAAATAGTTGTGTTTCGAAGTGAAAATTTCATCATATTTTCAGGTACTGAAATTTATGGAGAAACTACAAAAAAAAACTGTCAACAGCTCGTGCTAAGGACTCCAGTTTTTCTAACCTCTGATTTCAGTTTTTCTAAAAGTTTCTTCTGTTTCTTGAGCTCTGTTTCAATTTGATCTGCCAGCGAAGTGATATCAGCAGTATCTGGTATCTTAGATCTGTGTATAAGAAGGCATTCCTCTACATTTTTTTATCACAATATATACATAAGATTATTGTAATATATAAATAAAGTTAAAATATATATATGCTTAAAATTATTATAAAATCTACATAAAATTATTTTATTACATAAATAAAATGATTATATTATAGAAATAAAATTAATATAATATATGCATCTTCGTTGAAAGCAGCCATGTTGGAATATGCTGACCTTTTACTGTCATGATCATCTATTTCAAGTTGTTTTTCTATATCGGGCGGATATAGATGTATTTTTTCCTTGAACAACTCTCCTAAATCTTCCTGTCTACAAAGCAGGTCGAGATATCCGCAAGCATCAGATACGGCGTCGACTATAGTCCCAGGACGTGTCGTAATACTATAGTAAAAAAATATATTCGTTACGCTGTAACGAATGTTAAAATAGCGTCTATATAAAGTTGGAATTTAGCGACCGATACACACTGACGGCGAGCATTTATCATTTGTAAAAAGCACACTAGAATTAAGTTTACTTGTGACATGATTGTAAAAATTCACTTGTAAAAAGATTGTAAAATATAGCGTGAAGTTTGTAAAGCTATTGTTGACGTTGTAACTTTTTACGCTAGTGTAAAAAATACATCTTAAAGTACCTGCGTTTATACGAGAAACATTTCTTACCGTTCTGGTGTTGAGGAAACCGATTGGAGAAAAATAGTGTCAAGATCTTCCACAACCAAAAGCATATCAGTTATATCTTCATAAAATTGTAGTTGTTTCGACTTGGGTGATGCCCCCTTTAGTGTAAAAGTCAAGCATGTGATTGCATGTGTTGTAGGCAAAGCATTGGTTTAGTTTAAAAGAAATATATCTGCAAGGTTTTTCAGCAACGTTTCAGAGAATATCGGTGGATTTACCGTTATAAGATCCACGTCGTCTTCGCGACAAAGCCCCAACAAATTTGCACAAAACAGTAGCTCTGAAAATTTTCATACCGAGCTCAGCATAAGAACTGATCCCAGGTTTCTATCAGGATTCTATTTTTATGTTTTAACTTTTAAAACTCACTTCCAACTCTAGAGTCAGTTAAGCTACTGACAACCGCTTGATGACTGTCCAAGATTTCTTCTAAATGCTGGTCAAACCTAAACATTATGCACTGTGTTGTGTATGACTGTACAGGCAGGTCAATATAATATAATTATAGGATGTTGTATATTTTACAGAATACACAACCCTGATCTTTTGTTACCTTGCTAGTAACCATTGTAGCAGCCTTAGTCGGGGCTCCCCAGGCTTAAAAAGCAGCTCAGACATCCACGATTCCTCAACATTCTCAACATGAGGACAACCAAGAATCTATTAAGTGCAGACGTAGAGACAGTGTGACCATGCATATATGCAAATTTTTAACCAACGCTGTTCAAATCAAGTGACACTGTCCCCTCCTTGTCAAATGGTAATTATTAAAATCAGAGGGATGATTAATGTGCATCAGATCTGGTCTGAAACTGCACCTTGCAATTGGCCATTACTTCTTAGCCAAGTCTTCAACCACCCTGGTTGAGAATGAAAGGGCATTTTTAAACATTGATCGTCTAATAACACCATATTTTGTTGATTACTCCCTGGCGAAGATGGCTAATTTATCAAATTGGAAATAAAGTTCACCATAATGTTTTCTATAAATTAGATCCCCCTAGGAATTAGGAAACATATAATTATATTCTGGAATCTGGAGTTAATGCATGAAAAGGAATCTAGGATCAATACGCCTTATTCTACCAAAATGTTTATTTATGCTTACATAAACATTACCAAAAAAGTCGCCGATGCATTGATGCCTTCGGACAATATTGTGTCAGATGTGAAAACGAATGGATGATTCCATTCACGGCATGTTAATTGTTAAAGACAAATAACTAGCTAGTAAAATAAACATCTCGGGAAGCCACAAACAAATCATTTACATTTTATGTTTAATGTACGAATATTTTGACTTCCTAACGTAAAATATTTCTCTCAGATCGCCAACATACCTCTAGTTTATATCTAATTGTTTCAACTCGCCTGCTCTTAGATGCCGCCATATTTTTGAATTATTTGATCCGACGCTCTCCGACAACAACCGAAGTGGAGCGAAAATACCGTCGTTTGCATAAACAGAAATGCAGCTTCGTGCCACAATATTTAATAATCGCGCGTGGTAAGCGCGAGATTCGTGGAAAACGCGCACTTAATGCGTGGGAAATCATGTTTGTTTTCCGGAGATGGATCCAAATTCGATGATTTGGATCAGTTCAGTTGTATCACACTGTGGTTGTATGTTCGCTTTTCATATTGCACAAACATGGATTACGTATCCTTGGCAAAAGGTTTATCTCCTGATAAACTCGGTTCAGACGACTTAAGCAGAGAGTCTGCAAAACATTTATTTGAGGCGCAGGCAAAGAAACTCGAAGCGAGAGAACGAAGGTCGATCGAATCTGCAAAATTAAGAGAAAAGAAGTACGGGAAACCTGTCCTGACGCAGGATGAGCTTGTTATTCGTGAAAATGTCGGGGATAGAACGGCCACTTTAGGTTCTGAAGAGTTTATCTACACGAACAATGCTGATTGTGGGTTGTTTGCCGCGATTATCACAGCCTATAACAAGCATTGGACGCTCAGAACATCGCCGGATGATTGGTGGTTTGTCGTAGCTAGACGTATCGCCATTGCTATCGATAAGAACTCGAAGAAGGAGAGTGTACGTAGGATGTTTGTCGAGCACGAAGGTACAGTTGTTGTACATGTTTCCATGCTGTTAAAGGAAAATTATTAATAATAGAACTGCCCGAATGATATTTTCATTTTCATTTAAACTTTCAATTTCATTTATACAAGGCAAGAAAACATTACAAGTGGATGTTCCTGTGAACAATATTTATGATGTCGACTATACTTGGTTCTTTGATGAAATGTCAAAGGAAATCTCGAAGAACATCAATGTCCCAAGCTATGTTGACGTTATTTCGTCTGATTTTTCATCGACAACGCCAGTTCAGAGGGTTGTTTCCCAAATCACTTTGATGTCCTCTTTGCAAGAGTTCTTTGAATTCAAGTAACTTGTTGTCATTATTTTATACTTGTAGTTATAATACCTCAAAAATGAGGCAAATGATTTCCCAATCTTCTTCATGAATCTCCTCTTCTTGTGAAAGTATTGTTTATTTAAAAAAGTAGTAGAATGCCCCCCCTAGAAAACAACACCTAGTTCTTCTGCTTCTTCAAATGACCATCGACCAGATCCTTACATTCTTATGATGCTAGGATGATGTTGATGTGTGGCATCCCTGGAGTGGAAATGCTTGGTACTGAAGAAGACTGGCAGAAGCTACTATCAAAACTGGATGCTTTAAAGACCCTCTTGGAACCAATCATGAATGATATTGGGCTAAGCATTGAATGGTGGTCTGTTGTCCAAGAGGTGTTTCAAAAGCTTTTAGCAACATTTCAAGGTTCCCCAGACTATGATTGGTGGTCTCGTATTGTCACATATGAAGGCTTTGGTTCTGGACCAAGTGGTTATACTGGATGGATAACAAGATTTATGGAAGGGACAAGTGAACTAAAAGAACTTCATGAATTCACTAGTGGACTTGTCACTGTGCCACTGACCATCGCTTATCCTTCTGGTGTTGAGGATACAGCAGCATTGGTTGCAGGGTGTCTGGGTTTCACCATACATGAAAACAGTGGGAAAAAAGCACCATCAATTCAACCATTTCAGGGTTGGTCACTTTTGCTGCCAAAAAACTCACCATTCCGTGCTGATAGACAGTGAATTGGTAGAATCGCATGTGGAAAAACTGTTGTCATTATCAGATTGATTTGTTTGATCTGAAGTTTGGATACATACATTAAATTGCATTAATTTCATTCATGAAGACTAATTACTTATGCATTAAGAAAATATGGGTTTACATAATGAGGTGGGTATGGGTTAAGTGGTATTTTCTTACATATTATGTTAGGATATATATATGCTAAGTAGATGTGGAAGGTGTGTGGTAGATATGGCTCTGAAGGTTTTCAAGTAAAGTTTATAATGAATACTAAATACTCGGCTATGATTTAAAACAAGAAGAGATTTAAAACATGAATTACTCTTATATTTCTTACATTTAGCAGTATATAGTTAACATGATTAAAAAAATTATCATGCAATCAAACTACATAGCTTTTTAGAACTAGCGTGGGTATCATTTGACATTTAAACATTGAATCAAACAAAAATGCCATAAGCAAATAAAAAGTAGGGTGCAATTTAACAGGTATTCAATCAATTATTGAAACATATCTAATCTAGGCAAACTCTAAATAAACAGTACCTATAGCATGTACCTTGGCACTCCCCACCCAGACTGTTCACAAAAAAAAACATAGCAGGATATATAGGAATTGGCAGGAAGTAAAAGTGAAATCCATTTTTTTCATTTTAATGGAAGCAATTGGCATACAGGTTTAGAGCATATGTTTTCAGCTACATTGGACAATGAACGTTTCAGTTTATGTACCATTTACTGACTTTTTTGACTTTCCCTAATTTTGCTTTTCCAAATGAACAACAAAACCAGGGCATTATTTGTTTTGAGGAGAGTATGGAATGAATGCCTCTATCCAACATTCATTAGTATGGTATAGGTATGTTTCGAGTTTGCATTTACCTCTATACTACATAGTTACATATTGATTATACATTTCTACGGTGAAATATTTTTCAGCAATAATCAGGAAATACATAAGAGAAAACATTGCTAGTGGACAGTTTATATGTGATGGTATAGCGTGGTTGTTACATTCGGCGGTAAGTACCAAGATGACTTCTGCAGTTTGGGCAATGATGGGTCACATCCTTGCAACCATCCATGCAAAATGGGATCAAACAGCAGGGCCAGCAACTGGAAGCAAGTGTAAATAACTCCATTAGTCAAGAATGATTAATACAAGGACAAAAACAATATTTTTTAAGAAGTAAATGAATATCTTACCCAATGAAACAGAGAATAGCAGCCATGAGCCAAGCAAATGAGCCATCTTGATAGATTGTTGATGTAACAATCTGGGCTTGGCAGCGAGGGCAGGTCATGCTAACCGGAATCTCACCAAACGCAACACCAGTCACAACTACAGGACCAGGCTGTGTGATCACTGTAGTTGTGTGATGATGCTGTTGTTGAACTGGCATAGGTTGTGCTGGGTACCCTGGTTGGGCTGGATAACCAGGTTGAGGTGGGGGTCCTCCCTGAGGTGGATAGGCACCTTGGGGTGGGTATCCCTTATTAGGATCACCTAAATATTAGGAAAATATATCAAGACATTATAAAGATCTTATACATATTGCCAAAGTATTTATGCCTTAATTTCTTAATATTGCTCTTTACACAATTTATAGCAATGTCAATATAGTTAGACTGTTACCAAGCAGATGTCAATCAACACATTCATAATTGACAACATTGAACTGTTTTAAATATATTATAACTGAGACTTGGAACACATGCTTGAACTATTAACAGGTATAATGAAACGTTACATGTAAACGTGCGATACATTGTGCAGACTTATACATTTTGGTAAGCTAACTTGGTAACCACACTAGGAATTTGCATGGGGCCAGATATCATTTCAGATATAGACATTACTTGAAACTAGTAGATTATGTAGATAGAATATGTATTCTGGTTGGAAAGCCAGGGGCCGGTTGTATCAAGCCCGTTTAGCTTAAACGGTGGATAAGTCAAAATTAAATAACACTCTTACATTTCTCTTGAATGAGTCAACTTGAATATTATGCACTGAATATGTAGTTTTAAACAGTATCTTTGTATTAAGGTTAAAAACATTTAGTTCCCTTGTTGAATAAAACGTTAGACTTGCTTTCTATTTTGAACTTAACCACCGTTTAAGCTAAACGGGCTTGATACAACCGGCCCCAGATATATAACATTTGTAGATATATAACATTTTCACAATTTTCAGGTTTAATCAGTCCCAAATATATAAACGTTCCCACAATTTATTTTCAATATATTTCGCAGTTACATATGCATTATGAAGAGAGAATAAACATCAATATTATTAAAAAAAATTTTAATGACGACACAAATTTCGCTCGGGAAGCAGCTTGCGAGAGATTTACATTCCTATTTGGCTATTTCACAATGTTCATTATAGAAATACCACAAATAAATTGAGATATTAGAAATTTCCCATTTAATTAATGTGCCGGAAAGTATGTACTTTCTTTAAATCGCAAATTTCACATTAATCATCAACAGGCAACATTCAAGACTGTATTTCATATGGAAACAAAGAGGTCTCGACTCTTGAGTTATTCTAACTAAATAAAAACCGTTTCCTGTTTTCTTGCACCGAATTGTATGATATTTTACAGTGCTTTTAAGTTGCCCTGCCTAAATGCGGAACAAAGAATTGTATACTCGAGGAATTTGGGAGTTTAAAGAGCCATATTCTGTACTAAGAAACACAAGTTTTGGTCTTTACGAAGCTTTCTGTATGAACTAGTCTACGTCAATAAAAGCATTGATCCACTTTGTTTCCTATTTGCTAGAACACTTCATCGCGATTAGGTGGGTTAAAGAACATCTGACAGCCGTAAAAATAGCGATCTTGATGATATTAACGAATACTCGGCATATCATGTGAGCAGCACTGCGATATTTCGCAAAGGAAATCGTTTCAAACAACAAATATAGCCGTCGGAAAAATTACCTGGATAAGCTGGGGGATTCGCTGCTTGTGGAGGATAGCCAGGCTGATTGTAAGGCGGTGGTTGAGCCATAGTTAAGCGAGTTTGAAGATGGACAATGCGAGAAATGTATTTCGAAACTTTTCTGAGGTGTTTCTTCGTCTTCAAAAATAGTCTATGCCGTCAGCATCCCAGCGTTCATAGCGATCTCAACCTTCTTCCCCCCCGGAAGTAGACTGTATTCAAGAACTATTAGCAGAGATTCCAGGGTGGGGCCAGTGAGTGGGCGAGTGCTGCGAATTGCACATCGCCAAGGTTACCTTGATGTGGTTTTGACAAGGCATGAAATTTTTGTTGAAATATGGATTAAAATTTAATAGAAATCGTTTTAAAATTAGGAGTGAAAATTATATCGAAGCCGCAAAATGTATGATTTCCTGTTGTTTTCACATCACATTCGTTCAATCTATAAATCCAACATTATATTCTGCTTTCATGGAAATAGAGAAGTAAAGTCTCGTCGGTGTTTTCGGACTCTCAGAAGTCATCAATGCAGCGTGACCAGACCGGCATGCTATGATGAGGTCTTCTTTATTTTCAATACCTAACCCAATACCCAATAGCCACGTCCTCTCGTCCTCTCAGGGTATTCAAGGTACTTATGAACTAAATGTTCCTGTTGTGTTTAAACCAATACAGACTTTATACAGTCTTTTAGTCAAAAAATGCTTCAGTTCTGTTTAGTTTTTTTTACAATCTGTCTGTCAGCTATTTTGGCTGGCAGTACAAAGTTTATACGAGTTTAGCTTTTTCAGCTGATCGTACAAAATTTCTGAGTTAATTATGCACCATCATATACCGACAATTCCGGCTTTCACTAATTTTGCATTTCCAATATTCCAAGATGGAAGACGTGAAATTCAGAAATTCTCGTTCATAGTCTGTTAAGAAAGAGCAATTAGGCTGATCATACAAAGTTTATCTCTCCCTTTCAAAAGAAAAATCGAAATTGCTTTTCATTTTGTTTTGCAGTTTTGATTTTCCCACAGCTTAAATACACTATTGCTCTCGGCAGTCGGCTCTCCGCCTCGATAAATTTGCGTCATAACTCATAATTATTCACTGGCATTCCGGGGGGTCAGAAAGTAGTTATTATGCTATTATTTGAACTTATCGGATGTCAGTAATTACGTAGGTAGTTTATGTCTTTATGAGAATTGCTGGCATTGTGATTGTTGACCACAATTTCAAGTGAAATATGGCCACTTTACAGGCAGAAACCACGGAAAAAATGCAACCACCATCGTACGAAGCATCCCAGGAACAAGGTTGAATAAAATGTTTTGCGTTTAACGTGTTTAACTTAAATAATGACAATTTAAATAGGCATTAATTGCCCATATGGCTATGAGGACTATGAGCTATACGAATTATAGGTGTATCAGATATTTTCTGCTTCTCGTTCTGCATTTAATTTTTTTTTATTTATACCCGTTGAATTAATTTATCAATCAGTTTTCGTGAAATGTGTAGTGAATACAAGATATAAGGGTCATATGACCTTTATATCCATCAAGCTGACGAATTGAATTACCCATGTGAATTTAAAATTTATTTGTCGTCACGAGATGCGCAGTTGATATGCGCAGCCTGAAAAGTCTGGTCACTCTAGTGTGTGTGTGCATAGATAAATTGTGACAATTTAATTAATCGCAATTAAAGCAAAAAAATTAGCATCAATTTAGACATATTCTTAGACTCACAGACTCAATTTAGCATATTCTTAGACTTAATTGTAAATTATAACAAAATATTGGGGAAAAATAGGAATTGATTTGTCTTGACTTAGGGCATCTTGATTACGAACTACAAAGCGGATTATAATCATTTGGAAAAGTACAGCATGTCCCAAGAAAAAGTCCCCTCTTTTGAAATTGCCTTAATATTATGATAAACCCAATTGAAAGCAAAATGCTTTATTTGAATGCATCAACCTAATAACTATGCTGTTTACACACTATTGCATTAATCATGCATTCAAATTCCAACAAAAGCTTCATTTCAATAGGGGGGGACTTTTTTTGGACACCCTGTATTTCGTTGAAAAAAAATATCGAAAGTAATAGGAAAATAATAAAAGTGACAAGATTACATTATTTTTCAGTTGCTTCGGGACAGAATGTTGTTAGTACCACAGTTGTTACTCAACCGCCTGTGATGGTACAAACAGTCATGACACCCCTCATGTTTGGACCAACGCCTATAAATATGGTCTGTTCGCATTGTGGGGCACAGATAGTGACTGCAACAAGCTACGAGCCTGGAATTTTGACCTGGCTGTTTTGCGGAGGAATTGCAGTTGTTGGGTATGTGTAGATAGACTAAGAGCCAGATATTGTTTGGCACATTATGTAATGCGCCAAATATACGCGGTCTTTATCCAAGGCAAGAATATTTAACTATTGAAAATTGGAATCAATCGATTTGATATCTCATCATTCTCATGAACATAATTTTTAGATGCTGGCTTGGTTGTTGCCTCATACCATTCTGCATCGATGATATCAAAGATTGCCGTCACACTTGTCCAAACTGCCAAAATTTCCTTGGAGTTTACCGTCGCATATGAAAATAACAAGTCTTGATAATATTACGAACATGTCATTGGTATCAGATAGCAAGCGAAAACGACCAGTCAACGTAGCATCACTAGCATATAGTACATAGGAGACTAAAATGTTTGGTGTGGGTATATTTATCAGGTAGAAATCGAACTTGTTGAATATCTAATTGACAAGTTGAAAAGCAACTTTGTTAATTGCCACCTTCACGAGTTCAATGACTTTGAATGAAGGATTAGAAATCTTTGTATAGATTTTGTGTACTTCTGTTGTGTATGAAGTTGAGGCTCTTTTATTTGGGCCAATTTTGTTTGGTCATAATCTCACTCAAATCTTGGATAACTTAAAAGTTGAACTGAAGAATGACATTTTGATGTAATTCAAGAATACCCTCATTTCCTATATAGCACTGGGTTTTTAATGCAGTACATTCATATATAACACCTCAGTCACCATAAAGACCAGACATATTTTGCATTATTTTTATTCTTGTGCCATCATCACATGAAAACATTACACAGATGAAGTTTTGATTAGGATCCACGTTTTGACTTAAAGTATTCCATCAGCACGTCATGAGCATGGGTTTCTTTCCCATAATCCTAAAATGAAACATAGTTCAGCATCCTATAATATACTTCAACCATAATTAAACTCACACAATTAACCTCTTGCCCCCCTATGTTTTAGATTACTTGCAAACTTTACCTTGACAACAACACAACTACAGCCAACTACTTTTCTCGCCTTCCCTTCTTTGTCAATTTTGCATAAACCTGCCCATTCACCAAGCTTTTTGCTATCGTCAACTTTGATCAAGTTGATTTGATGTTCAGCACACAAAGCTTCCACAAGCTTCACATATGTTCCCTCATCACAATTCTGAGCCAAAACACAGAGATGAGCTTGTCGCCTACAAGTTAACACATGAACAGTTTTAGATTAAAACAACATCTGTTAAGGTTTACAGAATACAAAATTTATTAAGTTTTCTTCTTCCTCAGAGATAAAATTCGATTCCGGTTACGCTTTTGTCTTCACTCTCATCTCAGAAGAGGGAGCGGATTTATCGTCATAGGAAGTGACCAAATTAAAATCATATGCTATATGAACATGCTAGTTCTCTATAGAAGAGCAGTATGTACAAAGGAAAGAAGGTGTGTGGCTTTTTCATCCCACTAAAAGTCTTTTGTGATAATAACAAAGAATTACTTTTATGTGTGATCGAAAGCAGCAAAAATTCCACTTTTGGACTCATTTGTTTAAAACCAACTTGGGGAGGTCTGGCAATGGACCCTCCAAAAGTAACCCCCTAGCAAGTGCACTGGCATGAAATTTTAGCCAACCTAGTTATAAATTATCTTCCTATAGAACTGGTTTTATCCTTTTATTATCTGTCAGTTCACTTACTTGTCAAGAGCTTTACAGGCTTCATGAAGGCCACGTGCCAATCCATCATGGCACAAAGCTGTTTTCAACACTTCTTGCAATGCATCATTTACTGACATGGAGGCACCAGCTGGGGCGACATCATCTCTAATGTTTGATGAATGCATTTATATAAATACACAGCCATTAGGGAGAAAAAGTACAAAAACTGTATGCCTGGGCCACCAGGCGAACTTCCTCAGGCAAAAATTCGATTCCGGTTACGCTTTTGTCCTCACGAGAACTCAGAAGAGGGAGCGGATTTATCATCATTGGAAGTTGCCAACATCAGGTATATACTTTAGTTTTTACAAAATATTGCAAAATGTGCACGTTTGCTTAATATTAAAACTGATGTAATGGCTCAATTCTTTGAAAAATATGTTTCTTAAAGGTTTCAAATAACTATTTGCCAAGTTTAAGTTTACGTCCAAGAGTGAAACTTATGATAAAAATATTTTTGAGAGAAACAAAAGCTAGACTCGTGTGCAGTGTGCTTTACAGGACAACCCGATTACACTTACCCTTCCGCGTCCGACATCTCTTGCGGAACTCCTTACTATTTGAAAATAAAACCGTAAAACACATCTTTAAATGATGTTTTTTCATTTCAGATATAGAAAAGCGTCGGATGGACAGTTAAAAGAACGAATTTTTTAGAGATTGCAAACTTACATGATATCAATCGTAAACTTGTAAATTTCGAAAAGGAAAAGAACAAAACCGTAAAGAGCGAAGTGCCTGGAGACTAAGAAGCGAGCCGTCAGTTTTCGATAAACAGCGTTGCGACAAGAGGAACGTCATGTTACATATTAGCATAAAATTTCCAAAATTTATTTATAGCGATGGCGGATTCACGTTTTACCAGAGTCGGGAAAGTCGGTTTTGACATTTTAAAAGGGCGGGAAAGGTAAGAGAACATTTACATTTTCTTCACTGTGTCATTGGAATTTTGTGAAATAAGTATGCAAAAATATGCGAAAGTTTGCCCGTTTCCGCGCAATGCGATGTGTGTTAATAAACTACCAAATTAATGCTTCATTTTTGAATAGCGTCCCAAAATAGTAAATCAGTTTTGGAAATAAAAATAATATACATTACATCCTAGTATTGTCACTACGTCGCGGAGGTAAGTGTTTCCATAGGAAGACTAGGAAGTTCAACATTTTCATTACAACAACATGGTAGCGACGCAATTTCCTTACTGCCATTCAGGCTAGGACCTCTTGGTTCCGTCTCTTGAACTTTCAAGCCAATGGAAAATGTTTTGCACGAACACGAAGGCGGACAATGACACCCCATGTTTATAATTTCTTCATCCACAGAGCTTTCAAGACTTGTTGTACTTTCAAACATTTCCTTATCTCGAATGACGTGATCTTCCAATGCCGTTTTCGATGCAACTTTCTTCACCTGGCTTCGTCCTTTACCCTTTCGACATGGTAGATGTTTTGTGTAACATATTTTTTGGTTGAATTGTTTTCCACATTTTTCACAGTGAAATGGTTTATTATCTGAATGGGATATCATGTGAATCTTCAAAGCATCCGGCCGTTTGAAGGTCTTTGAGCAAATCTAGAAAAGATATAATTTAAACTGAAAATGTTTCTTTCGAAAGCTACACATTGGCAGTACTGCTGTTCCAATGAAACGTACAGAATGCCAGGGTTAAATGACAATGGTCGAAAATATCATTTTGTAGGGGTCTACCTCACACTGAAAATTTCTCTGTTCACTATGCGTATAGGTAGCGTGTCTGTTTAAAATAGCCATTCTCGTGAAACTTTTCCCACACTCGGGACAACAAAACTTCCGCTTTTGGTGTTTGGTCAGCGCATGCGTCTTACATGCAGAATGCGTTGGGAATTCCTGGCCACACTGGAGGCAAGTGTAAGGTGGATTATGGTGACGCTTATTGTGCAAACGCAATTTTTCTGAAAGAAGAAAACAAGGCTTTGTTTGTTAGTAAAACCACATAGGAACATTCAAAACAACACAAAAATAAATGCTCTCATCTTCAAACTCATTTTTAACCACTCTGAACTTTCCTCACCTGCGCTGTTATAAAGCTTATTGCATTGAAGACATTTATGATGAATTATTGCTTTGTGGTTTTCTAACTCATCACGGGTGACAAATTTTTGTCCACAAAAAGTACAAACAACGTTCTTGCATAGTTTCTTATCTTGATGTTCTCTAAATGTTGCATCTTCCTGAAAAGCCTCACCACATTCCTTGCACAGGAAATGACCATTCTCTTTACAATGTTTTTCCAAACTCAGGACCGTGGGAAACTCTTTAAGACAGATCCCACAGGTGGACAAGACCGACGAATGTCTTGCTATCGCTTTTGGTTCTTGAATTTCTGTCGGTTTTACTTGTTCTTCAACATTTGCAACTGTCTTCAACTTTATTTGAATTTTTTTAATACTTTTTTGCCTGTTAACGTTTTGTTGTCTTGGAGCACTATGGTGGCGCCTATTGTGCAACATCAATTTTTCTAGACGAAAATACGTAAGGTTGTAAATAAAATACCCAACAACAAAGATGCGAATTTTCTCACTTACAGACTCATTTTAACAGAACTTTGCTCACCTGCACTGTTATAAAGCTTATTGCATTCAAGACATTTATGATGAATTACTGCTTTGTGCTTTTCCAAATCATCACGGGTGACAAATTTTTGTCCACAAAAAGTACAAACAACTTTCTTGCACAGTTTCTTATCTTGATGTTCTCTAAATGTTGCATCTTGTTGAAAAGCCTCACCACAATCCTTGCACAGAAAAAGATCATTCTCTTCACTTTGCTGTTTCAAGCTTACAATTAAGGGAAACTCTTCTTCTTCTTCAAGAATTTCTGTTGTTAGCACTTGCCCTTTGACATTTTCATTTGTCTGTTGGTCTATTTGTTTCAGTTTGACACTTTTATTTGAATCGATTTGTTTATTAAAATTTTGTCCATTGATCACCTCTTTGTGATTTATCTGTCTATCATTCTGCATAATATCGTCATCATCATCATCGGATATTTCTATATAATCTTTTTTATCATTACTTTGTCTGTTATCAATTTGGTCATGATATTTTGACTCATAATCTGGTAAGCATTGGGCGCATTCAATCTGAGATGAACGAGAGCTTTCTTTTGCTAGAATTTCGAAATAGAATTCAAAATATTTCTGGTGATCAATAGCACCATTCTTACTTTCTTTCCCTTCATTATATGAATCTTTTTTCGATTGAATCCCTGAATTAATTGTTGCCAATTTTCTTTGATTTACATTAGCATCTTCCAAAGTCTGTTGACATAAACAAAGTGAAGGTTTCTGTCCATTCTGGATGCCGGTTCTTACTGTTAATTGGACATTTGGTGGCATGGACAAGCCACCATTGTTTTGCCCATGGGAACTTTTATTTGAACCCACAACTTTAGAGAATTCAATTAGGCTATCATGTGCTGCCAACTTGGAGAATGAACTTTGAGTAGGTTTGAGTTTGGAATCCATGGATTCCAAAATTATGGATCTTGTGGATCTGTCTTATTCTAAAAATCATGAAAGATCAATGAATGTTTGTGTACACTGTATATTGCACAAAGATTAATATTACGATGAAAAATATCTTGATGCATAATGGAAACTGGCAACAGTGTAACATGAGGCATAATGTGGCACATGAATAACTTTTCATGTAATCAGTTAACCGTAGTCAACCAACTGGGTGTTTTGCTGTGATGCATGAAAGCCCTTATATACTGTTTTCATTGTTTTCTTTATTGTTTGTGTCAGAGATGTTTCTCTATACTTTGAACAGACGAGTATCTCAGATAGACATGAAAAGAAACAGCAAAAATTGTTTCTGATTGTGTACATCACACATATGTTGAAACTCACAAAAAACAAGCACATTTTTTATGATGTATATACCTGATGAGGCTGGCTCTTTGACATGGGAAGAGTTAGCCTTACACATACAGATTAAGAACCAGTTTGAAGCATTGGCCTTAAATTGGAAAAGCAAGTAAGTTATTTCCTACCTCAAGTTTAGAGAGCCACCATCTTCACTCTGGTTTCTAATTTCAAGCTACAAAATACAGATCACATTTAATATGAACAACAGTTGATGAACTGTTGATGCAGAACTAGTTTTGAGTGGTACTTAAAATTTTGTGATCTAGTGCATACGTAAGGTCTGGGGAAAAAATTGTTAATCTTATTAATCTTTGATTAAAATAACGTACATTGTGGAGAATTCAGCTATTAGAGGCACCCACTAAATATTGTTGTTCTTCAGGAATTATATTTGTATATAAACAGAACGTCTATAGATATATATTATATACACAATCCCTGTGGAGTGTGATCCTTGGCTGCATATTCTTAATTGTTTTCACATTTTTTACTTCATTTACAGGTATTTTTTGTCTTCATGTTGGCCAGACAGTTTATGGACAACAGATAACAATTTACTGCTAAAAAAAGCACACGAACGTGACCGATTCATTTTCAAGGTGAAGGTCAAACCGACACTCTAATTCACAATTAACATTAAAATTGAAATAATTGAATAAATGAACGTTCAAATAATTATATGGTGAACGTTTCATACGAGAAAATTTGTATTAAATGATGCTTTCTCTATATCATAAGTCAATTGGTGTTTAACTTGCTCTTTAGGAAATTTGTTAAATAAGAGGATATTCAATATTGAAGTATGTAATACCTGTCCTGATGTTGATTATTCGCCTCCATTTTGTTTTTCAAATTTCGAATAATTTTTTAATATTGGTTTTTGTATTTCAGCCGCATTTGAATATATTGTTAATTTTCCCATATCCGTTCACCGAAGCCGTGATCGTATAGTGGTTAGTACATTGCGTTGTGGCCGCAATAACCCAGGTTCGAATCCTGGTCACGGCACCATCCTTTTTTCGCCTACTTACTGATATTATCTTTTGTTTATTCTTTTAGGCTTTAATATATATGTTCGCTTTAATTCCTAAAAGAAATAAACCTTGAGAAATCATCTAAAAACATTCCCAACTTCAAAATAATTCAACTTCCTTCAAACTGCCTCATACTCGACCCAGACTACAAAGTCGCGCGCGAGATACCCCTATGCCTGAAGAAATAAGGGCTGCATGTACAAAAAAATAAAATTGCGGTCCAATGAATGTATAATAGATCAGTGTTTGGGGACTTATAAGTGGACTTATGAAAAGGGAATTTATTACTTGTTTGCGCTGGGGAACTGATTAAACGCGTCTAATTTAGTGAACTCATTGAAGTTGACAGGTATTGTTTGCAAGGCGAAAAATTGAAATTAAAAGAAGGCTAATTACCAAACAGGTATATTTTTTGGTCACAAAAGCAGGCAGCCAACCGGAATGAATCTGATTTACTTTAGAGTTACGAATGTTTAAACGTACGCACGCGTGTATTCTATTCACGTATCGGTAAACTGAGCAAGTCTCATCATTATCAAGGATCACTTGATTTCCGTAAAAAAGAACGAAATCTAGTCGGTCCTAAATTGACGCCGGCTAACACCCCCGAGTCGGGTACTATGCAAAGGTAATTGTTGTCCCCTCGCTATATGACAAACACGTCATGCACGTCTTCCCATTTCAGTAAGAATTATCCGTATGAAAAAATTTTGCAAATAAAATTGTTATATTCACTTGCCGTCACGAAAAGTTCGAAAACTCATCACATCGTTCCACGTCATTTGAGTATCTTATTAAACCAGAACAAAGGCAGCCACGCGACACGGAAAGTTTGCCGGCCTTAAAACTTGTTCAAAAAAGCTGTTAAACAAAAATACTGTCGGGCGACAAAGCGTCTGTGAAGATAGTGACAACAAGTGTACAGCGTGGCCAAATATCAATGAATAAAGCAATGAAATAATTAGAAAACAAACACTAAAGTCGTATGAGAAAACAAGCTGGAACCTTATTACGAGTCAAGGCAAATTACATAGCCCGAAGACAAAGTGAAAAGGCGCGCATCGTGAAATCGTTTAACATTAGCTGGCCGACTAGGATAAACGGCCCCATGGCCATGATGATGAAATAGGCCTTCTAAGCGTCGAAGTCCCATGCTGATAATTGGCTAGGAATAACATCAATTTAACATGAGCTAGTACAGCTTTATTTCGCGATATACATCTTTGGCTTCGGAGTTCAGTTATCACATTCTCACCGTTAAAAGCTTTCTCATGATATGAGCCAAGATCAGGTACGTAAGTATAAGTGTTGTAAATAAGTAAAAAATATTCAGTGAGTTCTGTGTATGTTATGCTTCATCGTAGCTATGTCGGTGCCGTGCATGGCGTCATCCGTTAGATGAATAATTCCTACAAAGTTAAATATCTGCTAAGATATTTTTCACGTATTTGGACAGAAGTTAAAATCTGTTTTGTCCTGCCCGGCAATGCTAAAAAGGGTAAAATTAATTGCTGTTTACTGTCCACATATAGGCTGAAGACAATGAATGTATATGTATATAATATATAATGTCGTTGAAAGAAAAGAGCATTTATATCCGTATGAAACATATAATTAATTTCTCTAACTGAACAACATCCATATCTTCTAATATATATCGCGGCTATTTATCTTTGTGGGCGAGTGATTACTAAATTTCCATGCAACCTTGACCACAATTCCGATCACTCAGCAGGCACACTACACAAGTAGTAATGGCACCCCACAAGTTTTATTATTGTAAATTAATTTACAATGATATTGCATGAAAATATACGAGTTATGCATTGGCGCTAAGCTATTCCGTTACCTTAGAATTAGCTAGGAGATATGAATGTTTACCTTATAAATCGTCGCAGGGGCTGTATATACTTAACTTACTATGGCCGACTATAATAAGACTATTGTTTTTCCCTATATATTTCATAATAGCTTGATTGTATATTGAAATATAAATAAGAAATAAGGAATAACTTCTTTGTTGAACATGCAGGCTGTATATATCACTTCTGTTTTGAAGTGCCGGCTGACGTGCTTATATAAGCCTTCGTATATATCAGGGGCCGGTTTTTCGAAACGGGCGTTTTGTTTAAACGGTGGATAAGTTCAAAATGAAAACAAAACTATATATTTATTGAACAACTCGGCTGAAATATTTCGATGTAAATAGCTTAATTGCATGTCAATGGGAGTGCATATTTAATGCATAAGATGGCAAGATGCAGATTTAGTCATTCACAAGATGTACGAGAGTAATTTTAAACTTTGGCTTATCCACCGTTTAAGCTGAACGCCTTTCGAACAACCTGCCCCAGGGCTATAAAGAGTAAAGTTTGAGGTCTGATGATTTTAAAAAGTTTCAGCATGAACCAGACTGATATCAATACAACATCAACTGTATAATAATGACAGTTATAATTTCTGTCCTTTCAGGTAGTGGTCAATTCTTTTAAAGGTTCAATAAAAATGTCAAGAATAATTCTATCACATTTCGTAGCATAATGGCTCAAAATTTCTAGAACGATGAAAGAATTAAACTGCAGCCAAACAAAGTTTGAAAATTCGGCCTTAACGCCGGATAGGTATTGCATTATTCATGAAAACATCTGAGACTGAGTTTACTGATTTTTAGAGAGTAGTCGAGTTTTACAAAAATAGGCGAGGTTTTTGAAAATCAAGTATAAGTTTATCCAATTATATCTTCAGCAGGATCAGCGAAAAATTTTAATGGTAAATTGCATTAAATATTAACTGACTAAATCTGTGTAAGAAATTATCAGTAATTTCGTTATCGCTATATAGAGCTGTATAGCATCGCTATCATAATAGCACCGGATCAATACATAAATTTTGAATTCGATTTGATTGTCGTTCTCAACTGCATGTTCATAACATTTCGTTCGGAAGCGAACGGCGACCGCGATCGTATTTTTTTCGGTCGTCTGCGGTTTCTATCGATCGACCGGGACCGAACCGCGACCGAACCGCGACCGAACCGCAAGCTAACCGCAGCCGAATCACAACCGCAGTGTTAGGTTATTTCTGGACAGAACTGTATTTTTCATCTCAAAAGTTCACCAAAATCATATGTAAATGACATATTATATTCGAAACAAATACGAATGCTTATTAATTAAACTGATTTCAATGGGAAACAGAAAAAATTTTATAAACAAACCGAACGATAAAACTGAAAGGTTATCAGATATATGTCCGTTCAATTGTTGTTTAACTATGATTGCAACTATTTTTCATTAGAATTTACGGCTGTTACGCGGCTATTTATATTCGAAAATATGTGTTTAGATTGCAATTATTGAATACAAAAACCATTTGAGGTCCAGTCATCACTTCAAACTGAGATGGATCCACAGCAAAACAAGATGGGATTAATCTGGAATCAGGAAGAAGGGATTAGGATTGTTTGAAATCTTTTCAAATCCCAACGGTCGCAATTTTGTCTGGCGTTAATAATGCAAATTTAAATACGCCTGGACCTGAGTGGATCATTTCACCCATAGCTTAAAATTTGATTGAGCTTTGTACCGATATACATGCGCTGAAAAACACTACAAATGCATGTGTTATTCTTACTACCCTTACATAAACACGAGTTTGCGAGCTTTACAGGGCTTTATTTGTACATTTTCCAACCAAATGCTGAGAATGATCGGTATTCTTAAACCTTTTCCTCCTAGTTCGGCTTTTGGATTCATTCCTTTAATCTCATTGCCCGAAATAAAACTTTAGTCCATGCATGGTTTGAGGCATCAATTCCTGTAAACTGAAAAAAAGCGGATTCCGCACTTTATGTGGCCGTGAACCTAATGATGAAATTATTAACCATACGTTTCTGGGAGATAACAGATGTTTGTCGTAGATAAACTGAGACGACTTAGCTATTAATATGTTAATCGGCACGGCGAACGCAAACCTCTCTTTTGTCCATTACAACCACAAAATGCCGTCAGAAAAGATGAATGATAGGAAATGACTTTGCGGGTAGTTCTCTGAATATTTCGTTTTATGGAAGATATATGAACGCTTTCCCCTTTTATAGACGCACGCAACTGTTTCCCAAGCCGTTATTCCACTTGGAAGGGAAGCTGCAGCCACCCACCAGAAACGCCTCTACCAAGGTCATTACAGGTAAGTGTAATGTGCCCATTAGAGTCGTGGGAGATATGTTTAAAAAAGGTTTTTAAGAGCTTCCATTTCTGACAGATGTATATCCGTGGGATTTGTCGGTTTTGCCGGCTAAAATAGAAACAACGCGGATAGTGTTTGCGCGGTCATTATAGGGTCTTGCGATCTTGCGATCAAGCGCATTTCTGTACCATGAGTTAAAAACATTCATGCAAGCAGATATAGTGCGATGAAGTCGAAGCGTGTGGAATGATTGTTAGTGGTAGGATTGGTAGGATTGTAAGAATGTTATGGGATAGAAATATTACCAGTGGATTTGGTTAATCTCTGCATAGCATCAACATTGGGAAATGTTCAAATCGCGGTGCATGAACATTTAAATAAACTGTTTCTTTATATCAATTACTGTTTTGTGGACCGAAAAGGTCTTGTTCTAAAATATATGGTTCGGTTCATGCACTAATTGGATTACATACCCGCATCAAAACAATAGATCAATTGATTGCTCTAAACCTTGCACTCAATGGTACTTGAAATATCACAATTGAATGTGATTAGAGCGAACACCGACGTTCAGTGCATGGAGAAATTATTTGATTGAAATCTATCATTGAAATCAAATAATTCCCCGCAACTTTGTCAACAAAGAAATATTTTCATGAATTCTTGTTCAATAATTTAGACCAATATTCATGGAAAAAATGTACGCCATTTCCAACTTTTCAGTAGTGATCACATCTGATGCAAGAGCCTTGTGTATTTCGGATTAAAAGGTCAACGATGAATCTCTGCGATGCGTTCCCTTGTGTTTTTCTTCTAGAGACAATCGCTTGCCGTCGCAAAACGTGAGATTTTATATTATTATAGAATTTGGTTGTTAATATTGATATACACATCTGTATTTTTGATCCTACAGCCGTATTTCTGCGCATACAAGCTCGTTATGCATATCTCCAATGACGCTTAATCAAACGTGTTAATTATTGTGATAAATTGTTCCAGAGGTGTAAATTTTGTCTTTCATATATCATGTACACGTTCGCACAGGATTTGCACACGCGATATATTCTCTCTGTACGTACTTTTATTTTGCAAATGCCTGACGAATCGTATTAATCAGTCTATAAGACAAGACGGATGAAATTAATTGATGACAAAGACCTCAATAATAAGTGTAATAAAGTTGAAATCGATCCTCGCGGCCGGCACAGAATGTGCGCACATTTCATTCGTGTTTTTATGGTTTATGTTTTGTAACAATTGGCAACTCGCGACGTTTGTGAAAAAGGTTGGTCATGGTACGACTTGTTGACGAAAACCTAGTCGTCCGTAAATGCACGCATGTCTGGAAAAGTGATTTCAACCGGGGTTTAGCTAGACAGTGGATTGAGTGGAGCTTGCCACAGCGACTTCAAAAGGTGAATTATTGAGCTATATTTCAATACCACATGTGTACTTGTGTGTTGTAAATAATGCATCATAACTCATCTTTTCTAAGAAAAATTTGCACGAACTTCGAATTGTCGTTTCAGTGGCTTTGAAAAGCTTCTACTCTATGACTATGGACGTTTTTTCAGAAAACAGTATAACATGCGTGCCCTGGTGTTTTTATATACAGCAGTTTAATTTCCGATTTAAACGATTTCAAATCAAAAGTATTTTATCCATCAGGCGGTCGTTTGAACTCATATATAGACTCGTCGAATGGCCAATTTTTTTTTTAAATCATTGACTTTCTTTAATTGCTGCAATTTCTGAGGTTGTCAAATTACCCTGTAGCGCAAATCTAAATAGTCTACACTTATAGATAACATCATGATGCAGCATTCGCCTATAATTAGTTTCCTTAACGTCTGTCTTGTATTTTAATGTAGAAACCTATGTGTATGACATGTATTTATTATAATATTCCTGCACGGTGTGTGTACAGCTATTTCAAACGCTGAAAGCCCCAAAAATATGATTTTACAAACGTTTGGGGTATGCATGGTTTCCGACTTAGAAGTCTACTAGTTTGGTCAGTTGAGCCATCTGCAAAAATATACAATTATAGATTGCATAGAAAGATGTATTATGAATGAAAAACCAAACATAAATATTTATCTGGCCGGTTTTGAAAGATTTTTTCAGTCTTTTTTAAAGTGTAAATAATTGCGGCCTAGATAATAAACAATGATAGCAGTAGCTTTAAAATTAAGTTGACTAATGTAAAGGGATAAAAAGAACCCGTTATAGCTGGCTGAAAAGCAAAACTCGAGACAGACCGACGCCGCCGCACAATCATAAACGATGTGTTTTAGAGTGGCTTGAAGTACATTTGGTTTAGCTAGAACAAAAATTGCGTTTAATCAACCCTGAAGTTAAACTAGATGCGTAGCATATGGTGCTAAATAAACAAGCTTTGCAATTCATTTAATCGCAAATTTTGCTCTGATGGGTTGGTGGTGAAAAAGAAGACTTGTCACCAAGGATTAGCGCAGCATCACCTACCTGAGGCAAGCATTGTTTTATGTTTTTTGAAGTTAGCACGCAGATTTATTAAGTCATCAAATACACCTGATGTCGCATAGATTAGAAAGATGGATTAAAGTTTGTTCCGCGATCAAATACCTTTAATACCATTGGGCCGGGGTGCAAAGGAAAGGTCATCGGGTATACGCCTATATTTATATATAATCCAACCGCAGTCAAATATTTCTACTTGAGATTTCTAGTTGCATGTAAACAGAGTAATTTGAGATATACAGATGGGTGGAATATGTGTGTAGATAAGGTACCCTTTCCTAAACACCTCTAAAATCTTTTGGCACACTTTCGTTGTAGCGCAGAGCTTTCGAAAGGCTTTGCCTTTACAGACATGCATAGCCACAGGTGAAAATCTCAGGTGGATACATGCACTCGGTGCGATGTGGCTTGGCGTTAGAGCTGGGGATGTATTCTCGTATGGGTGGGGGGAGCCGGGGGATGGGAGTGAATCACGAAGTGTCAGCATGGTTGGCCTTCGGAAGAAACCTTCTCAAAAGTTATCTTCGCAAACGGCCTGAGGTCTTATTTCAAAAACTTTAAGTAAGCTAATGGTTGTATATAGATGCATGGATGAATATATCTCAGTCATTTCATTTGAGATATATCTATATGTATAAGTTTTGAAAAAAGGCACAATACATAATCTGTAATTTGTGACCATGCAGGTTTTCCTTATCCAAAGCGTTTTAAGTAAATGAATAGATTTGCATGCAAGTAGAACCGGGACATAAAAAGCTCTCTGTATAATTTGTGATTGTTAAATGAACTAGCCGGTCATTTGGCTGCGTGGATAAATTGTATTGTATGTTTGTAAAATAAGGTTTTTCCGACATAATAGCTGTTAATAATCGCATCATATTCATGTTTCAAAAGAAAGCCTTTGTAGCCTGCATTTTCTGACTTGCTGTGTGTGTTGATTCAAAACATTTTTGTGGGCTTTTCTCACTGCCGTGTCATGTATTCAAAAAGGTTCAATAAGAATCCGAATCGAAGGTATTCTTCATTCATGTTCGGTAGCACACAGAGGATAACCTAATTACAGTATTACAGACAAACTGAAAATTTGAAATCAGGTACTTGAAATGCAAGCATAATAAGGCGAGACGATTTAAGGAGTTTGTTTTGAGTTAAATGTTGAAACAAGCGTTGTATCGAGGAACGGAGGTCCTATCTTTTGACACGCCAAAATTTTGTCAATATATTGAGGCACAGCAGTGGGTGAGTGTGCTTTAAAAGATATAAATGTATTAGAATTGTCTTACTCTCAGCATGAATGGGTGGATTTGTCTAGGTATATACTGTTAATGATAATAAACTGACTGGTAAGCACTGTTTGCTTAGTGTATTAGCTTTTGATATCTCAAAAACATCAGTTTAAAATCTACGGCATTATAATGACTTGAGTCAGTGTTATATAGAACTTAGAAGAAGCCTATATATAGTACGGTTCAACCAACAAGCACGGATATACTTCTAGAAAGTACGTATAAAATGCGGATTTTGTTCTGCTAAATGTTTCCAACGAAGTAGAGAAACCGCAGTCATACTGTTTGTCAGTAAATGATGTTAATTGTACTAGCTATGTATGGTGTTATAGGCATGTCAGCAGAAATCTGCTCATTTCGGTACAGGTAAAGGATGCTGTGGTTGGTAAAGCCCTAAGTAAAACATTCCGGATACAACTACACGAAATAACTTTATCATTTTCTATATTTTATCTTTTTGGGCTTTCATTTAGATCTCATTTCGGTCTTTTGGAGAATCATAGAAACGCAGAATAGATGTGTTTATGTATTTGTGTGTGCAAAACATGTCAATTTTTTAGTAACGTTGCCAGGCTGCGGATAGGTAAAAAAAATACTCAAGTTCATGCAAGAAGAATTTAATATTTGCAAGGCAAACACAGAAGTGTCCTCTCCCGAAAGCGGTGCTTAATTGCTCTGTGTATTCAATGTGGGCGTCCTAATTAATCATAAACATACATGTATTAGTGTTCATATATAAAAGTACCAAAGTTCAAGTTTGGAATTGATGATGTAGCCGTCTGTGGCTGGTAGATGAATACTCATTAATTTCATTTTATTCAGTTTGCTTCACTGAAAAGTGAACTGCCTTCGAGGCGGCCTGCCCGCATGCAGGTGAAGGCCTTTATAATTGCTTGTGAACTCAGATTTGGAGAATTGACGGTCACAAGATTGAAGAAAGGTTTAAGCTATATACCTGTTCGTTCACTGTTTATGATATAAGTCAGTGTTCCACCATCAAATACTCTCGATTCAATTGTCGATTCTTGAAACGATCATTAGAATCAAAATTAAAATTTAACGTTCTCAACATTGAATAAAGCTCTTTGTTGTTCTCCCCCCCTCTTATATTTTGGGACCCGTTGCAATCCCCCCCCCCCACCACAGCCATACATATATAAATATCTAATTTTCGTTTATATATTCAAAAAATACCGCCGAACATAAAAATAGGATATGTAATTTGGCAAAGCTCGTTGCATAATTAATGCATTTAATGCGCGTATTGTATAGCAAAGTGATTTTGTGTGTCGTGTTCAATGCGAATGTGACAATCAAATATAGGTGAACTTCCAGAACCGACACCTTGCATTGAAGAACAGTTAAAATATTGCTAAATATTAATTGGATAATAGCTCGAGATCTATATTGTGTAGGCAATGCAACAATTAAGATACTGTAAGTGATCCTTTCGCAGCTGCATGGCAATTTGGATGTTCATGGCAAGCTAATTATAGAAACGATTCTTGAACTTCACAAGCGTCCGTATCTAAATTTTCCGATCTGAAAACCGGATCGGCAATGTTTCAACTCCTCGCAGCATGCTGAACTAAGGTTTGTTTATGTTTATATACTCAGTTCTGATTAACAGCTATTGATTGTTTATATATAGGAATAATTTTTCTTCATAAGTTTCAAGTTGACAATATCTTTCAAATGGGGAAAGTTTGTTATGGCAACGACTATACGGTTTAGGCGACGCATATTTGTGATTGTAAATTAAATTAACGTACAAAAAGCGATGAAGCTTGCTTTTCAAATATATACCTTAATGCGATCCCAGGCCAAAAAATGATGCATGCTTCTTTCATACAAACGAGTTTACTCAAATGAAAACATTTAAACTTGGAGATTTAAAACTGTTACACGTTATATTTAATTAATGTTACAATTTTCGCACGACCCTGTCAAACGTACGTACATTCATATTTACATGTTTTGCATGACTGTTTGCGTTTTGTTATTATATATAATACTAATTTTTATTTCGACCTAATTTTTTTACGGAAGCATCAGCTGATGTGTATCTTGGTATGTACGTCCTCATATTTTTACGGTAATATATCATCTTGAAACAACGAGGTATTAGGAACCGCTATGGGACATCAATATCTGGTTCCCATAGCATGGAATGTGAAAATGTCGGTTGAGAACTCAGCACAACGATAAATATTTTCGCAGTCTCTTTTTGAAGAATAATACTACAGCGTACAGGAATGCGGCTCAAAAATATATATAGGACAGTCTAATTTAAGCTCCTTCAAGTAGACGGCTTCATGTACGAAGATATTCGCTGTCTGAACTTGAAATACCTAAGGAAGTGCCGACAATATATGCGGTTTCATCCAGTTTCGTCTATAGAGAAATCCTTGTTTGCATGGACTAAAAAACCCTCAGGAGCTCAGTCATATTTATCAAGTATATACGTTATTCCATCTTCTAAACACAAGAGACCAACAGTTTCCATGAAATAAAGGTATTCTGATAAATATTATACGCTGGAAACTAATTAACATTTTCTTCTTTGAATATCTCTTTGAATTTAGAATTGAAGAAATTCCTCCAAATGAAGTGCAGTTGGAAGCGTCTCAAAGATCTTCGTTAAACTTGTTTCGACTAAAACTCCGTTGAAGAACAAATCAAAGCACCAAACATCTGAAAATAGGGAAAAACATTCAAAGAAATCCTTAGTGCGGTGAAGAGCATCAGTGAAAAATGGATCTTGTGAATATCTTCGTTCTTGCAGTTGGCTTAGTCTCTGTGGTAACGAACGGTGTCCTGTTGTTCATTTTGATACGAGACCCATTAAAATGCTTCAAAAGCTCAACAACATATTTCATAATAAGTTTGTCTGTTTCCGATCTGTTAACAGGCATGAACGCTTGTTTCATGGGACTTGACAAGGTTCTCTCGTTAAGTCCAGATCATCACAGATACTTGCTATCCCTTTTCTGGATCACAGTTCAAGTGTCGTTCCTGACGTTGCTGGCGATGTCCTTGGAACGTTTTCTGATCGTCAAGTATCCAATCTATTGTCGTGTTTGGATTACGAAAAAGCGTGTCTCGTTCGCAGTTGCGTGTATTTGGTCGGTCTCGGCAACGGTCGGAGGCCTGGTACTGCTACCCCCTCCTCATTTAGACTACGTACAGTTCTCGATATTTTGTGAGTTTTTCCTGTCAGTGTTCGTGATCACAGGATTATACACTTTCATTTTGTTCGAGATTCAGAGTTCAAAAGAGAAAGTGAAGGGGACAGGCCAACTACACAAGGGCGGCTCGCAGGCTATACGGAAAACGTCTTCTATGCGAAAAACCTCCTCTGTACGAAAAATGTCCCCTGGGAAACAAGAGGTCTACGGGATACAAATTACAGTGACGGAAGAACCAAATTCATCGGTGAGTTTGACATCAATGCCGGCCGCCTGCCCCGGGTCTCCGAGGATCCTATCAAGTCACAATACGGTAAACGGGGCCATGAAGAACGGCGCCGTAGGTGAGGGCATTCTAAACGGGGGAAAACTAACGGGTGGTAAAAATGACGTGGGTAAGAACGCCGAGGGGGCTAATACTCGAAAGAAGAGCGTGGAGTTCCATGAGGAAAGTACTATAGTCGAGTTTAACCGTGGTAAACCTCGACGTGATTTCATTAAGGCAGCACAGAATATTATGAAAAGCAAAGAAAAATCTGGTCCTTCACAACAAGATAAACTAACAGCAGTGGTTTTGTTACTTGTGGGCATTCTAGCCGTGACTATTTTGCCGTATTTACTAGCATCCCAAATTATCTTGGGATATGTAATATTCTGCAAATGCCCGCCGCCACAGGTGTTGTTGCTATTCCACTACTATTATCTCCCAATAGAGCTGCTAAACTTCGCAGTGAATCCGCTGGTTTATGCCTGGAGGTTGCCGCAGTACAGACGTTCTCTGAGGTACATGTGTACGAAGTACCAGTCCTACACGGAAACGAGTCAAGGATGGGCGTCCATTCGCAGCGCGAGCTCTCCAGGCCGTAGAGAATATACTTCACAATAGAGATCGAATCATGGGTCATCCTAATTAACGCCATCTCATTTTGTTCTAATTGGAAAACGAATAAATTAAAATCCTAACGAAGGCGGTTAAAAAATCAGGCTTTTCGAGAGGAATTGTAAATTCCCAGTTGCGAACATAAAAGGTTCAGAAACTCAAACTTCAAACATTTTCCAGCGATCCATTTCCCCCAGATCCGATTTCCCTTACAGGGTTGCTGCACCCAGCATTACCCATCATCTGAACGCACCACGAAATTGACAGTTCTAATTTTTTTTTAGAATGTCTCCTAAGTTTTGCTTTAGAACTGCATGATATAGAACTTGTATATAATATAGAATTTCATTTATGAGACTGACTGATGCGTTTATCAGAGCATATAGTACAAGAGCATATAGTTGAAAAAATAGAAATTAACGCGTTTTGTGAAAGACGGAGAAAGGAACCTAATATACGCGTATACATTTCATGGAAAAGGATTTTAACAATAACAGTACTTCATGTTGTATAAATTAAAAACCAACATGTATGTAAATATAGTATATGTACGTTTTCTCATACAATGTAAGAAATATATGACGTTGTGACGGGTTCAAACAGCAGCCATGTCTTTATGCTTTCATGCATGCATTCCATGGAAATATGCAGATTTTCCCCGACAATTTACATACTTAACTTCAGTACGCCTGCCTGCATGTACATGTACAAGGTCGCCGGCTATAACACTGTATATAACCACCCACTGTTTCCACTGTTAAGCCTAAAGGCCGGCGCACACTAGAGCTATGTGCTTAGCAAAAAGTCATTCGTGGCCATTAGCGTAAGCCAGTTGCTCTCGTGTGCGGACGACTTTTCCAGTGACTTTCGTCATTCGTGCCAAAAGTCGCCGGAAAAGTCGCCCGCACACGAGAGCAACTGGCTTACGCCGATGGCCACGAATGACTTTTTGCTAAGCACATAGCTCTAGTGTGCGCCGGCCTTAACCACGAATGTCGAATTGATCAGTCCGTTTCACTGAATTAAATTAGCTGACACATCATCATAAGATATATAATATATTCATTTTGATATTAAAGTATTAAATATTCGTATATTATTGAAATTGTTTAAATATAAATGTAGTTATCCCGAATACATTTCCCCATTTTTAAAGCTATACCGGTAAATACTGTTACACGGAACAATGTTATTCTTGTTATAATATTATATAGGGTTCATTCCCTGAAAGTTTTCACTTAGATTCCCCGAACGGCAAGGGCATTTGGCTTTATCTTGACTGCGATCCGTTTCATCTATCTCAAAGCTTTTTTTTCTTCTAATTTTCACATCTTGTTGGAGCTGCCCTTACCCCAAAAACGGGGGAATTAAGTTCTAAAAATTATAAATTATTAATGCACGTTGATACATACAAATACAGAACCTAAACTTCAACATTATAATGATTTTCTTCTCTGCTTCCCGTGTCAATTTTGACACTTGTGATGGTCGTAATACAAAAATATAAAAAGGTAATTAAATATTAGTTGCATATAAGATGCATTGGTTTCGAGAGAATATCCTAGACTCGCCATCAAATGCGAGATACTATTATATGAGAACTTAGAATTCAGATTTTCAAAAAGAGCAAAAATTCAACCGATAAGAAATCTGTACTATGGAACGTAACCGGAAATTTGACCAAAATCAGGATATTTTCCATTGAATGGAATCTTCGATTCAATGAGAGATAACAAATATTCGGTAGAAAAATTCGAATCGTAGCCACTAATCTTCGATTATAAGAATTGAACTTTCAAATACGAGGGAAATATAGCGCTGATGGACAGAAATTTCCATAAATAAGAATCCTCAATTTCACCAAAGTGGATACATCTACGACAGCCAATGAGAATGCCTTCGTGCCCGGAATATAGGTAAGGGTTGCACCCGTTCGTAGGCCAACGCAACGCGCCTAAAGCCTCATCTGACGTTGCTTTTCTTTATGCGCGTCTTTGTTGTAATGCACTACTGTGTCAGCAGGACCAACAGGTTTTCTGTTTACTTGAAAATCACCGGAGTATCTCTTGTTCCATTTGTGCACCAAAAATGCAATCGCGGCAAAAAGCAGAATGGATAAAATCACTGTCACGACAACGATCCACGTGACGGACGAATCCTCGTCGTCATCTTCGCTGCGTGCGACGTTTTTCGGTTCCTCGAATTTACGAGTTGTCTGGGTGGTGGAGACTGAACCTAAATTGTGAAATACTAGTTCAGTATATTATAGAGATCAGGCAGCGACTATGATCAAGGCGGCTTCCCATTTAATCGTGGCATACGTGCGCATACTCACGAATATGTACAAATCTTACTATATAAATATCATGAGGGATGAAAGAAAACAAAATTGACATGGTTTAAAGGAAGGAGCGTCTACCCAATCGAACATGATGTGTTTAGCTGTGTTTAGCTCCTTAAATTTTTCCTTTGAATTTCCTTTGCTGTTGTTGGTTTTACAGTTTTAAATCACAGGATGCAGCTTTTTTGTATAAAACGAAACAAACTCAGAACGACAGCATCTTGATGAGCTAAGATATAAAATATTAAACACACAAGACGCAAAATTCTGATGAAATGCGTGAGTGTTTGGCAACTCAAATGTTGAGTTTTGCAAGATGATGTTCTTTGGAGATTGTTTCGTCGTGTATTTCATCAAATTGTTTGCTGGGGAAAAGATTAGTGACAGCTTACTTTTTGTCAGACATTCGCCCTCTTTACAACCAGGTTTACCGGTTGGAAAGGTACTTGGCATTGGTTTGGGGGTGGGATTTGGTAGTTCTTTGTTGAATTCTGGTCGAGCATATTCTGGAAGCACCTGGAAACCTTCGTTGCGAACGAAATACGTTTCGTACAAGCCTGTCACAAAGTTGATCTCATTCCTATTTTTACCATTTTCCCAAATGAAATCTTGAATTGCGATTTCGTTTCTGTATGGTTCTTGTGAAATCTCGCCCAAGAAAAAGCTTTCGCCGTAATCAATTCTTTTATAACTTTTAGATTTGATGGAAAATTTTTGCGCTGCGGTCTTGTCAACTTTGAGTGTAAAATGATATAATTGTTTTGTGTATTCCACTGTGTGCCATTTGCCATCGCTAATTTTGTCGCCTGATTTAGCCGTATAGTTTACCCCTACAAATTAAGAGAGAATAATATAAAATAATGGTTATCTTATGGAAATAGTTCAGATTTAAGGAACGTGGTTGCGCATGTCTCAGGCCATTCCACTACCTTTGTGAAAACAAATCATGTAAAATTTTATTTATCCCTGACCTTGTTCACCGAAATTTATCACCAGTCTCAATTTTGAAGATTTAATTTCAATGATGAGAAAATCTTCAGTGTTAGTTGCGCCTTTGGCATAAAACAAAAGTGCATCTTTTTGCAATGTCTTCACGCGAAATTTGTATCTATCCTGGTCTTCGTTAGTTATGAGGGACGTATACATCACTTTATACGTTCCATCTAATTTCAGTTCCAGAGCACCTAGACAGGAAACATGAAAAATCTTTTAATTCAACTGATTTGGAATAATTTATAGGGAAACTTGTTAGACGCCGTAAATGTTTAAATTTCAATGTCACAACAATATAACCTTCTTGGCAGTAGTCTTTTACGAAGCCAGTCCAACGACAATCGCAAGTCACGTCGTCTTTTCCATCCGGCGAACATTTACCATTGTTTTTACATATTGGCTCAGGTTTGTGACAGTGGTTCAGGCTGCATCCACTTATGACTTTGAACTTTCTAACATACTGGCTTGATATATCCCTCATATCCTCACGGGTTTTACCATATTTGATATTTCTCACGCACGCGTTCAAAAATCCCCTTCTGCAAGTAAGAAAAGGGAGAATTTATGCACCATATTTGATATTTCTCACGCACGCATTCAAAAATCCCCTTCTGCAAGTAAGAAAAGGGAGAATTTATGCACCATATTTGATATTTCTCACGCACGCATTCAAAAATCCCCTTCTGTGAGTAAGAAAGGGAAGAGAGAATTTATGCACAATTTTAGAATTGAAAAGGTCAAATAACAAAAATTGAAAGGATATTTTACACAACGTCCGTGGCTTTTTGGACAGACATGGTTCTTATTGATTCAGAAACTTGCATGCACATAACATTTATAAAAGCATGCAGGCATATATATTTTATTTTATTTCATATATATCAAATCCAGATGGGTTTACGCGCGCGATGAAATGCATGAACGTGCAGTTAAAAAATGCCGGATATGCATTGTTCAAGCAAGCAAGCTGTAGGGAATGAGGAAAATAGAGTTAGAGTACACGGAATGAATATAAATTAGAAATCATACAAGATTGATTACACACAGTTTATAAAATCAACCATAGCAATTTGAAAAAAAGACTATGAAAAAAACCGTAGAACGAAGTTGGTTGGCTAGAACGCAATGGGGTGAAAAAACCAGAACGTTTCAGATGGTACCGACAATCGGGTAATAGAAATTAAAGCTAATACTAATAGAAAGTAAAGGAATTTAATATAGCGATGAACTAAAAATGATGGACACTATATAGCGAAAGGGATCGAAATGGCGATCGTAGTTGATTATGAAAAATAATCCCATAAAAGAAAACAGACACTGAATCAAGAAAACGGACACTGAATACAAAAACACTTACTTGTTTACCGGAGCAGCATAGATCTTATAGATACCGTTACTCGACAAATCACTTATATATTCACGGTCAAAACCTCCGATCGTAAGATTAGACGTAAACGACGAAAGACCGTTTGTTTGAAAACTTTTCCTCTCCTCTCCATTATTTATAAAAATACTTGTGACCGAAGTATTCCGTTCAATTCGCACGTTGTGCCAACTAAAGTCGTTGTACTTTTTCTCGCTCGTAAATTTTCCGTGTATTCTATCTTCAGGATTGGTGTTCTCTTTACTCCCATAAAACGAAAACCATAATCGTCCTTCTTGAATGGTTAGTTGTATATGATCTGATATTCCCTGGTCGTCTTGATAAAGCACCAAAGCTTGGTCCACCCAAGTTTTAAATTCGAACTCAAAAACCCCGCTTGCGAGGCTTATTTTAAAACTCATCGACGGTCCGGGCAATATCGTATCCGTCCTAAGAAACGTGTACACGGAAGCCAATTCTCTCTGACAATTGGACGGGTTTAGCAATATAAGAAGTAGCAGAACAGGCACTGTAATTCGCGACATAATTACAAAACTCGGACACCAAAGGATCACGATATTTAGTTAGTTTTACTGAATACAAACAAACAAATCTAAAGATTGCTATGCAGTACTCTCCATGTCATTCGAACCGACCACGTTTGTTATATTCGTCGAAATCAACGCTGGAACTTTACTCCAAAATCATTAGTCATTTCGTGGTGAATAAACCGCGATGCCTTCGCGAGATGGCTTTTACTCATCGGTAGTAATATATACGCAGTCATTTATCAAAGATTATAACGAGATAAGCAAATCCAACAAGGTTTAATTGCTTTTCTTGCTGCCATTTGATTGGACAATGCGCAAAGATGCTATCGCATTTGGCCTATATCAGACGTAAATCCGTTCCGCAAGAATCTACATTAAACGCCTATATGGTGTGGAATCGTGACAAAAATACCCATTTGCAACAAAATTTTGCAATTAAAAACATTCCAACCGAATTCGCGATATAACATTGGAAAGATTATTTCAAACTGCAGAGCTATCGATCGCCAGCGTAGACCAACAGTCTGATGTTTTGCAAAGTGTTTTGTATGTGTTTAAAATGTAATGAGTCTGAGGTGGGAACATTTTTGTTTATTTAAAAGCTTCCCGCAAAGTAGCATAAAAATGAATGAACCTCTTTATTGTTATTGAGCAAGTGAATAAGCCGTGCGACTAATTCAGAATTCAAAACAAATCATTTCCTATGCTTGAATATATATTTATATATATATTCATAAATGTACAAGTATTAGAACCATATACGACAACGAAAGATCATTTTTAACTAAAATTGTCGAATGCACGCACCAATGAAAAGAAAAATATTCACTCTCAAATGCACTCTAACTTCAGTAAAAGAAAAGGACAATTTGCATTCTCTTACAAGTTCAAATCGTTTATTGCACAGTCTGACTAAATTTAGAATCGCGACAACAAAAAATTATCAAAAGAAAATTTTTCATTAAGAACTAGCTGGAGCTTTTGTTTCGTTTTTATATTTAGATGTGATCTCAACGCTGGAAGAACGCCCGCTTCACAAGTAATACAGGCAAAATATAAAGGATATTTTTCGTATTTTGCCTATTAATTTACACTGAATTCAATAGTGCATGACTAAAAGGTGAAAATATGACTGAGATCTATATGAATTGGAAATAAGAAAGGTGGAACATTCAAATTTTCTTAAACTAGAATAAAACAAAACACAATTAAAATGACAAAAACATGCAATAAAGCGTATATTGAATTCTACACGGAATATCATGACGATATGCAAATCGCATGGAGAGGTAGAAAAATTTGCTTTCCTCTGCCAAATAGATGATCCTCGAAAATTTTTCCCACATTAAGGATGATACGAAAGCATGCGAATTGTTACTAGCACACCACATTACCCAAAACACGGTAGTAATGCTTATCTATGGTTTTGAGGCGAATACTATATTTCTTCCGCCAAACACATCTGCTTGCTTTTACAAAGCTTGCTGCTGAATGGCAGCTGGGCCGTATACAAGCGTGTAAAATGGCGCGTAAGAACTCGTACAGCTCATTAAATGTGTAATTTGTTTGACCCGCAAGTCATTAATTATATACGAAACGTTATTTACAAGAATGAAGGTCGCACAAGACCAGTGTTGTGCTTCCAACTCTGGGACATTCGTCGCTTGTGTAGGCGGATTAGAGAAATATTGTTTATAAACTCTTGCAGTGGCCCCGTCCGGTGAATGCCATTATTTTTTGCTACGTGGAGCTGATCTTTTGCAGTTGTCAGTTTAAGTATGATTGAGGCTGAATTACTGCCACTGGCACGCAATGTTGTGCGCATCAGTGCAAATAGATGATATTCTAGACTATGCTACGAGCTTCTATCGTGTATATTTCGAGACATTCCAAATGGTATTAATCCATCATGGAATTTTTTTCCGCAGAGCAATCAAAACAATTTCCCATACCCATAGTTCTAGAACGATAAGTGCTCAAGTCATTCCCTTCAAAACGCTTCGAAATGCGTCGAACTGCGTGATATCAACACTTGGCACGAAGATAACATAAATAGCAGCTATTTTTCCCCGCAGATCCAACGCGCGACTTTAAAGAACGGTGAAGGTTAATTGTTTATTTCAGCTGCGTAGTAAATGAGTGATGTTATCACAAAGGCGTGCTTCCAACTAGAGTACGCACTCGAAATAATATCATGCAACACAATCTGCGTGAAATGGAAAAAGACGTGCCAATGCGTCCAAAAACAGTAAACAATGACGGTCGACGTAAAACTAATTCATCAACGAGACGTTTGTATAAATATTAAAAGAAAACGCGTAACCTTTTCCAGCATATTTGTTTAGGATTGCAGGATTTCAAACATATAGCTAAACAGCACATGTTTGACGCAACAAACAAGGATTATAATATAGGCCAAAGGCTAAGCCTAAGGAATGGTTTTTCAAATACGGCTGTTCAATGGAGCATTCTGGCAATGCCGCAGGATTGACGTCCTTTTTCAAGAGCAAGAGATATTCTTTTTGATTTGGCACGTACACTTGAGCAGTGAACCGCAAACATACTGCTATATTTAACCAAATAGAATATATATAACGGTGTTCCCACGCACTTCTTTTTTTAAACAAACTTCCTTGGATTTGTTGCGATCTTTTGCCTCCGCTTGTTTCGTGTTTAAAATTATCTTATTACAAAAGACGTGGGTTTGTATAATCTTGCGTGCGGCTTTTTATGACATTGGAACCGGCAAAAATAATCGTGCATTTACACGCAAGAAAAATCTGCCGACGTTCTACGAAATATTTTATATAATTTTGTGCATTTATGGACAGCATTTATCTATGGGAACATTGGATGTGGAAGATCCTAAGAAACAGGTCAATCGGACAGGGCTTGAATTTTTTTTATCAAATGACGATCATAAATGCATCGATAATTTCCCTTTTATGCATGAGAATTAGGCTAACAAAATTGCTATCTCGAAATATAGCGATAATTTTTGTAATTTAAGGGGACGTTTTACACTTTAGCCGTATATTTTAGTGAAATGTGTTTCGTTATTCCAAGGTCATTAGTCTACCTCAAGCCCTCTATATGAATGAATAATCTCAACTTTGCTCCAATAAAAGATTGGAGCAATGCTGCGTTTGCGATGGTATATGCATGCAAATAAATTATGTACAATTGCCTTCGTGCAACCGAACATCATGCCGTCGCGATAGTATTTTGTGCATCATTCCCCATTAATCCGTTTGAAAATAAATGTATGTAGGCTACTTCAAATCGCCCAAAAAATATCCTGTTGCAAAATATCTTGCTATAACTATTCTTTATTGTGCCCCCTGTTTCATAAAAAAAGTTTTAAGTGATGTTTTTGACGGCAAAAACGACGAAAACACCGCTATTTACTGATAAATCAATGCACTTATCAGCTTTTAGTTTACAACTATGTTGTAGTAAAGATCTGGAAGTATTTTTTTTTGGCCTCAGGGGGAATTATAGTGGACATGCAAATATGCATATATACATGTAATTTTAGTGAGTCTGAAAGTTAGAAACTTAGAATGCATGTTGTTAGACGTGTTTTGGCAAAAAAACAAGGTACGAAGAAGAATATTGCAGATAAAATATTGCATGTGTCTTGAAGTGCTGATGTGCGTGTGGCGCTTTTGTTTGACCCTAAGTTCGATTTTCCAAACACAGAGATGAGAATCGAGCACAGCAGAGAACATATAAGTGTCGAAATAGCAAAGTTTGCATGGTTGTATGCAAAATGTTGTAAAATTGAGTACATGTTGAAAGAGCTTTTATTTAATTCATTACCTTTCATGGAGTGTTGGGCCGTAAAATTAGTCAAATATCTTGCCCGTTTTGTTTAATATATATAATGATAAAGTTACACATGCAACAGCCATGCAGACACTTAGCAACTAATTACTCCATTTAAATTTGACCAATTATTGCTTGGCCTAATTTGGAAGTGTTCAACGCATTAGGATAGTTCTTATTGATAGTTCATCTTCCTGTATCCTACACTTTTTGCTTCTTTACTTTGTAACTGTTTACCACCTCTGTCGTATTATTGGGTGGATATCAAAATTCAGCTACGGTAATAACATAATTCGTGCTCATGCATGGTTTAAAAGCTTAACCAAATGGCGGCAATTTTCCAAACCATCACGTTTTTCGGTGAAGTGTTATTACCGTATCCTCTTGGCGCAGGACATGCAAATTAGTATGTCAAAATAGGAAATTTAGTATAAATTTAGTTTGTTCACCTAGGCTATGTATTGTGTAAATTTAATCGCTCTTACAACCAATTAAACACAGTCCTATGTTAGCGAGCGCGGAAGAGATGTATTCAGGTTAGTAAGTTTTCGTGTCTGTTCATGCACGTCGACTACCTGCTTTTGGGAGTTGTGATCTTCGTTTTCCACTTTACCATTTCGCCTACAGTTAATGAAAAATTTCGCCAAATGTTAAATGTTTTTTGAAAATACGGCGTTCGGAAAAATGGGTCGTAACAGCGGCAAAAGGTTTTAAACTTTTGCATACTATTTCGCTGTGCCTGGGCTGGACAAGAACGAAACACCACCGACCTAGAGAAAATAGTTTAAGAAATTTTTTCCAGCCTGCTAGCGGAGCTGTCAAGTGGAAATTTTGATTCAGTGTTAAATGTCAAATTACCGAATGCGTTTAAGAGTGAAGATGTAATAATCTATCTGTGAAAATGTAATAAAATGAAAGGGTAACTATTTCAATATTTCAGGTAAGTTTAAGTAATTTAGTTAATTTTATTTTTAAAAAGCTGGTCTTAGCATACATGATCGTATCTATACGTAGTTGTTACCTGGTACCTGCCATAACACTAAAGAGGAAATATATTATTCCATGCATGCACTTATATAGAAAATAATATTTTCAAAATGAATAAAACAGTCTTCGAGAAGTGATATATAGTGAGGCTTCTCATCATTGAGATTGCAAATAATTTGAATCAAGAATAATTGGAATCAAATGGACAGCGGTTCATTTAGTCATATATATGTATACGGGTGTAATTCGTGCAATGTATATCATTTTGTTTGATTGATCTATATTTATATGCAATGATAAGTAAACAAACGATAACAGTTTGAAATGACTGAATCTATATTGAATCTATATCGAGAAATATGTACGCTAAGGAATCCTAACTCTTTTGTCCAAATTGATAATAATTATCAAGATACCCTAACACACACACACTCGCTTATATATTCGAACGACATCGACAATATAGTTATATACAAACCATTGTTAGTTTATATAGTTATAAATCATTGCTATTCTAGGCACAAATCGTTGCTATTCAATCAAAAGGCTTCATCCTAAGTTTTATACTTTTATATAGTTTTAGCTCCCTCTACATTCGTGATGGTCCAGTGTGCTGTTCTTCTTGCGCTCTGTGTATCAATCGAGTGTGTACTTGTTACGGCGGGAAAACACAAAGTCAAAGACAAAGGCAAGTCAATACACAAGTAGATATTCCCTCGCTTACACCGTGGAACTTACGTTTCAATGTCTCTTGTTTCAAGTGTTTACAAGTCTTGAGCTGTAAAACATGATGTAGTGACGGGCGAATCTGACACAGTGTATATTATGTGGAATAAAAAAGCGATAATTCTCTATTTATTGAACAACTGAGCTGAAATAATTCGATGCAAATAGTTTGATTTTGAATGGAAGTACATCTTTCAAAAGAATGAAACAAGCCTATATTTAGGACAATAAGTCAAACAAATGGTTACATGATAAACGTTTCAATATTGCACTCTTCATTGTCAAATTATACCTTTTACAGAAAACAGCAAAGGTTATAAGAAAACATTACAAGAGGAATCTCAGACGGTCACAAGAACCTCCTCTGTACCAGATATATTACGTGAAGCTGTTGATAGCGGTAGGTACAGTATTATTGCTTGTCCAAAGAGCGTCCAAGAGAAGGACTGGCACTGGTTGTCGAATTTGCTTCACTCCAGATTACATTAAAAGTCAAAGGGTATTGTGTTCACGTGTTACTTCTCAAAATTTTAGGATGGCTCGACAAAAATGCATTGAACAGAATCGAGAATAGGCAAACCCACAAAGTTGAGGGTTACTTCATGAGCAGCGATACAAGTGTTTCTCAAGGTAAATGGTATAGCGTGTTTGCAAGCGTGCTGATAATCCCCAATCCCTATGTCTTAAACACGGGATCTTAATCCTGTATAGGGGTTAGCACTAGGGCGTACAGAACTAGAACAAGAACTAGGACCTGATGCATCAAAGGATATTCTGGTCTAAAATTAGCTTCGTGTCCAACTTTCTAGTTCAGTGTTACTTTCATTATACCGATATAGATGAGAGGGATATCGGAGTAAAAGCCCTACAACTTCACAACGTGTTCCGTCTTATCCATCATTCACCCCCATTAACCTGGTCGAATGCGCTTGGCGCCGCAGCGAAGAATTTGGCACGTCAATTGGCGGAACAAAATGCCCAAATACGAGATACAATCCCGGCGCTTAATATCTCTGGTATGAACTTCCGAGTGTATGGCTCGCGATCAAACCTCGGAGGAGTAATTGATAACACATACGGGGAGAACACGTTGAAATTAACAAACGTTCCTTATCACTGTGACTACGGGGTACAAGAGGCGACTAAGCGGTGGTACAATCAGGGACAGCATTTTAGTTTTTCCTCACCTCAGGTGGATAAGGAAACATCCTCGTTCACGCAGTTACTTTGGAAGAAAAGTAAACAGCTGGGAGTTGGCTGCGCGGAAAAAAATGGTCTTCTCACACACGATCTGTATATTGTTGCATTGTATAATCCGGCTGGGAACGCCCTTCCAGAGATCAGAGATAACGTACAACGACCTGGGAAAACACATGACGTTTACGGTGATATTTACTAAGAATCAAGTGGAAACATTGTATAACCCAATTCGCCTTTCTCACGATGACGAATATCCGCCATTTTTACCAGGTACCCCCAAAATGGCGGCGCATTCGTCATCGTGAGAAAGACTAATGAGCTGAGTAGGTATAATTGTGAGATAAGGTTGACATTAGTTGTTTATAAATCTGAATTACACAAAAAGACGAAATCTCCAAGACTCAGTGACCACTGCATTTGAACCTTTGGGCATCAGTTTATTCCGTGAGGCAATCACTTCTTTTTCCGTGAGCTTTTCTGGTATATTGCAGTCCTTAACGAGGAAACTGTTTATCCTTAAAACGGTCTGCGTTTGCAATCTTAATTGTAAGTCCTCCTTGAAAATAATTTATAAATTGAATTCGGTAATTAGTATATATAAAAATGGAAACTTATGTACAAGGATAAATACAATTAAAACATTCATACCTGAATGCATTCTTTCCATCGAGATTTACATCTCAAAACGGACTTTTCTTTAAGCGGAAAGATAAAACTGCACACAAAAAGCACCGAAAAAAGTAGGCGAAAAGACGTTTTTTACTTTCATGCAACCAATTTTTGGTTTACCCATATTTCTTATCGAAATTTGCGTATTGTGTTGCATATGATGTCAGCCATGCACTGCAACCAGCTGATTCAACTTAAACGATTTAGCATTTTTAATCGGAACGTGGAAATATAATTACAGAAAACTGAATTAAAAAATTAGAAATATATTAACACCTAAGTCTGCGTTGCTTACTAACTTTTCACTAAACTTCAAAACAGTTTAATTTCGTCTCAATATTTCACATGGAAGGCTGGGGTTCCTTCAGGATTTGTTTCATACGAGATGATATAAATTTTTAATGATAGCTAATATTATATTGTACCTTTAATTCTTAAACACCATGAAGTATTTCTAGAATTTTGACTTTTCCCTACGCCCTTTCAAAATTAGGCAGATGAAAGTAGAACTCTAAAGCCGGTTTTCCACTAGCGATATTTTTCGCGCGAATGGACATTTTGCTCAAATACAAAGGAATAAAGTCGCTTCGCGCGAAAAATATCGCTAGTGGAAAACCGGCTTAAAAGTTAAAAAACTTAATTCTGACCACCACGCTCGAATTCTGAATCACGAGAAAAAATTGAAAAAAGCAGTTTCACCTAAACACAAATGGTGCTCGGACAAATATTGGGAATATCTCACGGATTATTCGGTTTCTTTTGATTTTTCAAGCCTTCTTGGTCCGTAAAGCAATACATAGGCACAGTGCCAGTCACCTGAAGAGACCAAAGGGAAGGTTTAGTAAATAAACTAGTTGGTTGTATATTACGCAGTTGACGGTGTTCAAAGGTTAAAGAGGACACAGTGTAACCTTGTCTTCTACAACAGATCCAGTTATTGCTCTACAACGTTACAAAAGCGGATTGCTTATTTAAAAAAGCTATTATTACCTCCTCCAGACAATCTCAGGACTTCCTCTGCTGTGATATGGGATATTTTATCGTCATCACACTTCACCCAAGATTCTGAAAGAAAATATATTCCACTCATCTAAACCAGTTTTCAGTGACTATAGTATTATATTTTATCAGGAATTTCTTGGTTATAGTGGGATAAATATGAAATTAAATTATCACATAAATAATTTTTCATATGGTAATTGTCAATTCCACATTCAACTGCATGAGGTTTAAATTAAACCTATCACGGAATTAACAATTACAATTTGAATAACGAACGTAGGTGAAAGTTTTAGAAAAAAGAGTAAGGAATTTTTATTTAAAACGTTTCTACTTTTTATAAGTACTGTGAAAATTACAATTGATTCTTATTTATATAAAAACATTTATACATAGTACAATTAATATTTTGTTTTCGTGCCTACATTAAAATGAATACAGCATATGAAATAAAATTGTCTACAAATCAAATTTATTTACCAAAACCTCAAAAGCCTCATATGATTTCGAACAAGGAAAGACAAACAGCGTTTCAAAGCAAGCAGCAACTTAAATACAATAGAAAGAACAATAACAACAACAATGGCGAACAATGGGGCACCAATAAAAATATTTTCAAAACGTCTCCAGCACATTGTCCGATTTCCTCTGAAAAGGTTTTACAAACATGTGGAGAATTAAAATGACGACACAGAATATCAAAGCAATAAAAAGTCGAAGCTGAATGTCGTAGACAAACGTCAAGACAATAATCAAAACCAATCTACGAAATATAAGAAAACCCTCCCAAGGAATATGCGAAGAAGGGAAACACACGAATGCTCGGTGAGGTCTGAATTGACCCAACAAAACACCGAGAATTTCTGATTTATATTTCTTGAAGTTTACATCATTGCTGTCAGTGTTATCAACAGTATTATCCTCATTACAAAGGCTTTGTATTTCGTTAATTTCTTCTTCATTTCTTTCTGCATTTGTTTCTTCTATTGCGCTATATGTTCTTTGACGTCCAGCACAGCGCCAGTTCGCAAGCAACAAGTACATCCAGAAACAACAAAATGGAAGAGGAAAGATACAAGCGGCGCAAAACTGCTTGACACCGATACGATCAAACTTCAGAAGATACGAACCAAGAACTGGGACGAGACAAAATGGAAGTATGGAAGAAATTATGTACGCAAGAAGAAAATATTGAAATGTTTGGTGACATTTTATGTTACCATCGAGAAATAAAACTTGATTGTCACCAAATGGTACACAGCGAAGAAGAGAAAGACACAGTTGAGCGGAGGAAGCGTACATTAATAAAGAAATGTAAGTGAAAGCTGAAGCAATTCGCTGGGTGGACGATTTCCCAGCTTTTCTTAATGTCTCATCAGAACTCGTTGCTATAACAGAATGCACCACTCCTCGTCCATTACCATCACTTTTTAATCTTCGGATGATTGAAATCAATTTGCTCATCAAGTAGAGAAGAGATAGGATACCAAGAAGGCAATATCCCACGGAATGCAGGATGACTGTCTTAGGAACAGCATGAAGGTTTTTCAAAGGACATTGGAAGAATGGTAGATTAACAAGAATCATATTCATTACCCTTGAGATAACATTCCCAACATTATGAAAAACGTTACCATTTTTGTGAGAACCAACTGAACTTCGCAACAAGTTACAAACTTGATAATAGTAGAAGAATATCTTAATGATCCCACTAGATGAAGATCTATTGTCCGCTTGTTCGTTTCCGCGGTTTAATGGGAACGAAAGTCGATTACTCAGTAAAGTTCTCCGAAGGAAGTTCACAATTTCTTTGTGGTACAGAAAGAAGACGAGGTATAGAGCCAGCAACGTTATTGTTCCAAGAATGAAAAAATAATTCATGGAACACTGTGTGTTTGATATGCACTGCGTCGAGAACAAGCTTTCTGACATTCCTTTCGGACATTGACCACAGAGTATGCCAGATCTGTTGCCTTGGCAACCGTTATACGTGACGCAATCCTCGCAGCAGTAACCCGGTGGACATTGAAGAAAGACTACTTTCGTCTTATTTTTATAACCCCAGAAGTTTGGTTTGGCTGTGATTAGTCCGCTATCACAATTCCCACCTCGAGGGCATTGCCAACACTGGATGTTATTGCTTGTATTGAAAATAAACTCGCCTCTATCAAGTGCGTATGTTTTTGTTGGACATTGCTCACATTGGACAGTGATATAGTGACACCAATACGCGTTCTTTATATTTGAGCAGTCTCGTTGCGTGCTCAAGTGGTAACCTCGCGGGCATAGGATTTTAAAATCCTTTTTTACAATAACAACTCCAGGACTTCCAACCGTTGGTATACGACTGAACACAGACTGTCCACCTTCTCTTAGGCCTACGAAATTAAACGTATTCTCGCCTAAAAGCGAGAACCTTCTGCTTCCTGTTGCGAACACCTGATTGGCTTGTTCCTCGGTTTGTCGGTTTTCAAAATAGTTGTTGACGAATGTGACCGTTGCCGTTTCTGAAATTGTCACAACGCCCGTGTAGGGATTGTTACCCGGTTTGTTGTCAAGGAAACGACAAGATGTTACCCGGCTTTCGCTGGTATCGAAGTAAATCGCCGCGGCTCCGTGAGGATCGACATGTTTATAAACATTTTCGGCAAACGTATTATTTTCGAGGTACAGAGTTGGGCTTGACCTTCGGTGACAAAAGCGAGCAAAACAACGAGTTTGCATTTGAAGAGCTTGAGAGTTGTTTCTGAATATACTGCGGCGTATCATTAGATCAAATTTAGTCGTTTCTTGATAACCAAGTGCCAACGATAGTGCCGGCCCGGTGCTGTAGTTATTCTCGAAGGTAAGATCACTCATGAAAATAAATGTTGTATTACGGAAATCTGACTGGGAATCAAAGATGTGGAGGGCATAGAACTGATTGCTAGTCGAAGAAGCTGGCAACGCCTGACTCACCGTCCCATCTTGCTTCCGACAAGCATGATTTTGGAACCGTGACCCAATGATTGTGACATTCAACACAGTCGTGAAAGGTTGTATCCTGATCATATCGAAGCACGATAGGTGGGTGGATGGATTTCCATAATCAAATACAGTATTTCGAACAAGAATTCTTGTTCTCTTCGGGCGTTTTGGCAAATTAGCTACGTTTGTGAAGAGTATATGGACTAGCTTAAATGTGCTGGAGTCTATATGTACGGTTAGATTGGCACTTTGCAAATAAATTCCCCAAGACAACCCGTAATTATTATCCAAACTTGAGTTGAATATCTGTAATGAACAATCCGCCAAACGTTTGCCAAAAATAATGAAAATATTATCTCTGATCAACATATCATAAAATACTAAGTGCGTTGTGATATTTTCTTCGAGTTCCGTAACGGTATTTGTATTTGAGATAACCAAGTTGACAAATTTGACTCGGGTTATATTTCTAGCCGTGTTCGTTATTTTGAAAAGCTTGCAGCCTTTGTAGCATCGAATTTCAGGGTTCCCGTTAATGCCATAAAATGAAAGTGATTTTCCTAACTCGATAGAGCATGTTGATTGCGTTTGATTTTCACATTCCAAGTAAGGTCTTCCTTTTGCATAATCTATGTAGATTTCATCGCCGACA